AAAAATGATCATACAGTGTAAAATACAGAACCAGGTGATTCTGTACCAGCAGCAGAGTTATCAGTGCAAATGTGTCCAGTAAGGGTTGAGACTGAGAGGGGTTCATAGTTCAGTGTTTTGGTGGGACAGGAGACTAAATGGGCTGTGCAAGAGGTGGCTGGAGTCCCTCGCAATGCTGACAGATTTGTGGGTGAGAAGGGTGTTGTAAATTTCCAGGAGGGAGGGAAGTGAGACACCAATGATCCACCTAGCTATGTTCAGTATGTGATGTAGTGAACCACACAGTGACACAGCTGGTCAGCATGCTGTAACTGGTACTTTGGTAAAAGGTACACATAATGGGTGAGGGGGCTCTCACTCTCTTCAGTCTGTAGAGGAAGTAGAGGTGTCACTGAGCTTTCTTCATCATGGATGTGCTGTTGGCTGTCCAGGAAAGATCCTCACTGATGTGCACCCCCAAGAATTGGTGCTGTTCACTCTCTCCACAGCTGCACCATTGATAAACAGTGGGAGGTGTTGGGTGCGGTCTCCTCTGAAGTCCAGAACTACCTCCTTTGTCTTGTCCATATTTAAAGATATTTTTTTTTTTTTACTATAAGATCTTGGGTTTTTTCTGCAGTCAACACCCCATTTGAAAAATTGGATTTATTCACAATCAAGAAAACTTCTGGTTCTTATGTCACAGATTATTTCAGCAAAGGATACTCAGAGATAATCAATCCTACAGATGGGCTGATAAAATCATAGGCAGGAAAGTTGGACCACTGTTATTATGATCTGAGATCCTTTGTGCTTTGAGTTAATCTACACAGTTATTAAATCTAATGAGTAAAAGCCTCTTCTGGCTGATTTTGGTGAAAATGGTCAATTTGGGAGTCAAGCTCATAGATAAAAAAAAATCTCCTCCTCATATTTTTAAAAAGAGATAAAAAAGAGTCATCGGCCAACACATGCAGAGATACCATTATATTCTATGGATATTACAAAGTGCTATAGCTCTATCAGACTAGAGGGTATTTCAGTGGGAGTCCCTCCTGATGGGAACCACCGCTGTGACATACAGCACTGATGTCAGTATAGTACCTCTTTACCTCCATCGTTTAGATTATGAGGTTTCCACCATCTAATTAAAGCCTCTAATGGAGGGGAACGACGCGAGTCTGGATTACACTATTCATCTGTGTGACAGGGAGAAAGGTTGAGATGTCAGCTGGTCTAAACAATCAGCTCAGGAGTGAAACCAGCCCTCTGCATCAGCTGCTGAGTCCTCTACTGAATGAATCACTTTTCCTCTTATTAGACAGCATCAACATTAACCTCAAACTCAGAAATCAAGCATATAAACCAAAATTGTCTAAGGACATGATTGTCTTAGGAAATACAGGCCCTATTCTGTAGAGGTTTTGCTTACTATCCAGCTTCCTGACATCATATTTAGTAGCATGATTGCGGAGCATTTGCAGAACACTGATGCGAGTTTCTGTCCATTTGAGTCAGATATATGCAGAAAAAAAGTAAATCTTTGTGTAACTATGAAAAGTTTGACTCAGTGTGATTTCAGTGATTCTCATGTGTTTACATTCATTCTAACACTCCAGCTTTAGTCTGACTTCTGCAATAAACTGATATTTGGAGCAAACTGGAGTAACTGTACTGAAGGTCTTGATTTGGCACTCAAATCAATGCAATAAAACAATCTTGACTTATAGGTTTACTATTCAAATAAATGCTTCACTGACTGACATCCAAGGATGCCTTGTAATTGCAACAGCATTTACACTTTTCAGAAGTTCCAGTTTGTTTAAGGTCCTGTTTGTGTAAAACCGTTGATTGTAAGAAAGACATAGGAATGGTCACAACACTCCAACTTCAGGACAGCCCTTATACCCAATTCTCCCACAGTGTTGGCCAGCCTGTTGTCATTCTTACAGATCTGTGGTGGTTCACTCACTTTAAAAAGTGCTCTGTTTGCTTGGTATAGTTTGTGAAGTCTTATCAGCAGCATTTTAGACCAACTGAAACGTCATATTGTCCATAGAAAGACCCTCATTTTGTGAAAGATAATTTCATCCAAATATATGAGCTGCTCAAGGCAGTGTGTTGGTAAACTGGTGACTGCACGAAAAAAAAAAAAAAAAAAAATCAGTGAAGTGACAGAAACAGTGAGGTGAGACACACTCGCACTATGATTTGGTTGAATCACTTTATTGGTTTAAGAGAAAAGCTTGTTTTGACCTGCAGTTGCTGTTTCTCAGAGTGTGCAATGATGTTATCTTTAATGAAGTTTATTTTTCTTGTGATACACACTAAACCAATAAAGTCTTATTAACCACATCACTGCTTTGGTGTAGGTGTGCCTGACATAAAACCAGCAGCTGGATCTCATGCCTGAATTCAATTGTCCTGCACAGACCGAGGGCTTTGTGATTCATGCTGAACTCAGGGCTGCTGGTTAATACAGAGAGTTTTAAGAAATTTGCTTTGCCTTTATGTTGGTGTCATCATGCACTCCACACTTGCAGCGTGAAAGTGATGTTCAATTAGTGTCTCCTAATAGTCTGTGAAAAAAGTTCCTCATTTCCAACAGGTTTGATAATCTTTTCAACTAAAAAGTGCTCACAGGGATGCTTAATGGTCTCAAATCCTCCTTTGGCATAAAAACTAAAATAAATCTGAGTATGAGTTTATCATCTGATGGTTTTGTTGCTTTACTTGTCATACAGAAGACAATTTTTCAGTTGCAAACATATCACATTAGCAGAACTCACATTCTGAACATAAAAAATGGCCGAGGGTTCACTGCTTCACTGCTGCCCTGAGGGTTGAGTCAATTTCATCTGATAGCTCTCCAGACGAGAGGCTGGTGAAATGTCAATTAGCCTGCGTCCTCCTCCACACAGTGCGCTCAGCCTCACCGGGTCCAGGGCTAATCGCTCATCATTTACCCCCAGTGCTGTCTGGAAGGCATGGCGAACAGTCGAGTGGGAGGAAGGGGCATGATGGGAGTGTGAGTACAAACAAGCACAGAGACGCACATACACACTTTAACAAGTTTGACAAACCTCAGATAAATCCTGATTTTCACCCCCTCTGTAGACTCGGCAGGTGCACCCCTCAGCCCTGACATATGAGGCAGACAAATATACATCAGTGAGGCAGCTTACTTTAAGCAGCTATCTTGATTTAGTTTTTGTCCTGGTCTTTGGACGACTATGCCTCTTAAGTTTAGTCACTTTTTGGTCTTTTTACACTTGGTGATAAACTTTTAAGATGAAATCTCTTGTTATTTCTGCCTGGTTGAGTCAAAACAGTGCATCACTTTAGTTTAAATGTTTCCTCTCTTTAAATCAATTCGCTGATGAAACTTGGTGTCAATGATGTTTGGGACAAAATGCTTCGATCTGTAAGGCAAAATGTCAATCCATTAACATTTTTACTTGAGTAAAATTTGGATTATTACCATACTTTGGATAATTCAGCATTCTTCCATGATGCAACACTACTGTGCCATCTTCACTGATTCACTGGGAGGATTACACAGAGATAGGTGCTATTAAAGAATAGTGACTGTATAGAACATGATGAGGGCCACTGAAATAAAGATTTGAGGTCTAAACAGTTGCTTTTCCTGACTTTTTACCCCCATATTTCTCAGATTTAAGTCAGAGCACTGAGAGTTAAAATGGAATTGTGACATTTAAAGTCAAATACAGATTTTCCTTTCAGACTTCTGACTTATTCCTCAGAGCTCAAAGTCAGAACTCAGAAAAATGATAACCCCTCACTTGCAATCCTTCCAGTTGTGGCTTTACCCTGGAATTCTGAGTCTAAAAGTTGAATTCTACCTTTAAATAGAACCCATAAAGCTGTGAACTTTTGCCCTGAAGTTGTGTCCATGAAAGGCTTGGCCTTCATATGTTAAGCCAAAGTGAACACTGACGCTTAGCAACATTAACATGAATGCCAAATGATCATTTGTTGTTCTCTTTGCCCACCTGTAGAAATGCTGGAATTCAAATAACTCATTGTACTGAATTGTAACATTGTGATGTAAAAAGCAAGACAGTTAATTCTGTAGATGAACATTTGCCATAATTCCTATCAGTAATATACAGTAACTACAGGCTGCACTCTTAGCCCATTTAGCTCCTCTGTCAGTTACAAAATAAGACATTGCGTTGATGTGAAAGTAGATTCCATGGGATCCACCAATCCTGAAAACATCACCAGACTCCTCAAAACTTATGAATTCAAAGCTCTCTGAAAATTTTGATGGAACGATGTGGTTCTTATTCACCCCATGTTCCTACCCCCATTTTTGGCATCACAAATAAACAAACTTTTTGCATGGCCAAACTTTTTTTCATTGTTTTGCTCTGAGTGTGGTTTAAAACTTCAAAGTTTTGATAATACAAGTAAACAGGATGTAACACCTTCGGACCCTGCAAGTCACTGTAGAAAAAAGTGACTGAGTTGAACATTGATAGAGATGATCTCATGATTCTGTCTGGTGGCATGACTGCAGAGCAGGATCTTGTTAATGAGAAAAGGGGATATCAGAGCAATGCTAATCACTGAAATTATGAATATAGTTAAGAAAATACAGCTGCAGATTTCTGTTTGCTGTGAAAGGGACGAAACGAAAAAATAACTTGGCCTATGAAAAACCAAGGACAAATTTTGCAATGTCTCTAGTTTAGTGAACCAAATATATATTTTTTTGTGCAGCTACTTGTTTAGAAAAGTAGATCTGCAAGAGAGCCATGTCAAGCACTGATGTGATCCGAAGTCCCCATCACTACAGGAGGAGTGATTACTACAAACAAACCCAATAAAAGATCACAAACTGGAGTGGAAACCGCGCGTCAGAGAGGAGTCTGAACCCGTGAACACCTCCACTCCTCCTTTCACAGTCAGGTTAGCGTGGATACTCCCACGTGTGGCAGCATTAGTCACACCTCGTTAATTTTCCCAGGCCTCGTGACGGAATCAGGTCGCCTATAAAGGCGGCACCTGGAGAGCGCGAGACACAGGAGCAAGGACGGACTTGATGCGCGTGCCAGCTTGAAATATAAGTGAAAAAGTCTGCAAAAGAAAATGAACCCAAGTATCTGCTTGTGCTGTTTGTCTTTGCTTTTGCTGCTTAATTTAGTAGGAGCCAAACCTGTTTCTGATCTACAGGTGAGATCACCGTCATGAATCTGTCACTGAAGCTTGATTTGACCTTACAGAGACATCAATGTGATGAGGAGATTGTAATTCTGGAACCATTTAATGTTAAGGATGAGATTTGCCCAAAATGTAAAGCCACAATGTTTTATGTTTACATTTTGAGAGGACATAAATCAAAAACTTGCATCCAAGAGCGTAAAAGGATGTTTAGTGTCTTCTGATTTTTTGTGAACTACAATGTAGATTAAAGTGTCTTTGTTGTCATTTTCCCCGCAGACTTTGAAGCAGCTCTTGGAAGAGGAACTCAGCAACGCGCCGTTTTACTCCTCAGATGAGGAGGTGGAGGCTGAGGCGAAGGATGCAAACACGGACAAGTCTCTGTTCGGAGCTCCAGAGGAGCAGCCCTGGGACTCCTCCGACCCCAGCAACTCAGCTCTGCAGGCGGCTAAAGAAAGCGCCCTCACCCGTCTCTTCAAAGACCTGATGCGGACCTCCAAGCGCTCATGGAGCCGGTACAAGAAAGCGGGGCTGAGGAGCTGCTTCGGGGTCCGGTTGGAGAGGATTGGCTCATTTAGTGGGCTGGGATGCTGAAGGTAGGAACCCCAGTAAAGACGTTTTTTTTAAAATACTTTGATGGTAGCAACACAGAATATACTTGTAAAAAAGTAAAATTGAGTTAAGAAATATGAGGTTTTGTTTTTCCTGTGAATGAAAATATTTGGTCTTAATGTAAAACTTAAAGTAAAAGACCATACAGTATATTGGAAGACATAAAAACTGAACTAAATCCAGCCTGAAGATGATACAGAATATCGATTGGACTATGTGCCAAAAAGTTGCATTCAGTTGAACGTGATCAATGTACAACCAAACACAGTGGGAAAAGACGCAATCGGCACTATTTTTATGCAAATCCTCCTATTGATTGAAAAAAAAGTGCAATAAAAACATGCCCAAAGCAGCAAACATGTACTATGGTAGATAAAACAGGGATTTAATAGACTGGTTAGAATATGGTTGTTAAGTCGTCAAAATATGGAGATCACCCTTTATATACTTTTAGTAAATTTAAAAATTTGGGTGTGGAGTGCATGTAAACAAATGTGACAGTAAGTTGAGAAATGACTTTCTGCAGCTGCTGCGTTGCATCCATCACCGCTGTTTTCACCGAGCATCTGCACTGCAGCAGGAGGTCTCATTGCTGAAGGGCACACATTAGCAGCTGCCCTTATACAGAGTTCAGATATTAAAACAGTGATAAACCTCTTTATCATGTGGCCTAATCCAATAATCACAATGATGTGTTTTTCATGTATTTCCACAGGCGGGCGCAGATGAATGTGTGATCCCCTCCTCAGAGCTGTCTGACACTTTAAAGGGCGGAAACTTCTTCACTCTCCTCCACACGTTCACATTCAGGACTGTGATTTCCGTTTTTGTTTTTGTCATATGTGAGCTGCTAAATTATAATAAATTATTGTAAATGTATTTATTATTTATTTTTCTCTTGTTGGATGAAGTAGTGTTGCCTTGTTATAGATTGTTCTGCAGTAAAACGTTTATTTTGCATAATAGCTGAGCCTGATTGGTTTTCCTTTCTTATGAGCACAAATGGAGGCAGTTCAACTGGATCATGATTTTTGCACCTGAAATAAAATGATGTGTAAGATCGGGGGTAATTTTATCAGGAATGTGTATAAATAGAAGTTATATCTTTAGAAAATCTAAGAAAAATCGTCATGGTCTGTTAATGAAGCTGTCTCTTCATGAAGAGGATAGTTGGGGCAGTTTTGACTGACAAAGTTTATGCTTTTTGTCTCTTTGCTCACGATGATATTTTGGCTTCAATCAAAACAGTGTCAATGCTGCAGATGCTCCGAGTCGGGTACACATGGATTCTTTGGATATCACGTAAAACTCTCATTTTGGTTCGGATTTTACGCACAAACAAACGCTTCTTTTACGCACGATCATCTCATCAGTAAATGTTATTTTTTTTTGTCGAAGAACTACTTTTTAGCCACCCCAAATCAATAATTAAATATGTGAGTAAGTCTGTTAAACACTAAGATAAATTCACAGCAGCAAAGGCTTTGATTAAAAAACGAAACGATTAAAAAACTAAACTTTTACGTAAAGTTTAAAGCTTAAATAAAAAAAAAAAATCAATTCAAGTGGCTCTACACACAATAACACATTTGAAGTACCTGGATTCGTAACTGTTGACAGGAAAACTGTTTTTCGTGACTTTAAAGCTCTTCATTGCAGTTGTAATATTGTAGGGGAGACCAGGAACATCTGTAATTCTTTTGACCATTCTCAAAATATTTTTCTCTCCCACAAATTCAGCTTTTCAGAAGCTTCTATTTCAGTTTGCATTGGGATGATCAGACAGCTGATTAGTGTAGGCCTACTCCATAGTCATTGCTGAAAACATAGTGGATAGCGTTGTAGATACTGTTAAGTCATATCAAAAGGTGCTCCTTCTGCTTTGTGGTAGCGGTGTTGAATACAATGCACCCAAGTACTCCACCAACACTCACTATAACTTTAAGAATTAATGTCGAGAAAAAATATATTCAGACCTGGTTACCACTTTAACACCATGCCTTTTGTGAACACAAATTACCCCAATTTCAGGAGTTACACTTAAAGGCAGCATGTGATTGGCTAGCTGGAGCAGCAACAGGAGTGCCTTGTCTAACATTAGACCTTCAGGTTAGAAGTCCGACCAGGTAATGGGACTTGAACTGTCTGTACCCTAAAAAATGATAGCGGTTGTCTCTCTGTGTACCCCATGAACTTGCTTAGCTTGTTACCAAAAGGGCTGACACTGAGATTCATACTATAGGAACAGTATTATAGGTAATCTGAGAAGCTTTGGAATCAAACCCTTGGAAAAAAGGCCCTTGCAGTGTACCTTGAAACTGGTCACTGGCTGTACATACCTACTGATTACACACACGCACAAAAACAAGATACTTACACAAACTTGATCAAAGTCTGTGTTAATGCCTTTAGAGTCAATTTAAAATGTTGAATTCAGATCAGAGTTTTAGCTGTTCTTCTATGCCATCTGTTGTGGGTGTCATCACGACCTGTTTTTGCTCTCCATACTGACTGTTAATGCTATAGCATAGCCTGTTGAGACATGATTGGTCAATACAGACTGGACGACAAATGTACAAAGAACTCAAACCAAGTCTAAGGATACAGGTCCCACAGTCTTTATGTAAATATTTCAACAGAGAATAACTCAGGCATTTTATATATTTATTAGGTGTGACCATGCAAAAGTGAACACGCTCAGATTTTGATGAATGGGGGACTGAGTAGATTGCAGATATACAGAGATTAATTGAACAAGTGCTCACTGTGGCTCAGCTGCTGGTGTGGTATCCCCTCTGGGTCTTTTTTTTTTTTACACCCCTTTGTCTCACCTAATGTCCGGCCTACAACACCATATGAATAGTTAGATGTGACAAAAGCATGCAATGAATCTTTTCTTCTAATCAATGTTAAAAATTTGAGTTTGGATTGAATTTTTTTGTTTTGTATTGAAGACTGGGGTTATATATTGAATCCATTTATTCCAGATTCTGTAACATTTATCTGCATGTTATCTTTTCCATCTGAAATATTTCCAAAACTGTATCATACCAGACCTCAGTGGCTGGAGCTGCTGGTTTCAGCCACTTCCTGGTGATTGAATTCTTACTTGCTGCCAAATGGGCCTGTAACAACTTGGTGTCATTGCTGCTTTTCAAGCTCAAGAGATGCCCCAAATAAAGACCCTCACAACTCAATAGAAGTTTTGCTTGAAAAATTACACTGACGGCTTTGTGAATATCGTTCTAAAAGAGCCACATTATGGGACAGTCTTAGAATATATGTCAGTGATTACTGTCCTCCAAACCACATTGTCTTCAACACTTACTCTGTGCATCTTTGTATTTTTCATAGAATGGTGTTTTAAAATACCGAATAATACTCTCCTATAGCCCTCCAATTTCTAGAGTTGGTTGAAGACCACTGAAACTTGCAGATCTCCTCCCACACCACACCAGAAGGACTAATTCCCACTACCTACCCCTCCCACTTGTCCTTTATGTACCAGGCGGTATCATTTCCAGTTTGAAGAAGGGCACTTTTAGTTGTACTGGTAAAAACGATAACTCAACTGAAGGTATCTAAAAAAAACCTCTACTGTAGGCCACGTTTATCCCGAAGGGTTTGGAAACTTTGTTGTACACTCTTGCCTGTAAATGAGTTATGTAGTTGAACCTTTCTTTATCCATCCTCTATTTGGAAAAAAAAAAAGGCGTAATAAGCACACTATCTAAAAATGCTCAACATACTTTGGATTCTATCTAGATCCACAAATTTCTGCCATGTTTTAAGTGTAAGACCTACCCAGGGATTCCAAGTCTCAAGGAAGTGACGCTCCTCCTTTTCTTTTTCCTAATTGCAGAATCTTATATTGGATTCTCGGTTTGTTGTCTTGGCAAATGAATCTGAGGATCATTTATCCCCTTCTCTGAACTGATTGTCATAAACCTCAACTGTTGAAGAGTTACTCCTATTTATTTTAATTGTTAGATACTTTTAATTGATTTCACCCCTCTCCAGAACCCTGTTGAATGTCTTCAGTAAAGAGGGGATAGTTGTGCTTTAAAACATTTGTGCCACTCAGTGGTAAATCCATCTGAGCTTGGTGACATGCTAACCTTCAACTTGGAGATAGCTATACTAAATCCAAGAATCCAAGAATCCAAGTGTGGGTAGATCTAATGAGCTTAGCAAACTATTCAGAGATGTTGCTTTTTAAGAACAAAACAGAAAAGAAGGAAGATGAATGTAAAAAGGGTTCGTTTTAATTGGATCAAACTGAAGGTGGAAACGGCTAATTTTGAGTGTAAACTTGCACGACACTTCACAAACTGATCGAAAGATGGCTGACACATGAGGGCATACTAGACTTAAGCTGGACTCCTCTGACCACCTCGAACCCTTGCCTTTGTTTCTCTGTTCTTGAGTCATGTAGGTCCCCTGAAAACCTCTAGTCTGAGTTTTTTTTGTCCATTGAAGGTTGGGCTCTCACAACACAAGGCCACCCCACCACACTCACATCCACCCCTTAATTTAGCAGCACCGTCACCCTGTATCTCCTAGATTACTACTTCCCGTAGCTGATTGAAAACAATGTCCCGTGGTCAGGGGGGGTCAGTATGTTTCTGAAACAAAGTGTCATATGGAAGCAGCTATGTCATACGAATGCCCCATATCTCACAGACAGCGCTTTAAAAGGAGCAGTTTCCGACAGCTCCCGTTATCAGAATCAGGTGTCAGGAATGTCAGTCCAATTCCTGACATTCCTACATGAGTCCAGCTGAGGTATAAAAGAGCGCAGAGGTGCTGCTGTGGCATCCAACATCCAACAGCCACCAGGGAAAGACGCCAAGGAGAATCAAGCCAAACATCTCAGCATCTATCCACCGACACCCGGAGCTCAGAGAGAAACATGCATCTGTCCACCATTCCTGTCTGCGGCCTGCTGCTCATCCTTAACCTGCAGCTGATCAGCTCATATCCTGTCAGCACCGGCCTGACTGACAACGACATGGACATCTTAAAGGTGAGTCTACAGACTCTGAAACTTAGGGTTTGGGGAGTTTGGGTCCTTGAGGACATTTGTACTTGATTTGTCCGACTAGTTATTGAAGTTAAGGATTATGAAGATCAGGAATCTTTCTAAAGGGCTAAAATCTCTTTGCATGCAATAATGAATAATGCAATACCAGAAAAGCCTCTAATTAAAATACGCATAAAAGAAGTTGAATAATGGACATAAATTCAATATTTTACATATGACGACTCTAACATGAACACACTGTACAGCCAACATAGAAGGTATTCATTAATCTTAATCACCCAAACCCCAGAGCCTGACTCATATGTTAGATTCTGGTTGATATTTTGAGTGGAAAAAATACCTCACTGTAATAACTGAGGTGTTGAGTTTGATATAAGAGACTTTTTTCTTTTTGCACATTGCAGGTGATTCTCCACAGACTAGAGGAAACCATGTCCGAGCAGACTGATCTGGATCAAAGAGTCCCTTCAGAGAGGGACAGTCTGGACACAGACGAGGCAGCAGCAGATGTTCAGCAGCCTCAAACCGACTTGGATGAGGAGATGATCCGGGAGTTTCTGTCCGCCAAGAACCTGAAGACCGTCCGCAACAATGACTCAACCAGGAGGTCCTCCGGCTGCTTCGGGCGGCGGATGGACAGGATAGGATCCATGAGTTCTCTGGGCTGCAACACTGTCGGAAAATACAGTAAGTTACACAAACTCTGAGGCTCTGTGTTGAAGTAGTTCGACTTGTAAGATCACAAAAAACCAGTATGATAGTCCTCAGGCAAAAATCAAGTGACTCAGACCCAGAGGAGGGTGATGAAAATGAACCTTCTTCTTTAGCTGTATGATGAACTTGATTTTAGTGTACCACTTTATCACAATGTTGTCTTTCTCTGTTTTCCAACAGATCCAAAGTAAAGATGAAGTCTTACCATCTTAATTGTGGAACTGCAACGTCTCTACCAAAGGATATTTTTATTTGAATGCTATTTATTTACTAATATTTATTAAGTTATGTTTGTGGCTTACGAATATATTTATTTAAAATGGATGTAAGACTGTTCCTTATGTACTGTTAAATGTTCTAATAAATGTTTACATCTGCAAGTCAATGTGCATGACTGTGAGTGTTGATTAAGTATTAACATGCATGGATCAATATTCTGCAACCACAGGGAAACAAAAATACTATGATTTAAGCAAGAGCAGCCAATTCATGCATTTGTCATTTAAGCATATATGAAAACTGAACAAGGTTGTGACATACGAATACAAAAATGACAAAAATATGAATTAAAGGAAAATTACAGGCAATTTTATTAGCAATTTTTCTCCAATATGATGACTGATTATTTTCTAAATACGAAAGGGTACACAGGTCTTTGACACATTTAGAAACAGCAAGGATGGTGAAAACATACTTAAAATGAGTTTTGTAATGTTGGTGAATGAGCTATATTTGATTAAAAGTAAGTCATTCAACAGCACAAGTAGAGAAGAATAGAATTAAAAGTCTTCACTATCAATGCATGTTGAAGGATAAAATGTTTTGTTTCTCTGTAACAGTAAGAAAAAGAGAAATATTGCACATTGAGGTAACTGCACAAATATTGTCGCTGCACACAGGAGGTTGTTGCACCACAGATATTACAAAAGATGTCTATAGCTTCGTTAGTGATGTTGCACATGATATTTCATACATCATAATAAATATTGCCCATGAGATGTTATGACAGCAACTACAGGCATGATGCATATGATTACAAGGTGCAAGTCCGACATTTAATATACCTTCATTTGTGTTATTCTTGTGACTTACACCCCAAGTTAAGCATTAATAAAATATGAAATGAAAACCCTCATGAAGAGCACACTTATCTTCTCAATTCAGTGTAAAACAAAAACAAGAACTGGACATTTGTACAAATTTTTCAACTTGGGCTTTGAATGCATAAGGTGAATCACTTGTATATCCATCTTCATTGATGCCTCCTGCAGGATTACTCCCTGCTTGAGGCATTGCATCATTATAACATAATGAAGTTAATAAATTTCACTTGGGTTCTGTTTAGGGATTTTAAAAAGATAATACATATTAATAAAAGTGCGGCAGGTATATCTTCTTTTGTCTTACTCCAGAGTGTGAGTGATTAGCTGCATACTGAGACGGTTTAAGTGGTGGTGTTCACAAACACTGTAAAAAGAAAGGAAATTCAATCATTTTTAGACATGTCAAATCACTGATTGCAGATTCTGCACTGGTCATAAATAATAATTCCTAACTTGGTTTTGCAAGAAATATGCAGTTTTTATAACTGCATTTTTGCACCCTTTGTCTGTGATGCTGCTGTGACAAAAAAATTTCCCCCATGGGGGATCAGTAAAGGAATATTCTATTCTATTCTAAATAAAAACATGGTTAAGACTTATTCAAGCTTCACGTCAGTTAAAGTTATATAAGTTAATCTTTGTAAACTCAAGTTCTTGTTTTCATTTTATATTTCATATCTAGCCAATAATATTTGAGACAAAAACAAACAAACAAACAGACATGTACCTTGTTTCTAATTTTACTCAGTTTGGTGGCCCTGTAGGCTTAACATGTTTAGTTGAACACCAGAACCGTACCATCAAATACGTAACCATGTCTCAAATTATTAACTATTTCTCTAAAAAAAAAAAAAAAAAAATTAATCACACACTCTATAAAACGTCCAAATCGTTCAAAAAAATACAAAAATATTTCATATAACACTGAAGTGGTTCAAGAAGAAAATTATATTGAGCAGGAATAAAACATTTTCATACATTTTACAAAACAATATGAAATTTTAGCAAACATTTCTGCAGTATTCAAAGTTTAAATTCCCTTTAAAAATCCCAAATCAGTGCTAATCACGGTCACATGTGCAAACTGGTGGCAGGAAAAGGTGTTTGATTGATGTATCTTTTTACAAATTTCACAAACTGCTTTTCAAACTGAAAATTGAAAAGTGTTAAAAGGTCAATTTGGTTGATAATGCTTTGCTGCAACACTAAAACAGGGATGAATATCTGTGAACTGTTCTGTGGAAGTAGGTCATTGTGTGGTCATTTTGCATGTGTAGTGAGGAGATCCCTCATTGCTCTGTCTAGGTTTCATTGATAAAAATATGAGACCTGTTTTGGGTTCATAAACATCCTTTATCTTTCTTGTACCGAACAGATGTGCACAGAGCTTTTCTAATACTTATTAATGCTTTAAAAGTTGTACGTTTGCTAGAATGTTTCCTTCCGACAGCCTGTCCATCTGGAGCTGCAGTTTTAACCTGATATGGTGTTTTCAGGAGTGCAGACAGTGTGAAGTATTTGAATGTAGCATTCCTGTCAATACACAAATACACACCTCCACTGAGCTCACAGCTCCAACACGGCTCCTGAGGTCATGCTGGCCGGTTACCATGATGATATACACACACACACACACACACACACACACATCAACAACACCAAGCACCACTTCAACAGACATCTGACCAGCTGCCTTATCCTGCAGAGGTGTCAGAATGCTCTTAAGGCGATTTACAAAACGATGAGCCACTGACACTGACTGTTAGCTGTGTGTGTGTGTGTGTGTGTGTGTGTGTGTGTGTGTGTGTGTGTGTGTGTGTGTGTGTATGTGTGTGTGTGGCGGGGGGGTGTATGCGTGTGTGTCTAGCAGGTATATAAAATCATGCAGTGCCATGCTGCAGGATCACAGTTAGCAGCAGAAGGATATGATGAGGGCTGTGGTCCTGTGGGGCCTGCTGGTCCTGCTCTGTCAGCACACTCTGGTGAGCGGCCACGTTCTGGGACGGCAGTCTTCGACCAGCGACCTCTCTGAGCTCAAGGTAGGAGACTATATTAGCCCTTTAGTAATGACACCTGCTCACACAGTGCACTAGAAAGTCAGGTCCATTCACAGTAACAGACAGGAAGGTGTTTTGATGATATCAAACCCATAACTGCTACAGCAGTCTTAATGCAGATAGTTTTATTCTGGATTGTCCTGGTTTTGAAACACCTCCACACAGAGGAGGTAAAGCAGGGCTGCAGCTGTTTCTGAGGACATCAAGGTCATGACCTCTGCACCTTCTTCAGGGCTTTTTTTGAGTGCACATCCTTTTCCACTTGTACCATAACCTGCTAAAACTCTTAAAAGCTCCCGAGGTGAGCTTTTAGGTTGTTGCGAAAAACTGATGCCTAATATGAAATGTTGAGGCAAACAAGAGCACGAAGGGACAGGATTATTTTTTTCTACTAACATTGTTAATGTCTAATTTATGCAAATAGGAGGTTAGCAGATGAGAGAAGCCTGTATAACAGCCTTTTTCTAAATTTAAGAATACAAAAAAAAAAAAATCTAATAAAAATTTAAAAGAAAATAAACAGCAATTCTAGCAAATAACTGAAGCTTCTCATGAAGAGGACATATCTGAGGAACTTGTTTTTAACTGGACGGTATCATATGAATTCATATAATAATCTCTTATATAAATGAATGAAATGATACAATACAATACCAGAGAAAACTAGATACAATAACTTTTATTTATGTAACCTCTGTTAAAACGAGTTTACAAAGTGCTTTGACATACAGATAGGAGTACTTCTGAGAACAAAGCTTAAGCACAAAAATCTCCAACAGTTTAACCCATACAAACATAATAAAAACAACACAAAGACAATGTCCTGGCAACATGAGAATCCAAAAACAAGAAACTGAGCTGAGACCAGAAGGACAGAGGGAAGAAGGAAAGGTAAGAAACAATAAAGAGTATGGAATAAAGGAGCAGTGAAGGGAAGTAAAAAGCTACAGAGGTAAAAGCAATACAGAGAGAGAGAGACATGTTAGTTTACAGATAATAAAGCAGTGAAAACATGTTAAAACAGATTAAAAGAAGCTGAAAGGCAATGACAGGAGCTAGGAATCATCATAATGATAAAATACAGTTTAAAATTAAATAAATAAATAAAGCAACAAATCTGATGAAAAGCCATTAAAATGAAGTAATTAGAGTATGGATTAAAGGCAAATAGATGATACATGCAAATAGATCACTTAACATTATAAAGAGTTTTGAGAGGTCATTTAAAGATGTGACCAATTTTGTGAGCCATATCTCCTTACAAAGGTGATTTCAAAGTTGAGGGGCCTTGATGGGAAAAGTTTGATCAACCCAACTTTAAATTGTAGCTTAGAGCCAGATACATGCTTCAAAAGTGATCAGTAAAATATGGATCCACATGGTATGATATATATAATGATATATAATGATATAAGATGACCCAGTGTAGTACAGATCAGTACAGTCGATTAACATGACCCTTTTTTTAGTAATACCCTGAACATTTAGGCCTGGACTGTATCAGAACAGCATCTGAAAACAATGAAAGAAAATTTTTGGAGGCTATTAAACATAGTGTTCAACAAGCCCAAACTTCCATCTTTGCCTTCATTAGATTGATATCCAGTAGGAGAACTTTTTAAAATCAGCAGTAGTTCAGGTACAAGTCCAAACCCGTTTCCTTCTCTCCACATCAGTCTTTGCTGCAGCGTTTTGAGGAGACTCTGGCTGAAGCGGTCCAGGAAGAGGGGAGAAACTCTGAGGCGGATTATGAGGGAACAAATCAGGTGCCAGAGCAGAGCCAGACCGGCAGAGGGTGGAACCCGGAGCAGGAGGTGGACCAGGAAGCTTTGATACCAGAAAGATCTGAGGGTCCCAACAGGACAGCAGCAAGTATGAGGAGCCGCCTGCAGGACCTGCTGCTCACCGCCAGGAAGAAATCCTCCTGTTTTGGAGCCAGGATGGACCGGATAGGAAACTCCAGTGGACTTGGATGCAACAACGGAAGAGGTGAGAAACAAAACTAGACCAGAAGCCACTGTGTTTTAATCATGAGCCTGAGAGTATAAGACAGTTAATTTTGCAGTAATAAAAATGCAAAGTGAAAAAAGTGCTTTATTTTAGATAAAAATGCAAAGAAACAAGTTTCTTGTGGCATTTCCAGCATGTGCTAGACTTTCAAATAAACATCAGATCCAAAGTTTGTGACGGCAGAGCTCTCTGAGGTCCTTTTGAGAACAGACAATAATATGGAAGAGTCAACTAAACATGTGTTTTTAATTCCAAAACAGAAATTTACCAATTTTTTAAAGGAAACATTCTTTTTAATATCAAGATTTGATTTATTTATTTCCCTGTTTGTCTTACATTACAGTCTGTTGGAGCAGCTGTAAGTTAACTAAGTCAGTACTTTGGTTGCATCTCCTTACATGTTTGAATGCAGGAACCAAACAGTTTTCTACTTCTGCTTTTTCTTTCAGTGTATTTTTGAGAACAATGCAGGAACCTTTTAATATTAGAGAAAACTTGCAGAGTTCTCAGCTGCCTTACAGCCATGACAATCTTATTTTAGGAAAAACTGTGCACACAAAACACAAGCCTGGTTTAAATCTTACCTCTAGAGTATGCTGTATAAAAGCCAATACTTTAAAAAGATTAACTGACAGCACAGAAGACTGAGATTCTCTTTAGAAAAGGACCAAAAGCATTATAAGGACTTTTAAAAACTTAATTTATACTTTTCTTTTTGCACAAACACAAATATTAAAACTCGAATCAATCCCCCACACATCCAGAAAGTAGGAAACAGAACCATACAAGGAACAATTGTAAAATCTTAATACTACAGATGATAAAAAGATAAAATATCTAAAAGTTAAAAAGAAAAGTGGAGAATGCTATTATTTTAACTCTGGGACCTGCTTTTCTCATGCTGAAGTGCCCTTGGGCAAAACACTTGACCTCAAAACCTCCACTGCTGGCTGTGGGATTAGTTAATTCTGATGGCTACTTTACATAGCAGCTTCTGCCATCAGTGTGTGAATACAACCTGTAATATTAAAGTGATTTTAACACACAGAAGAAAGAGCTTCATAAACGCAGCCCATTTACAGCTGATGAAGTTAGCTTCATATTGTATTATGGGCATTTTTACAGTTGTCCCTTCAGTAGTACCGCTCTCCAACATGACTTTAAACTTTGACAAATGAAGACTGTGATACAGAGCTGCTGAAGTCAACAGCAGCAAAACATGGTGAATATTAATTAATTATCCATTCCTGATCATTACGTTAAGCTGTATTAGCAAAAGAAAAAGAGAAAACAATAACCAAATAAGTATTTATAAAAATGTAATTTCCATTGCAGTGATGTTGGCCACTCAATCTAGTCTGCAGATTTATCTATTTCAAATAACTGAGTTTAATTAAAGGCCAAAGCAGTTAAATACTGTTTAACACTGATTTCTGTGTCGTTTCTTTTCAGGGTAATCGGACAATTTCCAGTCTCTAAATGAAGACACAGCAAACCTGATGGGAAATGTTTGGATCTATATTTGTAAAAGTTTTTCTGTTAAGTCTGTTCTGCAGTTTGTCAAGTGTAATAACCATTATCACTGTGTTTATTTAATTCTCTATAAATGAGTTAACTTCATAACTGCACGATGGTTGCTAACAAAGACAAATAAACTTTTTTTTTTCATATGAGGAATTCTGTCATTCTTGGAGTATATTCATGTAGCAGGAGGGGTGGCTGGGTTTGGGTTTAACATGGGAAGAGCTGCAACCACTGGAAGTAAACAAATGTGTTGACTTGGTTTAAAAGTTTGAGAATGCTAATTAAAAAAATTCAGTGAGTAGCAGGTACTGAAGCAAAGTGTTTCAACCTTACCTGGTCTCCCCTATGGATAACTACAGTTGTCTGCTCATGTCTGTAAAATACCAGCGATATGGAGCCAGGCTATGACGCAAATATTTGTAGTGACACTTCGAATTTGTTGTTAATGGTACAGCAGGGTTTCCCTTTACTGGTTGGAGAGTTGAGGGGAGGTGGGGCATACAGTCATTGAAAGTCTCATCAGACTAAAAACTCATTATTAAAATGTTTACTGAGGGGACAAAGTCAACAAAGAGGCAGTCATTTTCTATTGCATGTCTATACCATCGGTCTGTCTCATTGGATCAGGAGCTGGAACTTTATTCCTGTTAAGCCGTCAAATATCAAATAAAAGTGATTATTAAGAGAGAAAGTGATTCATACAGGAAACATGGCCATGATTCAACCATCAGATACTGCCCTCTAACTGTATCTGACAGGTCTGCTGCTCTGAGACGTCACTGTCACACTCCTCTGTCCTCTCACATTAAAGTGATCAATTAAAATCCAGAGGAGGTTTTTACCTGAGGGAAGCTGACAGACAGACTGCTGCTGAGTTGACGCAGCTCAGACTGACCTGAAGACAGTACATACTGACTTTATGAGGCTTTGGGGAACAAACTGGGCTCAGCAGAACTCACAGTCAGTTTGATCCAGGGAAGAGCACAGGTGCAGGTCCTTTTTCCCACACTGACCTGGAACTTTTTCAATTAAGTTACAGGATTAAAGTGACAACCTGAGGCTGATCTGTCAAAGCAGACCCCAAACTCTGATATATTTTTTTCTCATATACCATGCAGCGAAGAAGGTGACTCTTGGAGGAAGGGGGTCAAATATTAGACATCTTACTGAGTAAACTCTGTGCACTGGATTTTCAACAAGGATGTGCTAATAACTAAGCACAAATGTATTCAAAGTAATTTTCAAACACACAGTTAAAAGGTACTCGGTTCAGAGAGTGTGCTAGTTTTCTCAAACTTTCACAGATGTGGCTCTCTGTAGGAAAGCAACACATTCATTCATATCACAGAGCGCCCCCTGCTGGCAATTCACCTGTTTATGGTAACAAAATTGCACTCATTGATTTTTTTTTTTTTAACAAAAGGTATTGTTCTTTCATTTTTAATTTCCATTGAAGTATGTTTATGATTGTCAAGAAACCTCGCACCTTAAACTTGTCACATACTTTCTTCCTCTTCAGAGAGAAGAAGCTGCTGCGGCTCATAAAACAAACAAAACACATTTATTTGGGCATTTCATGGCACATTTTTGATAACACATCTGAACATATTAGCCATATAACAAGCAAAATTAATGTCATCAGCCCTTCGTTCCCAACTCTTGTAAACCTAGTTTCCAAAGTTTGAAAGTAAAATGTTGTCCCATTCTTTCCTGATGGAGGATTTCAGCTGCTCAACAGTTCAGGGTCTGCTTTGTCTGAGTTTTGGTGTCATGATGCTCCAAATGTTTTCAATAGGGGACAAGTCAGGACTGCAGGCAGACCAGTTTATCAGCAGGACTCTTCTACTACAGAGCCATGCTGTTGTAATTCCTGAAGAATGTGGTTTGTCATTGTCTTGTTGAAATATGAAGGTCTTCACTGAAAAAGCCATTGTCTGTTTGACAGAATAGACCTGTAGTCATAAAAGAATAAGAATAAAACTAAAGCTAATGCTCTCCTTTTCATTTCCTGGGTTATCTGGTAAGTATGTTTATAAATGTGTTCATTATCCTGTCAGTTATTTTATGTTAGTATTTATTATCCAATAGTCTAGTCTGATTCAGAGGAAGAATTAAAATAGTTCGTTCACATTACTCTTAAAACTCCCATAATCTTTTGGACTGTGTGGTAGAAATGATTCAATGGCGACATCTGGCGGTAGTGTCTCTGTAACGACACCCACCACACCATTCCTTATTAGGAATTCTGAACATTTTGACTTTGTTATGTCATGAAGTTAAAGTTTTTTATAACAAACTGTAAATTGATACGCAGTATAAAACTTTAATGCAAATAATACGATTCGGCATACTTTATACACACACTAAAGAGCGTTTTAACTCTTTTTGAAACACTTTTTATGTATTATCCTTGTTCCTGTACATCGAAAGACATGGTCATACTGCTTCTCTTTAAGCAGATCTCACGAAAAGGCCCAAACTATCGATCTTTGTCAGCTGGGACTTGATTTAAGCTTAAATATCTGTCTCTCCGCAAGTTCCCTGTCAGCTGAGCCTAAACACCGGTTCAGTCTGCTGATACAGAGTCTAATCTCCGCCCAGCACTACAGCCGGCTCTTCCTCTCCTTCTCCTCTTCGTAGTAAACCAATCCACTGCTCCACTTTTGCAGTAGGAGAGAGCGGGACGGAGAGAGGAAGAGGAGGAGGAGGAGGGAAACACAACAGGAAAACCCCGGAAAGAAGAAGCCTGTTTTTGGGAGCCTTGTGTTTGACCTGAACCGTGTTTTTGGTGTAGGAGTACGGAGGAGAAGCGGGAGGACTGCCGTGCGTAAAACCTGAAGGAGAAGTACGAGGAGATGAGTTGTAGAGCTTCATTGGCGGGATACAACTTCTTTCTTTGAGAACTATTCTTTTTTTTCTGGGAGTGTCAGACTGTGCCAAACTGTGGATTAATACATCTTCAGATCTATGCTGAGTTTATAAATGTTATCCAAAGTGCAGGTAAGTGTTTGGTTTTTACACGGAGACTGTTTGGATATTGATGCGTTAACAAAAATCAAAGTTTCAGTCCAGCTGAATTTCCCTGTTTACTGTTAAAGGATTTATCACTAGACTGTAGACTAAATATTGATTTCTAGGAGGTTCCAGGCTGAGAAAATCGAAATGTGCTTCACAAGCATGTCACTAGCCTCGCCTAAAGACGTAAAAGTTTTACTATTTCACCTTAAAACTTGTTCCTTTCTTTCAGCTACACAGGTCAATATGATTAAAGGCATTACTGATGCCTTCAAAGACAAAGAAAACAACACAAAGTTACACAGTTTCTCTCCCTTCAAAGATTTTGGTCCACATCAGCACAAGGAAGCATACTAATAAATGGACTAAAATCATTATTATTATTTAGAGGTATCAAATTGTCCATGAAGACAGAGAAAGACAGCATGCATGTTCTAAATCACCATACAAATCATCTGATCTATATCCTTTATACTAAAAAGAAAAAACATACACTTTTTACAAAAATAGCATGGAAATGCATCCTGGTTGTCTTTGCAGACCACAGGAATGAGAAGAATTAGAGGACTGTGTGGTGACAGCTACCTGACAGTGAGCATGACCTGCTGACAGGGACAATCAGGTTTATAAATGCATGTGACCTTTTAAAGCAGCAGCAGAGGTGTGTCTGCAACCATATAACCTCCAGAACAGACTGTTAGTGCTGTTCACTCTGCTTCAGGGGGGAACAAACCTGCAGGTCATCTGCACAGGGCAATGTTCACTTGTTGGAGAGTTTGTTATACGGTGTCAAGCTGCCCGTATCTCGGTGCAGGAGTTAAAGCACAAACTTAAATGGATAATTCTCTGTTGTTCTTCAGCTCTCATTGTGTCTGCTGTGGGAAATGTGTAGTTGGCCATATAAGTACAACAACAACAGGAAAGCTCATCAAGTGGCCAAAATTGAAACACCCATAGACTGTATGCAGTATACATGGTGAGCATAACCTTTTTTATAAAGTGTAGCCAAAGCAGAAGAGCGTTAAACCTGCAAATTATGTGAACACTTGCAGGGGGCAGGTCTACATGTTGCAGACATGTACTAACCGGGGAGTCTAGACCAGATGGGAACCTCGCTGAATAACCTGGTCAGAGCTCTGGAGAGCAGAACCACTACACATGAAGTTCCTCATCCAGTCATCCAGGCTTGATAGCTGTGTCAGAGTGGAGCACAGTGCCTGCAGTAGACAGTAGAGAAAGAGAGGCACTGTTGACACCACTTCAAGGTTCTTTGGTCGATGGAAAGTACAGTCTTCACCACAATCAAGACTAGCAAAGACCAGCATGTCCCTGAACAGTACATCACCTTCCTCAGGGCAGGGGGGACACTCCAACAATCCCACTCCCCTGGGGGGCCTTTTGAGACTGCTGGGGTTGGCAGCTTTTACACTGACCCAGATCAACTCAAGCCTTTAGATCACATTAGACTACCCTCAGGTGTGCAGTTCACATCTCAGCCAACAGAACAAAACAAGTAATAATGATGGCATCATGGGAACTTTTTTTTACATTTATTATATTGTAAGGGCATCCAGAGGGTCTTTTGGAAAACATATGATATATTGGAAAGGCATTCAGAGGGCACTTTTTAAACTTTTTTTTTTACATTGGGAAGGCATCTAGAGGGCCTTTTTGAAAACACATATTAGATCAAAGGACATCCAGGAGGCACTTTTTTAAACATTTTATACATCTGAAGTAGGAAACAGGGATACGGGCTGAGAACTTTATCACGATAAGATTTGCCATTCTGGTGATAACAATAAAAGTCCAGATAAAAAAATATTATAATTCCAGTCTATATTTGTGACTTATTTTGTCTTGAGAACACCAGTTAAAATAGTCAAATAAGATACTTGACCACAAGTTTGAGTGGTAGGTTATGGAGAGAACTAATGACATCAAACAAGTCTCAAATGTGAAAACATTTTCAACATTTGTTAAAAACTGTAACTGCACAGAGTGAACAGCAGCAGATCCTCTGTCTGATGTCAGGCATACCTGAGTGCACTCATCTAAACCTCATCCTTGAAGGTAATCCATCATGTGGAGCCTCGTTCAGTAACAAGCTGCTCAGAACCGTCTTCCTCATTACCTTCTGCCGTGTTTGTTTGTTGTTTTGACCTGTGTGGGCTATGGCTGTGAGTCCATCGCTCATGCTTATGTCATCAACTTGCAATTTATCATATTTGTCATGAGATGGCAAATATTTATCATGGAGGTTTTTTCTGATGAAATATTGTGAACAATAATTTTCAGGGCACTCTGTTATGTTTCATGTTTTAGAAAAGCAGCTATTAAAGCATGTTTTCATGAACATGGCACCAATACAGTGTTTTATTAGATTATTATTATCTTTTTAAAAAAACTTTAGGAGCTTCTCTCGTCGCTGTTCCTCCTACACTACCACCCCCAGGAACAGATTCTACATTGACTTTTTTCATGTAGTTTTGAAGAGAAAATACCACTCTATAGAAAAAAAAAAAAGGTGTAGAAATCTTCTTTGGCTCTTAGAGAAACTTTGATTTCACTGTAAAAAGACTTAATTCAGTGCTCTGGTGGGTCCAATTTAGTTTTGTTTATTTCTGTGTTACCCAATTTTTTTGTTTTGGCCGTGTGACTGAAGGAACCACCAGCTGACTGTGTCTTCCTCGGGCCTGATCCTAAAAAGAGAGACCAAGCATTCATCAGCTCAGAGTGAGAAATTATGCAAAAATGTGCCTTCATCTTGTTTCCACGTTTGGCTCTGGGCTTTAACTGAATGCTGTCATGGCTGTGGGAGTCAGTAGATCACTTTCTGAAGACAATCCAGAGGCTGTTTTCTCATCAGGGCTCACAGCTCGCCTCTCTGTGTCCTTTCAGCTGCAGGCCCACGGTGTCTTCTTCAGAATGAGCCTTTTTTCATTCAGCCTCCTGAATTATTCATCCAGCCAAGTTTTAATTCAACTCTGCACAAGAGGGTGTTTTTCTCAGCCTCTTTATTTGAATATGAACATCTTTACATGCTGATTATGATCATCAAAAGACCAGCGTTAGTTATGTGGCAGTAAGAGGAAGGTCCTGACCTCAAGTAAAACACATTTACACAAAAATTCTCCTTTTTTTGAGTCATTACGAGGCGAGCCCAAGTTTAAGTGTCCCGTCACCTGCTTGAGTAACAATTTGGGAGAAGACACGTCTGGATTTGTCGTACAGGAATGTAACATGCTGCCTCGGGGTAAATGCAGCAAAACACAGCCACTGGTCCACATGGTAAACACCGGTTTCCAAAACGTGCTCTTTAATATACCTGTGAGTCAGCTCACCTGTATGTGGGAGAGATTCAACTGCTAGATGAAAGAAATCACTCACCTTTCTGAGGAAAATGCTATAAAGAAATTATGCTTTATCTTATTAACTCAACTGAGGTCACTTTTCTGTGTTTGAACTTGAGCTACGTTTAGCATTTGATGCTTTTTTCCAGATAGTCTTTGCCTTATTTCCTGCTTTTTTCTCTAGATGCCAATGTTTCAGAAATTCAGAATTGGTGCATTTCTCTTTTACCCTTTACCTGTTTTTGTCTTAGCTCCTTCTCTGTGGCTCAGAATCGCATCAGATCATGTGTGTTGTGATGTTTACTTTGAGGATCTCAGCTCTCTGTATTCAAAGCACAAAGCCTGAGCATTGTTAGTTTGTTAGTCACTGTAGCATGCAGTGACTGGAACGTGCCGTTTACTGTAAAATGTCCTGTGTGACAGAACTGACTCACATGGATCAACATGTGCCGTTTGTTTCTCATACGAGCCCTAACACCTGGAATCATCAAATTTAGTTTCATTTTAGAGGATATCTGCAGATTAAACTCCAGATTTAGTCATAGTCTGTGTATGATTAGTCTGTAATAAGGTGATATTTGTGTTCACAGGAGCTGATGTGACCACTGAGGAGGACCCAGAATGAGCTCTCCACTCCCACTTCTCTGTCATCCTGTGGGTAAGTCTTCCTGTGGTTATTTCGATGCTCAACAGATTGAACTTTTACCTTAGCATTGGAAACTATTTGATTTTATTCATACTGATGCTTTTATTGATCCTGGCTGTTGCAGAAACACACATATTTTATCACTGGAAAGCCAGTGGTGTTTTGGGATAAATGGTGTCAAACTATCTGATGACACTCCGGCAGATGTTGTATGTGGCTTTTGAGGACCTTTGTTTACTCTCTGTACAATTTGAAATATAGAATAATGTCACTCATTTCCCTATCATAAAAATTTGTTATGTCCTTTGGGACGTGGACCTGACCAGGAAAGAGTTTGAGTGTCAAAGTAAGCTTAAAGCGAGGAATAAAACAAAAGAAAAAAATAAGTGACTGTACAGATGCCTGTGGCTCGTGAAGGATGACTTTTTGTTGTCTTTTTTTCCCTCCAAAGTTACTCTGATTTTTAGATTCTGTGACCAATACTTGCAGAATTTGGGCTTTTAACCTGAAAATTTTAACTTGTCACTTCCACCTGCTGTCTAAACACCCTATAACTGACTGCCCTAAATGAGAAATAATTAAAAGAATATAATATAACCAAAGAAGATGCTACATGACTTTGTCTTATGACTTTCAGTCTGAAGCATTAAAAGTAGGAGACCGTGTGAATTTTTGAAAGACTTAGGATGAAAAAAGGGGATTTTGATTTTACTCCTTTCCCTAAAGTTTGAATATTATGAACTTTTTATTCCATCATGAACTCTGTTTACCCTTTTTTAAATTTGAATATGTTACTCATCACTTTTTGCCATGACTGCCTGCAGCACAGACACACTGCATATAAAGTGATGAGGGGCTGAAGTCGACACATGGACTCAGGCTCAGTGAATATCCTGCGGGGCAACCTGACTCATTAATCCCCTGCTGTTCAGAGGAAAGGACCTACTAGCCTACTGACTGTACGCTGTGTAAGACGGAGCAAGCTTCTGCAGGCCATATGCTGCTCAAGTAACTCTATACAAATCAGGCTGACAGGCTGCATCAGCCATGAGGTGAAATGGTGTAATAAAACACACTATACTGATATTTCATCACTGTAAAGAAGAGGGTTTTTGTGTCTGTAGTATGAGTTCAGTGAAAGACCCAGGTTTTGTGTGCAAAATCAGACAGAAATAAATCGGGAAATTGTAAATGTTGTTCTTTTTTCTTTTCATTATGTCTCAAATGATCTAGGAAAAATGAAATGCATAGAGCACCTTGCTTTTTACTCTTAATATGTTAAATCCAAAGTGTCTCCAAACAGCTGCAACTTCTCATACAGTTGCAGTGAGTCTGGGGATTTTGGAGGCCTTTTCCCAGTAGGTAATCCCTTCCTTTTGTGTATCTGTTGTGTGTGCTTGTTGTGTTGTAATGAGGATTGACAGGTGAAGGGTTAGTGATTAAAAGCCATATGTTTAGAGTGTAATCTCTCCCACTAACAGCTCTCCTTATTGTGGCTGCTCAGAGGCTAATCCTGTGTGTTCAGGTCCTGCTGCTTCACATGCTGCCCCATTCAGCTCACAACAATCTGTCCTCGACCATCTCACAGCGAGAGACGTGAACTCTTACTCTGAAGTTATTCTATAAACTAAAAGACTTAACATAAAACTACTGAAATAGATCAAATGGAGTCCCAAAGCAGAGTTTTTCAATGTAGAATCAAAACAAAAGTACGTCAGTCTTCACAGCATTAGTTTGTAGTTAAACTCCCCAAACAGGCATGATAGTGTTCAACCATGTGACCTCACTCTGACGACTGTGGTTCACCTGAAAGTTGCTCAGCAGCATATTTAGCAGGTGTAAAAAAAATGGCACAGCTGACTTATAGTGAAAGCAACACTTTGTTTCCAGTCTGTTGAGCTACAGTTGCTGGAAACTGGATGTTTAGTGTCCCAGAATGCTTAAAATTGCAGTTCCTTGTTTGGCCACTTGAGGCTGGTTTCAAAAGTGAGTCAATCCCCAAAGAGCCCCATAATAAAACTCACAACTCTATGGCAACTATAAACAGCCTTAAATATATAATAAGTCATGGTCTATGGCTTGTTTACTTGTGTCCTTATTTGTTGGGGTTGAATTTTTTTTATTTGAGAGCTGGTGTTGTATTTATTTGAGGTCACTTGACCTGTTAGCTATGCCAAAATATGGTCACCGCTGGATTTAAAAAATAGATGGTGATGACCAAAATGATCAAATTTAATGCATCCAAAGAGCTGTCCATAAACAATAATCAACTTTGTCCTCTTCTTGTACATATTGTATGCCTGTGAATTGGCCGAAATGAACAGTTATCTTTGTATTTTGTTGAGACAGTTTACTTACTGTTTCTTTGGCCTCTCCTAAGATCCAGATGCAGTTGCTCAGTCACTTCACTCTGATCTTTTAGGAAAGAAATTCATGATTTATATCCTGACACAGTGTGTGGAAAGTTACCGTCTGAACTTTACACCTCCCCACCATGTGTATGAGTGTTTCTCCTCTACTCTGGACAATAAATCCTTTTAGTTGATTTACAGTCTCTGCACTCCAGCAGTCCTGAAATAAAAGCTAAATGCTACCTCTGTAAAACCTAAGATAGAGTTTGTTTTGATGAAACAAGTTTAGCATTTGGTCAGTAATCTCTCTTTTCTATTTCCAGTGCCTCTGCCTAATGGGACGTCACACCCAGAGGAGGATGAGGATGAAGAAGAGCAGGGAGAGAAGTTTGAGTTTGATGATGAGGATGACATTGGACCCTCAGAGACGAGTCCTGACACCCTGATGAAGAATGAGTGGACTGCTGAGACAGAAAAGTCCAACCTAAAGAGTCAGGATTTGAAAGAAACAATCAGTGCAGTGCAGAAAAACCCCTCTCTTTACCCACAGCACTGCTCTGGTGAGTGCAGCACAGGTAAAGTTTAAAAATAATAAGATTGTATACTTGGGAAGATTGCATTATGACTTTCTTTTTTCTTTTTTTGACCAGGTATGGAGGTCAGAGAATCACCAGAGGGGTAAGTTCAATAAGTTTTCTCAATACTTAAAGGATGTTTTCACCTCACTAAAATCCCCAAACCAAGTGTACCAATATAGACTTTTACATTTGTGTAATACACTTGAGAAAGAAGGTTAGATTTACTTCCCTCAGTCAGTTTTTTACTTGTGAAAACTTAAAAATTGATGTATAAGGAGGAATGCATGCAGGCTCCAGTTTATGCCTGTTAAAGCTGCCAATCTAGGCATGAAGCTAAAATAATTTGACTGTACCCGGATCTTCCTTCATGCTGCAGAGCCTCAGGCTATAAAACAAGCATTTACCATCTTCACCTAAACCAGTGTGACTGCATTATGCAGGAAAATAGTAGCCTGGCCGGCCCATCCTGTTGTGTGAATCACTTGATGTTCCTTCCCACCACAGTCTGGACTTCGGCCCATTGGGAGCGTGTATTCCCGATCAGAAAATAACCGGGCCAATCAGAGACCGTGTTTTCACTGTTACCCGGACAACAGGGAAAGGCAGCCCCTGATTGGTCCATGTACTATTGTAACCAATCACTGTAACCAAGCATCTGTGATGATGTCAGATGCTTGGTTACGGTGATTGGTTACAATAGTCTGTCTATCAAGGAAAGTACTCCCGCCCACTTTCAGGGCTTCCAATGAGCCGAAGTCCAGACTGTTGTGAGAAGGAACGTCAAGTGATTCACGCAACAGGATGGCCCGGCCAGGCTAGGAAAATAGCACTCTCAGCTGAGCTTGGAGTTAGCTATAATATTTATAAATAAATAATCAAGAATAAAAGAGAAAAGCTGGTGTGCAGATTTCTGTTTCATGATTTAAGTGGATAAGGTAACAGTAATTTGGATTTGTAAGCACCTTGTTAAATGTAGTGATATGATTTGGCTTAAATGCCATGAGTAATTACAGGTTTTGGCTTTAAAAGAAGTTGAAACAGAAAGTAACCTACAAACAGACAGGAAGACCAAACATCCGAGGCACTCTGCAAATCTAACAGAAGATGGCACTAAATTCCTACAGGTACTTGAAAAGTTTGTGTACAGTAAAAGTGCAAGAAGTGCAGCTGGATGTACAGTGGAGTTATTCAGATGTTTGTGTTCACGCTGGAAAGGTCTGCTCGGAGTCTATTCAAAGTTATTGTGAAGAGTATAAGTTTAATGAGATGACTCATCATTGAAGGTCAGTCTCACAGTCCTTTAAAAGCTCAAACCCTGATCAAAATTTCCAACCATATCTGATTCTGGAGGCCATACTGTGCATGAGGGCTGTGGTGTCCTTAACTTTCTGATGTATGTTGTCAATTGTACAGAACATGTATCATATTGTATAACATCCTATCAGTTCTTATCATATCATATCATCATATCATCATATCTTGTAAACCTTATATCAAATCTGGCATTGTATCGTATCAGGTTGGATCATAGTGAGTCATATTATAAGGTATCGTATTGTATTGAATCACAGCTTTTCATATCATGTCATGTTTCCTATTGTATTTTATTCAATATTCTACCTTTTCCTATTAGAGTCTTATGCTGTTTTGCCTTTTATCATACTGTGTTGATTTTTACAAACTGATCACATTTTTACTTATTGTACGATACGATTTTTTATGATACGATACAAAACAATACAATACGATACATGTTATTGTCCCCTTAGAGAAATTTGTCTTGGACTCCAAGAGCTGCACAGATAAAGCTGCCATTGTATCTTACAGCACCATGTCACAACATATCGTTACTATATCACATCTTAACATATCATATATCATGCTGTTTAAGACTGTACTGAATTAGATTGAATTTTCTTGTATCACATTACCAAGTATCAAAGCGTAATGCCTCATTTGATAAGTTAGCTTATTTGATCATATCGTAGCAGCAGCAGTCTCTTAGATAAATCATAGCACATTGTATTGTTCCCTGTCATATCTTATCTGGTATCATATTGTGACAGGATGACAGATGCCACTTACAAAAGCAGAAGTGCAATGTCACATCACAAGATGTTTACTAAGCTATTTATCATGGGTATTAAACTCATACGTGGGGGGTACAACATGATCTGAAAGTTCATGTCCTGTTTTTTCAGCTGTCTACTTCCAACATTTGAAAATGTGAGGATTTTTACAGATGTATAAAACATCCCTGACTTACTTGTTGCACATACTAGTGAATCTGCCACTTACTACACAGACATCGTGTTGTTAGTGACAAAGGTCCGGCCGGGCCTGTGGATTTTTTATTAGTGTCACCAGACTGTGACTTAACCGACTGTCTTTCAAATGTGCAAACGTCATCATCCCTCATTATAAGCAAAAGCTGAGCTCAGCAATTTAGGAGGAGTTCCCTGGAAATAAAAGTTGAGCAAAAAAACAGATTTACTCAAAAGATTAATGCCAGAACTTAAAACCATACTTCAGGTTCCTAGAGGTTAAAATCTCTGTCCTAAATGCAAAAAAAGCATCTGGCCTTTGCATCTAACCTTTAAGTTGCACTGCGAGGTAAATTTTTAGATCGTAAAGAAACCATAGGATACTGAAAAACTGGTCCGACAAAAGGTTTAAAGGGCATAAAAGAACTTTTGACACTAACAGCTGACTGCAGCTGTAGATATTTTGGATTATAAATATAAAATGTTTAATTCTTTGTTGCAGACGCTCCATCTCCTCTGATCTGGGAGTGACGGCAGAGTCTGAGAGTTTCTGGAAAGCAAGCAATATTTATGAAGGTAAGACACATGAGGAGCAGCTGAGTCTGATCTGATGGTTTTCTTGAAACTGTACTGAGGATGTTTTTTTTATGTTTGGCTGCTTGCATTGGGACAGCACAAGCATCCCATCGAGCTAAGGAGTGGCTGTTTGTGGTGTCAGAGCTCACTCTGCGGTTAAACAAAGGTATTCTACCTGACCCTGTAGTCATAGCTTAGAGAGTAGGTAGAGCAGCAAAGGTGAGGTGCTGTGTTTCGGTGTTTCCTACCTTTTGGTAAATGGATGTGTTGTGTCCTCAGTGTTGATTTGGATTAGAAATCCTAAGTTGTGTTTTTGCTGCAGTTATTTTCCATATAAAGGTTTGCCTGTTTCCCTGCATGTTCTCAGGATCCATGTTGCTTGGTTTGGTTGCACATAAACTGATTGAAGATACAGCGTCAAGTCCTAGAAGTGTTTGAAAGATGCCCACATAGCTAACAGCAGGCTTTGCCCTCTCGAACCTCTGTTAGAGGCTATCTTGGTTCAACTTGGGTTTGGCTGAAAGCAGTCTGACGCAGTCTGAATACAAAACTGATGCACCCCCTCAGTCCATCTAAAAGTATGGCGGTAAAAGGGAGTTCCAGGGTCTTAGGTATTTCAGCTTGAATTAAGAAAACTGTATTATTTAATAGATAATGATGGCCTTCTCTACAAACACATAAATTTGGCCTTTTTAAGTAGCGATTGAAAAAAAGTAATAGTTTTTATATTTGGATGCATTCTCCCTAACGGGTGTGGTGCACCCCCAAAGATGTTCACATTCATGCTTATAATACAGCTGGACGTGTACGAGAAAACAAGGTCACTGTCAGGAGTCTGTTTTCAAGTATGAAATACCCAAGTATTAAAGTTAGTTTAACCAGTGATATCCATTCAGGTCCTGCCACTGGTTTAGCACTTCAAATAAAAAACAACCCTAAACTGTCCAGGACAAAAGCTCAGAGATTAAAACTCAAGTCATTTGAAAGACTAGTTTTGATTTAAAAGCTATTTCAATGCTCAAAGGAGGAGAGATTTTCTATTTTCATCAACGTTCTTAATTCAGAAATCTTTGTGACCATCTACTGGATGTTTCAATGTCTGTATGACCTAATCTGACACAAAACACACAAAATTACATTTTTGATGGCCGGTCCCCTTTAATCTCATGGCTTCTTCATTCGTGACATGCTATCCTCTAGTTTGCTGAAGGTGGAGGCTTTTTTGTAACCAAGATGATAAACCCTCAAAACCTTTAAAAATATATGAAAAAGACGACTACTCCCCTTAACCCTGTTATGAGAAGTTGAAAAGTTAAAACCTTACATTTGGATTTAAACTACGTCTCACAACCCATTTCAGGAGGAGTTGAGATTATTTTTTTTTTTTACTTTTTACCCTTTAGGAGAAAAAGAGGAAGCTGAGGTGTGAACTTTCGAAAGAGCTGAAGTGGTGTATGAGCTTGTACATTTATATATATATATATTTAGCTTGTATATTTAGCTAAAAGCAGAGGTGTAAGTAACCACCCTCAGTCTCTTCTGCAAGGGTGTGTGTTTATGAAAGTCAGAGGTGTCATCCCAGTTGACCTCGCCCGCCTCTCACTCTAAAGACAGGTGTGTATGTAAGTTGTCTTAAGTTAAATAAAAGTTGCTCAGATGAGTCCTGAGAAAACCCAAATTGATCAAGTTTGTCACAGACCTCGGAGGTGGATGTCTTTGAATATTCTTGGATGTCCTCTGCATGTCCCCAAGTTCCTCTGCTAAAGTAGCTAATTTACTGGATAGCAGACAGTGACACTCACGTGATCTGAAGCTTCAGATTTTTTTGCAGTGAGGTTCATTTGCATATACAGTTTAGCCCAAATGAATGCATAATGACTCTGTTTGATTCCTGCAAACAGTAACAGGATGCTGTTTCATCTTCAATACAGTTTGGGGAGCATTTCCTCTGTTCATGTTTTTAACCCTCCTCCTGTGTTAGGGTCTGCATCTACCTGTTTTTGCTTTGAAATGCTTTAAAGAACCACATGAATGAGCTTTTTCACATGAAGACTTTTTGACTTTGTCAGAAACCTCTATTTCAACAAAATAAAATTAAAAAGATTAAATTGACTAAATTATAAAATTCTCTGATTTAAATTCTGGCACTTGTCGTGATAGGGTCGCTGTTGACCCGGTTAGATTAAAAATCAATGATTAGAGCAAAAACTAAAAACATATGTGCACTGTCAGGCACCACACTGACAGTCAGATTCTCTTCCAGCCATGTGAGATTTAGGAAATTCTAATTTTGCCATGTTTTTCCCTGCACAAAAAATGTCAGAAATGTCCAGACATGTGGGGCTCTATTTTTCGTGCCCGCCGGTGGTGCGGCGGAGGGTGGTGCAACCCGCACAGTGGTATTTTTGTCTGGCGGAGCCCGGCGCACAGCCAGTTTGGTATTTCCGTAGACTGAGGCACGCCAAGGAACGGCAAGCTGGGCATGGTGGTGTGGTAGGGGGAGATGTCGACAAATTTAGCAGGGGCACGAAAATAGAGCCCGTGAGATCAACAATGGATGTCGGTGTGAGGGGTATACTGACAAAGAAAGGCCCAGAGGCCCACAACAAAAAATGAAATAAGCAATATTTTCATGGATAATGACGACTAACAAAGTAACCCAGAGATGAGAACCAAATTGGATGATAGAGAATTGTTTTTAATTGTTTAAGTGTAATTTTCAGCTGATTTAAGACACGGGTCGAAACTGACCCATTAACATAGTGGTTGTGTTGTAAAAGCTAACACAGGAGGAAGATTAAATCAATCCTTGTCTCATGTGCATAAGCTTAGCACGTGCAACAGCTGCAGAAATCATTTGCATCAGCTCTTCTCTTCACTTCAACAGCTTTGACAAAATTTTGGGGATCATCCTCATTAAATGAAATGTCAGATTTTACTTGTGGTAAAGTATTTTTGCACTGTGTCATATAAACTGAAGGATTTGAGCTCTTTTACTGTTTACATTTAATCACAGGCTGCAGATCCAACAAATCACTCAGTCTTTTCAAGCTTTAATATAACCTCTGCCAAAACATCTGAACTACAGCTTGGATTTTAACATGATTCTCAGTGATGTCTCTCACTTTTTACTCTCCCTGCTCTCCTCTCTCCACCTGTGGCTGCCTGATAGTTTGTACCTCAGATCATGTTGAGCTTGTGTGCATAGATATACTCCTTTCTGCAGCGGTAACCTTAAAGAATACCTAGCTGTCCTCATCCCCCTTTAAGCAGTTTTTATCTGCTTGTGTGTACTTGTGTAGTGTTAGTGGGTTTTTGTGTTATGCTGGTCTCAACAGGTCATAGTCGATGTGAAACCTGTTCTCTTGAAGACTCCTGAGTCATGAATTTAAATCAGAAATGTTCCCTGAAGATAGTTCATCTTTTCATTAGAAAATAACTCGGGCGTCTTCACAGGGAGAACATGCAGAGGGGGCATTTCCTGTCAGTACATTTGGTGCTTGGCAAAAAAAAAACCAATAACAACATCATATGGATTACTGCTCCCTAAAACCCAGAGGAAACTTTTTGCCTGTTCTGTTTCATTTCCGTTGCTGTTTCTTAAAACACGCAAGAGGAAAAGAATTATGACATTATATGTAAATCACTAAGAGTAACATAGAGTAACAAGAGTAACTGAGCTTTAACAGAGGCAGACAACATCATTTACAAAGGCTGATAAACTGAAAAATATGCCAGGTGCAAATGAAGTTTGACTTTTTATCAGACAAAACAAGAAGAACAAGAAGTAGAGGAATAATAATGATAGTAATAATGAAAGTTTCAGAAACAGCCTGCAGGCAAAGACTCGATGTTTACCATCATAACTGAAATGTGCTTCGGCACATATTAAACAGAGCATCACTGTGGAGGAAGATGTCAGTGTTTGCAATAAAGTATAAAACTTAAAATGGTGAAGATTGACAGCAGCTTCAAGGAACAAAGATGTTTCAGCCCCAGGAAGAAGTTTCATGACTCACTGCATGACTTTTAAAAGAGCTGCTCAAATACAAGGATGTTTTTCTTGGTTTGAATTATATCGCTGCTTTTTCTCTTTAACTTTATTCCCCAAATTTCAACAATGTAGTGAGCACAACACTCAGAGAATATCTGTATTACTCTCATGAAGCATTAAAAGCATTAATTAAAAGCACGCTTGATGTGGCGGTGATTAACACTTTTAGTCTAGGAGGGACCTTTAAAACTGCTCTTCTGTGTAATGACGTTTTGTAGGAAAAGACTCTTTAACGCCTGAAGGCTGTCAGGATGAGTCCAGCCCGGCAGTGAACGGGTGCAGCCCACAGCCAGACCCCACTGAGGACGAGGAGTCCTCTTCAGTCCATCCTCAGTCTGAACATCACGCAGGAAATGAAGACAGACCAAAAGACGCCAGCCCTGCGACCTCTAGCAGCTCGGATAATGTGTTCAGAGACCCTGAGGTGGTTTATGATGACGTGCCTGCTGAGGGCCTGCAGCACCAAATGGAAGGTGAGATTATTTGTTATATTGGTAGTGTAAAGAAGGTGAATCTAGCCAGTGTGAAAATGCTTCAAAGCTGCACTCTTCCTGATGGTCAGCTCATGGCTGCAAAATAATGTCTGATTGAATACGAAGAAGTCAATAAATATTAGTCAACTTCCTTACCTTAGTTAGGATTTACTTCTTGAGTTTATTGTGATAATACATAGTTAAAAGACTTTAACACAGTATAATTTTTAGGAAGTTCAAGCCCATTTAAATTGAAATACACAACAGACCAGGGAGGATTCAAGGTGTGGCAGCCAGATTAGGTGCTGACATGGATGGATAGAGGTGTAGAAATGTGTATCCACCCTCTGCTACAGATTAAGTCACTAGAAAACACCCAGGTAGAGGCAGAGTCTCCCAGAAGAAAAGATGGGAAGAGGTTCTCCACTCTGTGAGAGACTGTGTGAGCTAATAGGTCAGCAGTTTCAGAATAATGTTCCTGAGTGTCAAATGTGAAAGAGTGAGTGGATTTCATCATCTGCAGAATATAATATCATTAAAAGATTCAGAGAATCTGGAGAAATCTCTGTACTAAAGGGACAAGGACCAAAACCAAGACTGGATGGTCCTGATCTTCAGGCCATCAATGGCTCTGCATTAAAAACAGACAGGACTCCAAACCAAAACCACTTCAAAAACCATCCACAAATGAGGTTAAAACTGAAACATGTAAAGAGGAAACCAGATATGATCCTGATACACCAGTGACTTCTCTGGTTCTGAGCCCGTTCAAGGTGGACTGAGGGGAAGAGGACTACTGACTACTACTGAACAATATAAACAGGTTCAGGAACAACATCTGCTGACGTCCAGACCTTCATATTTTAGCAAGACAAAGACAAACCACATTCTGCAGGGATTACAACAGCATGGCTCTGTAGTAGAAGAGTCCTGCTGATAAACTGGTCTGCCTGCAGTCCTCACTTAAAAAAACTCCATAAACTGGTCTCCTTGGTTCACTAAGGTTTACAGAGTGCTGATGAAACACAATAATAAACATAAGTAGAGCAAATAGAGCAGCTTTATTAATAAAACAAACTCAGCGTAATGCGTTTCTCCTTGTTAATGTTCATCAACACATCCAAATGGTTTTCATTTTATAAACATTATTTTTCTGTTTCATGAATTTTACTGCATGAAGCCGTGTCTTACCCACCTGTCGTCCTTTTTCGGAAGATGTTGATGATATCTACGAGGACATCCAGAGACCTGATCATCACCGTAGCTCCAATGGCTGGAGCTCCAGTGAGTTTGAGAGTTATGATGAGATGTCTGATAGCGAAGCGGTTTCTCCGACACCCAAGAGCAGCGCTACCAGCAAGGTAAACCAATCAGAGATTTTCTCTTGGATGTAAATAACCTGTGGTAGTAGGGATACTCTTTTTGTCACTGTGGCTTGGTGGTTCATTTTTATGACCCACGTACAGAAATTTTACTATGGTCTATATAACAACATGGTCAGCTCAACAGCTACCTAATGTGGAGCGAAAAAAAGAAAAATGAAAACCTAAAAGTCTTGATTTTTTTTCTTATTTCACAAGGTTTTTAATTTGATTTTTATAAGCAATATCTTAAAAGGGGTCATTTTTTGGTTTTATGCAGTAATACTTTTTTGAAGGTGGTCATGTCACTGCTCCACATCATTAGGAAAAAGTCCAAGCCATGTTAAATGTGGGAGTTTTGCATTTTTAACTGAAGGATTTTAAGTTAAAACTTTCTGGTGTAGATGTTTCAAAGACAATGATTTTTTCTTGGAATCTAACTTCCTCTTTTGTTCTTATATTTTCCATTCAGCAGAACTGACTTTATGTGTAAAATCTCTCATGTAGTATCTGTTTCTATCATCTGCATTCACTCATGAGTTGCAGCTCTGCTGCCTGTTGTGAAACATATTGCAGGTTTGCGTCACCTCAGAGCTTAACTGGCTGTGATATTTTTATCCACATGCAGGATGCCGGCTGAGTTATTTCAGTTCCACTTTTCCACTTAGTTTTGCTTTCCATTTATAGCAGATTTCCTGGCAATTGTCTTTTTTGTCATTATTTTTTTTTCTTTTATGACTTCTCCTTGTAATCTTTTACTCAGGAAAAGTTTCTATATGAGATCATTTTCTTTTTGAGTTTAGTTTTTTCTCAGACCGAAAAATATGTAACATTTAGTGAATGGATAAAAAAAAAAAAATCTCAGTGAAACTTAAGCTAAAGCACAAGGGATGCACAGAGTTTGATATTTGCAAATATTTCTCATGCAATATTCTGCTCCTGTACTGGAATTATTATTGAAGTTGTTGAAATTCCCCTTAAATCCCTGCAGCAGTTAATAAATCATATGCTCTCAGGCACGTCTGATCCAACATTTGATTCAGTCTCTAATGAAGTCTTCATGCACCATGAGTGAAGCAGTGCATGTTCTGTGTTTTGAGATGCGGCTTCAGTTTCCCAGATTTAATCCCAGCTCGTTTTGCGGGTTTCTTCGCAGTTTTTTCTCCAAACCCCTTCCTCTTCTTGGCATAAATAAGATGCATTGTTTTTTTAATGTGGATACTGCAGAGAAACTGCAGGTACACATAGATTTAGGTAAAATTCTGCATATCAAACTTTTTAAATTCATTGTGATGGAAAATCGGTAAGTAACATTAAGATTAGGAGAGGTAGAGGTTTATTCTGCAGTTAAGGTTGTAATGAAAAATCCCAATTATCTGTCTGCACTGCTGTTAAAAAGTACATTTTGGTCTCACCTCTTTGGGAAATTACCAGGTTTATTTTCAAGGTTTAAGCCGTACAGTGTGAGAGAAACCTGGTCTGGTGAAAAAGAGGAAGTGATCTGGCCTCGGTGTCTCGCTCTGTCAGCACTTCTGTCTTCTGCTTCTGTCACCGTGTGTCCCTCTGTTGCTGGACTTTCCCCTCTCCGCTCGTGTGTGAGTGTTTTGAAAATGAAACAGATTCATTTAAGTTTGTGGAGATGATCTGAAGCTCGTCTGCAGGAGTTAAGAGTTCTGAATGAAGGGGAGGTCTCAAATGTCCTGGATAAGCTGCTGGATATTTTTGAAGGTTTTTAAGGGAAGAGGATTTACTGGACTACTGAGTTACTGAGATGCAGTGATTTTTGAGGTAGGTGTCATGTCTTTCCAGCTCCAAATCAAGGTGAATATGAGGAAAAGTCAGAGCTGATAATGATTAAATCACCTAACACATCATCTTAAGTCCTAAACTAATAGTTTGAGTGGCTGAATAGAATCGGATACTTGTGTAAAGAGTTTGACCTGGTTGTTTATCGTATTTTTGTGCCTGTTTACTGGATTTTGGCTTCATAGTTTGAGATTGCTTCAAGCAGCAAAGTCTGAACATTACGGTTTGAACACAGTTATGTGTGCAGAGTTTGCTGTTTCAGCTCAGTGCCCCCCTCCAACAGCTAACACAGTGTATTTAGATAAGGTAAAAGTTTGGAGTGGATCGTAGGTTGTGTCATTACTCAATAAAAAGCAACAAGAGCTAAAAACTTACTCTGAAGGCACACTACCATTCAACTTCCTGGTTTTGTGATTGAACTTGTAAAATTGAAGAAAGTGGGTAAAACGTGGGATGAACTCTGGATGGTGTTTGATGCAGACGGCAGCTGTATGTGAGCATCAGGTTTCCTCTGATTCGTGAAGGTCCTGAGGTCTTGTTTGTATGAAGTCCTACTCCTGACAGTAGGAGCTCTCTGGGTTGATAATTGGCTCAGGGTTTACACACCTTGACCACCAGGTAACGTAGAATCTCTCTTTTCTTTCTACCTCTGGTGTTGGACCTCCAGCTGCCTGCAGACGTGCTGAGGCTGAAGGAGCGCTGTGCCGTCACCAGGAAGGAGCTGGCAGTGCGTCTAAGTACTCCTCATGTGGCCAACATCAAACAGAGCTGTGACACTAAGGTACGTTTATCAGTAATGAACATCAGAACCAGCGTCTGAGAGGGGAAGGACTGGTGCAGGTGCAAGCTGGTCAAAGTTTTGAAAGGCCATGTAAGAATTTGGGAAAGAATAAACTGCACGTGGCCTTAAATATCTTTACATTTGTTTTTCAGGTGCAGCAGCTGATGAAAGCAGCGAGGAATGGTACCAAGGACGGTTTGGAAAAGACAAAGTTAGCCATGATTCGCAAAGTGTCGTTCCTGCATAGAAAAGAGTCCACCGGTTTGTGTAAATCATAACATCTAATTTTGACACCGGAAGTTGTAGAATTTTTCTTACACATGCATTGCCAAAGTGAGATGCAGAGAAGTATAAAAGGATTTATAGGAACAAAATTTCAAAAGAATTGCAAACTATTTCAGCTTATTTTATTTTTTTAACATGAGTCTGTGTTCCTCTGATTAAAGTGTTTTTTTTTTTCTTGTTTCCTCAGGTGATGGGAGGGATGATGCAGGTTACATGGATGTGTCTGTGTGTGAGTTAAAACATCCTCCTCCTCAGCTCTGCCCCATGCCAGAGGGACTCAGCAGTCAGCAGGTATATTCTTTATATTCATGTTGGCTTTTATTTGAGGAATAGCAATGTGCTATTGTTTGGTTTAAGTAAAACAGTGTTGTCCAGTTTTCTGAATTTCTCTTTGCCTCCTTCAGGTTGTCAGACGTCTTATCCTCAGCTCCATCGTGCAGAGTGAAAGCAGCTACCTGGACTCTCTAAAGAGGATCCTTCAGGTGAGTCACATCTCTCCATTGGTGACAGAAGCTCCAATGGGTTTGAGCCTTGTCTCAGGTGCTTTCGGAAAAAAAGGTATGAAAGGGAATTACAGTTTTAAAAGCCTCTGTAAGAATGTTGTAAATGCAAAGGACCTACAAAGGTGCAAGATGCACATCTTTGTCCACAGGGGTTCAGAAAAGGTCTAACTTGCTGCAGCAGCCTCTTATCCTGCAGTTGGAAGACTGCTGTCACAACTTCTATTTAATCCTCAGGGGAAACACAGAAGATCAAATTCATCTATAAAACGTTCTTGTTGTTGCTGCTGACAGGCTCAGCATGTAATTCTGTGTATCTGACATTATTACAAATGGAATTCTTGCAGAGATAGACCCTGTTTTCAAGGCAAGACCCTTTTTTCAGACCAAGATATCCCATTTCATAATTGTTTTTGGAGACAGCGAAGTGAAAACTGTTGTAAGAAACTTCTGCTCCACCGCCGTTTGGATGGACAAGTTTTTTTGTATTTTTACACGCTTTGCAAATTTTGCATTGTATCTAAACTGTTTTAAACATCATCACAACCAAGAGTAGCAAACAGGGCAACATTAAACCACTCACTCCTGTGTTCTTCACCAGAACAGGATCCTGTCTGTAATGTTGTAAGATGCAATAATATCAGTCTGAGCTTGTCAGCGACAGAAACAAGGACTTCTGATTCACTGGACTTAAATTACAGCCATGGCAGTCTGTTTTAGTGCAGCTGGTGCATCTCTGGTTAAACTACCTTTAAGTTTAGGAACGTGTTCAAATATAGCTCAAACTTCTGAGCTCTACATTGTACCTGATATAACCCCCCATTCTCTCTCAGGAGTACCAGAAGCCCATGCTGGAGCCTCAGAACTTCATCCTAAGCCCCAAGAAGGTCCGTCAGATCTTCTTCCGACTGCAGGAGATCCACCAGTGCCACTCCATGTTTCAGATCGCTCTGGCCTGCCGTGTGGCCGAGTGGGACCACAGCGAGAAGATTGGAGACCTTTTTGTCGCCTCGGTCAGTCACACAGATGTCTCTCTTCTTCTTCGTCTCCTTGTGTCCTACCTCCAAAAGTGGAGCTGTATCAAGATCCTGATGTCCCTCTCTCCCTCACAGTTTTCAAAGTCCATGGTCCTGAATGTGTACAGTGACTATATCAACAACTTCACCAACGCCATGGCTCTTATCAAGAAGGCCTGCATGTCCAAACCTACTTTCCTGGACTTTCTTAAGGTGCGCACACTTGGTGTATTTTTTTAACAGCCATTCGTATATTTATTCCAGAGTTTGCAGTGTTGATGGTTTTCTGCTGGTCAGTACTCAAACACAGATGTCATCCATGTGCTTCTGCTGTATTCTGAGGTAATACGGCTCTAAACAAACTCTGATAAAACAGTGTGCTGTGTTAAGTTTGTTAAATTTAATAAGAAAAAGTGAAAAATGAGAATCAGGATGTTGGTTTTTGCAAAGTAAAAAGGGGTCTGAGTATTTCCTACAGCCTCATGATTCGTTGAGGCCACAGTATGACACATCAGTATGTCCCACTTTACAAACTGCAATTATACAGTATTAAGACCATTGTAATAAGCATTAATTAATAGTTAATTATCCACTTATAAGACTTAATAAATATTAATTAGTGTTAATAAAAGCATAATTAACACATTTATTTTTGCTTTTAGACACTTAACGGCTCTAGTTATAAACAGTTAAAATACAAATTTAAAAAATGGATTTTTATTAACATTAATTAGACTATTGGGGTTCATTAAAGATTAATAACAGCATATTTTAGCTTCGAACACTCTTGCAGGTAATTTAATTCTAGTTTTTGTATATTCAGCACTTAGAAGATATTTATCAACATTAATATAACTAGTTTGGCCTTTGTTGTATTTAAGCAACTCTTTTTATTGCTAACAATGGTCCTTTGCAGCTACTGGATCTAAAGTGGGAACAGTCTTATTAAGAAGAATAAATCCTTATAAGCAATAGAGTGTCATATGCGATAACAAGTGTCTTAAGTATGCTTTAAGTAACACTAAGAAATGTTTTTAAACATCTTACAGGGTCTTATAAGTGTCCTGTTAACTATTAGATAAGGCTTATTATTATTTGATTTGATTTAATTGTACCCTTATTCTATGTTAATACCTAATTTAGCCTGGTTTACCGTGATCATTTCACCGAAATGGTGTGAAACAAACCTCTCCTCTCGCATAAATTCACATCTACATCAACTCAGATGTGATCTGACTGCAAATTGAGTTATTTGCATGAATTAAGTGCGTAAACACTAAACAATCAGGTGTTCAAATTTACGCCAATTAGTGAGTAAATCCTTTTGTCTGGTGTGAGCACAGCATGTGCATCTCGGCATAAATTAGCAGGGAGAACATGGGGACATATTGTTGCATAGATTTTTTGAATACCCCTTCAGTCTAAAGTTTATATCTGTTTTAACATGAAATAAAAAGCTGCAAAATTGTTAAAAGTGATAAAAAATGGAATCTACAATAACAACACATCTTACTTCCATAAAGTAGCATGTACATGACCTTCTTGGATAAAAAAAAGAGAATTTTTTTTAATCATTCATCAACAAAACAACAACAACAACAAAAAAGTGTTAATTTACGTACTAGAGCTGAAACATTTCTTTTATGTGACCTCCAGAAGAAACAGGCGTCCAGTCCAGACAGAATCACGCTATACGGCCTGATGGTCAAACCCATCCAACGCTTCCCACAGTTCATCCTGCTGCTGCAGGTGAGTCACAGAGACACATCAGCTCCTGTCTGAGCTGTTTCATCCCAGGAGGCTGTGAGATCAGACGCATGATCGGCACTTTGAACTCACGATTTAGAGAGTTTTAGAGAGTTTGAGAACATGATGACTGCTTTCCTTTTTTAACCAGCTAGGCATTGATTTAGATACATTCTTAAATGAAAACATAGCATTAAAATTGATAAAAGTAACATCTTTATTGAAAAATCAAAGGCAAAACTGTAAAGCTGATCTGATATTTGATGTATCGGTGCATTACTACACAAAACCACTGTGAATTTGAGACCATTGATTTCCTTTCTTTTCTTTTCTATACCACTGAAGCAGGCAGTTTGATTTTGATTGCTTGTCTTAAACTTTGTCAGGATTCTCAGACTGTAAATTCTTAGATTCTCTCGAGAGCGATGTGGTGGAATATTTGGTTTTATTTAAAGGTCTGAAACTTTGTGTAGGAGTTAGTGACAGAGGAAGTAAGCAGAAGTTTGCCCTTTCTGCTCCAGCTCATTTTGGGTCACAGATGATAGAAATAGCTCCAAATCTTTTCCGTAAACACCTCCTTATGTCTACCTGTCTGTCCAGCTTGACCTCCCATCTGTCACACCCACGGCTGTTGTTAATGTTGTGTGTTTCTATCAGGACATGCTGAAGAACACTTCTAAGTCGCACACTGACCGGCTCCCCCTGCAGCTTGCTCTCACTGAGCTTGAGACGCTCGCAGAGAAACTCAACGAGCAGAAGCGTCTGGCCGATCAGGAGGCCGAGATCCAGCAGTTAGCTCACAGCGTTGGGGACCGAAACCTCAACAAGGTGAAACATTAGACACTGAAACACACATCCATACAAGCCTTTAAGGGGTTTTTACAGCATCCTCATGTGTGTTTATCTCTTTATGTGCGTTGTGTCGGACAAGGCAGTTAACTTATATGTCTATCTAAAGATCCATAATCCCAGTTAATGGATTTTGCGCAGTTGATCAGATTGAACAGCCATGTCTAACATTTTAAACAGGCTGTAAGAGTCTTGTCCACTGATTTTTGCTCTCTTATTCAGCGTTAATGAAGTGCTCTTCTGTAAACAGTGACCTTGTTTGTGTTTTCAGCTGCTGAACTCAGAGCAGAGGCAGCTGATCCAGTGTGAGCTGCTGACTGAAATCGTTTATGGTGATAAAGGTCAAGTCCTTAAAGCCAAAGAGAGGAAGGTTTTCCTCCTCAATGACACGCTGATCTGCGCCAACGTCAACCTGAAGTGAGTTTGAGCTGCATGTTACATTCATCTCTAACAAAGGAGCGTAGTTTTGGATGATTACTCCTGTTTTTGATATTGCTGCTGTCATTTTTCAGCACTTTCAAATAAATACTCAGTCTGCTTGAATTTATTGAAGAGGGGGTCTGACTCACAGTATCAAAAAATCTTTGCTTCCCCACATTGTAGCTGATCACTGGGGGATGTCTCTGCATGGAAAATATAAAAAAGAATGTTTGAATCTTAAGTTTTACTGCAATGATTGCATAAAAGCAAAATTTTGCTTAACTGTAATCCACTCATTAGCAGCATAAAGATGACACACACACACACACATCCAGGTTCATTCTCATTCTTAAAACCTTCACTAAGCAGAAGAAAAGTGTAAAAAAGCCTCCAAGTTTTCCATACTAAGAGTATTTTAAACATGCAAACATTAGATCCTGCGAAGCTAGATTCATGTCCACTAGACTCAGGAGGGACCTGCTGACCTTCATCCTCTAAAGGAAAGTGAATCGAGCTCCAACGCTGCACTACTTTATGCTCGTGTGACAGCTATATTGTAATGTTTGTCCACCAGGGGGCCCCCTGACATCAGCAGCCTGGTTCCTGTGGGTCCGAAGTACACAGTGAAGTGGTGCGCCCCCCTGCTGCAGAGTCAGGTAGTGGAGGTGGGACAGGACAGTCTGCAGAACAAAGAAGGGGTCTCACTGAGACGACACAACTCAACCTCCAGCACCTCAGGTACAAACACACCTGTACACCTGCTGCTCAACACACACAGTGAAAACAGAACATGAAACAACACCTCAGTTTTAGTGAAAGTATAAATAGAAACCAAACTTAGAGCTCTGTGTTTCAGGTAAAGTGTTCCTGGGTCCTCCTCGGCTGTACCAGCAGCTGGAGGAGCTGCAGCATGACCTGGGTGTGGTGGAGGAGGTGTCAGTGCTGGTCAGCACGCTACATGGAACCTACCAGGTAACACCTCACAGGGTTTTCTCTTACACTCTGTGTTTAATTGCTGCATTCACAGAGCTGCTGACAGGATCTTTGAATAAATTTAGTCTTTTTAAGGATTTACAGTGGTTACAGTGGGCCAACCTCACTACTTTCTTATGTTGTCTTATTGGATTTTGGATCTAAATGTCTAAAAGCAGATTTTATCAGCCTTCAGTCATAAAGATGTAACCTAATCCTTGCATGCATGTGCACTTGATTAAAGTTTGTCCACTGTAAGCTTTTGTTTTAGCGGCTTAAAAGGTTTTTAATTGTTATTCTAGGAATGTGATAAGATAGCCCCCAAAAACTCTTACTCTAATAAAACTTCTGTTTGGGTAAGTTTATTTTTTTAAGCCAAGGTTGGTGGTTAAATCAATTTCTTTAATGTTACCAAACTCCATTGTCAAAATCAGGGCTCTTATCTCACAGAGAGGTTACTTTTTGTGTGGTTTTGTGTGACTGTGACATTTTGAATCAGTCAAACTGGTATTCAGAGCCTGGAGTTAAACTCAGAGATATCAGGCACTGTCAAGGTGGATAAAAACTTTCTCTGTTATCTCAAGCTGTCTGCTTCAGGCTCCAGGCTTTAAAGGCGGCCTTTAGCGTGCCATTTAACCATTAGTTTGTGTCTCCTGAGCCAAAGGCCGCAGATTCAGGACCACAATTCTGGAAATGCATCTGTAAGACCCTTTTTGTGACAGTGGGGTTAGAGCTTGGCATCAGCAGGCATCTTACTCTTCCTTTATCATGCATCTTGGCAGCAAAATCTGGTCCAAGGCAGCAAAAGCACTAAATGATGCTGCTGCAAACAATACTTGTCTTGGGATTGCAGTTTCAGAGTTGTGCTTTGAATTCGTGGCTTCCAGGTATGCAGACACATGCAGAGACAAATGTATAAGATGAAAATTATAAGAGATTAAAAGAACTAAGAAATTTGTCAAAATTACTGCAGTAAAAATTAGCATAATACATGCTGAGTACCGCTGTTTATATCTAATGTGACGACTAAACAACTCTGAAACTTGATTTTCATGCACTGAAGTTACTGCAGTGTCATATAATCAGTGCGTGTTTTTGTAGTTGCGTTTCTTAAGTCTAAATCCTCCCTTCCTTCATCAGCTGATGGTGGCTTTTGCCCACAGAGGACATTGTCTGACATTAGTTAATAAAATAAAGGCACTTTTCAGCCAATTTCCACCTATAATTTCAGTTTAAAAGTTATTATAGGGAACTGATCAATTTCCCTATAATAAGCCAACAGAAAAATGATCTATGATGAGGCAGATCAGAATCTCTGTAGAGTTGCTTTTCTGTTTTTATTTTTAGAGTGATTCAACGTTTGTTTCTGGTCAAAAATGATGAAAAGGTTGATCTCTGTGGGAATATTTTGCCTTATTTTGTCAGACAATTGCAGATTCTGCAAAGATTCATGAACAGTTTAAACACCAAAAAAATAAATCAATGAAATTAGAGCCTGGATGTACAAATCCTAAAAAAAAACATCTGTGCTGAAGCTAAAACAGTCTAACTGTCTCCTCTTACATCAGAACCTGAACACCACAGTGTCCCAGGACTGGTGTCTGGCTCTGCAGAGGCTCATCCGTCTGAAGGAGGAGGAGATCCAAAACGCCAACAAGTGTCGCCTTCGCCTGGCAGTGCCGGGAAAACCTGATAAGTGAGTGTCAGGAGGTTGAGAGTAGATCCAGTTTTACATGTTTTTGATTTTCCATGTGGACTCATTTTTATTGTATTATTTGCTCTCAGATCTGGTCGTCCAGTGAGCATCATGGTGGTCTTCAACACCCCCAGCCCACTCAGTAAGATCTCCTGGGTAAACCGACTCCACCTCGCCAAGATAGCGCAGAGTGAGTACAGTGCTGTAGTGCCAATTCACAACAAGTGTTATCACAAGATGCCAAATAAAAAATCTGGTCTAGACCAAACTCTGTTTACAAAGACCCAGTGTAAAGACGGGATCAGACTGAGCCCCATCTTGTAAGATCAAACCCACTCCTATCCAATCTTTAATCACATGAATGAAACACTTTACAGCAGTGGTTTTCAAGTCCAGTCCTCGAGGCTCCCCGTCCTGCATGTTTTGGATGTTTCCCTGCTCCAACACACCTGATTCAAATGATCAGCTCGTTATCAAGCTCTGTAATGGCTTAATAACGAGCTGATCATTTGAATCAGGTGTGTTGGAGCAGGGAAACATCCAAAACATGCAGGACAGGGGGGCCTCGAGGACTGGACTTGAGAACCACTGCTTTACAGCATTTAACGAGTTACAGTCAAGAGGAAGAACTTCCTTTAACAGACAGAAACCCTGAGAAGAACCAGACTCATGGACAGAGGTAAGACTCATGCTTGTAGTTGAAGCAGCTGGAGAGCAGGCAGGTCCACGGCAGTAAAACGTCTGCAGCAGTGATCCAGAGGAACCTACAGCATGATGGAGCTCAGGGACTCCCAGAAAAAAACAGTGTATCAGTGACTCTAATGGGACATGATGATTCAAAGTCAAGCGTGTTTGAGGAGAGTAGCTCACTAAAGAGTTTTTATTATGTGTATTTACAACTTAAAACAACATACACACACACATACATACAGGACAAAATTCAAGAGTGTCATTTAATGTTCGTAAAGAAGAAAAGAAAAACGAATAAAGAAGGATATGCAAATCAGTTATTGGAGTCACGTTAGCTGACAGGTGGAGATGGCACGCTAGACGCCAGACCGGCTCCCCTTAATTCATGATTTATCTTGGTTTTACCAAGTGAGAACAAATACAACCGTCGGTTCTCTGTAATGTGCTGAAAAAACGCTCGGTTATGAATAGAACCAAACAAAATACCAGAAGCAACAAGGAGAAAAACGATCCACTAAATCAATTCTAACATACTAATAACTTGTGTGCATATTAAATATTTCAAAAAATGAATCAAAGGACAGAGTATTTGGGCCACATTGAAGGTTTTTGGGGGGAAATTTTTGACTACTATAATTAAGTCCAATTATAATCATTTTCTTACAGGAATGAAGTCAAATTAAATAATTTTTTTAGGAGAGTAAAGTCATGTAATCTCATGCAGAAAGAGCTGTAAAGTCTATAACATGCATGACATTAGTAATGACTAAGTACAGCCCAGCCTTTGTGTTTACAAAGTTTGTGTTTTTGTTGTTCTGTGTGTGTGTGTTTTTGCGTGTGTATGTGTGTGCTCAGGACAGGAAAACACTCCGGGTTGGGAAAGTGCTGAAGAAGATAACAAGACAAAAGCTCCATTCAGTTTCCCACTGCTGACCTGCAAACTTCCTGTCTTCTCCCCCAAAACACACACACTGAAGGTGAGAACTGCTGCAGGTCATCCTTGCAAAGATTAAAACAGTAGAAGAAGAAGAGGAGGATTGTGTGTGGCTCTGTAATCACTTTATGTGTATCTTCTGAGGGTTTGAACTGTGACTCTGGTTCCGTTTCCAGGTCACTGATCAGCCGTTTGTTCTGTATTTTATCACACAGCTGATAATTTCATCAGAGCGAGGCTGAATGCAGAGGAGGCTGCAACATTTAAACTGAAAAAAAAAAGCCTTTTAAAGACACAAAGCGTGTAAAAGCATTAAAGATGATGAAATCGAGACCATCTTGAATCTTGAAAAATCTGTTTTTGACTCTCCAGGATGGGATGATCACGTTGGGTTTTCTGTTTCAGAGGCATTTTCTGAAACTATGGGATGTTACCGCTTGTTCCCACATCTTTAAATAAATAATTTTGTGAATAACACCTTACGTTTTTAATTATGATTTTACTAAAACTTACAAACAAACAGATCAATCGGCACGTAATGTATTGACCCATTTATGGGACAGTGATCCCCCCCACCCTCCCACCCCTTTGGTACTTTTAGGACTTTTTTTGATAACAATTCTTGTTTTTTACAAAAAACAATTTGAAGGGTTAGGGTTAGGGTTAGGTACATTGAATAAAACAAGGTAAAGTGTAGTTTTTGACATTAGAATAAAACAATGCTTTAAATGTCTTAAACTGAAAATGAGGCTTATTTTCAGTTTTCTGGTATTAACAAGCCTTGTGCTCAGATTTGTGTACTTATTTTTCAAGTAATTTTTTTCACCATTTGTTCATGTTCTCATCATATTTGTGTTTGATTTAACATTTATTCTTTCTCTGTGTGGGTATCATAAACTAATAAAGGTTAGTCTTATTAGTGTCTAAAAACAGCAAATATTCCGCTTTACGTAAATACCACTATTATAAATACAACTATCTATATCTATCTGCCTTTTTGGTCTCATTTTCCTTATTAAGAGTCAATGTATAGTTATCAATTCTTTTGTGTTTGGCTTAGTTTTATCAAAATAATTGGATTTTGAAAAGGTTATCAAAGGTATACCCCTGATTAGGAAGTACATTAAATGCCTCTTTGCTTTGAGTTGACACCCTGTCATAAATTTCCATCTTTCTGTCTGTTTGTGTAGCTGGAGGCAGCTCTCCATAGCCCATCCCAGTCCAGCCTGCTGGGTTTCTGCACCGCTAGCACGTCTTTACCTCAGGGTTACCTCTGGGTGAGTACAGCTGCAGGAGCGCTAATGGCAGGATGTCAGCCTCTGAGATCCTGATCAAACATTTAACATGCTAGTTAACACGCTTTCAGGAGGATTCACTGAGAATAGATGGTGGCCTCTTATTATACTCAGGATGAAGTATAATTTGCTCCACCATCTGCTCCCTCTTAAGTGATATTCAAGAGTAAACAATTCTCTTGTGCCTGATCATGGAGATGAGTTCTTAGCATCTTCTCTCTCTTATTGGTTTGTTTGCCTTCATACGATTTTTTACAGAACTTTTGTCACCTTTGACTCCAGGTTGCAGGTGGAGGAAGAAGCTCCAACCAAAGCGGCCAGGTGGAGATCTTCTCCCTGAACCGTGCTGCTCCTCGTCTGGTGAAGACCGTCCCTTTGAGGGCCCCGGTCCTCTGTTTGGAGTACGTGAGGGAGCCGAACGCTTGCTCTGAGGAAAGGGAGGCTGAGAAGACCCAGACCGCAGTAAAGACTGGAAACATCATCTGTGTCGGTCTGCAGGATGGAAGGTTGGTGTTTTTTTTATGCCTGTTTGGGGATTTAGTTTGCGATATGAACTTAATCTATACGAGAGTAGGCTAGTTTTATCTGGTCCATTGAGCCATTTATGTGCATATTAACATTAAAGTGACCCAAAGAAAAGCTCTCTTGCTCTAGGAAACCTTCTGAATTGTTGTCAGACATTTCAAATAACAATCTGAGCCTGTGAGTGGTGAAGAAAACCCCAGAAATAAGATGCTGACTGTTGCTGACTAAAGCAGTTCACTGCAGCAACTCCTGAACCTTTTAATAAATTTTATTTATAGGTGCCTTTCAAAACACCCAAGGACATTGAACAAGAACAAACTGTAAAAAAAAAAACAAGTTAAAAGACTATACCTATTAGTCACCTGGACCCCTGTCTTTGGTCCCATTAGTTATTATCTGACACAGATGTATCTTGTAGGAGCACTGGCCAACTTTAAAGGGCTTTGGGTCCCCACCAAGACCTTATTTATGTTTTTTTTTTCCATCGAACCAGGAACTTTTGGGAACTTTTTAACTAAGCAACTTTTGAGAGGCTGAACCCTTTATATATTTTGTGCTTTTGAAGGTCTGTAAACACTCCAGCATTCACGCCCAACCAGTCGATAGTAATCAATTCCAAGCTGATGCTGAGAGGTGCAGAAAACAAAGAGGTGTTTCTTTAATCTGTGCTGTTAAATGTAAATCAGTGTCTCGCTGCCTTTGCTCTGTTAGTTTTGTTCCGTCAGATTCATTTCAATTACAGAAAAAAAACCCTCATTAAGTTTTCTACTGTCTGTATGTTGTGCTACACTTGTTACCATGTTGCAAGTTGCCTAGCGACATGGCATGAGCCTGTGAGGATGTGAGTGAGTGAATAGCTGTTTATCATTAATCAGTCAGCTTACTACAATTTTAAGCATAAAAATGGCTGATGGCAAAATAGTGAAAAAGTTATATTCACCTAGTGTGTGAGGTGATGTGATTGTTGTCATGTTTCACTTTCACTTACAGTGCCTTTATTAAGTCTGTTTCTGGTTTACTTCTTGGTTGTAATTGCAATGTTCAGACCAGAAACTATGTGTGTGCTGAAACTAGACAGAAAGATCACAGCAGACTTAAGGTAACTTTGAAATTGGAACTTGGTTTGACAAGGACTGAGCAACCACTGCCCTAAACGTATGGCCCAAGTTTAAGAACGTAGAAGTTTCCTTCAACGCACAAACAGGGTCCAAAATGCGGGTGTTATGTCTTCCCATGTCTTTGCAGCATCCATGTGTACAGCAGCGTGGACACAGCTGTGCAGTGCCTGTTGACCTTAGTGATCGCTGACAGCTGTCCCATCCTCTGCCTCAAACACTCGCTCTCCTTCCTCTTCGCTGGGCTGGCCAATGGCAAAGTAGCCGTGTACCACAGAAAAGCTGGAGGTGAGTGTTGCTGCAGCAGTCTGAATGTCGGAGGGAAGGGGCTGATATTACACTGCAGTTACTCTGAAGTATTGAAAAGGAGCTAAACTCTGGATTGTCCCTCTTTTAGAGAGACTGTGGGAGGTTGACTCATGCAGGATGGTGTCTCTGGGCTCTGAGCCGGTCTGCTGTCTGTTAACGCTGGAAGACTCTGTGTGGGCCAGCTGTGCAAACCAAGTCACTGTGATACAAGGATCCAGCCTGCACACTCAGGTATGCAGAGTCATAACTATCTGTTTGTTAAAGCTTAGAGAATAAATGTGAGCTTTACTGGAGACTGCAAAACAAGAAGACTTTGAACCTTGAACCCTATTAATAAAATTAAAACTACAGAATAAACTGCTCATATATATATATATATATATATATATATATATATATATATATATTGCTAAGCTGCATCAGCTGCACTAAGTGGAAGCATTGATCCCCCTGGAGAGCATGATGCAGAAAAGAAATAAAAGTAGAGCCCTCAAACTTCTGACTTCACAGCGTGGGCGTATTTTCAGCAGAGACACAGTAATGTGGAGCTCTGTCAGCTCTGCAAGTTAGAAAGAAGACATGGCGATAAAGCGTCTCGCAGCTCTGTTTGAAGAGGTCACAATCCCACCCTCTTCAAAAAGTGCTCTCACCAAATCGTAAATAAGAACCTGGAGAAATTGTTTCTGTTATCAGCCTCTGTCTCCAAAGGTTTCCTCATTGAACTTTGTTCAAAGTAATTTCTGAAAAGCTGATAATATGGCCAGAATCAGACTCAGGTTATTGCAATAGTGGTTTTCTTGTAATCAGAAGGAATTTGTCTCCGTGTTATTGGTGCATTCAAATATCTAAAACAGTGAAATAAAACAGAAGAACCAGTCAGTCAGAGCAGTAGCTCTCCTACTGTTATTAAACTTAGAGTACCATAATTGTATAAATACGGAACAATAATACACTCAAATACTGAAACACTGTTTGAAATTCAATTGATTTTGTTATCAGGTTCCACAAAATTGTCTGAAGTGAGTTAAAAGCAAAAACAGTTTGTGTTATTTGAAAAAACAATTTGAACCAGCCAATAAATGTTACTTGTAAATTGACTGAAGGCAGAAAAAGTCAAAATAGTTTTACTTCTATCGCAGTTTTCACTCAACACAGTTGATCCAAAGTGCTTTTCAGGAAGCACACAGAGGGAAACAAAATGCAAATGAAAGAAACCAAAACATGCATAGGAAGAAAAAAAAAAAGATTTGTAATAATAATAATAATAATAATAATCATGAAAAGAATAAAAATGAAATAAAATCACCTTTTTTCAGTGTACACCAAAAAAAATCAAACCTAGTTCCAAAAAAGGTTAAGATACTGCGAGAAATTTTAATCTAATTATTACAACAGTGCAAAGACAAACAGTGATTGAGCCATAATTTCCAAAAAGAATGTGGACTTTTGACAAGTCCATCTGAAACCCAGTCAGGCCCCTGGATCATGTCTTATAGTATCCATCGTTTCTCCTTTGTGTGTTTCACTTTCAACCTGCAGTCTTGGTTTTGGTTCTTGTTCCTTTTTAATGAGCATATATTTTTTGCTAAACAATAAGATTTTTCACTTTCAACATTTTAGATGTTGTCTTTGCACAACTTTCGATGAAATAAAGGGTTTGAATGGTTTACAAATGGTTGCAGATGTATTTGGTGTTTGGGAAGGGATACAAGTTTTGCATCAAAATGTGCACAGTTTAGTAATTGAACTACAGATTTCATGCATAATCTATAGTACAGTGTAAAATGAAGAGACAGTGTGCCTCATTAATATAAAGTTATAATAATGTCATATAACGCACCTAGGTGAAGAGAGAGTTAGTGTCACAGGAGGGTGGCACATTATAAGCAGAGCAGGAACATCTGTTCTTGTTCTGTGAGCTTTCTGTCCTTTTGGACCTCAACCTTCTGCCCCAGGTGAAGAGAGGGTTTCAAACGGTACGTGTCAGGGTTGGGGGGGTTGGCCACAGACTAACCTGCACACCTCAGGGTTCTGGAGGAGGGCAGGTCATGCAGAGAGGGCAGACTACAGCCCGACACTCTCTCTGCAGAGCTGATGATTCGCTGCAGCCTGCCTTTGGTCCTCACAGTGGCTGCAGAGGATGGGCTCAATGACAGAGGTGGTGAGGTCCATCATCAATGTGTTTAACAGGTTGGATTTGTCCAGCTTCACATCAGGCATAATCTGACTTATTTGGCTGTTTAATTGACTTTACTCTTCATGCATGAGAGAGACAACGGCTTCAGCCAACATTTTCTTTTGCAGTTCAGTGGTGCCAAAGTTATCTCTATTAAAAGTTGTGAAGAACTGGAGGTGTTATCTGGATAAAAACTTAAGCAGAAGGACCTGATTTTATCTGTAATTTGTGATCTTTTTTTCTTTCTTTCAACAACCCAATTATAAGTTTGGTAGTTTCTCACAGTTTGGATCTAAGGTTATTTTTACATAATTGAATTTTTTGGCATTTTATTTAGCCTGGCTTGGCTCCTTGATTTAACTCTGATTGACATGTACTAATTAGTGTTACCTTTACAAATTACACAGCTGTTTTGAATGAGTGCAGTGAGGAAATCCCACATACTTTATACTAGTTTTGAATCAAATTAACATGCAGCTCCATGTTCCTGAAACTCACAGCTGCTGCCCTAGTTTCGCACAAAAGCTGAGCCATAACTCAACATATTTAAAGAAGTTTAAGTTTAATATTTGAGACCCCTGTTTCTGTGTTAATCAGTCCCTCTTTCTTTTGTTGTCTTCGCTTTTGAAGCTCACCCTCTCACAGCCAGCCATCACAGGCTGTCAGCTGTGGTTCCTCACACCACTCTGACTCTGATATCAGACTGTGTGAGGTGTCAGGTGTGGGCTGTGTGTAGAGGTGAGTCAGTTGGGACTCTGACACTTGTTGTGTGAGCTTGACTGACAGACAGAGTGTGTACAGAGCTAACAGGCTGCCAGAGGCACTGTTGTGACTCCTCTTCCTCTGCTCCTCCTCACAGAAGTCTGCAGCTCGCTCTCTGTGGGGATGGGTGGAAAGTTTAATTGAGGAATGTGTTATCTTTCTCCCTCGCTGGTGTGTGTGTGTGTGAGACTGTGACCTTTCTGCTACAATATGGCTTTGTGAATGTGCTGAAATATGAATGTGCCCTTAAAATGAAAGCGGAACAGAGAGGATAAAAACACCTCAGACTGAGGAAAAAAGTTTCCTTTGAAGCTTGTTAGACCTGCACTGACAGATTTCCTCATGTCTGAGGTCATTATTTTTCTACAACGTTAAGAAAAGAGTCCCACAACCCTAACTCTGAAAAAGTAAGGACTGTTTTTTAATGGTTTGCAGACCATTTAAACCTTTTATTGAGATAAACTGTTAATGATGCAAAGACAACAAATCAGTGGTGAACCTAAAAAATTGTAAATTTGATGTAAGCTCATGTGTGAGTAAAGTAAAAACAGGGACAACCAAACTGGAGGAGCATCTCCAACTAGTGAGGTTCATATCCAACAGATTAGTAACAGGACTGGGTACAAAAAGGACATTCAGAGAGGCTGAGTCTCTCAGAAAGAAAGATGGGAAGAGGTTCTCTACTCTGTGAGCAACTGTGTGAGCTAATAGTTCAACAGTTTTGGAATAATGTTCCTGAGTGTCAAATGTGAAAGAGTGAGTGGATTTCATCATCTACAGAACATAATATCATTAAAAGATTCAGACAATCTGGAGAAATCTCTGTACAAAAGGGACAAGGACTAAAACCAAGACTGTAGCACTGCATTAAAAACAGACAGGACTCTGGAGTGGAAATCACTGCATTGGCTCAAAATCATCCCCAAAAACCATTGTCTGTAAAAACAGTTTATCACCGCATTCACAAATTAGGTTCAAACTGAACCATGGAAAGAGGAGACCAGATAGATTCATGATCCAGATACACGATTGACTTCTCTAGTTCTGAGCCTGTTTAAGGTGGACTGAGAGGAGGAGGAAAACTGTGGATTAAAGTCTGACATTCTTTATGGAAACCATGGATGCTGGTTCTTTTACTCAAGAGCAGGGAGACTGCCTGGCTTGTTCTCAGCTCCCAGTTCAAAGCCAGATGGTATGGGGATCTTAAGGGTCTTCGTCATAGGCAGCTTCCACATCTGTGAAGGCTCCATTAATGCTAAGCAATAGAAACAGATTTAGGAGCAACATCTGCTGACATCCAGACAATGACTTTTTCAGCGAATACCTTCATATTTTAGCAAGACAATGACAAACCACATTCTGGAGGGATTACAACAGCATGGCTCTGTAGTAGAAGAGTCCAGCTGATAAACTGGTCAGCCTGCAATCCTGACTTGTCCCCCATTGAAAAACATTTTTTAGGAGGAAACCCCAAACTGTTTTGCATTTTAAATCCTGCATCAAGCAAAAATGGGACAACATTTCACTTTCAAAACTCGAGGAAATCAGGCCATACATTTATTTACAAGTAGAAAAATAAAATATGTTGTGCTTACCCTAATGAAAATAACTGCATGCCCACACACGCTCCAGCACGAATAAAAAACTACAATTATTTTAGCCCTAGAAAAAGAGACTAACACATTTCAAAGGCAGCACACTGGAGTGGGTGTTTGCATATTTTAAGATTTTTTTTTTACCTTTATAGATATGATTGCATCTTATAAAAAATATTTCTGGACATTTAATAAAATCCTAGATTAAATATTTATGCAGCTTATAATCTTACAAATATGCAGCAGTTTGAGGAAATACATATTTAATCTAGTAAAAAGTTCCTGTGATCCATAACAAACAGTTGCACTGTCTGAGTGTTGAACACAGCCATCTGTGCTGGTTTGACAAGAGAAAGCGTATTGTAATAAGTCTTTTGCATTGAATATTTATAATAAGTAAAACTCTGCAGTGGAACTTTTGAATGAAGAGAAAAAACCTTTTAGACTGAGTGAGACACCAGAAAATATTGCTTTGTGTTTATTTTTTTACAGGCCAAAGGTTAGAAATCTGCCTTTGACTTGTTTATGCGACTAAAAACACAATTTAAAATTTATTACTTTTTCAGTTTGTTTACCTAACATCTTTAACACACTTGCTGTTGTTGCAGGTATTCATTGACTTTTCTCCATAATGTTTGTTGTTACAAATAAAACTAGTATTCTTCAATTTGTTAAGAGTAAACAAGTCCCATATAAAGGTTTAAGTCAAGTGTTACAAAGATATTTTTGATCCAAACCCAACTATTGCACTGACTTTGTTACGATCTTTGTTGCTGCTCTCACTGGATGTGACACCCCACACTGTAAGATGTCTGTGGCATTAGATTTTTATATTTCTGGAATTTTTGAGTGTGCAGTAGCTGATTGAACATTTCTATCGACCTTTAAAGTGTAAAAGCTGTAGAGAGGGAAAGAAAAGCCTCACAGACTGTGTAAGGATTTCTTTTGAAGCTTGTAAGACTTGTGTAGTTTCTAGGGTTCCTGGTTACCTTGAAGCTTCTGCAAACACATTTGCAGCTCCAAAGCCGTCTTTGTTAATTTTTTCAGTTGCTCAAGGAAACTCAGATTGTAAGAACTCTGTGACATTATATTTTTATCTTTATTAGATTTCTGCTGAAGCCTCTCTATTCAAATAGCTGCACCATGACTACGATGCCTAGAGACAAGGTCCACATAGGAACTGTTTTGCAAAAGGATTGCTACCATATAGTGAGTTAATTAAGTGAAGCTATGTTGCTAGCTTGGACTAAAGTAGATAGACTGTTTGAATACTGCTAACCAGGTGGTGTCTCTAAAGTAGACTTAGTGCCTTATATCATGTTCTGTAGATGATTTAATCTCCACAGTTTTGCATATACACACAAAGGAACATTATTCTGGAAATGCTGGGCTGTTACCTCACGCAGTCTCTCACAGAGTGTTGAATCTCTACCCATTTTTACTTCTGACAGTGGTCCATCACATTTGCTTTAGATATGATGAATTAAACTTAACAGAATATCATTGACACCAAATATACCAGCATAACTCGGTATACCTGTTATTACTATTATGATTAATATTCTGGATGACTTGCTTTATCACACAACAATTAACACTGGTTGTCATGGATATGATCCAGTTATTGTAATATTGCAAATGATATCATAATGGCACATCCCTAAGTTCAGATATAGTTATTTGATTAGGACAGTGCACATCAACCAACATTTCTGCAATACATGTCAATGTAAATATGCCCTATAACTAGATTTCATACATTTTCCTAAGGCAGATAGTTACAAAAAGGGCAGAAAACAGATTTAAAGTAACAGAACACCACATGCACAATTCACAAGACAGTACACAGAAAACACACATTTGCCATTTGTACTGTGTTATCTTCTGTTTTCAGGCACATGTTTGCATTTTGCATAAAAAAACATTGGAGTTCTCATCATCTTGTTGCAAATTGACCTTGTTTGTTTGGAGATGTTCCTCCATGATTTTATAATAAAACAGTGAAGTGTGTATGGATCAAGAGAGGTGAGCACTTATATATATCCTGTATATTTAGTATGAAAACGAAGAATCGAGAATAATTCAGTTCATGCTATCATCCTCTGCTCTCTTCCAGCTCATGTTTCTGCCTGTTGTCTTCATACTTACATGCAGAATATTAACCTCTCCCACTCAGTGTGGCTCATTAGCCCACTCTCACTCTCCCACTCACGCCGTCTCTGAACATCTCTGATTTGTGGACTCACAGGTCTGCTCTCTCACTCATAGGGACACTACAAAAGGCCTCAGTGTCAGCTGATGAGAGTCAGTTAATTTTCAGACTAATGAATGAGCTGCTTCACAGACGGGAGCGAGTCTGTGTTCAGATTATTCCTCATTGTCTCTGATAAATAGGACAGTAAAGAGGCGGTGACTCATCCTTTTGTTATGACGGATATGACAAGAAACAGAGCAGCAGAGTCATGTCAACCTTCATTAGTTCTAGAGAGGGACTTCATTTATGAGTGAAGCTAGTTTTATGTTAGTCTGACCACAGTAATATGATCAAATTGAAGATAAGACCAAATCGTGAGAGTATGTTGACTAAATAAATGAATAAATAAAAAACTGATTTTTGAAATTAGATTAGGTTGTGAAGAGAAAAAAAGGACTACATAAAAAACTCTTCTCAAGAAATGTTTTTGCCAAACTGAGCTCAAGTCAAAGATTCTCAGCTACAAAATGAAGTCCTCTCAAAGAGGCCAAACAAACAAATATTTGACACTGTTTGCTCTAAAGCAATTACAGAAAAAAAGTCACCTGTTATTTAAATAGTAACTTTACTCCTTAGTTCAGTTAAAGCACCTGAGAGGAACTTTAGCCTAGTCTCAGTTTTGGCGCCCCCCTGTGAACAAAGTTGTTTTTGTCTGCTTTTGTCACCTCCACTTATAATTCACATCCTCATCTCATCCCGTATTGACAGTCAAATCTGTTATTTATTGTGAAAATGGAAAATATGGGAAAGCAGTTATTGTCAGCTGCTCAGCTGGCACTCACTTTGTCACAGCAGTTTCAGGCATTAAAATCCACACTATGACAATTAACAATTGTAAAGTAAAATGTGTTTATATAAATTTAATCTCATCTTATTTCCTTCACATGAAAAGACTTCATTAAAGCTACTTTAAGTGATATACAGTGATATGGTAAGTTTTTCAAGTATCATCAAAAAATCAGTGTTTACTTTTTTTAAAAAGTCTATTTTGTATTTTTGTTTTTATTTGTATACTTTCATTATACATTCATTATATACCTCCTGGTGTTTTATTGCATAGCTTTGAGGAACAGTTTGCTGCCCATTTATCTGAGCATGAGACAAATAAAAACATTGAATCTTGAACTTTTTGTGTCCTGAACAATCGAACTTGGTTAGTTACTGATTATCTTGTTAGATCAGGTTGTATGTGCAGAATTTGAGGTGATTCAGTCACATTTTCATGAAAAAAAGTAAAGTTTTCACTGCAAAAACTAAAATCCTAGCAATAGTATTCATATATTGTCTAGTCAAAATATGTCACCACCCTTAAGTAAGCCACGGTTAGCTGACAAGTTCAGACATAAATTTCATTTCAAGTTATCAAAAGCAATGTTAGAGCGACATCTGCCTGTACTGTGAGCCAAATCTTCTTGATACACCTATAGAAATAAATATAACATGATAACTCAAGTAAAACACTTAACACTCTATTACTGTCAGAGTTGACAGCTGGATTTTCTGCATATAAAACATCAAAGATTGATTAGAGAAGGTAATAGATAATCATTTATGTTCCAGTTCTGATGAACATAATTAAGTTACCAGGTATGCTGCTGAAGGTAGAGACACACTTCTCAGAGTGAAAACAAAGGTGTTGAAAGTAATAAAAAGTTTGATGTTACAAAGTTTATATGAAGTTCTGTCAATATTTATGAAATAAGCTTCTCTGAATTTGACATATAAAAGGTTCTGATCCAAACACCAATCTGCCATTTTCACTCCATTGTTTCTTTTCTCTCTATATACCTGAGCTAAGTCCTGTTTTTTCAAGCTGTGTCTCATAATTATCTTGTTGTGTTTTATTCCTATTGCAGAGTTTTGAAGCCCACCCTGATCCCTGCTGCAGCGTCAGCCACATGGTGCGTTCAGGAGGAGGGGTGTGGATGGCCTTCAGTCGAGGCTCCTCCATCCACCTGTTTCACACTGAAACCCTGGAACCTCTGCAGGAGGTCAACATCTCCACCCGCACTGCCCACCTGACACCAGGCAAGGCCAAACAAAACCAACACCCAGGAGCAAATGATAAAACAGAGTGAAGAGATTCATCACAGTTCTTGGTCAGACAGAGTAAAAACATAATCAGAGGGAAGTGCAGGATCATAGACATCTTTATAGGCTGAGTCTGGGCTTTCCTTTGACATGTTTTCAGTTTGTTTTAATTAGACGAATCCACTCAGGGCATCCAAATGCTGGTGAATGTCAGTGTTTTGGCTGAATCACAGAAGCCGCAAAGGATACAGAAAAAGAAAACAGACTTTCGTGAAACTGTCAGGATACCATGCACTCAGTTTACAGACCGTCTGCAGAAACAGTATCTCCATGAATTCATGCTAAAATTGTAAAGATTAACATCCCTCTACCATTGTAAACACTACCTGATATCTCAAATGAGCAAGATCTATAGCATGGAGCTCAGCCCAGACTCTGCTCACAGGCAGTTGAAAAATGAACGGTTGAAAGATGAGAAAGATGTTCAGTTGAAAGATGAGATTATTCAGTCAGTGTCTTTTGTTGGAGCTTAAATTTAAAGCTCTTGTGAGAATTAATGAACCAGACTGAAAAACATCTTCCTCTATACGACTCACAAAATCAATCATCTTGCTGTTATACACAACAAATTTAAATGCCTGTAACTGCTGCTGCACGGCTGGTGTCAGAGTGAGTTACAGCTCGCCGTAGAAACAGCCTTTGTTTACATTTTCATGGAAAAGACTCACAGTGTAATATGTTTGACTGCCAAAAGATGCAGGACGAGGGTTTTTATCAGTAAAGGACAGAGTCAGTAAAGAGATTAGAGGTCCCAGGGGAACAGAACTGAATGAAAATGAAAGTTCCTTAAAAGACAAACATGCATTTTTTGTTCCTTTGAAGGTGGTTTGTTATGTGCATTTTTTGCATACATTTCATGATGACATCTAAAAGAGACAGCTAAAGCAGCAGAGATTGATTAAATGGCATACAAAGCCAGACCACAGCACAGAGTAGAATATTTTATTGTCATTGCAGCAGGACCAATCAAACTGATGCAACAAGCGTCAGCTAGCAGCCGTGAGACACAGTAGAATATAAGCACCATTCACTGAGTTGCTGCATTCAGATTCTTTACCATCTTCAGTTTGTTTTCTGTCACACTTGGTTTTTAATTATCAACTGTAATATTATTGATTTGAAGTTATCTCTTAAATCAATACTAGGGACCAAGTGCAAAAGACACTCCTGGATGTATTTGTAAGTTTTGTTGACTCAAAGCACTCAGGACAATCTCTGACTACAAAAATGGAAAATACAGTCGACCAACCTGCTTACTGTCTGATCAGGTCTGAATAGCTCGTGTTTAAAGCTGAATGTCACTTATACTCCAGGTCAGGTTTGTGTCTCCAGCCTGCTGATCTGTCAGGGTCTGCTGTGGGTGGGAACCAACCAGGGAGTCATCCTCACCTTCCCTGTTCCCACTCTGGAGGGGATCCCCAAAATTACAGGTCAGAGTCATCATGATACCAGAATTCAAACTTTGGTACAATGTTGGTGACAAATCAAATGTGAAGATACCTGTTTCAACAAAAAAATCATACCTGGGAACCAAAAGTACACACAGCGTGCAGCACAAAGCTTCATGGATATAAACTAAATCTGGCAGCTTTGCGTGATTGCTCACAGTTGTAGATGTGTTAACAGGAAAACTGAAACAGCTAAAAATGACCTCTTATTTCTCAGTTTATCACTTTATTTGTCTTTCACAATGCTCTGAGTCCTTCTCTAATTTGATCACTCCCTCTGCTCTTTTTCTCTTTTGTAGCAGCTAATGGTCACAATTAGGTCTTTCTTTTAACCATAAGGTCAAAGCACTGGGATAAACCTGTTTTCAAAGATATCCACATTTGTGTCGATGGGGCTGGAATCTTTATGTATTTTTATTTCTTTGCATTTTTGTGTATTGAAGACTTATTTTCCATCATGAGAGGCTAAAGAGTTGCATGATGTGCTAAAACAGAAAATCAGATGAGGCCAAAACAAAAACAAGCAGGTCAGACCATCAAAAAAATCAGAATCAGCTGAAAAAAGTCCAGTCAGTGCCTCTCTAGATGGTATTTTTTTGTGATCCTTCTGCCAAATCTGAAAAGCTGAACTTTAACCTGCTAGTTTCCATGAAAAACATGGTTTATATTGTTACTTTTATTGATATGTTACTTATATATTCCTTTTATTCTCCATTACCACACGCATCCTTCCCCATCTGTCCCCATGTGGACTCATTCAAACCTGTTTTTTACCACCAGGTAAAGGGTTGACGTCTCTAAACGCCCACTGTGGTCCCGTGGACTTCCTGGTCTCCACCTCCGGCTCGCTGGCCTCTGACCTCCTCAGACGGGACTCCATGCTCAATGGAGGCGAGGACTCTTCACCGGGAGAGACCCGGGGTATTAAAAGTGACATGGGAGGAGAAGAGGGAGGGTACAGGGTGGGTCATAGCAGCTCCCCACAGGACTCCGAATCTCCTCCACCGGGTGAGGAGAAGCCGAAGCGCCTCCTACTGCAGTACCGCCTCTACTCTACCTGCCAGCTGCCGGGGAAGCCGCTTACGGCGCAGCCAGAGCAGGGGAGCTCCAAGGGCCTCCAGGACTCCCTGGAGCATAGCCCGGAGGACGGCTCCATCTATGAGGTGAGCGAGGACCCTGATGTGTGGGTGAGGGGGAGGCCTATGGAGCTGGGCAAGGAAGGGGAGGCCAAGCGGAGTAAAGTCACTTCGATTGCCATCTTCTCTGGAGGCAGGGGGTACAGACGGATCGGAGAGAAATCAACAGAAACAAGCTCAGACGCTGTTGAAAACACACTGCTGGTTTGGCAGCTCCCTCTGACTCTTAGCCAATGACGGAGCAGCATGTTGGACTGACAGTTAGTGAGATTCTGGACATTTCTGTGGTTTTGGACTAACTGTGAACTCCATTTCTGTTAGACTCAACGTGTGATCAGAAGTTAAGGAAGCTATAACCACCTCACCTCCCATAAAAAGTTAAATACTAGCAAACAGTCTTGAAGTGTCTGAGGTTTGTGAGGGTGAGACCGTGAAAAGGAAATAATAGAGGGTGAATGGAACTCATATTACCTGTGAAATTTGCAGCTACCTCCGTTGTGTTGGGCACAATGAAGACAAACGATCTTCAGCTCTGCGATGGGATCAAACTACAGACATAATGACAGTAAACTGCATCAACGTTTTATATCTAGAGGCTATTTCATACTGCACTTTCCATTTTCCTTTTTTCTGGGAGTGAAATCTGAATACGATCATTTTTTTTTCAAATAATTTTTGTTGCTTTCACATCAAACGGTGTTTACTCATCACACCCACTTAAAACTGAAACCAGTACTTTTTTTTTTACTGCAGATGGTACATGCTCATTAAAGATGGCATCTCATTTTGACCCTGATTTAGACACCCATATGTTGCTGGTATTTGTGTTCATAACCAAAAGCAGTGACAGCACAGTATAAAACTCTGAAAGCTGTCCTGCAACTCAAGACACGGCACATAAATACCTGACTAAGAAGGAACTCAGCAGCCCCTCAAAAACCCATACTGTTAAGGGAGACACTCACATGGTTTATCCATAACAGACTATATAACAGACTATTTTTGTAAGTAAATGAAAAGATAGATTTATCTAGCTTACTTATATAGGAAGGAATTGCTTTCCGTATTTATCAGACTTAAATGTGTCTGTTGGTAAATTTTAGACGGACACATGCTGGCTATGTACCCATACTTTAAAGGGACTTTCAGTTTGTGTCAATTTTGGCACTCCTGTGGATAAAGCAGTCTTTGCTCATCATGTCCTTTACACGCTGAAGTAGTGTCCTCTAACAAAAAATCTCATCCTGCTGAATTTTGACAGTCAAATGTATCATTTTTGCTATTATTTAATGTTAAAAATGAAACTGACACCTACCCCCTCACAGCTGTTTTAGGCATGGAAATTACAGTTTAAAAATTGCTAGTCTTCAGTATTTCAGAAAAAAATGCATCTTTATGAATTACAGTCTTTTTCATAAATGTTGAAGAATTCCTCACAGGAACTTTACGTCTTTTGTTTTAAAGGGCAGCAGATGTGAGATTTTTGCTTTGTCACTATCCTGTGGTCGAACTTTTCTGTTTGTTGGGATTTCACTGTGAGATCTTGATAAAGCACTGCTCTGAGGTTTGGGAGTTTGTGAAACTGCCCTCTCCTTGATCAAATAAGGACTTTGGCCGCAATGAACAAAGAGTTCAAGGAAAATCATCAAAGTTAATTCCAAAACAGAAGAATGAGTAAAGTGGAACTCAACTACAACCTTATTTTCCATGAAAATCTGTAAAACTAAAAAAAAAAAAATCACTTCTCATGGAGCTAGCCTCATGTTCAGTATTTGTGTTATAGTGAACAGACATCACAGTGTTGTAATGTATGTAATAGTTTTCGCTAAAACAGGCACCTTAACATGTTGTTTTTGTAATTATGTGATTACATTTATAGTGTCAAAGGATAACGGTACAAACAGTGACCAATGCTATACAAACAAAGTTACTAAATATAATTGAAATACGATTCAAACTTCTATGACGGGTCATAGTATAATGAATTAGTCACAGCTTTTCACTTATAATGGGAGAAAATCAAAATATTCACCACAAATGAGACATATTCAGGAATTTATGGACACAAATTCAAAAATGTTAAAAATATATATTTATTTTGTATAAAATCATGCAAAAAATACTCCCTGTGCTCTGCATCAGTGTTTTTGTGTATGTCAGTGTGTAACTGATAGACTGTCACATTTTCTCTCCAAGTGTTATTTTAACACAGATTGTATGTTCATGGTACATTTTTTTTACGTTTTTTTCTTCTGCACAAGTGTTTTTGCATACAGCGAGAAAAACACCTTCATATCCCAAGAGCAATGATGGTTATTTTTATCCTTGAGGCATATGCTTCACAGGTTATTAATAACTAGATTCAGGTAATGTCTTCATTTTCACCTTCTGAGCAGATATGTTGCAGCTTCGCTGGAAGCAGGTGGTAAATCTTGTGGTACATTTTACACTGGCACTTTTGAATAAAGTAAAATTAAAACCATTTTGAAAAATGTTCATTTAATTCCATGAATTGTTCATATCACGTTTGCAATGATAGTTTTGCAATATTTTCTGTCTAGCTAGACCCAAGAGCACTGTCAGGAATTTTTCACGATAAGCTGATTCTATGAGCTCTTCTGTCGAGGATAAAGGTGAAAGAAACCGTTTAATTTTTTTTTGTAATTAACTTTCTTTTATAAAATTTTATATTCATGTAAGAATTCAGTTTTCCCGGAAATTTAGTTGAAAGCCAAGTTCTGTCTTTTCTTTTCCCCTGAATGTAAACATTCACTTTTCAGATTTTTTTTAGGATCTTAACTTTTCTCTGATCTACGATTCATCAAATGGAGTGAAGACATAGAGGAAGTAGCTAGTGTCAGCAAGTTAGCTGTATCAGCTCACAGAAAAGACACTTTCATTTTTCTTGAAACCAGAGACACAATTTTTACTAATCAGTTGAACACTTACTTTCTGACCTTTCTTTTAACTGTTTTCATTCAGTTTCTGTACCTAAAGTCTACCACAAGAAATCTCCTTCAGAATAAAAGCATAGTTTTGCGATGCAATAAATAAAGCAAACTAAAGGAGGTAGAAAAAACATCAAAATAAAAGAAAAAAGTTCTCTCCTTGCTGATTTATTTCTGACTGCAATGAGAGAGCAATGACTTCTCCTTAACCTTGAGTGTACCCTCGCTACCTCAAACAGATTCGACCCCAGAATCCTAAAATAGGTGATACAGTGCTGAAAGGCTATGAGATCTGGAGTCTGTTTTACATATCAGAGTCATCGTAGCAGCACTGTCAGTAATTTATTCAGGGCAGAACCAGGCGAGATTCAACCTGTTGTTAATATTAAGCAAATGAACTCCCTGTAACCTCCATACGCAAAGAGAGGAAATAAGTTTGACTGTTTCTGAGGGCCAGCAGAGACTCGTGTAGAGCATGAAGTCAAAGAGGCAGCAGGTTTCCCTATCCTTTTTTACTGTTTTAATACAGTTTGTATTTAAAATCTCACAAATACATCGTGAGCTTACTGAATATATTATTGGTCTCAGGCTTACACTGAATCATAGCCTTGACTGGATACAACATTGCAACTATTGCTGCAAAGTTACAAATCCTAAAACTTGCACGCTTCACATATCGTTCAGGAGACAGAAATGATAGAAATGTAATTATTATCTGTCAAAGTGTCCTGGTTTCAGTATGTGGCCAAAGCTGAATTGTTCAGTGTGCATTTTCTCTATGCAGGAAAACTCAGGTGTAGCTCAGAGCGAGAAATTGTTGGTGGTTATAGTCTTTGATGAAAATGAGCTTTTTATCAAACACAGTAAGCAGGTATTTGCATGCATGTGCAGCCAGAAGCAGCACAGATGTTATACAGGGACACACTCCAACTCTGAATGTGGTATGAGTATCTAATATGTAGTACTCACGACTCGTAATAGGGACATAACGGCAGGTGCAACTGTATAACCTTTAGTGGTGCATATACGAACAACAGACATCAGTAATCAATCCCTGATCACAAGATAACAACAGACCAAACAAAACAGAGCACTGAGTGCTCGATCAGAATATATCACAAATGTACTGTGTACCATACATTACAAATGAGATTAAAATATCTTTTATAGTTTGTTTGATTGGTTGCAATAATTGGAAATGCTCACTCAACACAACTTTTGTTCAACCTGGAAACAAAGAGGTTGAACTGACAGGGACACCCCCACACAGTGTGTACTGATAAATGGATGAGCCATATCCTCAAATCTGATTTTTGAACCAGTCTGTAGAACACTTCTCTTTTTAAGTTGGGACCTCGTGGGGTCTCCTGAGCTTTTGGAGTCGGCCTCAAGTGGACCCTCAAGTAACTCTTAAAGTATTCCCGCATCAGTTTTACTTCATCATTTGTTGCTTGGTTCAGTTTAAAAACTCTCAACGACAAAAGAAGCCAACTTCTCATTCAGTTAATTCCCTCGGCATAAATTCCCTTGATATGTACACAGTGTAATCACAATTTTAAAGTTCTTTTCACTACAGGAGGACCCTAATTTAGTTGATTATAGTCCCTTTTCGAATAGAATCAAAAAGAGGTTCATGGGGAAAAGTAGCTTATGTGAAAACCTATTATAAAGACATGTTGTTTTTTTAAGAGCACTTTTATAGTTTTAAATATTTTAATCTTTTTATTAGCAATAAAAAATACCAGTACGAGGAGATGTTTGTCATTAACATGCAAAGACAGCTCCTAGCAGCCTGTTGTAAATCATCCCGAGTTGTTTTTCATAACTTCTGACAGCCAATTAATATTCAGCCATCATAGCTTGGCAGTCAGATTTTAAGGCCATTCCAAGCTGCTGTTTTGGACATGTCTCTGGTTTTACGCCTTGTTAAATGGATCAAAGGTGCCCCCTTTAACTCAAGCTTATGTTAGCCTAAAATGCAATTTCCTATCCCTGGCTTTTTCTCAGACTCTGTCCCACCAAACATGGTCCCCGATATGGCTCTGCCAACAAATCTAATGGTTCAAAACAAGATCCACACGTGAATACAGATTTTCAGGTCATGTATGGCCTATCTTCTGATTTATGAGTTTATGACAAGTTTCTTTGTTATTTCCTCATCCTAATGTGTATGCAGAGACCATCAATCCTCTGAAGCTCTAGATCCATACAGATTTGATTCAAATCCCTCTTGTAATTATCTCCCAGCCACGGGTAAGCCATCCTTCTCACAAACACAACACTGGAAATAGAGACGCTTTAAATGCTAAACTGCTGTCAACAGCTGGCTGGTATGAAAATGACTACAGGACCTTACAGTAGGTTACATATGCATAGGTGTAATCAAGGACAAGCAGAAAAGACTGTCACTGATCCAAAACAGAGATTCAGTCAATTAAGCAGATTAACATCATAAATGATGAAACATAGAAGCAGAGAAATAATCAAAACAAATCACTTAATGGGTGCAGATCAACCAAACAGAGTTCATAAGTCAATGAGGCAGAAAATGCTTGAACTGGACAAATACTGACTAAACAAATGACAAAATAAAGGTGGTTTTTAAATAAAGTTTGACCTGTTCAAACATAATCGAGAGAACACAATGGTGTAAAGTTAGAGATTAAATAAATCTAGCAAACAAAAATCAAAATAATTAAACAAATAGGGAATAAAGTACTTTAACTGGTGCTTATGCAAATCAGATTTCCAACGAGGTGAGCAAGACTTTGATACAAAGGCAGTGCACGGATTGCAGGACAGAATATTTCCCAACCATTCCCTTTCAGAAATGGCTGGAGTCCAGCAGCTCCTCAAGCTGCTTTCATATCTGTGCAGCTGTCAATGTTTCCCTGCTCTACAACCAGCCTGAGACAGTCGCTAATGTTTTTACCACAGTGTCAACAGACAGATGGGAAATGAGCCGGATCCTACCGTGCATGATCAGGTCTTAACTAGAGTTGCTTTTCCTGTTGAGAATGAGTTATCCTTGTCATAACCCTTTGAATCAGACCTCACAAGTGTTCACATACTGTGAGGTCAAAACGTATAGAGCTCCCTCTACTGGCTGGCTGCTGTGTAACAGCATCAATATTGTCAAGAAATTTTTACTAGTCTGACTGTCTCCACACACCAAATGTGAAAAAAAAAATTTGCGTGAATAAATTACATGTTAAGTCAATGCAAAGACGCGATTAGACACTCCTACTACTCTGGCGGTGATTGGCGCAAATGGGGCGGGAACTTAAGAAGATCTTTGAATCGCAATAACATATCAGCACGAAGGTTGCCGGGTGACGTATGATAACGGACGGTTGTTCACTGGTATCTAAAATGGAGGACAAACTGATCATGTTGGTGCGTGGGTGCACTAACATGATATGATACCTCTTCTTTTAATTATCAAAAACTGGAATAAAAAGGAGCTCGTCTGGAGGCAAGTGAGGGAGGAGGTTGAATTACCTGGTAAACTGTGAAAAAAAACCTTTGTCTATCACTTGATCCCGCTGGTTGAACTGGCAGGGATTACCGTTGAAATTACTGTTGCCGTGCGAATGAAGCGAGTAAATACTATTAATTCATGCGTCTAGATTCATGGGAAATAAGCCAGTAGATGATTTTACTCGCGCTTGGTGTGAGACTTGCAGGGTCAGGACCGCATTCCTGGAACTGCATGTCTAGGTTCCACATTTTGGATGTGACAGTTTTGGTCAAGATAAGAATTAAGGTCAGACACTGAAAATAGTTGTGTCATGCATGAAAACTGCGGTTAGACAATAAAAAAGCAGTCAGGGATTTTTAGTATTCAGATTTTAATGGGTACAAAACAAGATTTAAATGTAATGATAACTCATTGATCATTCTATTGATCATCATGATAGTTTCTAGTATTTTTTTTGTATTTATTTTTCTCTCAGCTCTCTGCTGGTTTTGGCTGAGGAAACATTTAATTTGACTTTTTATGCTTGTTTTTTTTCCCTGCTGCCAGTCAGACAGTTCTCACTCTGACTTTTTTCCCCCTTCTGTAAACACCGTCGTACAGCGTGTTCTGCTTTTCTCTCACACTGTCTGCAACAAAATTGTTCACTCAAGCATAAGATGTGACTCAAAGATAAAATGAATTTTCTAAAATAGAGACTGTACTTTTTCAAAGGTAGGGGAGGCTCTTTCCTTTTGACAGCACAAAATGTCAGATAAGGAATAAATGTGTCTGAAATGTTTCAAGCTGTCATTGAATGTGGAGCCTGCTGTGATGGCTAAAACAAACTAAACAGCAGACTAAAATCAGTTTACCTGCAGTCTCACCTGGTCTGTGAGGGCCAGTGAATCAGTAATGAGTTCAGAGGTCTGGACTTTCAGCACCTCCAGCTCCTGACCAAAAGATTTATCCTATAAGGGTGATCCTGCTGCAGGAGTTTGATCTCCTTCTCCCCCTCAAGTTCAGGATCTGCTCCTGGTCATGACCTCTGACCTCTGCTGGAGCGTTTGTGTTGTAGCTGTCAGTCTCTGCAGCTCTCTCTTTGTTTCTTCATTTCCTCCAGGCTGCTCTGCTTCTCTGGCTGATGTTTCCTCCAGTTGTTGGCCCAGTTGGATCCTCACTGTTTGTTCTTTGTTGTAATCTTTTTTTTTTTTTTTATGCTGTGAAGGATCGGAATGAGACAAAGTTCCCTCAGGGAATATGAAGTTACATTTCTCTGTAAAGGACAGTTGTTTTATCTCTGAAAGAAATGATCAGAAGTAGTCGACACATGCTAGAAAAGGGCTTTATTTTTTCCTTTTAGTGTTTTCGTGGTTATGTTTCTGCATTTTATCTTGTAGCCAAAGGTGGTCTTTAGTTCTTTCTTAAGCAAGAGACAATGTACAGTGAGCAGATAGTTATACAAAACTGATATTTTCCCACCATTTGTAAGATTGGTTTGAACTTGCACTAAAAGATTTATGTTGTGTTTTGGTAACACTCCAGGATAAGGATATGATGTTGAAGATCTGAAGCTTCTATTACTTGAATAAACTGCATAGCTTCACTATGAAGTGATGAAGATGAAACATCTCGTGATTGGTGAGGTCTGAGCTTCAAATATCATCAGCAGTTCCGAAACTCTTGAGTCAGCTCAACTTTACAGAGAGTTTTGTCTCTTTGAAAAAGACATGGATGTAGGGGAGACTTGGGTAAGATGAGCCATTTTCCATATTTTGGATCACTACATCAAGGCAATCATAGTTTTGTCTCTAACTAGTTTATCTGCCTATATTTCAAGATGTTGTTCATCCCTGCCAAAAAAAGTGGTGTCCGATAGGAGCGGGGTAAGTTGAGCCGTATCCCTACTCCCTAAATAACAGTCACTTCTTCACATTCATGTGTATTTCTATCTATTATATGCTATTCAACTGGTACAACAATTCTTTTTATTATTATTGCATATAACTAATAAAAAGCTGTTTGATGGATTGATGGATTTGATGGATGGATTGGATTGATGTCCATCTCCTAAATATTTGGTCACATGATCAATTTCTTTTACCATCTCCAAGCAACAGGGGGTGGCTCAACTTACCCTTTGGCTCAACTTACTCCCCTATATAGACACATGGGCGTCACAGACCTTTGTTTCTTGAACAGACTGAAATTGTGGATTGAGGTGTACTGACACTTCAGACCATCATTTAGAGGACTGTTATTGGTTGTTCAAGCCAGCAGATGTCACCTTGCTTGAGTCTGAAGCTTCAAAGAAAGCGCCAGAGCTTCATCAGGCTCTGTCTTCCCATCTCTAACTGTAAGACACCTTTCAGCTGTGCACCCTGATTCTGAGACCTATTCTTCCTCCACAGCCGGGATAGTGTTGAAGTGAAGTCCATGCATTAAAATGGAGACAGCTCGGAAGTTTCGACTGCGAGCTCTGAAATCGTGGTTGTGTCTCTGTTCTGTGAGACAGACCCAGACGATGATTATTTCAACACCTGCTGAGGCGGCTGCTGTTGGCGCTCTGCAGCTGTGATCATAAAGAGGAGGAGGAGGAGGAGGAGGAGAGTATCCATCGTTAGTCTGGAGCTCTCTGGGATTTTAACTTTTTACTCCCACATTACAGCTTGTTCATGGAGAGTTACTGAAAAGAGAAAAAAATCCACAACTAGAGTTAAAAGTTCACACCCGTTATTAAAAGTCATCTTTATTTCATGCCTCTACTTTTGGCACAAAAAACTTTCAACTTCCATTACTCAAAGTGGCTCTTATTAATTTTGCTGTATGGCTTTAAAGTCGATCTTCTCATAAAGTGACTGTTTATTACCAGACAGGGGAGGAACCAGATAGATGAAGTGGTGCTAAACCAGCTATTGGAAAAATTAATCAGAATAAAAATGAAGCAGAGATATCAATGATTATAAAATCAACACCCATAAAACTATTACTATTAAAACTAAACTATTATATCATGGTCGTAACAACTTTGACCAGTTTAAAGACTGAGTCTGAAATATTTAAGACACTGATTTTCCTCAAACAATATTCCCCTTGCAATGAGTAACATGATCAGTATGTTAGAAAGTACACATTTTCGAATGATCAGTGACCCAGGGAGGCCTGAACTCTAACGTTGCTTTTGAATTCACAATAAATCTTAAGATATCACTTTTTAAAAGTGTCTTATCATCTCTCCCAGAGCTGCTACAACTAGCTCGCTAGCAGCTGCTGCTTCCTGATTGTCTCTACTGTTTTTAAAGCATGTGGAAATTAACATTGAGAACCACTACAACTTCTTTAAGCTAGATTTTTGCAATTTTGATTATTTTTCTCTAAAGGGATGTTTAGGGCACATACTGGTTTATCACTGAAGTTAACCAAATGGAACTGTTTGTGTGTCCACAGCTCATCTTCTTACAGTAGCATTCTTGTAAAAGGATAGATGAGTGCTATTCTTGAAAATATCACTTTTTGTATTGCAGACATAAATACAGCACAGACCAGGAAGCCTTGTCTGAAAAGCATGTTCATACAAATACACCAGTCTCACTAAAGGGTTGGTATCTACTCCTATGGTTGTGTATCACCTCTCCTTGTCAGAGGATGATAAATGATAAATGAATGCTGTTGAATGACATGTTGGCATGGTTTTAACGGGAATTTGTGGTGTGAGGGCTTCTGTCTCTGTATTGTCTGAAACATTTGTATCACTTGGCGTTGCACTAAGTTTAGACCAAAAGCTATCATATATCTTTGCTTTTCCTGGGTGCTTTCTTTTCCATGGATTGACGCCCAAAGACTCTTGGGTCCTGTTAACACTACAAAATAATCCTGCTTATTTGGGCACGCCCTTCTGACAAAAGTTAGCAAAGACCCTGGTATTGGTGGCTAAAAAGATTATCTTCCCAGATGGTGTTTGAAGAGTGATTTGTCTTCCCACTGATCTGCATGGAAGACGATCAGAGCCTTTCTGACTTTAAATAGTAAACATTTACCATTTTCAATCACAAATTTTTATGTGTGGGAGCATCCCCGAGGACAGATGATCATACATGCTGTCATGTGGAACAACTGATAGCCAATCCCGGTATGAGCTGACTAAAGAAAGAAGCACAACAAATGCAACCATAGCAACAATAGGAAGCACAAGATTAGATGGATGTTAGGAATAGAGGACCTGTTTGTTGATACTTGATGACAGTTTGAGATTTTACTCATGTTCTTACACCAGAACAGCAATGACAAAGGGAGACGTTGGAAAGGAATTGTGTCTTTAATGTATGTATGTGGAACCTAGGCAGTTAGCAATGGTTAGCTCCTGTAGTCAGTCATGTTTGTTCACCCTGAAATTACGACTGACTTTAGTGGATTTCTAGCTATGAGAGTCTGGACCCCAGTTGCTGGTGTAAAGAGTCTTTTTGTCTGTGGTGTGTTGTGTTCACCATGTTGCTGGTCACCACATAGTGATGTTAAAATCAGAAGAGATTTTAAAGAATCTTTCGGTGTGTGCCATTGTTTACTAAGGTGGACGTCCAACAATTGAGGTTGCAGTAGTAAGTTGCTCACTGAACTTAGCTATTGGTTGACCAAGCAAAATAGATTTAGGCTGGTATTTAGACTGCTGGTCAAAAGCTACAGTATGCCCGCCTAGGTTTATGATTTTGCTTTACTTTTCATTTCTTTGAAAATGTTTAATTTTAGTTTTAGTTTTAGTTGATTTCATGGCTTTGAAAATGCTTACTTTTGGTTTTAGTTAAGATTCCATGTAAATGCTTAGTTTTAGCTTTAATTTAGTTTATATTTCTATGAAAATGTTTGGTTTTCATAGAAATAGGTTGGATCACACAAGCAGGCTTAGCACATGTGATGCAGGCTGTAGTGATGGACTACAGAATAGTGGGTTACAGCAGGAGTGCAACCAGGGGTATGTATGTGACTTCACAGGCTTTTGAAGCCAGCCCCTAGTGGACACTTGTGGAACTGCACTTTTTTTGGCACCTCTGTATTGGCTCAATTTCTTAAGTCTGGAGTCTTAAAAGTCTAATAAGCCCTAAAAGAAGCAACTCCAATGGGCTTTATATTAATCTTTTATTACTACTGTTAAGATTAAATTATTAGAGTGATTATTTTTTTGCTATTTGTTTTGTTCAGGGGTCTCTGAGATTCATGGCAAAAGAGTTTTGAAAATTAAAAATTAAAATGAATGAAATAGGAGGAAGACATACAGTTAGGGAGAGATATTGAATGAAAGAGAGGGTGAGTGAGTGAGTAAGTAAGAGAGAGAGAGAGAGAGAGTGAGAGGAAGGAGAGAGAGAGAGAGAGAGAGAAAGAGAGCTGCTGTAATCCTCTGCTTATAAACGGGCGCAGCAGAGCGGTGCTGCCTCAGTGTGAAGGATGGGAGATCAAACGGCTCCATCGTCCTCCGCTCTGATGACATATGGAGCATCCTTCGGTCTGAGCAGCAGCACCCAGCAGGATGACCGCTCCCCTCGCCCTCTGCTGCCTCCTCCTCCTCCTCCTCTCTGCTCTCTCTCTCACTCTCACACAAGGTAAGAGGACAGAAACACACCAACAGAGCAGCACCTCCAGGAGACTGTCAGAAAGAGGGAAATACGAGAGCTGTGGGAAAAGTTTAAAGCGACTTTAAGAAGCAAAGTGGAATATTTACTACAGTGACACAGTGCCCTTGTGTTTTGATGCTGTTTGTTTTTGTTGTATTGTTGACATCTGCCTGATGGTAATCTGCTTATTTAGGAGGTACTTTTTCAGCCTCCCATTGTCTCTAATACGCAAAGAGCCTACTTTGCATTGCATCTTGATCAATTTTAAAGCCTAAACCTTCAAAATCCCTGTGTTGAAGAGCTTTTTTTTTTCTTTCGCTAAACCCCTGAATCAAGTTAAACCTGAACAAGTTAAAATGCTGTTTAGTTGTCACTGCCAGATTTTCCTCCTGTTCAGTAAGACATAGTGTATTTTTTACTCAAATATGTGCATGAAGAAAGATTGATTCATCTTAAAATGTCATCCTTCATAAGCTATGTTATCATAAAATATTGTTGTACGGTTTGGAGCCACAGCTGTGATCTCTCCAATCCTCAGAGCAGGTGATGAACTCTGAGCATAGGTAAATCCAACACGTTGCTTTGCCTGTTTTCAATGATAGAGACGTTTGTGTGCTTGTGTAATGCTTGTTTTTGAAAGGTCATCCCAAGTATTTTTGGACATTTCTTCCCTTTCAGTGCACGTCTCTTGTGGATTGCTTTGACCTTTAAAGAAGTTAACCTCTTGAGCATGATAGATAGAGATTTACAATCAGTGTTCACAGTAAATATAATGAAAATTTACTAATTCCTCACAGCTCTGACAAAGAGAGTTCAATTCTGCTGTTAGTAGATCCATGTCAGAGGTGCTCACATGTATCTACAATGCATTTCTTTGGCTTTTTGTCGGACCCAAATAAACACAGCTGGAAACCAAACATAGGCAGCAAGAACTGTACAAGGTCCACCCCTGCAACATCCTCCACACTCATGATTTGGACTGGCTCTAATTTCACATAGTTCTCTGAAAACAAGAAGAGACAAGCTAGAAATCTGAAACAGCCTTGTGTCCTTCTTTGCCTCCACCCACGACAGAAGACAGAGCATAAGCTGCAAAAACCAGGAAATTTGTGTCTGTAAGGGTAAAAAAAAAAAAACTGCAAAAGTTAATGTACCAATATTTATCCATATGCAACAAAGCTGCATTGACCCAACCATCAGCCTTTTTGCTCCCTTTAAATACATCTGAAATAAGTGCCTCATACTGTGTATTAAAGGTTTAATAAATAATCCCTTTAGGGTCAGTGCTGTTTTATAAGACAAACTGTTGCATTTACAGTATCAGCTTTAATATAAAAAGTGTAATGACTTATTGTATAACTTCACTTACTTTGTCAGACTGGTAGTGTTGACGGTATAATTCAGCATGGAGTTATTTTCTATACTGTCCAGATCCAATCCAATCTCTGAAATGAAGTCAACCTGTAATGATTCATTTATTAATTTCAGTGAAACAGTATTTTTGTTAGCTGAACATGATAGATAGACACTCCCATCTTTGTTTTGGTCTGTTAACTTATCAGAGGCTGTTTCTGTGATGAGCTGAGAAGTCAAGGTCCAGTTAGAAGTGATGGCAGCCTGAAACAGATCTCAGTCTTGCTCTAAGTATAGAAATACAATGATAGAACTGTCAGCATGTTCTATTATCAATACGCTCTGTGCTCTCAGTACCTGTACCTGGGTGATGCCCTGACACATGATCTTTCATTCATTTAATTTCACTTTGAGGGAGTTTCCAGGGAGTTTACTTCTGCCTGCTCAACCTTAAGTGTCTAATTCTGCCCTCCTGCTACAAATCAAACTGCCAGCTTAGATTACACTAAGCCTAAATAATGTTTGACTGGTCTGTTCAGTTATGTAATAATCATAATTTGATGCCATTGATTGGGAAATTAGTAAAGGCTTATGCTTGACTCTGTTCAGAGGTGGACATTTTATAGAAGGGCTCTATGTGGACTGTGTCATACTTGGAACCAGCCTCTAGTGGCTACTTCAGGAACTGCACATTTTAGCACTTCAGTGTTTCAGTCAATTGCATTACTTCAAGGTTTTATTGAGTTTGTCTGTATTTGTAGAGTGCTGTTGGTTTAATCTTGATGCGCCATAGTGCTCACTGTTAAAAATTTTGTTGACATAGTTGTTGTGAATCATCATTTCATGACAAACCACTGGATGCCTTTCAAACCTGCTTTGAATCAAATAACCACCAAAACAAGGTGAAAGCAGACTTGATTTACTCTGTGATTGACAGCATGAGTGCAGTGGGTTTTACACTCAGCCGGTAAAACATTTTAATACCTGACTGGATTATTTCTGATTGTTCAAAATGGACAACTGGGCGAGGGGCCCAGACCTCCTCCAGGGGCCAGGACAGCTCCAGACTGTCTGACAGAGAATCTTTGGGAGTTTGATTAATGGGTTGGCTTGCTCTGTCTGTTTTTGCTAATGGGGGTTACAGTTAATCAAACCTAATAAGCACACACCGAGTGAAGTATTTGCACTTTGGGATAGGACCTTGAAGGCATCGGTGTATGCAACCTGCAGATCTTATAGTGGCTCAGAAAATATGCTAATAATGTGATGATGTTTTTAGTGCAAAAATAAAGAAGATTAACAATCCAGGCTTTAATATTTGTCTTCCAAACCCAATGGCAAACACTGTGGGGCCAAGGAATAATATGAGGATAGATTCACAAGGAAATAGGAACATAACGTCAGACTTTTAAAAGACACCATTGCCGTCAGCAACACTCCTCTGATTTTTGACTCTTCCTAACTGATTTATTATTCATATCTCCTCTGTTGTCACCAGGCTTGTTAATGTCAGAAACTTTTGACTGTTTTTCTTCTTTTGGGGTGAGTAGCTTCTGAGCCTGAGGGGCGCCCTCTAGAGGATACATTGCTTAACATTCTTTCCGATGCAAAGACAAATGGAAGTTTGAAGGTTGTGAGGATCACAAAATTAAAAACATGTGGGTCTACAATCACTGATCGCTTTATTAGGGACACAGGATCAATTGCTTGTTAACACAAATAGCTAATCAACCAATCATGTGGCAGCAATTCAATATATTTAGGCATGTAGACGTGGCCAAGACGACTTGCTGAAGTTCAAACTGAGCATCAAAATGGGGAAGAAAGGAGATTTAAGTGACTTTGAACATGGCATGTTTGATGGAGCAAGATGGGCTGGCCTAAGTATTTCAGAAGCTGCTGAAGCTGTTAGGGTTTACAGAGAATGGTCTGAAAAGAGAAAATATCCAGTGTGAGGCAGGTGTATAGATGATGTTGATGGTTGATGTTAGAGGTCAGAGGAGTATGGTTAGACTGGTTTGAAATGATGGAAAGGCAACAGTAAGTCAAATAACCGCTCTACAACCAAGGTGCACCATCTCTGAACGCACAACATGTCAAACCTTGAAGCAGATGGACCACAGCAGCTGAAGACCACACCAATTGACCCTCCTTTCAGCTAAGAACAGAAAACTAAGGCTTTGGGCTCCTTAGTACCAACTGAGCATCGTTTAACTACCACAGCCTACCTGGGTATTGTTGCCGACCATGTCCATCCCTTTACAGCCACAGTGTACTCATCTGCTGATGGTTCCTTCCAGCAGAATATCCATGTCACAAAGCTCAAATCATCTTAAACTGGTTTCTTGAACATAACAGTAAATTCACTGGACTCCAGTGGCCTCCACAGTCCACAGATCTCAGTCCAATAGAGCACCTTTGGGATGTGGTGGAATGGGAGATTCACATGATGGGTGTGCAACCGACAAATCTGCAGCAACTGCGTGATGCTCTTCAGTTAATATGGACAAAAACCTCTGAGGGATGTTTCTAACATCTTTTGAAAGTATGCATTAAGATTTAAGACAGATCTTAGGGCAAAAGAGGATGTTTTATGGTGTCTCCTTGGCTCTTGGGGCCAACTCCCAGTGGACATTTGAGGAACTGCAGCTTAATGGACTTCAGATATTGCCTCATCTCTTCATCCTTTTCTTTTAAAATCCGGACAGTATTTTTTTTTCCTAATCCTGCCTGCAAAGACACCAACTGGATTGGGAAACATAACCTCTTCAGTGGATGTTGCAGTAAAGTGTGTGTGTGTGTGTGTGTGTGTGTGTGTGTGTGTGTGTGTGTGTGTGTGTGTGTGTGTGGTGGGGGACAGGGTTAATCCTGCCATGATGGCGTGATTGGAAACCAGCAGCTGCTGTGGAGCTGGGGAATAATTTGATCTGCTTTGGATTTTACATTTGTGGTAATTTAAAGAAAACACAGACAATAAACGGCTGTGTTCCTGTAAATCCAGCAGCTGTGAGCCTTTTCTGCCTCCTGCTGATGACAATACAGTCAGATGGGAGGCTGTGAAAAATAAAAACACGCTGCATCAAAGAGAATAGAGATGGTTCTGCAACCTGCTGCTGCATCCTCGGAGCGAAAGGATTTTTCAGAAAGTTACCTGATGCTGTTTGAAGGTTTGTCCTCTTGAGGATAAAAAGCCCTTTGTCTGACTCTGACCCATATTGCTAGAGGTAATCTGTGCTTAAAAATGATTAAATGTTGCTTGTGGCTGTTCGTACGATGAAGTGCATGGGTTTTAATCCTGCAGCAGAAATTGCAGATTTTCTGTCTATGATCTTGGGAGTCTCTGTCTAGATTTTGGATAATGAATGAATCTCTTTTCCAGCTGATAGACATAGCAGCATTCAGGCCGCCTGGAGCCGTTCCACTGATAGTATGTGGAGCACTTACACAGGCAACAGTGCCAAAAACAGAGGGATGTCCTCAGGATTTTGCTTGTCTAGACTTCTACAAACACTCACACGCTTGAAAAGTCAAAAATCACCGCTTAATGACTGAAAAAATGATCTGAATAAACACTCCTCTGCTGACTCTCCTCCATGGCCTCAGAGGGTGCATGTTTTGAATTTATCTCACTGAGTTTTAACTGATTAATCCACATTAAGCCACATTATTTGCTCCAGTTATTTTCAGTCCAGGATGTTTTGTAATTTTTTTCCAATCCTTTTAGATGCATAATGACTCCAAAAATAAATTGCGTGATGTTTCAACAACCTCATGCCTTATTTTTAGGAGCAATGGATATTTTTAACAGTACTTCAAAAATGAACATGAAGGTGATGTTTTGGTATCTAATCTCATCCTTGTGTTCTTATTTGATAAATAAATTGTGTGATGTTGAAACAACCTCTTACCTATTTTTCAGGAGTTATTTGTATATCCATTATCAGCTATTAGAAAAGGGCCAACAGCTCATGTATTTCCTCTGCATGAAATTTAATGTATTTGCCCTCTTAGAGCTAAAAAAAAACTAAAAAATATTTGAGATCATTTGTGTGAGAGGTGAGAATTGCAAGTGCAACCTTTTCTCCCCATGATAAGGTTTTATAGCTTCCAGTGCCATAATTGATTCTCTTTATTGATCCAAATCTTCCAATTACTCTGTAACTTCTTGTGGATTTTCTGTGCAACAAAGTCGACCGGTATGGGTTTTTGTGTGTTAACAAACAACAACTTTTTACACTTCTAAAATGAATACATTTTTGATCACAGATTTGACTTTGTGTTTGAGGGCCTGGATCTGGATGGTCTCTAAAAATACACTGTTCGTCTCTGTGTGATAGAAAAACCCCTGAATGTCAGAGTGAGGTGATTTTACAGTAGGTCAGTATGTTTCATTGTTCTATTTCTTAGAGCTGAGATTGCAGTCACAACAGCATAGTTGTTTTTTGTCTGCTCCTGTCCTCTGTCTGCCATGATTACTCCCTTGGTTGTCGTTTGTGCTGACTTTCTCTGGAGATGCATTACATACATTGTTTATATCGTCCTCTGGTTCTCCAACCACTCTTAGCTCTTTACACCATATTAACCCACCCATGGCAGAGGTTGCTAGTGCCCATTAGTTTCTGAATAACCCCATTTACACTGGGCATAACCAGTTAGGGCAAATGGGTAAAGTATCTTGCTCAACTCAAGGATTTAGCAACTCAAAGTTTTTTTTGTTTTTTTTCTTTTTTAATTCCCATCCCTATTTGCGTCATTGTTTAATAGACTGATGTCTAATATAGTCTGTAGAGTTCTGTGGATAAATATTGATTGACTCGTGTGAAAATCAAACTGTACATTACACCATATTATGGTAGTTTATTGTACTTTAGTGAGATTAGCATCAATTAACAACTTGGCTTCATTCCCAGAGTAGAGCTTGAAGCAGGACTAGTGTGTGATGCACCATAAGCAAGCTTGTTTGTCTCAGCTAACTACTGTGTTCAAGTGTGGGCAGTGTGTGCAGTCAGAGAGTTGTGTATTTCAGCAAACAGTTGACCAAAACAAGCAACTTCTTGTTATTCAATACTAAAGCTGCGTTCAAGTTACATTGGAAGTCAGATGTTGCAGCTGAAAATGACGCCACACCCGTGTTACTGGCGTTTCAGTTACAAGGTCAGAAAAAAGCAAAATTGGAGGCGGTAACAAGATGGCTACATCTATGAAAGTTATTTTAGCGCTTACCTTGTCCGCATATAACAAGGACATTCGACTTCCGAGGTAACGCAGGAGAGGATTCTGAATATTTTAATAATTGCCCTAGAGTGCTCAACTTGTATGTTTTGGTGTTTTTCTGCCTCTACATTCATCTGCACTGGTCTGCACCCTCCCCCTTCAGACAACAGCCAATCAGTACAGTGCTTCATCATTACAGCATCCCTGACCCCTCAGATCAATGCAATGATAACAAGGCTGGAAACTGAAAGGCTGCAGGTTGGGAAGTTTTTTTGCTACTTTTTAAAAAACCTCTGCAAAAAGAAGACTAGGATACATTGGATACAGCTGAAAGTTTCCATTGCACTGGCTCCTTGAGCAAATTAATTTCAACACAAGAGGAACCACAATGCCAAAGGGAAGTCTGGAAATATCATTTGTGGTTGACAGGAATCCTTGCAAAATTAGTCATACTTCAAATAGCACGAGTTGTAGTATATTGACCCCAGTTTTAGCGACCAATTCAATCATTTTTATCCATAATCCACAAATGTAAGTCCTATGTGGAATTTGTATTGGTCTTGTTACTGCAGTGCTGGCATCCTTAATTGTTTCAGGTCATGTTTACTATTTTTGTATGATTAGGTTGCACAAACCACAGCAGTGTGAGTCCACTGCATTAGTAACTGTGTGCTAAAATCACTACACTCTGAGTCACTGTGGATGTTATATTGCTACATGGCTTTATAAACTGTGATATGTCAAAATCCGGTTCCCTTTTCAGATCACAAACTGTCATGTGCAGCCACAGTGGTGCCACTCTGTTCAAAGTCCTGTTCACATGTCAATCAAAGAAAAAAATCTCCAAACTGAAATGTCTCAACCTGTCATGCAGAGGCTGTCATTCAAAACGAGTTAAAGCCCAAGATAGTGGAGTAAAGCAAAGAGAGAAGACAATCAAAGAGGAATCCTCACACTGTAAATGCTTTCTATACTGTAGCTCGTTGGTAACATATTCTTGACAGACCAATCTTAGCCTCGGTCCCTTCAGAGACTTGATTTGAACTTTTTGTACCTGTGCCTGGTCACAAGGCTCCAGGGATGTACTATCATTCTTGTTATAGATTCTGTATTGATTCTACATAAAAAATGTAATGACAGGTCTTGTTATCAGAGGTGATCTGGTTTGTAGTCTGAGCAGATATGACCCATCACAAATCAGGAGGATTAAGTGTCAGCGGGAAAGCTGCAAAGAGGGCAAAAACATGCCATGCAGAGTCCATTTTAATGACACCCCAGCACCCACCTGACCATGATTTATTTATACATAAACTGTTATCTGCATGCATAAGCAGCTGACAACCTGTTTTGGTCCAACATTTTGACTTGAGATCAAATCAGCCTGACACTGTGTCCCCAAAGCCAGTCGGCATTTCAATCTCCCAGAATGCATCGGAAATTTAATTCAACCCCTGCTCAGCAAACAACCGCTTTAAACGTTGTTTTCTTCTTCCCTTGAGGACACACCTGACAAAGCTTGACTTTTTGTAAATCCTGCGTAATCATTTTGTTATTTCAGCAAACTTGAGACCTGTTAGCTAAAAATAAATGAAAAGAAAATAAAGCTCACCCCTTATAATCTAAATGGATAGGATGATAAAACTGTCTGGAAATGCAGAAAGAGCCAGAATGTAGGATTAAGACCTGATTAAGACCATCCCCCTTTTAAAGACTAAAGGAGCGTTTTAACCAAAAGTACCAGACATTTGTAATTCCAGGAACTTTGCTCCAAAGAACTAAATTGTTCCCAGTGCTTGCTGCACTTCCTCTGTTGGCTGAAATGTTAAAACAAGTTGTCATGACTCACTTTGGCATCAAATAAGCTCTATCAACCAATAAGGGGAACTTTTTTGAGCTTTCATGCCATTGCTGTGTGCTCCTCTCTCAGCTCAGATAGGGTCTGTCTGTGAATTAGGCACCAGTAAAAAATGTAAACGAGACTGTTTCATCATAAGACTAAACCCTGAAACCATAACACCCAAAACTATCCTCTTTTTCTGGAAAGAAACTATGATATGCTCATTATTTAACTGGTAAGGTTATGTGGGATGTAAATGAAGGACTTGATTTTTCTTCTTCTTCTTTCTTTTTTTTACATAAAAAGATTGTCTTCAGGACCTGGCCCCCAGATCAATGCCAACCACTGGCTACACTGAAAAATACAGTTAATTACTTAAACTTGAATATAGATGTTGTAATTTCAGCAAACTGAAGACGTGCTATTTCCAGATATGTAATTAGAAAATGTTCTTTTCGCGTACCCTGAAGAGAAGCAGAGTGAAATCTATTTACAGAGGAACAGAGACCGATGAACAGGTGCTACTTCTATAATAAACCGAGAGGTGTTAGATTATATTTAGCAGACATAATTGGGGGCAAAATTGCTTAACTTTTGATGTGTTTTATGGGCCTCATCCTAGTTACAGGTTTAACTGTTGATGTAGAGCTTGGAAACGAAAAAAAAAAAAATTGCTATGGAATCGTTTTTACAGTCTGTTCTGTACTCCCTGTCCTGCATGATTGGTTAATCCCTTTTGGGGTGATCTGTTGATGTGGAGAGAGAGAGAAATAGATAGATAGAGAGAGAGAAAGAGAGAGTGATAGATAGATAGATAGATAGATAGATAGATAGATAGATAGAGAGAGAGAGAGAGAGAGAGAGAGAGAGAGAGAGAGGGAGGTGTAGCTCATCCTGCAAGCCTGATAGGAGCCACCTGTGCTGCTGCATGAATCGGATTGGTGCGCAGTTGCAGAGAATCAGAGGAGACAGCATCTGCGACTTAGTTCATAAGGCTTGTTTACATCATTATGAGTCAGGAGGCAGGTTAGCTGTGATCAGATCATTTCTGTACCTCTTCTATCTGTGGTTTGCCTTCGAGTGGTGTTTTCTCAAACCATCAAATATTTGTGTAGTCTTTTGTATTCGGTTATTGTAATGAGGTGGTCCTCAGAGTCCTGGTTTAGTTATACTGCACACCCATATCTACTCATATCAGTATTTTCCAGTTAATTACACTAGCTTTAGGGTGCTCTCTTTTGTTTTTTGTTTTGTTTGATGGTACGGATTGCCAGGTGTGGTTTTGGTTCCCTCTTTCAACTCTTTAGAAATTTAGATTATCCATAGGTCCATTAAGTTGCATTTTTTCCTCACATTTCTCATCTCCCCCACCTAACCTCTTTTATAATAAATAACCTCAATTTAACATTTACCTCCGGTTGTTTATGCCGCTTCCCTTCCCAATTGAGCTGAGTCATAATGTCATTTATCACTAACTTTGGCTGTTGCAAAAAGCCAGAAAGTTGGCCACCATTTCTGCGAGAATAAATCTTTGATAAACAATGGAGGGCTCTGAGTTTTCCCTCACTGGCAAGGATGTCTGGCTGCCCCCTCACTTCTACCTGCATGTGATCCAAGTTTTCAGAAAGATCTCAGTGACTAAAACATGAGTGTTTGTCATGAGAAAGATGATGCTATTCAGACAGGTGACCCTTAAGGTCTTCTCCATCTTCTTTCACAAGAACAAATGAAAAATGTTCATCAGTATGAGGAAATTTCCAGCTTGTGGCTGTTTTCCCTGATTGTAGTTCAGTCTCAGTGGATCCTATTAGAGACTTTGACAGTTTTACATCTAGTAGCGATACAAATCAGTGGAAACACATAAGCACTGATGTTTATCAGCTTCTAGAGCTCAGTTTTACCTCTATGGTTTTGGTAGATGGACTGTTTTGTTTTAATTTATTTGTTTGTTTAACATAGACATACAGTAATATTAGTACTATACTTTTATATGCACAAATCCCAGATGCACTGCACCTAGTGTAATACAGCAAAAATGCTGATCTGCAGCATTTGATTAACCCAAGGTTAATGTTTTTGTTCTTGATTGCATTGTCTGACTATCTTTTGCATAAGCTGACTCTTATCTTCTTCTCTGACTGAACCTTAACCCGGGGAAGAATTAAAAGCTCCCTACAAAAACTGATTCCAGACCGTATCGGAGGAAGAAAAAATCAACATAAAACCACATCACTTCCTCTCTCAGCTTCTCTCGGTTCATTTCACATGGAGGATATAGCCTTTGCTGTCAGAACCCAGGGGCTCTGGAGCAATCCGCCAGAGGAAAGCAGGTCAGCTGAATCAGTGATCTTTCTTTTTCACCCCCTTCTTAAAATGTATGGTTATTCAAGAGACTTTCCTGAGTATCAGACATCTTTTGGCTGCCTTTAAGGCTCTGGTGAGATACTTTTGGCTTGTGTTGACTTTGGCACCCCCTCTGGACAAACAGCCTCATTTCTTTTGGTGATTTTGATTCTGACTCAGACACTGTACACAAGGTAAAGCCTCTAGATTCAGAAGCCAACTGGTCCTGACACCGCATGTCAGCCAGATTGAGGTATAACCTCTTTAATGTTTAGTCTGACCTTAGCATCATTGATATTCTCACCAGCTTTGCTGCCAGTGCATGGATTGCAGGACAGGATGAGCGTGGTCCAGACCTGCTCTTGTTCCTTGAAAAGTGTCTTGAGATGACGACTGTTGTGAATCGGCGCTATATAAATAAAATTTTATTGATTGATTGATTGATTGATGTTGCTCTAGCTTTCCCCATCACAGACAGTTGGGGTCCAGCAGCTCCTCAGGCTGATTTTACATCTGTGATGCTAACTCTCATTTTTTCCCCCTCTTCAAGAAAGTGGTCACTGGTCACTGTCTGTTTTCAGCTGGCCTATCAATGAAGAAAGATGCCCCAAAAATGTGACATAAAACAAATAAATCACAATGTAAAGGTATTTCAGCAGACACAAAGATGATGTAAATATGTAAACACAGTGAACCCATGCAGCGTTAGCAACACCCCTAACCTAACATTCATTCATCATTTAATGAAAATAATATGTTATTGATCTAAGCTGACAAATGCTTCCTCTGTTCGATGATTCTCAGGGAAAGAAAAACCAAATTGGGACCTAACTAATGAAACAGGAAGAGCAGGTAAAAGGCTGGGGAGCTTTGGGTCAGGGACCCACTGTGCACTGAGGTCCTGGGGACTGTCAAGTCTTGGAGACTCGGGCTGAGTGCTGGGGAGCTCTGGGTCTGAAATCTTGCGACTTCTTTAGTTTTTCTGGGAAATGACCGTTTTCATAAATGATTAGGGCAAACACAAAACAGACAAAAAAATATATCTGTTTGTCTTATTGATTTTAAATAGTTTTAATCTCTTTTTTTTATTTCCAATGTATTTCCTTGTGTCTGTAAAGCACTTCGAATTGGCTTGTGTATGAATGGTGTGATACAAATAAACCTTGCCTTATTCAGTGTAAAGTTAAAACTTGTATAACTTCAGAACATTTCTATTTATATCTGTGGTTGTGTAAAATGTCAGTCAGACAGTTGTGCAATCACCAAAATTTGTCGTTTTTGATCCTTTTGCCTGAAAATGAATTCCCGTTGGTGGAAAGATGAAAGACATTTTACATGTGAGTTTCCTTTTTTCAAAGAACGTTTTTGTCCTGATGTTTGGCAGCTTGTTAGCCAGATGACAGATGTGATTGCCCTGAATATGGAGCCGAGCTCTGTGATCAAAGATGTGCATTAACATGAGGTGAATTTCCCATATTTCCCATTCGAAGCAGCTTTTGTTGGCCTGTCGTCCACCATATTTAATGCACTGAGAAGCGAAGCAGCACCGGTTGATTTTTTTTTCTTGCGGTCTTTCAACTTGCTCCTGATGTGTGTGGATGTGGGTTCTTTTATCTGACAGCAGGTCGGACTCTTCGCCTTCAACAGAGAATATCACAAAGACTTGGAGGGATAAGCCCGCTTTATCTCCTTCAGCAAAAGCAATACAAGACATGGAATATAAAACACTTTGGAGTGTACAGCCCTTCACAAAAGCTAAGCTGCTGAATTGTCTTTTCCATGTTAGTCACATCAAAGTAGGGCAAAAGCAGCAGTAGTCCACAGCCAAAGCATCTGGGGACAGTGATATCACTCCCAACTCCCAAATGCCTCATTCCCTCGTCCTAATCTCATTCTAAAATATGATTTCTCTCTGCTAAATGATTGCTTTTTGTTATTGTCAGAAAACATTTTGAACCAGTTATCATTCTTGTGCTGCTTTTTTCATTTGGTGGTATTTTGATATGTGTTAATCTCTCTGCCACATTGTTTGTTTGAGTGAGTGTGTTTGTGGAGAGATGGAGCATGGCGAATGGCTAGCTCTTTGGATGAAAAGCTGCGGGCAGGATTAAGAGGAAAAACATGGGAAAAATAATCTGTAGGCAGGCTGACGTCATGCTGTTAGGGCCGGGGTTGTGGAGGTGAGGCTGAGCGTGGTGACAGAGGGCATCAGAGCGCCTCTGAGCAACGCCAGCTCGCTGCTCTGCAAGGTGCCTTTGGTCCCTGTCCATGTGTGGCATGGCTGCTGCTCAGCTCTCAGACATAAGGTCATACAACATCAACTGCACTCACACATATACACACATTAGATAGTGCATCAGGCTGGGGTTGTGTTTCAGTCCCTGACCATTGAAAGCAAGTATAAAATTTATTATTTTAAGTACACATTATCACTACACTTGGGGATGCAATATTTCTCATGTTTAACTACTAATTCTCTTTTTTTTTCTTTGTTTTTTTTGCTGCTTGTATATCAGATGAGAATTTATGTTCAAAGAACCCATTGTAAATGTCCAGAAGCTACCAATACCTCAATTAAACATGTTGAGCACTTTTAAAGCTTAAGATTGTATTCTGTGCAGTAGTATTGTTTCTCTGTGGGATGTTTCTAGTCTTATGAGCATAGATCAATCCAGTAATATCTGGTGGTAGGTTTGACGCTGCAGGCAGGTGCAAAATCCTGCAGGAAAAAGAGATCAGCATCTCTGTAAAACTTCTCAGCAGATGTTGGCATGAAGTGCTGTAAAATCTCCTGGTAGACGTCAGACTACATGGATTCTGAACATGATAAAACATTGTGTAGGCAGATGTAGTCCACTGGCGTGTGTAGTACATTTTTGCTGGTATTCTTTAGTCTCTATGTCATTTGTTTATGGCACCCACTGTAGAGTGTTTCAACCTACAGCTGAGCTTTACATCCTTTTGTTCACACTAAAGTGTTTCAGAGAGGTGTTAAACCAAGCCAGGGTAAATGCACATGTCTGATCAACTTGTTTGATATAATATACAACTAGATGATTACATTTTTAATAGCTTCAACATGTCGTCAGGCTGAGAGGGAGAGAGATGTCGCTGGGATGAGCAGAATGGAGAAGGCGGCGAGTAGACAGTAAGCTTCGCTTCCCCCCTCTGACGCCATCTCTTTTTTTCAAATGGAGTCAGGTCACAGGCTCTTCATCATGTGCTCTTACTTCCATAATGCACCCTAGACATGCAGAATCACACTCTTCACGCATATAGTTTAACCCCTGCATTACAGGGAAACCGATGTAGAGTTGCACCGCAATTTGTGGGCACAATTTGAAGCTGAGCCAGCAGCCTTAAGTGTTAGGACCTGTCAGACCTGAAAATTGATGGCCTTATCTCATGTAGTGTGTCACAGCGAACGACAACCAAGGGCATGTCCAAAGTGCCTCCCACCATCTCACAGAAATTCTCGCATGTTTTATTTTTGACCTAATGTGCTCTACCACCTCCATGATGTTGACAAATGAGAGCACAAGGCACAACTGTAAGGAGTACAGTTTGTTTTAAGAGGTGCTGCTTTTTTATTGTTGTTGTGTTTTCTGAAAGGAATAAAAGGTTGATTTGCATTTCATGTTTTCCATTAAACATTATGTTTCAAATAAAATATGAAATAAGGGAAAGTTTGTAATGTTCAGGTGAATCAGAATCAGAATACTTCATTAGTGACTTTGGTCATTGCACTTACTCTCAGAAATACAAATATTATTAATAGAAGAAGAATAGAAATTGGAGTGAAATTAGAATAGATAAGAAATAAAAACTGTCCAGAAAAGAGCAGATTATTAGAAAGAAAGCTATTTTCAATGTGCAGATTGTGTAAAAAATAAGCCATGTGCAAGCACAGATAGTAAAAAGTCATGTATAACACCAGTTTGCAGTCTTTAACTGTAGGGTATTGCACAGAGTATTGAATTGTAATGGGCTGCATGAACACTGGCACATGCATATTTTGAACCATATGTGTTTAATAGTCTCAGATTTTGCATGAGTAACTGCATCCAAAACCTCCTCCTACATGCATGATATCTGATTTATGTAAATCCTTTACATGTTCTGATATTTGCACGCTTTTATGTAACATATCATCACATGTATCTGAATTAATTCTTGCACGTGCATCTCTGTCCTGTATGTGAAACATGTGAAATGTGTTTCAAAGGTTGTAAATCTCATGCAGTTAAGGACTCTTTTTAATCCTGGCGGGCACAGCTCAGTCAAACATAACTCCCAGCCTGGTGTAAGTACTGTTACGGCGGGGGTATTAGTGCATCTGAGCAGTGAGCTGTCTGCGTGTTGACGGACAGGGTCATGGTCAGCTTTTTACCTCACTGTCGAGTACACTCGCTCACTCATTCGCTCACAGGGCAGCTGAAGTTATTAACACGCTTTTAACAGCACAAACAGATGCTGAGCTGCTAATCTAACACACTGAGCCGGCACGCTGTAAAGAAATGCATCAGCAGCAACAACAAGTGTACATTCCTGCTATATTTAATCCAACTCTCTGAGGGATACGGTCCATATTAAATATTCAAGTGTCAGGGATAAAACTGGAGCACTGTGCCCAAAAATCTGGACTGAAAACTATTTCTGAGTTTGCTGAAGTTTAGATTGTTTCATTATGGTGGTGGTATGACTTCAATATGACACAGCATTATTATCTGATGTTATTTAGAGGTGAACCTTCACTTTCTGAAAGAACCTCACACCTACTATGTCATCTCTTTGCAGTAGCTCCTTAATGCTCTCTGTTGTGCGTAGAAAAAACTGTTGTAGTGGTGAATGCTGGTTTGGTTACATCTACAGTTGGTTTGCTGTTTGCTTTTTGACTCTTGACTTTGGCTATTTTGCTGCTGCCACATTGGATTTTGAGTGCGCGAACGTACGGGAGGTACAGCTGAGCAATTAATCAAATTTCCATATAAACTGAAGCTGCAAACAGTGTTGAACAGGTCTTCGCACCTCTGCACATGTTGGAGTTTGTGCACATTAGACTGCAGTAATGGCATGTATGTAGTGCAGCTGCAGTTTGTTTCTGCTGTGGTGTTTTATCGTGCAGTAGCTTTATACGCACTCCACCACTTGCACAGTAGCATTGTACGTATTCGGTTTGGAGGGGGCGGGATTTATGACCTATACTGCAGCCCGTCACCAGAGGGTGCTGTTCTCGGGGTGGCTTCACCCAGCGAGGGACAGACACTGTCCATTCTATATACAGTCTATGGTTTCTACACTAGCATGTTATTTCTTGACTTTCGGTAGGGTTTAACAAAATGCAGGTAACCATATGATGTTTCACCAAATATGTGTCTACCTCCAGCTTCTGTTTGTCTTGTCTCATTCATTTCGACACAGTGAATAAAATTAGTTGGTCAGTTTTTTTGTGTTTCTTAGTGCTCAAATTTTGAAAAAGATCTCCATGATGAGCACAAATCTACTCTTAGAAGATTCAGAAAGTGCAGATGTCTTGTGATCAGATCCGTGACTTAGAGGCACTTTCTTTCCACCTCTCTTCACAGAGAGGTTTTGGTCCTTTGCCAGCATAGCGCTGGGCATTTGCTGCCATTTACTAAATGTTAGCTAGGCACACTATTTTGCCTTTAGCTAACACTATAATGCCATCCTGAAAACTGCCCTAAAAAGATCTTTTTATAAGTAGTAATCTGAGAAAAAGCCTTCTGCTTTCTCGAAATAGTCAAAAGAATCACTCACTGTGAGTATTTACCGTGAAAAAGTATGAAAAGGGTTTTTCCTCTCTGCTGTAAATCACCTTGTCTGACGCCTACTCTCCTCACAGCATTTTCAGGCATTCAAAATTACAACAAAGACATCATCAGTCTTTTTGCTAATGGTTTTGTTTGCTTTTCTAGGTCATAAAGAGGAATCAGTGTCAATTTTAGTGTTTTATAAGCAGCTCAAAACTCCTCACAGGATCTTTCATGAAAGTTACATCAGCCTTAGATGACTGGCGATGACTTCCAGGATTGCTTTACGGTGGATAATGCTTTTTCTGGACTGTTACTCACTTTGGCTCACATTCTTTTTTGAAGGAGTGCCAACAACAATCTTTCCTCTCATAAATAGCCACCTTTAATATCCTAATGCAAGTTAAACACAGAATGAACAAACAAATAAATAACACAGAAATTTGTTTACAGTTTCCAAAAAAGTGCAATCTGTGCCAGATTCTGGTCTGAGATTTCAGGATCAGAATCTGGTTTTTGTTTACGGTCGAAGTAGTATTACAGGCCTAAGCAGTACACAATTCATCATAATGACGACTGTCAACCATGAAAAGCTGTGTTGTACGTCTGAGCCTCTACAACAAACTTCAGAACAAGAATAGGCCCCGTCCCTAATTTTTTTAAAAAATAAACTTATGCCAACATCAAACTTAAATTATAAAGTAAAGTTGAATATTTCTCTCTCAGAGGAGACCCATTGGACCAATTGTCACTTTATATTCATAGAGACTTGCTTTACATGGTTTTTGCTCAAAATCCTCCCTATTTGTCTCATACTGACATCCATGAAAACCATAATTTCAGTAACTTTAATCTTCTGCCTGAAACTCCTCGCTTTGGCTGCTTTTCCCCGAGACACAGCTTGCAGGTGTTACTTTTTACACAGTTGTGTAATAATAATAATAATAATAATAATAATACATTTTATTTGTAAAGCGCTTTTCAAAGACACAAAGACGCTGTACAGAGTAAGCAGTAAAAACACACATCAATAAGTAAGAAAATTTACGGCAATATAATAAAAACATGTAATCAGGTAAAATCAAATAACAATAAAACACACATAAATGAGTAATAAAATTTACGACAATGTCAATAAAAACATGTAGAATCAGGTAAAATCTAATGGGGGGTTAGGAGGGATGAAAGGCAGTGCGGAAGAGGTGGGTTTTGAGAAGGGTTTTGAATCTGGTGAGGTCAGTGCAGTTTTTGAGTTCAAGTGGGAGTGAGTTCCAGAGGGTGGGGGCGGCGACTGAGAAGGCTCTGTCCCCCCAGGTTCGGTGCTTGGTCAGGGGAACTGTGAGGAGGTTGGCATTGGCGGAGCGGAGGGTGCGGGAGGGGATGTAGGGGTGGAGAAGATCCTGTAGGTAGGGGGGGTTGTGGAGTGCTTTGTGGGTGAGGAGGAGGATTTTGTATTGAATGCGATGGGGTATGGGGAGCCAGTGAAGGTTTTGGAGGACGGGGGTGATGTGTTGATGGGAGCGTGTGTGGGTGAGGAGGCGGGCGGCTGAGTTCTGGATAAGCTGAAGTTTGTTGAGGAGAGTGGAGGTGGTGCCATAAAAGAGACTGTTGCAGTAATCTAGACGAGATGAAATGAATGCATGTATAAGGGTTTCAGCTGCAGGGTAGGAGAGGGAGGGGCGGAGGCGGGCAATGTTTTTGAGGTGGAAATAGGCTGTTTTAGTGATTTGCTTAATGTGTTGGGTGAAGGAGAGGTTGCTGTCGAAGAGAATGCCAAGGTTGCGACAGTGGGAGGAGGGGGAGAGGATGGAGTTGTTGATGGAGAGATGAAAGTTTGTGACTGTGGGGGTGAGGGAGTTTGGGCCAATGATGATGAGATCTGTTTTGTCATAATTGAGTTTAAGAAGATTGCTGTCCATCCAGTGTTTGATGTCAGAGAGGCAGTTTGAGAGGGAGCGTTGGGTCTGGGGGGTGATGGAGTTGGAGGAGATATATAATTGAATGTCATCAGCATAGCAGTGGAAGTGGAGGTTGTGTTGATGGAGGATGTGGCCAAGAGGGAGGAGGTAGATGATGAAGAGGAGGGGACCAAGCACCGAACCCTGGGGGACACCTTGGGACACGGGGGCGGTTGTGGAGGAGCAGTTGTTAATATGGATGAAGTGATTCCGGTCTGTGAGGTAAGAGTGGATCCAGTTAAGAGCGGTGTCTGTGATATTGAGGAGGGAGTGTAGGCGGGACAGAAGGATGGCATGGTCGATGGTGTCGAAAGCTGCGGAGAGGTCGAGGAGGATGAGGATGGAGAGTTGGCCAGAGTCAGCGGAGATGAGGAGGTCATTTGTCACTTTTATGAGGGCAGTTTCAGTGCTGTGGTGGGTGCGGAATCCTGATTGGAACTGTTCATATAGGTTGTTACTGTTGAGGTGGGTTTTGATTTGTGATGCGATGACACGTTCGAGGATTTTTGACAGGAAAGGGAGGTTTGAGATGGGCCGGAAGTTACTAATGTCATCGGGGTTGAGTCCAGGTTTTTTGAGGATGGGGGTGACAGCAGCCAGTTTAAGTGACGGGGGAACAGTGGCGGAGTTGAGGGAGGAGTTGATGATCTGTGTTATGACTGGGGAGATGACGGGGAGGCAATGCTTGATGAGGGAGGATGGGATGGGATCGAGGATACAGGTGGATGAAGACATGGAGCAGATGATATTAGTCACGTCGGTTGAGGAGACAGGTGAGAAGCAGGAGAGTGCTGATGGGATGAGGGGAGGAGGGGAGGAGCAGGGGATGGAGGGTGGGGGAAGGGAGTTGTGTGTTGCATTTTTCCGGGGTGAAGGTGATGGAGGTACTGTCTATGGGGTGGAGCAGTTTTTTGACGGTGGAGAAAAGAGCCTTTTGGTTGCTGGAGCCGGAGTTGATGAGGTTGGAGTAATAGGATGAGCGGGCGGATTTGAGGGCTGTTCTGTATAGGTGGAGGTGGTCGGTGTAGGCTTGGAGATGGACAGTGAGACCGGATTTGCGATATAGACGTTCCAGTTGGCGTTTATGGGATTTCATTTTGTGTAGTTCAGAAGTATACCAGGGGGCAGAGTGTCTGAATGAAACTGTTTTTGTTTTGAGAGGTGCGAGCTGGTCCAGGCAGGAGGATAGAGTGTAGTTATGTCTTTACAGAAAACACCTGAGGCTAGCTGTTGCCATCCACATTCTCTACACATTTAGCCATGTTAGCATATCTTGTGTATAGAAACATTAACTATTATGTTTCTTCCGCATTGTGGTTTTTATACCACAAAGGTATGAACTGAAGCTCTTCATCTATTTGTGATCACAAATAGATGAACAGCTCCAGGATTCAGCTACAGCTGAGACTCAAAGCAGCTCATATTGGCCTGATAAATTTTCTTACTTTCATTTTTTCGGGTACAGAAATTAACCATGGTTTAGAAGTAGTTTTTTAACACAGCAGAATTTTACATTTCTTTCAAGTTTAAAAAGTTTAGTTCAGAGCCTTGGAGCTACCTTTAGCAAGCCTCACTTTTCTGGGACTGACATTGTGGAAATGTCTTAAAACATATTTTAGCTGAAGAATTCAACTTTTGAGTCGATTTGAAGACGTAGAAAAAAGACGACGGGAAACTTCATGATGTTTAAATTTTAAATAAAGGCTGGAAAGCAGAGTTTTAATGAATCACCGCAGAGGATCAGTGGGGTTTAAACAGTTACAGGAAATCAATATCAGCAGTCAGGCCTGTGTGTCCTTAAGCAGACCATTTCTTTGTAGAGTTCAGGTTATTTTGAACTTTGCTGCAGCTCTCTTCAACTCTCTTCCGCTCTCTTTCTCCATTGTTAAACATCCACATTTCCCTTCGCTGCTGACCTTCTCTGCACAGTTTCGTGCATTTGCTTTGCCTTTGCTTTGAGGTATGTCTCTCTGTCACACATTCGGCATGAAAATGTGCTAAGAGTCAGAGCATTTCCGCTTCTCACTTTTCCAGTGAAAGTTGCCACTAGCAGCATCAGATAATGTCTGTCTAACGCCAAATACTGCCCTCTTTATGCATTTCTTTTTTAACAGGAAGATTTTCTACCTCTTCTACTAAGACAGCCAGCAGCAAATTATTGAAACTTGACTGAAATGTGACCTGCCAGAAGTGCAAAAAGGAGGTTAAATCCACCTCACTCACATGTGTGTTTAAATTTGCACATGGTCCCTTTACAAATAAGAAACATCTCAAATTAAAAACCTTCTGCTCAGTCTGGGTCTGGGACAGGGGAGGTGTCAAAGGACCCAGACGTCTTTAGCAGAAGTGTTCACTACAGCTTGGCCAAGTTGAACAAAAAAAGTGAACACGTTTTAATGCCACCCAGTTCTGAGGTTTACCCTGTCACAGACAGTATTTAAAGGAGAATTCTGCAGAGAGTCTCCTCATATCTGGTTTAAGTAAAAACAAAGACAGGAGCAGACTCTGTTGTGTAAGTGATCCAGACAGTTAGAAGTATAATCCCACGTTTGCATGTGAAAAGAGAGACAGTTGCGCAGTTAACCTACTCTAAAGGTTATAGGCCACCGAAGAGCAGCCGGCTGCCTGCTTAGACTGCCTTTACACGAAGCAGATTCAGGTTTCAGAGTCCTGCTGCTAAAGAAGATGAATCACTGATGTGCTAAAAGACTGTTTGTAAATTGTTTACTAAAGCTGACCTTCAGATGCTCCTTCTTCCTTTTTTTTAGCAGGTGGCTGCTACATATTACGCTTATCTCCCTCTACAGCAGTAGTAACTAATGTGGCTAATTACTGACTCATGAAACTACATAGTTCTCATAATGTTGTGACTTTTTTCTTGTATCATAATGATTTTTTTTTTTCTTATGGCGTAATGACTTTTTTTCTTCTAACAAAATGTCTCTTTTTAACATGATGACTTTTTTCTCTGAACAAAATGATTCTTTTCTGCTAACATAAAGATACCCTTTTTAACTAAAACAATTTTTGTTTGTTTTTCTCTACAAACCTAAAGATTTTTTTCTTGTAAAATACCTTTGTATTCTTCTGAAATGTAATGACTTATTTTTCTGAAAGCATAAGGACTTTTTTGGTTGGGAAACCATTACTTTTTTTTTATTACATAATCCCTTATTTCCTTGAAATCTAATGGTCTTTTATGTGAGGTGATGACTTTTCTAACCAAAAATAACCATTTTCACATGACTTTTTTCTGATAATGTAATGACCTATATCTTGTAACATAAGGACTTTTTGTATTGATTTTCTTCTTGTGAAATAATTACTGTAAAAGTGATTGATATTGTAACACTTGGACTTCATTATCAAAAATTTGTTTTTCTGTTATGGTTCTTATCTAAAAAAGCAAAATGTCCAACAAACAATTGAAACATCATAAAAATAGAGACAGATGTGGTGTTTGAAGTTTAACACGTCTCTATTTTGGTCTTCTGTACAGCTCAGCACCATCAGGACCTCTGTTGAAACCATCAGTCGTCCTCAGCAGACATTAAACTGATGTACTGCTCTGAAGGAGACAGGCTGTTAGATCCTCAGTCGTCCTGAAAAATTTATGGAGAAACCGCAAGAAGCTTTAATGTGTGAAAACGTCCTTGACTTATAAATGTCAGGACTGCACACTTAAACATGAACACCTGTAAGCTCTTCAACAACAGTCCTTCCATTATATGACTGTTTCTTTTAAAACAGAGACAGGAGTTAGATACATTAGTATTCTGTCACAAAAAAATAGGAGAAGAGGAAAAATCATGCTGATTCGGCTGGCAATTAACTTGGGGCTGGCAATGAACTTTGAGAATTGGCGGCAGTTTTGCATTAGTAATGATCCCATCTCTAATTGAATGTTAAAAATCCAGTATTTTCCATCAAATGGTTTTATGTCCACATTTAATGAAGTAGAGCTGTTCTTATTAGGGTCTTGATTTGGGAATCAAATGAATGCGATGAATTAGATTAACTATTCAAATAAATGCTGCTCTTCAGCACCAATGAGATTTGAGATAGCTACAGAGAGCTTTTCCTGTCCAATACTGGGTTGGATTTTACTTTTTTGCATAAATTCATGTTAAATGACCTTTTGGTGTCGGTATGGTTTGCAGTTTTATCATAGACAATGTGAAGCAGCTGACCATAAAAGACGTCTCCATCCTCTTCATCACTTTGAAGCTGTTCTTAACCATGGTATATGTGTATTGTGCAGTAGACTCTCTTTCCAGTGAAATGCTGCTGTGCTGTCACTGCCAATCTACTGTGAAAAAAAAATAGGGGAATGATCCTTTTTTTCAAGTCAAACATTCTTTGTGTGGATGCTTTGGCTGCATTTATATTCTGGGTTTGGGGCTGGGGTCGAAAACGCCTCTGGACAGACAGTCAGTTTGCTGCTCTTTCAGATGCCTCTTCATCGGATTTATAAGGTTTATCATTGGTATAGAGTGTCTGATTAAATTTGCTCTCCATACTGCCTCCAAACTGGAAAAATCATAAAAGGATGTTGTCTTGTTAACTAAAACAAAACCAGTAGTTTTTTTAATATCTGTGATATATTTTAGCACGTCATCATCCCATGTTTCTCATGGAAAAGAAGGGTCAATAAACATTTCTAAGAGTGATTTTTTTTTTACCACTACTAACTACATCTGCACAGAATCAGCAGCTACAATTTATCTCTTACTGAGGTCTGGAGTTTGGTTATCGGTAAACCATCTCCTTTTTTAATACCACTTGCAATATGCCAAACTGGGCACATCGCTTAGACACATCTTCCTGAGACGTAAGACTGGCCTGCAGTCAGTTTTCTTCCATTAAGCAAAGGCTGTAGTTAACTTCTCCTAGTCAGTTTTTTGTTTTCCACAGATCTGTGGTGATTCTCACTCACCTAAATATTATAATGATATATTTTAATTCCTCTTGACATTGTCAGTCATGTCCTGAGAAAGGGCTGAGTTTTGTTTGTTTTAGAGCTCTAGAGCTGAAGCAGAAAATGTTTCCATTGCGTCTTGATACTCCAAGTTGCTTTAATCCCTTGCTGATCCCGCAGTTTACATCCAGGCTTACATGATGAGAAGTGTTTATGTCATGCTGACCGCCCTGAGAAGATCTCAACACAGCAGGAGCCATGTTTGCTACATGGGGGTCCATGTCGACTCAGCTTTAGCCTGAGCGCAACAGAGGGCAAATAAAGCTGAGTGTCCGCTAACTGTGCAGGCTGCAGGGCGATTAACTGAGAGGCGACAGTGTGCAGGTCATCAGGTCCTCTCCAGCTTTCACAGTGGATTGTAAATGCATAAAAAAAAACATTATGTAACATGTCTGAGGACTATAGGAGCCATACAGGGGGATGTGCGGTTATCTCATATATGATTATTTCTCTCGCTCTCTCACAGGTTATCTAACCGTCTCCATTGACCCCCTCCCTCATGTCGTTATCGGAGACACAGTGACACTGAAGTGCAACTTCCAAACGGACGGAAACCTGCGAGAGATTGTGTGGTTCCGGGTGAGCACGCAGGTGAACTTAATGTGAAAACAGCTTCCTGTCAGCTTTCCTCTATGTTGGCTCAATAAAACTCCTCCCTCCGACCTAAATTTGTCCATGTTAAAATATTGTTTGGCAAAGAGTCCCTGTTTAGGAGGGAGTTTCAGTTTAAAGCCCACAATTTTTATTCTCAAAAGTACAGAAAAGTAAATATTATCTATTTTTTTAATGGAGCAATGCTTAGGTGCTACTTCAGGCAGGCAACTCAAGCTGCACTAATTTCACACCTCAAGTGCATCATTTCCACTCCCACTTGATTAACAGTTCTCCTGAATTTGGTGATCTATCCCAGCCATCAGATTTCCATCCTCTGCTCTGCTTAATCTCCCTGCTGCTCTGCACTAGTACTTCACAGCATCCACCTGCAGGCTCCGGTTAGGGGTCTATGTGATTGTGAGCATGATGCATGTCAAGCGTTAAATCAGTGCCTGAACTAGTTGCTGGATTGGCTCCATCCAACAGAAAAGTGTTCCTCCACCTGCAGATCGTTTTGACCTCATTAATGGGGACTTTTATTGGGGTACATTTAACCCTTTACTGAACTGTACAGCATTTTATTTCTACTTATATTTTAACCCTTTGAATTTGATTTGATGGATATAATCACCGATTAGAAATTGAAATTAAAACTAAAACAACCTTGATGCTTGGATTTAACTGTTGATGCAAAATGAAGCTAGAGATATCTACTCAGTTATTGGTCATGTGCATGTCAGTGAGTTTGAAGCAGGGCTTTGTATTTCCTCTGATGAACTGTTCTGAATAAATGCATGAGGTCTGAAACAGCTAAAGTCTGCAAAATTTAACAACCACCAGTTCAAAAGTTTAAAATAATGAATCATAACTCTATTTCCTTCTCTCCTCTCTTACTAATCATCTGGAAGCTCCTCAGATGTGCCACGTTTTCATTTCAGCAGAACATTTAGAAGCTGATGTTTTCAGTCTCAGTGATATTAATCTGTTTTTTTTTTCTGTCTCAGGTGACTGAAGGAGGAACAGCAAAGCAGAAGATTTTTACCTATGATGCCATGTACAACACCAGCTACTCTCACCTGGAGGACAACAAGAAGCGGGAGGATCTGGTTTACAGATCCACTGTCAGGTAAAACGGGCTGACGCCTCTTCTTTTTTTTTTTTATCACAGAAGGTATGAATGCTACATGTGTGAAGGGTACCAAAATATGTCTGTTTTTCAAACAACAGTTGTGCTTTGGTTTGGCCTGGTGGTCACGTTGTGCGCCCTGTGCATAGAAGCTCCAGTCTTAGCACATTTCATGTTAGATTACTTGATTTTTTTTGGCCAGAATTATTGGCAGAATACTCGTATACTAAAATAACTGATCACTGAAGCCAAACTTAAACCCTGTAGCAGATGGTGAGGGTTCGATTCTTCCTGCACCCTTCCCTGTATCACTTCCTCCTTTCTGTCTGGCTTTTCTGCTCTACCTGCTTATTTCCACATTGTACTTCCTTCTCCTGATAGTCTGTTACAATATTTAAACTGTCTTATTTTGTCCATGCGTGTATCCACAGGCTTCCTGAGGTGCAGATGGAGGATGACGGCCTGTACGAGTGTCACGTGGGGATCTATGACAGGAGCTCCAGAGACAAAGTGATCCTGGCCTCTGGCAGCATCATCCTCACTGTCATAGGTGTGTTTTTATACCTGAGGTCTCATCATGAATATTAAAAAGCAGAATCCAGGAAAGTCAGTCCATCACCAGACTCATTAGGATTCATCCTGGAGGAAATATGCAGACAAATTTCACACCATTCGAATGAATTTAACGCTTATCACACTACAACCACAGATATCAGCTTAAGTATGACTCTTGCACGCAAACGTGATAGAAATCAAAATATTTGATTGTGAAAAATCGCAAATCAGCATATTCAGAGGAAAACCTTTGATGAAAATGAATCATAACCAATTTGACACGTTCACACAGTGAGGTGCTCTAGCTCAGTGTCACCACCTGCAAACTGACTTATCACTCAACTTTGATTTTTTTGTCATATTTTTCCACGGCGTATAAATTCACCATCAATGGATCAAAGCCGCCTCCATGTTTGAGTGACCTCTTTGCATTTTCCTCGCAGTGCCTCCAAAGTCTATCTCTGTGGTGGCAGCCAACAGCCCGGCTCCTTTCAGCCGCTACGAGGCCCAGAACTTCACTCTGGTCTGCATTGTTACAGGAGCAAAGCCGGCCCCTGTGGTAAGATTTAACCCTTTTTTCCTCTTTATCTCTCTGCGAGGACTCCCTTGCTGTAATCGAGTCTGTGTCAATGCTTTGTGTGAGGCTGGACAGCTTTATGTAGGAAATGTTTCAGAAGTCCTGATGATGCTCGCCCTGCAGAATAAAGTTGGAAGTGTCGCTGAAGTTCAGACAAAAATAAATGACCAAACAATGGCTGCTGCAGCTCCAGCTCTGCTCTGCACCCTGTTTGACCTCTTTGGAGAATGTTGAGCGTTGATGTCAGGGGATTAGAGCACGGCTGCATATGTGATAAATACACTTCACAGCAGAGCAGAGTCCCCCCCGACATGTAATCACAACACTGATGAAACAAAGCTCTATTCAATTTTCTTTTTTCCATTTCCTGTTTTTATCTTCTTCACTGTAAACAGCTCCATTTGTCCAGGCTGAGATAACCTCCACACACAGCAGCAGGTTATTGCGGCGCTGATGGCATCATGGATCTCAGGTCATGTGACTGTGTGTTCGGAGCAATAAACAGGACACACAGCAGCTTTTAGCTTTAAGCTGCCCGATAACACACAAACACCACGTGCACATGCACATGCACACACACACTCATCTATAAATTCTGCAGCGTGTGCAGAAAACATTGAGCTTCATTTTAAGGAGAGTCGTTTGATGTTGGAGATAATGTCAGAGTTCATGACCAATGCTGCTCAGAGGACCACTCATGCTTATTTAGAGTCAGATAACTGAAACTGAAACTGAAACTGGAGTGGGGCATGAATTTCAGTCGCTGTACTCAATTTGTGCGAAATCAAATTTCAATGTACAGCATTATAAACCTGGTGTCACTGGACCCTTCAGCTGGCTTCAATTTATTTTCAGAGGCAGGTGAGTCTAAAGCTGCTGTTTACAGTTTGAGGTTCATGACAAAAAAGTGAGAGCAAAGACTGATATTCCTTTTTAAATTAGTGTTTGTTAAAACAAGACTTAAGATCCCAGGACTGTGTTTGTACAATTAAAAAAAGGTGTAAAGTCTAGAGCTGTAAAGTCCTAGTCGAATGGTCGACTTATTGATCGATACATGCTGAGTCGACCAAATTCTGATTGGTCAGTCAAAATTTTTCTGCGTCAATTTACAGTCTATATTTTTATCAAGAGGAACGTAACAAAAGTTGATGGGGGTGTTTTCAGAGCACCCCTCTTTCACAGGTAATAGCCTGTCTCAGAACACCCCCCTTGTTTTTACCACTTTGGATTTGCCCAACCCACTGCAGACCAGATGAGGACAGTAAGATAACAGAGCATCCAAGTTGATCAACGTTAGGTAGTGATGGGCACAGCAGTTCTTTTAGATGTACTGAATCACTAGAATCAGTTCACTAAAAAGATTTGTTCAAAAGATACGTTCACCGAATCATTTAGCACTTGGCGGGAAAAGCCTGTGACTCTGACCTCCTGAACTGATACACGGCTGAACGTTTCAGGATTCTGTTCAATTCATAGCTTCTGGGACCGGGAGTCGAGAGTGTTTGGCTGTGCTGCTTTGGAAAACATATAAGTATAAGTTTATATATATAAGTACATATAAACTTATAAGTATATTTTAAGTGTACTGTCCAATGGTATGCTATTTATCAGGTCTGCTCGGTAAATTGGGCTCAGTGAGTGATTTGTTCACTGAACGTTTAGAAGAATTCAAACTGAACATGCACCGTTCCCTCGCAAACCGCTGCAATGATTGGATGCTGCGGGTTTTATGCACTACTTGTTACATGCTGTGTCCAATTTTATGCAAGTTGTTGTGGTGGCAATTTAGCAGTGAAAAAAAATCTAGTTTTGTCTGACAAAAATGTTTCCAGCGAGTGTAGATCAATGTGTGATTCATTCACCATGTGATTCAGGCGACGGTGCATGTGCTCCCTCGTTTGCCAGCTGCTGGCCTGGCAATACTGTTTCTCACTTCAGCTCAACTGAAGGGAGAAACGAATGAATCACTTGATGAAGCGATTCAGTTCAGTACATTCACTTAAAAGATTCGGTTCTTTTGAACAGATCGTTCGCGAAAGACACAACACTAAAGTCCGGTGGTTTGCTGAATATTTATGTTATTTAAGCGTTCCCTGCATTTGTGTTTGATTGCCTTCTTGTGCTGATATCAGTATATTTTCACCCCGCCGAGCCATGCCGTGTCATCCCCCGCCGCAGAAGAGTTTGCCATCAGAGTCGGAAATTTCAGGATTTTGGTCGACCAAGAATTTCTTTGGTTGATTACAGCCCTAGTAAAGTCAGACATAAAGAAACTGCCACAAAGGAAGAAAAGGAAAAGTCATGACTTTGGTATTCATTAGGTTAGGAAACAGAGTTTTAAAATGATGTAAATCTATTTGTAATAAATATCCTAAATAAGATTCATTCTGTCTTAAGAGTTCATTTAAGTGCTTCTAATTTTACAGTTTTCTTAAAAAATAATCTTTTCTGTGGTCATTCATCTTTCTTGGTTGAATCCAAAAGTCTGAGACCTGATCAGCTTAAAAACAATCATCCACCAAAATTAACAATCACTGCAAGAGCATCATGTGAATGAAGCACAAATAGATCAATAGTAGTATCAGTAATGACACCACCAAAGTAAGAGCAGTCTCTCTCTTCAGAAACTCTGTGGGAGTTTGCTGCTTTAATATCCAAAGGGAGGGTGCCTCACAGTTTACAGCCATAAATATAGACAGCTATCTCCTCTGATGTCTTGAGGGACAGTACAGGGACTTTTGAAAGGAATCTAAATCTACTGTAAGAGGAAATAACGTCAGTGCAAACAAAGCTGGAGAGAGAGCTCACTGATGGATGAGATCCACAAGGAGCTCCAGCTGGTAGGAGGAAGGAATCAGAGTGAGTTACTGAGCCTTCACATGAAAACAGCTCTGTGTTATTGTACTGTGTTGCCATGAGTGATGGCAGGTCTTTCTTATCACAATAAACATGGTCCTATTTACGAACTGAAATGATGATTAGGAGTTGTAGTCATTCCTTCTGCTTGTAGTGGCTCTGAAAGAGAAGAGTCATTTTAGGATTTTCAAAGTATGTGCTTAGAGTCCTCATTGATGTTTGAAAAGTAACCCGGCTTGGATGTAAAAGCTAAGAAGTAATTCAGCAGCTGTGTGATAAGAAGTGACCAAAAAAGAGAAGGTTTTGAAGCTGTAATTCAATACCAGAACATTTTCTTTTTGTATCTTGTGTGTTTGAAGATAAATTGCTAAATAAAATTGACAAAAGTCGTTCAGAAGAAGCTCCTGGGACTTCAAGGTCCTGGTCTTTGTGGTAGAAACTTAGCCCGTGATCTGATCTCTTCACTTGGAAACTACACCACACAAAAATATGAATAAGTATTATTTTAACTTTGTGTGTGCTGATGGTTTGGGGTTATGAAATAATGACAGTATTTCTACCTCCTCTGACATTTTTTGCAGAGGGGTGTTGGAGTTCTTTGAGGGAACAGCCACAAAGTGGGTTGCCTTCAGTTTGCTTTTGATCACATCAGTCTTGAACTTCTTAGCATCTTCATTAATTCAGTATAATTTGGACAAAGTGCTTGGGTGTCAGTCCTTCTACTTGGTTCTTCAAAAGCTCACAAGAAAAGGCACCTTTCATGAAAAGGGTCAGACTTTACATTTGAAAGGTGTTCACTCTTCCTGTTCTGCTCACCTGTTTTTCTCTGATTCTTCAGGTTTACTTCAAGAGAGATGGAGAGCTCATCGATGTGGTGCCACCCACCCAGTCTTCCTCATCTCCAGCTGGAGACCAACACAAGAAACCTGGAAAGAGCAGGGTACGGAGCCGGGCAGGGCTCCTTAGCTCACAGATCCACATCAGTCGAGATCTGGACGACACTAAACTCCAGAAGTCCATATCCCCACCAGAAAAAGAGGGGGAACCAGCCCGGCTTGGACAAGATGGACCCGAGCCAGGGCGGGGGAATCAGGGGGCCGAGTCAGGCCCTGAGCCGACCACAGAGGTGATCCCTGAGACGGTGGTGAGCCGAGAGTTTCCCCGCTGGGTGCAGAGCAGCGACCCTCTTTATTACTTCCAGCACAAACAGCAGGCAGCAGGTGATGGCACCATGGAGGTGAGAGCCATGCTCACCTGGAGCCTGAACCCCCAGCTGGATAACGAGGCTCTGTTCAGCTGTGAAGTCAACCACCCAGCTCTGTCCATGCCCATGCAGGCCGAGGTCACACTGGGTGAGTCTACACATTTCTTTGTTATCCATTGAAAGTTATGATTATGAAAAAGAAGTTCATGCCGTGCCTTTCTGGGCTGAATCGAGTGATGATGAGCTGTCAGTCTGTGCAGATGAAGGATGTGAGCGCTCAGGTTTCAGGTTAGATCTGTATCTCTCTGATGTACGGCTCCCAGAAGGTTATCCAAGGTCGTCTTTGTTGTCATGATTGAAGCAGGGACAGACCGTGTTTGAGGTTTAGGTGACTCAGGTCCCCCTGGTTAAAAGATGATAAATACTCGGAGTATTCTGTCAATACTGAAGTCAGACCCACTCTCAGGAATACGAACGCAGATGACGCGCAGTCTCTGAGGAGCTAATGAGGTGAATATTGAGAGCTGTAGAAATCTACACCTCAACAAAACCCTGAATTTTGGAGGACAAAGTCAGGGTTAAGATGAATCATTAAGAGCACGGGCGTAACAAAGGGTAGGGGCTGCAGGGATGTGTCTTTGCTAACGTCCATCTAGAGTTCTCATCAATAATGAAATGAAATGTTTTCAACCACATGTTTAACCTGCGGTGGACTCGTTTTACACGATTTTCGCAGTTTGTTTCTGTCAGCAGGATCAAGACTTCATTATTTATGTAAGATTCAGTGCTTTGATTCAGTTTTAGCCTTGGACTACAGAAACATCACACCAAATTAGTTCCAAGGTTTTAAATTTCACAGACATAACTAAAAGATAAAAAAACACAAGATTGGAACTTGTTGCAAATGTCAGTTACTCAGGTGGAGCGAGACATAAAGTTTAGAGTTTATATATAGATACAAACAGAATTATCAAGCTCATATGAACAGCTTGTCACTATTGGCTTGACATTTAAGCTCAGTGGATATATTTCGTTTGGAAGATGAGAGTCACTTGTCAGGTATTTCAAACAGACAGAAATTGTTGAGGCACCTTTGAACTTTTTCAGCTTTGAAGGTAAATCTTAACGGGCATCACAATATTGATTTTTAAAAACAAGAAAAACAAAGAAAATCATTGTTGATGAAACAACAGTGTACGAGTTAAAGTTGCAGTGCCCTCTGCAAAGAAAAAAAAAAACCTCATTAGATCCTCAAAAAACAAACGTTGTATAATCCCGGTAGAAAAGGCCAGCTGGCTTAATTGTTTCTCAGTTTTTGCACCATGTGTGTTGTTAGGCGCAGTTCTTTTGAATCAAACTCAATACTCACGCTACTCTCAAATCCCCCAAATCTTTTCTCTCTCATCATGTGGGGGAGGAAAGACCATAAAAAGGATCCGGGGGGTTCATCCCAATTCCCTTAAATTACATTCATGCCTATCCCGCCTGTATATCTGCTGTGAATCTTATTCCTTCCCACCAGAGCTGCATGGGGAGATGAAAGAACGTGAAGAGGAGAGATGGAAAAGAAACATGTTTTAACAGATATGAGACATAATTTCTCTGTAGTATCACGTGAATCAATGTCAGAGATGAGAGATAATAGCATGATTTAAACCTCCTCCCCCTCACACACTCTCTTTTTTCTAGAATATGTGACTAACTGTGATGTTAGTGAATCAGACAAAAACAGGCACAAAACTCATGACTGATGGGGCACAAGCGCAGATTAAATCATCTAATCACTTAATTCGCGCAAAACTAGATGTGTGGATGAACTGTGGCATGTTCATAGGGTACAGGAGTACAGGTTTATTTAAGAACTGCAGTGGGGTAAAGGCAGAGGTCAACAGAAATATGTGTAACAACTCAAGTCATGCTTTTAGATGATTTTCATGTTCTTGTTTTTTTCTATCAGCTGCTCCCAGAGGACCAAAGCTGACCATGACCCCTGACAGGGCCAAAGTGGGAGACACAGTACGGATCATGGTCCAGGGCTTCCAGCTGGGCCCCTCAGCGGTGAGTTTCAGATTCACTGTTGAGCTCTGTGGAGTGCAAACAGCATCATCAATGGGTAGGAGGCATTTTGAAATAAAAAGGAACTCTTCCAACCACTTTTTAAAAAAGTGAAATACAACTTTCTGGATTGAGTTTCTCCCCTCCAGGCAGCGATTGGTTTCACTTTCCATCTGCCCACTTTGAAAATCATCATGCAGAGACTCCAGTTACAGTCAGTCGTGTGTTGCAGTGAGGCTGTTTCAAACAGGGACACAGTTAAACCTCTTAAAACAGTGACTCTTCAAAAGAAGTGCTGAGATACTGAGGTGATACTTGGCAACGTCATTAAGTGCAGAGGTATTGAGATTTTTCTAATGAAGCATAAGACATTAAGTTGCTGGGATTTTTTTCTTATTTTAAATCACATTAATAAAAAACAGGTTTCCATGAATTAGGACTCTCTATTTAGTAATATCTATCCTTTTTAAGCTGAGGTGATGTGATGTGACAGCTCCCTCATTTTGCACCAAATTCAAACAGAGGTGTTATTTTTGCCCTGCGGTGCAGTCGCCCGCAGCAGAGCTCCTGGAGGAGGAAGAGGAAGAGGAGTAAGGGGAGGAGGAGAAAAGGAGGGCGGGAGGTTGCTTGAGGACACTTGAGATGGATAGATGAGCTCTTATGATAATTCTGCAGCACATTTAGATGCAAATGATTCCCCCCTCTGACAAATAAATCTTTTTTCTTTGTCCTGATACATTCCTGAAGTTCCACCCTCAAAGATGAGATGATAAACTCTTTCTGACTTTAGAATTTTACTAAAAAATTCCCATTTTTTAAATATCTGGCAGGTTTTGATACCATGTTACACTGTTTTCAAACTATTTACATTTTTTGGACAAATTTAAAAATGTTGTTGAGTCAGTTTTCACATTAAAAAGACAAATACAGCGACAAGTTTTGTAGAAACACCAGGATGGAGGTGGCCAATTTATCCATTGAAAGATCCTCTGGCACAACATTGCACAAGTTTTCAACTCTGAATCTTGATTTCTAAAATGAGGTGTCCGCCTCACCGCCTCAGTGACAGTCGGGACCTTCAATTCTGAAATTTGTCATGTGAAGGTCTCATATTACGGTATTTTAACCATTTACAACAAGTCCTAGGTGTCCTTTAAGAAAGCTTGTAAGAAAAACATCACAAATTCAGCCTCTGTGGAGGATCTGCAGCCTCTCAGTTTCTAACCTCATTATCCACACCGTGATCTGAGTGGGTGGAGAAGCTGCTTTAGTGAGGCACTGCAATGATTGGCTGATCTGAGAGAAGAGAGTACAGAGATGGGATGCAGAGATTGAAAAACACTCAAAACAAATTTGGCGAGTGCTCCAGGAGAACACCTACCACTACACTAAACATATGATTCAAAATCTGACCCCTAACAGGAGAAGGCACGTGTTGCAGCCATGATAACAAATCGTTTCTCAGTGAAGTTTTAAAAATGTTGAGAGCCTTTTTTCTCATCCTGCATTAAAAAATTATCACCAACTGTACTTCAGGTGGATTTTTCACAGTTCCACCATCAAATCTTCAAAGCGAAACTGTGATTCATGTCTGTACACAACAGCAACCAATCAGCTGCAAAAAAGTTCAACATGTTTCCAGCAGCGTAACTCAAATATAGTGAGTTAAGAGGTTCACTGCTTAATCAAAAACAAATATGTTATATCCAGGGCATATTTTCATCAAGAGAATAATTAAGCTCCCCCTAGAAAAGATACTGAAAATGTAAAAGAAAGATAAGCAGCCACTGTTTTCATTGGTCCTCCTGCATGAAGATGTTTGTGGTAGTCTCCTGACCAACACCAGAGCAGAAAGCTTGTCCAGCTCTAACCTTTGACCTCTTAACTCTGCAGCACTGAAGTAAAATCACAGTCATGTAGGAGGAAGTGGAATTGCTGGGTGGGAGTGGGAGTTGTTTTGCGAGCATCATTGTACAAATCGATTCTGTCAATACATCCCCGCAAGAACCATCGGCACCGTTGGATGAATGTCGGATGTACTTTTTTAACCCATAACATTTTCTGAGTCCCGACTTTTTCAAAACCACGATGACATCCTGACACCCTTCATCTTTATAACTGGAGTTTGTCAGTCTCTTGACAAAAATTTTATCAAATACACAGCAGAAATAAGTCCCTGCATAACTCCAGATCATCTCCCGTTATACAATTCAGTAACTCTCCTTATTGTCAGAGTATTGTAGATAATTGTTGTATGCTTACTCTCTTACAGGAACATTTAGCAGCCAATGCAACGAGCTGGTGGTGCAGATTAACACCGAATTTAAAGAAATAAGTGACAGAAATACATGCAGATAGTATGAAGTTTGAAGTTCACTCCGTCGTGTGATTAACCAGTTATACTTTTGAAAAATATGAGCAGCATTAGCCGGCTGTGCAGGATGAAAAGCCTGACTGATGTTGGTGAGTGTCGTTCTCCCTCATGACCCGATAGCGACAGCTGAGGCTTTGAAAACTGAACTTCTTTTGACAGAACAGAGCTGGAGTCAGGGACTTTTAAAAGTCTCTGCATCAAGAAGTGAAGAAGTTAATGTGTGAAATGTTTTGATGTAGCTCCTACTGCAGAAGTCTCAAAATATGTGTTTGCAGAGATGTCTTACAACATTCATAAATAAGTAATGAAGTAAACAGTCGATTTATGTGATTAAAGAGGACAATAAAAGTGCAAACTACACAATAAAGATGCACAAATATGTCAAACGCAGAACTGGACAATTTAACGTAAATTTTCTTTGGAAATCTGGATTTTCAGGAGAGCTGCACTGATGAATAAATGTTTAAATTCTTTGAAACAAAAAGTTTAACATGGTAAATCAAATGAAAGGCTGTTTTACTGCTCTGTTTATTATCTTAGAAAGCTTTTAGGAACTGAAGGACTCTGTAGAATTAAAATTCTGGGTAACCCACAAACCTCAAATATCAGACAAAATGCATTATCAGTAATTTCTCAAACTAAGGGATTCATTTTGTGTCAATGTTTGCAGAGAAAAATCTGCAATGTACGGTATTTGATCATTTTAAGCCACTAGAAGGGACCCTGAGAGACCATTTTATTATTTTCAATTCTTTTATCATGGGCCTTCATGGAGGCTGTTTAAGGTAGTTTGTTCCAAACATGGATACACAAGGGATGGTGATTCTACCCCAGCTACCATTTTGGGCCGCTGGATTATGGCAAAAATCATAATCAGGAATATTCAGATTGATATTGACATTGCAATTATCTCTTTAAAATCTCTTTAAAATTAGACATGATAAGGGATTAAAAAACAAAAACAAAAAAAGAACTATCTTGGCTCTCTGTCTGTCTAACTGGATGATGTAAGGGTTTGAAACTGACAGGCACTAAGCATCAATTCTTCTCTTCACTTTAAGAGCTGAGCCTTTATTTTGGTTATAATACTCACAAAAGTAGACACCAGATTTCACTTGTAGTTAAGTATTTTTCACTGTCAAAAAGCCCTGAGCTCTTTTACCGCTCAGATCACAGACTATAGATCAAAGATGAAGATACAGCAGGTCACAATAAATCTTCGTGCTAGCGGCAACTTCCTTCTGCTCCCAAACTTTGTTTTCACATTGACCTGAGCTTCTGTTGCTGAGGTAAAAGTAAAAGCTGTTTGAGGGCAGGGGTCGCACCTACACTCCGCTGTTAAGGGAGAGAAGGGTGGTGCATATCATTCAATATATAAGGTAATAGTTGCAACACAGCAGGCGGCACATTAACTGTCTAGTCTAATATCATCACGCTTTTATGATTGTAGGGGGCCCAAATCATAATTGAAATTGAAATCTGATATATTGTATATCGCCCACCATATCGTACACCATTGCTCTGCAACTGTACTGCTGTTTTTGCATGAATGCAGTAAATGTAACTTTATTGACATTTGTTCAAGTACACTGGAGTCAGTTTTATGAGTGGAAATAATCAAAAGAGAGTAATAAAAAATAAACTAGCCGTATAAAATAATACGCAAAAGCTGCACTGTAAAGCAGTTAGATATGTTTAAAGTCCTGCTTACTGTGATGAAGATGAATCACATTTATTACATTTTTATCCACTTAGGTTGATATTCATTGAGGGTTTGAAGGCGGCAGCTCTGTCCTCTAGTTTAAGTTTAGAGTTTACACTCAGTTCAGAGCTCTAAAGCTGTGAGAGCCAGAGATGTGTCAATCACATCGAGGATGAAGTCAATGCAAACTTGATCTTCCACACCCCACAGTCCTGGTAAATGGTCTCAGCTGCAAAATAAGCCTTTTTAATGAGGTTCAGATGACTTAATGAAAATCTATTTCAGTCAGATTTTTATCGATCTATAATGAGATTCCCTAACTCTGATATCAAATGTGCACTTTTATTATTGAAGCCAAATTTACAGAGGCTTTATGGAGGCGAGCCTGGCACAGACAGCAGATTTAGCATATTTGACCTGAGGGGGCCTGGTGATGAGTGGGGGGTGAATTAGTTCAGCCACATGTGCTGGAGCCGCACTGAGCAGAGCAGAGGAGTCAAAATGAGAATTTAAACTGGATGTATTAGGGGAGGCAAGGGGGGAGATTACAGGAGGAACGTGACACTGGGGGGGGGGGGGACTCACAGAGGTATTTAGACTGACTTCAGATAGTAAAGAATTCTCTGTTTAAAAGAGAGGAACATCACGACACTCATGCTATAGGTGAGCTAAAAGGATGTAAATAACCAAGTTGAGTCTACAAAGATCAACTTTCATGTTACTGCTGGGACAGGTGTAAGATGAACCAGTTTGATGTTTATGACCTCATTATTTTAGCAGGTCTTGAGGTTTTTAGAAGAAATTAGTTGGAGCACAAGATGAGAGGAGAGAGAAAACATGACCAGAGTCTTTCAGACTAATATCTTACAAGGCTGAGAGAGCGCTCAGATCTCTGTCACTGCTGTCCTCTTTTTAAAAAGAGACATTTCAAGCCAGCCAAACTTTCATCTGGGTCATAAAACCTGTAAGTTTATGAGAAATCCTGTAAACCCCTCCTCTCAGCGTCTCTGACCTGTCTCCTCCATGTACCATAAGGTTACAGAAGAAGTCTTTAAACTTTTAATAGATTACATTTTCCTTAAAGTTAGACTCCTGCAACAAGGTATTACCCACATTTCTGATTCTTTACAGCACTCTCCAGAGCCCCTCAGGCCGACGAGAGCTTCAGACAGTGAGCGATGACTGAATGTGTGCTGTCAGAGCCCGGGGCTCTGAAACAAGCTGCCTGATTTCGTCAGGAAGGTTGTTTCAGTGTCATCTTTGATAAAACTTTACAGAAAGACTATTTTCAGGGGAGAGTTGATCTTTGAGTGAAGACTGTCATCAGTTCTCTCATTTTATAACTGTTAAATGTGACACGCAGGGTAAAAGCTCTGGTTTTTGTGTGCATCTACAGAGCGAGGTGTTCCCTGAGCCCATGTTCACCTGGACCAGGGTTGGAGGTCGTCTGCTGGATGGCAGAGAGACTCATGAGGGGCGGGAGCTGGTCCTGGACCGAGTTCCTGCTGAGCTTAATGGCTCCATGTTTCGATGCACGGCCCAGAATCCCTTGGGTTCAACAGACACACACACCCGCCTCATCGTGTTTGGTGAGTCTCTTTGAAGGAGGATCTGTTCAAATCACTTCCTCCATGTTCAGTGTGCTCATCGTAAAAGTTTTATGTTTACCGTTTTTACAGAAAATCCCAGACTGAAGAAAGAAAAAGGACATTTTATTGGTAAGTAGACTATTTTTAGTCTCTGCTACAACTACAATGACTGACAAGCTCAGGTATTATAATGTGTTAGGCTTATTGTTATAAAGCCCTATGATAATTAATGAGTGTTTATAATGATAGTTATACAAGTTTATAAGCAAATTATAACACACCATAAACATATGTATCATGCATTATCTATGTGGGCATTGTCAGTGAGATGTTAACATTTGTAACACATTATAATACCTGATCTTGTAAGTCATGATAAAATTCTCTATAATATGTTGTGATTATTGCCAAAAAGCATTATGATCATTTATGAGTGTTTTTGACTATACAGTTATACAGTGCTATAACATGATTATAATGCAATATAAATAAATTTATCATGTGTTACAGAGATAGGCATCAAGTAAAGTGTTACCATAACTTCCATTGCTGTATAAATGCAGTATTTTTGAGGGGGGACTCACGCAGAGAAGAAGACCTTAAAGCTCCTGTGAGAAACTTTCAGTTTGTATGATTTTTGGCTCCCCCCTGTGGACAAAGAAGTCTTTGCTTATCTGGTCATTTACATGCTGGACAAAAAACTCATCCTGCTGACTTTTCACAGTCAAATAGGTCATTTGTTGTCAATATCTTATATGGAAGCTGCTTGGCTGACCCCTCCTCTGCATTTACAGTCTTTAGCCCGATGCTATAAACTCTCTGTCATCTCTCTGCAGACATGGATGGACATAGATCTGTTGAATTATCAGTGTGAACAATAACACACTGAGCCAGAGAGAGGAAAAGCTTCACTCATCAATAATTCACTCATAAATAATAAATAACTCTGAGGCCTGCAGTAGGAAACAGCCAATCAGAGGCCTTCATACTGTTTTGCCATGCAGCTCATGATGGAGTGAGGACGGAGTTTTGACTGAGTCCAGCAGCTGGTGTGCAGATTTCTGTCCAACTGCAGTATCCGTCCACAATAGGAGTTTACTCTCATGTTGAGAGATGTGGTGAGGCTGTTTCACTATGAAAGAAATCAACAAGTACAAAAACCAGCGGCTGTACAGTTATTAATTTGATGTTTGCTGGATTCATCAAGTAAGTTTGTTAAAACAGCAGCTTAATCAAAGTGTAGATTTTCCCATCCTCACTAAGGATGCAGCAGCAGATCACAGAGTTGAAGACTTGCAGAAATCATTTTTGCATGGAATAAATTCAAGTTTGCAGAACAAAGCCACTGGAGACAGGAGACAGCCCCCCTCCTGAGGCTTTCTAGTTACACAGTTTGCAACAACATCCGCTGAGAGACTTAGAAAAACTTCCCGAGGTTTGGAAAACATCTCACAGTCAGACTTTTTAGTAAAGTCTTTAGCAGGGTCGCTCCATACTTTTGTTGAGATTATTTCCAGCATACGAAGCTTTTATTACGTGTGCAGTACTTTGCATTATCTGTGCTGATCAAGGCCTTTAATTAACACCTGAGATTGCTATATGAGATGACAGGCTGCTGGGCTGTCAGCGTTTTCTCCAACTCTGATATCTCATTTAGTTAAAAAAAAAAGAAAAAAAGAAACGAGGTTTAACGGATGTTCAGTGGAGTCAGCATTGCCAATATGGTGGTGGTCTTCTTTGAGCTTCAGCTCTTTAGAGACCAGGCTGAGAGGCTGTTTGGGTTTTTGCTTCAGGATAAAGCACACCTCTTAGTTTTACCATATTTAAGGGCTAAGAATTAAATCCATGTCGTCTTGTTTCTTCCAGCCATTGACACAGCTGCTGCTCAGGGCTCCCTCACATTAACCTCCATGTTGCTGCTGCTGAGCTTCACCTTCGAGCTGACGTGACCCGTGGCCCCGCTGCTCCTCCACACCTCCACCTGCTTCTACCTGAGGAACCTGCTCTTCAACGACCCCCTGACTGTAGCTTAACCTCCACCAGGCTGGCAGCAGAGAGACTCAGAGCTTCTGATAAATGCAGCAGGATCCACGATCTGGAGAGAAGACAGACACTAAAACAGCATCTGAGTCAGAACTGCAGGTCCAGATGCTTCACACCATGCCGTCACACTGTGAGACTTCACTGATGGGTTACTTTCACTAATTATGAGGATGTGAGGAGCTCTAACTGCAGCACACTGAGGAAAATCTTTGATGTGTGTGATTTTACCTCTGCAAAGTCTGCGAGGTTCACACCAGATCCCGGGGAATAATGGAGTCCTCATTAAGACCAATTAACTTTCCCTCCTGCTGACATGAAATAAAACTGCCAGTGATGTTACAAAAAAAGGTATTTCTTCTAAATACAGGTGCATCTTAAAAACATAGAATATTGAGAGTCCTTTTTTACTGATGAAAGTCACTCTCATTTAGAAAACAAGGTCCACAAGTCTGGAAATAGACTAAAGAGGTCCAAGAGGTCATTTAAGTCCAGCATAAAGTTCCCACAGTCTGTGATCATTTGGGCTGTCATGTCATGATCTGTTGGTCTACTGTGTTTTATCAAGTCTAGAGTGATCTACCAGGAGATTTCAGAGCACTTCATGCTTCTATCTGCTGATGAGCTTTCCAGCAGGACTTCCACCACCAAGTAAAAGAGTAAAAAATCAACAAACTTTCCATTTTGACATTTTTGTATTTGAAATATTTTTATTTTCATTTCATGTAATAAATAGTCTCACAGATTTCTGAATTTCATTGACCAATATCACCAAAATTAAAACAAAAATGTTTTATTGATATGTCTGTAATGTAATAGTTTGTGAAAGTTTACCTTTTTGAATAAAAAGTTTTTGAGATGCACCTGTACCTGTTTAAAGGGGAGACAGAGCCATGAGAAATGGACTGAAGGGGACTGAGATAACAGAAATCTTTCTGTCTGGTCTTCTGAAAGTTTTGTGTCTATTGTTTACCTTGTATTTGACATATTTGGGTCTTTAAATGACTAAGGAGTACAGAGAGTTGGGGAAATGTTTGCGCAGCCTGATCGTTCAAGCAGCAGAATCTGATTTTAATCAAAATTTTCGACCACATTTCAAGCAAAGTGTTCTCGTTGAGTAGACCTGAAACATGTGTGTCACTTTTCTTTAACCTACCAGGCTTTTTAATTTTCAGGAAACAGCGGTAGCTGGTTTGATTTGGCGGAATGAACAGGTGGTTATGCAAATTGGCATTCTGACAGAGTGAATTATTTTTTCATCTTATTTTACCTTGCCTCCAATAAGTCATAAAGAAGTTGGCACATAATACTGATTTGCAATTGTTTCATTTATACGGCTACAAATAGTTCCTCAGATTCGTAGGAAGGTAACACTTCCATGGCACAAGACTCTTGTGTTTGCAGGTGATTCAACATTAGACTGAGTATTTTAACTCAGAGTCAAGTTCAAACATTTACCTGTGTATTTGTTCTAACTCAAATTATACTGAAAATTTCTGTCTAAGGTGACGTCACACAAGGTGAGCATGATGTCTCTTTTTTCAAAGCTTTGCAGTTAACAAATCTTTTTAACACGACACAGGCAAATGTCACAACTTTTAAGTTGCTCCTCTTTCTCTGTCAGAGATGTTTGGGGTCCAGTAGCTCCTCAGGCTGCTCTCACATCAATACCACTGAGTAAACAGGCTGAGAGGGCTGGACTCCTTTCTGTGGATTTATTCTGGATGAAACAAAGATGGAGCATTTCTCCTGTGACTCTCAAGCTTAGTACACTAAAAAAAATGTGTTTTTGTTGGTGGAGTCTGGTGGCTTGAGTAGAACCATCTCACAGCTCGTCTGGTAAAAAAAAAAAATCAGCAGATCTCCTATTTCATAACAAGATCAGCTTCTTTAAAAAATCTTTCCTGTTACAGATAATCAGACACTTAGATGACCTATCTGAGCTCATCTGAGCAACAAAAGCAACATTTAGGGGACAGATTTTAATTTTGTTGCAGCCGTTACTGCTTTGACTGAACCAATCAGCTGCAGCTAGTTTCAATATTTACTACCTTTTTTATCATTTAGACCCCACATTTAAAAAAGGGCCCCGTTAGTGTAATACTAAGATGATCAGACAGAACATTCAGAGCTCAATGTTCAGCATTTTTTTGAGATGGACAGATAGAGACTTTATTGATCATGAAGGATGTTTCACCCGTGGCTTCAGAGTGACTGACTCGTTACTCCTCTTTATGAGTCCCCTGAGACTCTGAGCTTTCTTTCTTTCTTTCTTTTTTAAACTTCCTTTCCTTCTTGGGTGTTACCTTTTATGTTACTGCTGGACTGCAGGAGCTTTGTGCTTTTTACATGTTTTCTTTTGCCTGTGTTTGTAAAGCACTACAGTGGGCTCATTTTGTTTTAAAGTGCTTAAACAATAAAGTGGACCCAGTCTAACTTTATTTTTCTGTGGATTCATTCTTTAAATAAATCCAAAGGACTATTACTCTGAAGATTCTCACTTAGTTGCTCGTTTGGAGCAAAGGCACTGTGAGGATTTGGGCTGACTTTGAAATCATCTACCTATGATGCTGTGTTTGACGGCAGACGAGAACAGCAATGGATTATTCTTTGTATGCTCTGTTATCTCTCGATAACAACTTCTTAACTCATTATCTCGACATAACAAAGATCATTTGCAGGATGCAGAAATATACAGCATCAGAAAAGAAGTTTGTTTCATATAGGGGTGTCCCGATACAACTTTTTGACTTCCAATACGATACCAATATTGTAACCTTCAATATTGATCCGGGACTGATATTGATCCTATCTTGGCACAAAATTGTGCATGACAAGTTTTTCTCTCAGCTGCAGCTTATTTTTTGGACTTAAAGAAAAAATACTGCCACAAGGCAAACATCACTTATACTCATTGTTACTTTGTTAGCACCTTAGTACACACTGTTGTTGTGAATTTGTGGACTCCGCATGCTGGATCTGAGCACTGCTAGATATAGTAGCTGGAGTGGAGTCTGGAATGGACAGCTTGTATCGGAGTGCTGATATAAGAGATTTTAGATGCAGGCCAAAATAATCCGATATTGTTTTTTTTTTTTTTTGCTGATATCGGACCGATATCAATATCCTGTTGGGACACCCCTAATTTCATATCTGTAAAGTTATAACCCCAGTACTTTGTTGGGGCTTCTTTTGTGAGAATCCTGCTGTATTTGGGGGTCAGGTGTTTCTCATTTTTCTCTGGACAAATATAGTTTCTGTTTGGGGTTCAGATCAGGCCAGTAGGCTGGACAATTAAAAACAATGAACCAACTGGTGGTAGTTTTGGCGCTGTGGGCAGGTGCTGTGAACATTATGTCACCAAGGCTGTGATAGCTGTTGGTAATTTGGTACATATGTAAACCTTTTATAGGCTAATACATTATTTTCTTATACAGTAAGAAATTCTTTAGTGGTGTTTGGAGTGTTTTTATGATATGTGAATGTTCTGTAGCACCATGAAGTCCAAGGAAAAAATCTCCCACTGGGACAATAAAGTCTATTTTATCTTCATTCAAAGTGAAGCTGTTGATACTTTTAGTTATCAATTTAATGTAGCTACAAATCAATGCATTACTCTGAATCCTGCTAAGTGTCTTTATCCCTGAAAAACAGATATGATTTCTAACTCAGCATGAAAACTCCTTACTCTTCCTTAAAGCAGATACATATTTAGTGTTGTAAATAAAACAGTCAGACTCAGTGAGTGCTGCAGTTGTGTTGCTTTATTGGAAGCACAGTCCATGTGAACATTATTTTACAGGATCACAGATCGAGTCCACTCTCTCTGTCCGGCCTGTTCTAGACTCCACTCCTCTTCTCTTTTCTGACACACAAATCAAACTCAAATCTCATCTGACACCAAACCAAAAACCAAATCTGACAGTCAACACATAGCTCTCCCGTGGGGTGTCCACGCAGGTTCCTTCAGACGAGAGCTCAGGGCAGACAGAACACCGGGCTTGTTAAAAAAGGTTGTTAAATAAAAGTAGAGACGTCAGACATGGAGGTCTGTGATTGTAAAAGGCAGAGACAGTGACAGGCAGCTCCAGTGTGTGTGCATGTGTGTGGGTGTGCAGGGCACAGGGGTGGTAAGGGTCCCTCCCCCCTCCCAATGTCAGTGCAATTTAACCCCCACCCCTCCCAATCGAACTTGTATACACAAAATAGAGTTTTAAAGGCAGTTTGTTACATTTCACATTATATCAGCTTCTGTAGTTCTGACCAGACTTCATTTGTCATTAATACAGTATATACACAGGAGGTTTTACACTGGGAAGCAGCTCTATTTACATCTCTGTCTATTCACATGAAGAATAATGAACAGCTGAATGATAGGAGGTCGTATAAACACAGAGGATCAGAGTGTTTTCTACATACACACCAGTCACACTCACACTGCCTTGCATATGTTTTACTTGTGTGTGCTTGTCAAACACCATGTGACCACTGCGTCGAGTGCACAGGTGTTTGACTTTTCCCTTTACTGCATTTGTCAAACGCTTTAAAATACAGAGGTCTACAAAAGATGAATAAAAGTCCCCTCCTCCCTGTCAGTTTACCAAAAGTTTCCTCAGTAGAAAAAAACTGAAGTCACATGATCAGGACTCCAGTAGTAAGCAGTCTTCGTTCTCGCTGGCGGGGAGCATCAGCTGCTGCTCGTAGTACAGACTCTTGGCGTAGTTGATTTCTTGAGAGATTTTGATGGCGAGACTCTCGCTCTTCACGTGGACCTGCAGAGAGGATTGATAAAGAATCAACTTGAGGACAAAAACAATAAAACTGCTCACTGTGTGTTTATTCATTCATGCAGCTTGTGATTCCTGGTCATTAAAGGGGAATACTGGTCTTTGTTCGAGGATTTAATGTCTGATAAATCTAGGTTGAAAATTGCATCGATATCCTCTGGAGGGAATTCACCACAAACAGCTGCTAATAGGACCTAAATTGCACATAATTTACTCTCATCTATTCTTTTTCTTATATTCATTCACAAACATCTAGTCCTGCAGCTCTGAGCAGTTTGCTCTTGTTTTGTATCTGAATGTGGAAAGGAGCCTTCTGCATCTCCACGCTCTGCTGTACTCTCATCCAGGTGACTGAACATACAGATGACAGGATGAAAATGAAGGGGACACTTTTTACTAGTGCATTGTATCGTTGACTCAAGGGCTGGGCGATATTGTCTCAAATCCATATCATGATATATTGAGCAGTTCACCTGAGAGCCAAGCATTCAAACTCACTAAAAACACAACCAGACCAATTCCACAACTGTGGACTGAGCATTTGACAGTCCACAGGAGCAGTAATGTCAAAGAAATACTTATAGACTCAGTCCAGTATAACATGGCCTTCTTTTTAGCACAGGTGTTTGTGAATTAGGTGAGTTTTTTTGCAGAGACGATCATGGGCACAGAATGGGTCAATTGTGCTCAACATGAATTCATATTGCAGCTGCTCTGGTCATGCAAATAGCAACAGAGCACAGATGCTATTTTAATTATTAATATTTGCTCTGCAGCACAGTTTGTGGTGTATTAACCCTTTGAGTATGCTTTAGTAGTTTTTTAGTCTGAGTGCATGAGTTCAGCAGGTGCAAAAGCTACAGGGTGTCTTTGAGTTATAAGGACCACAAAGCTATTTTCACTCCTGACTGTGGAAGTCTGACACCTCCAATCATCTTTTTAAGTATCATAAGGTCCCAAGAGATATCATGTTTTTATAGGTTTGTTTTGTTATGTTTCAGATCAGATCCAAATGGCTCTTTTAATACAAAGCTCCGACAGTTTGTGCCTTTTGTTTGTCTTCAGGAGTCTCACATTTTTCAGACATTGACCGCAGGAAAACCCAAACTACACAGCTCCTTTTCCCTCAGTGTGATAAAAGGATATACAGACAGAGACCTTAATGAACCTCTGAGGGGAAATTCAGAAGTACTAAAAGTTTATGATCCTCAATATTACAAAAAAAAAGAAAAAACAGGTGAGAAACAACAGCAATAAAAAACTGAAGCAAAACTCATCTGCCAGACATCATCTACATGTTCTGATGCATAAAGTTACAGATATACACATGTATACACATGTATACATCTGTATATACTGTGTGTGTGTGTATATATATATAAATATATACACAGTATATATATATACATACATATATATTTACATATACACTCACCGGCCACTTTATTAGGTACACCTGTCCAACTGCTTGTTAACACTTAATTTCTAATCAGCCAATCACATGGCGGCAACTTAGTGCATTTAGGCATGTAGACATGGTCAAGACAATCTCCTGCAGTTCAAACCGAGCATCAGTATGGGGAAGAAAGGTGATTTGAGTGACTTTGAACGTGGCATGGTTGTTGGTGCCAGAAGGGCTGGTCTGAGTATTTCAGAAACTGCTGATCTACTGGGATTTTCACGCACAACCATCTCTAGGGTTTACAGAGAATGGTCCGAAAAAGAAAAAATATCCAGTGAGCGGCAGTTCTGTGGGCGGAAATGCCTTGTTGATGCCAGAGGTCAGAGGAGAATGGCCAGACTGGTTCGAGCTGATAGAAAGGCAACAGTGACTCAAATAACCACCCGTTACAACCAAAGTAGGCAGAAGAGCATCTCTGAACGCACAGTACGTCGAACTTTGAGGCAGATGGGCTACAGCAGCAGAAGACCACACCGGGTGCCACTCCTTTCAGCTAAGAACAGGAAACTGAGGCTACAATTTGCACAAGCTCATCGAAATTGGACAATAGAAGATTGGAAAAACGTTGCCTGGTCTGATGAGTCTCGATTTCTGCTGCGACATTCGGATGGTAGGGTCAGAATTTGGCGTCAACAACATGAAAGCATGGATCCATCCTGCCTTGTATCAACGGTTCAGGCTGGTGGTGGTGGTGTCATGGTGTGGGGAATATTTTCTTGGCACTCTTTGGGCCCCTTGGTACCAATTGAGCATCGTTGCAACGCCACAGCCTACCTGAGTATTGTTGCTGACCATGTCCATCCCTTTATGACCACAATGTACCCAACTTCTGATGGCTACTTTCAGCAGGATAATGCGCCATGTCATAAAGCTGGAATCATCTCAGACTGGTTTCTTGAACATGACAATGAGTTCACTGTACTCAAATGGCCTCCACAGTCACCAGATCTCAATCCAATAGAGCATCTTTGGGATGTGGTGGAACGGGAGATTCGCATCATGGATGTGCAGCCGACAAATCTGCGGCAACTGTGTGATGCCATCATGTCAATATGGACCAAGCTCTCTGAGGAATGTATAAACATATATATATATATATATATATATAGAAAGGAAGATGAGAAAAAGCTCTTAATCCCACCTACATATCTAAGACTGTCTATCTGATTAACGGGACAACCAACCCTATAACACACCCCAGGAACTATTTAAACTGCTGATATAAAGCCAACATGGGCAGATTACCAAGCTGAAGTGTTTTTATGAAATACTTGAGGACTGAAACGATCTGAGAGTCTCAGTTTCTAAAGAACAGCATAGATTAGGGAAATTAGACTCATGGTGGATTTAAAAACAATGGTAGCACTTCAGAGACAATTTCCACACATAAGAAAACAACAACAAAGTGAAGTTGTCCTTCTGTGATTGGAGTTTTTTCTCGAGTGACTCTCACAGTTAAGGTTGATGTGATGAATGAATAAGAAGATGACATGCAGAGGAGGAAGAGGGGATAAAACCTGCAGAGGGACGCTCAAGTGTGTCGGCAGAGCGTGTGATGACTGTTCATCACATCACCTCTGGGCAGCCATGGAAACACCAGAAAAGTTGAGTTTGGTTTTGTTCTTTTCTTCACAGATTTGCAACTCCAAGTTTTGCGATCTCAAGGCACTCTAACCTCTAGATTATAGCTCATAAACTTCAAATAAATATCTGCTCACGATCCAAGGTTGACCCACACGTTGTCAATTTAATGTCTGCAGTTTACCTTTCACATAATCTGCATTATTCTGCATAAAGCGCAGTAGCAACACCATTTCAGGCTCAAACTTTCCAAGAACAAACTTCAATTTTCATCATTCAGGGGCTGAATTTGCCACAGAGGGCTCTCCTCCCCTTTAAAACAGACCAGAAAGCTGTGAAGGTAAAAACACTAAATAATGCAGTTTATAAGTCAGCGTCTCTCAATGATACTTCTGCAGCTGTGAATCCAGCAGCTTCTCACTTTGATGAGTCGGTTTGTTTCTCTATAAACTTCACATTCAGACCTTGAAAGACTAAACCTTCATACAGTCAAGTGACAAAAATAATGTCGGCACGGTTTGAGACGAGGAGGAAGTCAGCTGGAGATGTTTTTGTTCCACTGAGAGTCTGCATCTGAGGACATTCACGCAAAATGCTGAAGGAATCGTTAAAATATGAGAAGCATTAGAGCAAAGTGGGAGTTTTTTTTTAACTAAAGAGAAGAAACAGCAGAGTCTTTGTACTGATCAGTCAAATCTGATCAGCCCTGCTGGACATGATACCAGGCAGTACAGGAGATGTGACTCCATCAGTGTTAGTCCCTGCCACCTGAGGTTCCTGAATTATTAAAACACTCCACCTTCAGCAGAGACTTGATATATTCTCTATTTCAATCTACAACTCATCTACAACTCCATTCACATGTGGATGGGAGGTGAGAACAGAGACTACATTTGTAGACATACCCTCATAGATGTGGACAGGAGGGTCATATGCAAAGACAAGTTTTTATTCCTGCATAGCAAAAAGAGTCAGTTGAGGTGGTGAGGATGCCTCCTTGGTGACTCCTGTACATTTTCTGTGTAAGTAAGAGGACACCTCAGGGTAAACGCTGAAGGTGCTGGAGGGATTATATTTCTTATCAGGCCCCAGAGTGATTTAGAAGGAGCTGGAAATGTTGCTGGACAGCTGAGCAACCAGCTGTAACTCCTGCAAACCCCACATCTAACCCCATGACAGTTTTTTATGAAGAGGTGCTGTCAGGTGACTCAGTCTGCATGATTTGATTGCTAGATGGTTTCTATAGCTGATTGTCTTCTCCCTTTTTTCTGAATGTTTCTATATTTCTTATTAGCAGAAAGTTTTTAAAGTTTCAAAAGCTCCTAAGTTCCTCAGGAATGAGTTTTCACAGCGCTTGTTTTTCTGTGATAAATTGATAAAAACTTGCACATTATTTTAAGAGTCATAGCAACAAACCTTACAATAACTTCTTCAGGAGAGACTTAAACCCCCTGAAAGTCATTCATGTCAAAGTTAAATCAGTTCAGCTCTTTTGTTACTCGAGTTTAAGGAGAAATGAAGGAGACAGAAATCTAAAAATCCACAGAAAAAAAAAATCCACCTGCATGGAGGGAAATCCGCAGCAGGAGAAAGAAAAAAAAACATCCTACATCAGGGGGATGTGGGTGAGAATGAGAAAAGAATCATACCATGGGTTTCTGGTGGGAGGGGCCAGGCATGGCCACCCCGCTGCTGGTGCTCTCTGCTTTCTTGGTGAGCTGCACATAAACCTTCCCATGATCCTTTGAGACCAGGCAGTGATAGAGGTCATCGTATTTAACCTCTAGAAAGATGGCATCTCGGTCCACGTAGTCCCCGGGCTTCAGGAAGTAGACCACTTTGGAGGAGATGAGGACGCAGTAGCTGTCGATGGGCTCCACGGCGATGAAGCTGGCGTGGAGGAAACACGTTATTTTAAGTCTGGAACAAAAAGAGTGTGAGAGGAGCTCAGGGTGTGAAAACAAGAGAGACTCACAACTCAGATTGGATGTTGTCTGTCAGCTGGAAAAGCTGCTCCTGACCGTCGGCCTGTGTGGAGAGGTACCGAGGCAGCAGACCCTGGGGACCTTTACAGCAGCGAGGCTTCCTGACGCGCTGCACGCTCAGTCTGAACAAACACAAACAACACAAACACTTACAGCTGGAAACGAACATGCTCTGTCGCCTCGCCTCAATATATGATTATCGAGTGAAATTGTGAGTCTACCTCTTTACCCTACTCATCTTCCTGGAGGTTACCTATAGGGGGCGCACCAGAGAGCTCAGTACGTATGCTAAGACCAGATTCAAAGGAGGTAGATGGACCAAACCGACACTGCAGCCATCACACACACTAAAGAGCAAGTATCCACAAAATGGTAAACACGTCTGAGAGGAGACAAACATTATCTTAGAATCCGTCAAGTGTACTTCTGGTTTAAAAATGATGAATTTATGTCTCATATTTTCAATCATATGCACTGATTTTCCTCACCAATGTGAATTAATGTCTCAAAATGTTTTCTCTATTATCTCATCGCCATAACTTTATTTCTCTAAAGTAAGACTACTAATTGTGACTTTTGATCTCATGATTTTGTCTGAAAACTCGTATTTTTATCTCACAGTTATCTTGTCCTTTTTTCATCTTTTCTCTGATTAACATAACTTTTTGTCTCGGAATGATCTTTGGTCTCTTTTCTGTTTTTTGTCTTATCATCCCAACTTTTTGTCATTTTACATTTTATTCTCACTATTTATCTCGTTTTCACAGCTTTTTGATCTTTTATTTTCACTTTTGATCTCTTGCATCAATAAATTTACATATTTTCTCATTGTTATGCTTTTCTCTTGTTACTATGACCTTGTGTTTCTTCTGCCTTTCTCTTTATTGCATCATCTGACTGACCTCTAATAACCTTTCATGACTTTGTTTGTGTTCCATTAAAACCAATTCATTGTTTCAAATCAGGTCTCAGTAACTTTTTCCTCTTGCAGAAATGGACTTTCACAGCTTAAGGAAACCATAAAAAGAGATCATAGCATTGGATTTATCTGATCTTACTTTCCAGCATCTGGTTAAAACATTAACAGCTAAACATTAGGAGAATTTCCTAACAGAGAATCAGCGTTGCTGTGCTTTATATGCCATTTTAAATATTTGTCCCGCTCTTAGAGGACGGCTGTCTTTTCTAGGTTGAGTTTAATCTGTTAGAGCGAGAACTTGAAAAATGTCTTTTTCATGTTTTTTTTCCACCCAGTAAAGTTTCTGTTTCCTCACTGTTCGCAGCAGAAAAAAAAAAAAAACCTGATTGTGTTTTTATAGTCGTGTTCAGGCTGTAAGAGAAACATAAGGATGATCATTTTATTCATTTTCTGTGTTTGTCCTCCGCCTGACTGCGGGTCATTCTCTGGTCACGAGTTGTTTTTCTGAATAACAAATCACTTAAATTGGGACATCCTGTCTTCCCTCCTGTGACCATCTCATTTTATGTTAATCACCACGGCTCCTTTGTTTGCTGACGGCCTATAAGAGACGTATCGTATCTGTCTGTGGGGAGACACTCTGGATTCTTCTTTTGTGTGATGAGGGTTGGCTTGTCCCTATAAATAATCTTAAACCTTTATATCACAGTGATCGGTGAGACGGCAATTTTATTTGCAGACAATTACCAAAACAAAGGAGCCAAAACACTTTGTTTAAAGCCGCTGTCGTGTCATGAGCTAAATCTAAAATAAAAAAAAGGTCAAAGAAACGAAGCAGAGATGTTCCCTTTCAGTCGATTCACTCGGTACAACACATATAGTATGGGATATCACGCCCCTGCGTGACCTGACTGAAGACACCTTTATTCACGCCTTTAAGGCAGATGATCTGTGGTGACGTCTGGGAGGCTCCGCCTGCACATATATACGTGTAACACCACAGTCATCCTTCAGTTCTTACGCTCTTCACCTCGCTGAGAACACCTACACCGCGTCGGGCTAACTAGCTGCTGCTAAATTAGCCTGGTCTTGTCTGTGGCTATTGCCTGATCGTTTTTAGCTTAACTGCCCCTGTTGGTGTTAGCCTACGGCTACCCGCGGAGCGCTAATTTCGTTCAGCTTCTGCGTCTTGTTATGAGCGCTGAGCCCATGAAAGCGAAGGCGAAGTCTTCTGTTCGCCCCTGTCCTCGGGGGTGCGGCTTCTCCCTTCACGAGAAGGATCTCCATGAGGCTTGTCCCGTTTGCCTGGGTATTGTCCACGCCAGGAGGGCGTTGACTGAACCCGAGTCGTGTGAGTCCTGTCACCGGCTTCGGAGCTCAACCCTGGGAAGGCGGGTCAAGTTTGTGGAGAAAATTCTAGGAAAATCCGCTGTTGCGATGCACGATCCCCTCCTCTCCGAGTCCAGAGACCCGGCTTCGCCCGAGTCCGGTGGTGAGGACTTTCTGGTCGAAGGCTCAGTTGGAAACTGGGCAGACCATGTGGAGTGTGCTTACGGGTCAGCTGGATTTGAGCCGGGCCCGACCGAGGGCGCTGGCCAGCCGCTATCCGGGCTAGCTTGTTACCAGGAGGACGATGACGTGCTGGACATCGGCCTGGACGTGCAAGGTTTTTCAGAGGATGAGCAGGAGCCGTTGTCTTCGGGTCAGTATGCCGCCGCTGCTGCGCCGGTTGATCTGGACGACACATCCTTCCTCTCACTGTACCGCCGTGCAGCTGAGAAACTGGAAGTAGGATGGCCCTCTCCTCCACCGGCTCAAAAACCGTCGCGGTTCTCGGGGTTTTTTCTCCCACCCGAACCGACGACTGTTAAGAACAGTTTGCCCATGTTCCCGGATTTTGTCGCGGAACTAACCTCGACATGGGACAAGCCGCTGTCCATCCGCGCCATAGTGCCCGGTTGTGGACAGTTTCTGGACCTGGATGGAGCTGAAAAAGCTGGATTGGTGAACCCTCCGCCTATGGAGGCGTCCCTGGCAGCTTATCTGGCCCCGGCCCAGAATCATGGTGTCGGTAGCCCCATCACGCTCCCATCCAAGCACTGTAGATTTTCAGCGTCACAGCTGGATAAAATTTACAGGACACAGGCAAATACGGCTCGTGCACTGAGCTCCGTCACCATGCTTCAGACATATCAAGCTATGTGTTTGGCGGAACTCGGCTCGCGTATGCCTCCTGACAGTCCGCTTTCTCCTCTCCTCGATGAAGCTAGGGTCGCCACAGATTACATCCTCCGTGTGTCCCGCTGTGCAGCGCTCTCTCTCGGTAGAGGCATGGCTTCCACGGTGGTGGCGCAGAGGCACCTGTGGCTGACTCTCTCCGACGTTCCGGAGAGGGACAGAGCGGTTTATCTCGACGAGCCTGTGTCGGCCAGCGGTTTGTTTGGGCAGTCCCTCGACGACATTCAGGCTAAGTTTGAGCTGAGGAAAAAACAAACCGAAGCTTTGAGCAGCATCATCCCCAGGCGTGATGCGAGGCCCAAACAACAGGGTTATCCGCACAAACCGGCAGAGACGCTGCCGCCCTTCATTTTTTGCCGGCGAAGAGGCCGCGTTTAATGTTTGTTCAGGGGTCCGGTCCCGAGAGGCGCTGCACTCCCTTAACACAGTTTTCCCAAGCACAATCCTCCCTCACACACATGCCCCAGTAATGGCGCCTGTTGTTCACTGAGTGAATGTCACAAATGTACGTTCGTTGAATCAAATAAAGGTTCCGTTTTGTTCTCAAAACATCATAAATCAATCAAGTCTGGGCGGGAAAGTATTGCTGTTCCCAGCCGGCACGCTAGAGGGCGACAGCCCCTCCCCCACAGTACTGGAGGTCAGTCGACTGACTGTTCGTCTCCCTCGGTGGTGCGCATGCGCAGTCTCACCGTGGGTAGAGAGAACCGTTGCCATGGGCTACCGTAAACAACTTGTTGAACAAGAGAGCGATACGAGTTGTTCCCGCTTCGGAAACGAACAAAGGTTGGTACAGCCGCTATTTCGTTGTTCCGAAAAAAGGAGGAGGGCTCCGTCCTATCCTTGACTTGCGAGTGTTAAACAAATACCTACGAACTTAAAGGTGCAAGATGCCAACACTCAGACAGCTACTAGGCGAAATCAGACCGGGAGATTGGTTTACAACTATCGATCTGACAGATGCTTACTTTCACGTAGCAATTCATCCGGACCACAGGCACTTTCTAAGGTTTGCATTCGAGGGCATAGCCTACGAATACCTGGTGCTGCCGTTCGGCTTATCACTCGCCCCCGAACATTCACCAAATGTGTCGAGGCGGCATTGGCTCCACTAAGGGAGAAAGGTGTGCGCATCTAAGCCTATCTGGACGACTGGGTGCTAATCGCGAGCTCCAGAGAGCGAGCAGCGGCTCAGCTGTCATTGACCCTATCGCACATCCAAACACTGGGCTTTTCAGTAAATTTACAGAAAAGTTCACTGACTCCGAGTCAACAGGTATCATTTCTCGGGCTGGAAATATGCTCCGTTTCAAGCCGAGCGTGTCTGTCAGAACGCAGGGTGGCTGCGTTTCACCGCTGCCTTTCACAATTTCAGTTGGGACGCAAACTGTGTTTCCGGACGATTTTACAGCTGACAGGCATGATGGCATCTATGATCGCTGTAGTGCCGCTCGGACTGTTAAAAATGAGAGCGTTTCAACGCTGGACTCAGTCTCACCGGCTGTGCGCGCAGCGTCACCTCCAGAGGAGGCTGACGATAACTCCGTCTTGCATGTCGGCTCTTCTCCCGTGGAGAGAACCCGGTTTTCTACAACGGGGATCTCCGATAGGGAGTGTGTCTTTTCGCAAGGTGGTGTCCACAGACGCATCCCTGAGGGGTCGGGGGGCTCTGTGCGAGGGCGCAGCAGTGAGAGGTGTGTGGACGCCAGCATAATGCAAACTCCACATCAATTACCTGGAGCTATTAGCTATCCTATTAGCTATGAGGCATTTTCGTCCGGTTCTGACGGGCCATCAGGTTCTGATCGGGACGGAAAACAAAACCATGGTTTCCTACATAAACAAACAGGGAGGGACACGCTCTCTTCCCCTGTCAAAACTGTCTCACTCTCTGTTGCTATGGTGCAGTGTTCGTTTTCTGTCACTCAGAGCCACACATATTCCGGGTCACTTAAACCTTGGGCCAGACCTTCTCTCCAGGGGGGTCGTCTTGTGAGAGAGTAGAGATTGCATGTCAGGACCGAAATGTACTCCCATTTCAAAGTTCTATTGTGGATGTTTTAACATTCCTTCAGGAGCGGCTGGATAGGGGTCTCTATTTCTCAACAATTAAAGTCTATTTGGCAGCTGTATCTGCATGCCATGTTGGCTTTGATGGTGTGTCGCCAGGCGCTCACCCTCTTACTATGCACTTCCTAAACGGAGTCCGCAGGCTGAGACCTGTGCTTAGACCCAGTGTTCCCTCATGGGATTTAGGGTTGGTGCTTGGGGCTCTTGGTGGACCTCATTTGAGACTGTTGAGTCAGCAGACATGAAATTTCTTTCATACAAAACTGCACTGCTACTTGCTTTGGCGAGCGGGTGACCTTCATGCTTTGTGCATCCCTTTTGTATCCAGTTCACTCTGGATGGATCTAAGGTTACATTGCGCCCAAATGCAGCGTATTTGCCTAAGATTATCCCCACAGCCTATAGCTCTATGAGTTTTGAACTACTGAGCTTCTGCCGTCCTCCATTTGCATCTGAGGAGCAGAGGAGGTTGCATTCCTTGTGCCCTGTGCGTGCACTACGTACTGACATAGACCACACTCAGAGTGTGCGTTTATGTTACCAGTTGTTAGTCTGTTTTGCTAATCCAGCCTAAGGCAGGGCACTGTCTAAACAGCAGCTTTCCCGCTGGATTGTGGAGGCTATCTCCTTAGCATACGGCAGCAGGGGTCTTCCGTTGCCCCAAGGTGTGAGGGCACATTCAACCAGGGGAATGGCAGCCTCATAGGCCTTGTTTAAAGGGGTTTCTGTGAGTGATATCTGCATTGCAGCCAGTTGATCATCACCGCACAGTTTTTGTTCGGTTTTATTGTTTGGATGGGACAGCCCCTTCAGTGGCTCACTCTGTCCTTTCTGCTGGGTCTACAGTGCACTAAAGTTTTGGAGGTTTGACTTCGGTTCGGTGGCTGCTCTGTGGGGCGTGTATATATGTCCCATACTATATGTGTTGTACCGAGTGAATCGACTGAAAGGGAACGAAATGTTATGAATATAACTTCTGTTCCCTGAAGGAGAGGAACGAGGTACAACACTAGGTTGCCCCACTGCGCAGCTAGGCTCGGTGAAGAGCGGCTATCGAACTGAAGGATGACTGTGGTGTTACACGTATATATGTGCAGGCGGAGCCTCCCAGACGTCACCACAGATCATCTGCCTTAAAGGCGTGAATAAAGGTGTCTTCAGTCAGGCCACGCGAGGGCGTGATATCCCATACTATATGTGTTGTACCTCGTTCCTCTCCTTCAGGGAACAGAAGTTATATTCATAACATTTCGTTTTTTTAACCTTGTGATTTTAAGGTCATGAATCTCAACACTTATGAGAGATCCTGAGTAAAATGCTTTTATTAGTGTATGTTAGTTCAGCTGAAATCCATCAAATCTACATGATAGCATCATTAGCATCATAGTGTGAGAAGATAATTGAATATTTTAGAAGGAAACTTTGATGAACAAACTCCCCACAAGCAGGTGTATGATATACAAACAAGACAAAAGCCTCATGAAGCTCAATTTTACAAAATTTAAATCTTTTTGTAATATTTCAAGGTAAATCTTTAACTTCCTCCAAAACACTCAATATTTTAAAGAGCTTGGAGCCTTTTTTCCAGGAGGCCATAGAGTATAGGTGTTACGTTTGGTTTATGCTCATGCCGTAGCTCGACACACTGCAAGCCTGATTGGTCATATACTTTACTGAACCCACCTGTGGTTACTGAGACTGGCCATGTCCCGGACCGTCTGTGCCGTCTCTGATGCAAAGTCCAGAGCTCCAGCCACAGGTTTGGTCACAGTGCCCACCAGTCCTTTACCCAGACCAGAGAAGAAGCCGCTGACCCCGCCCTCTGTCTTCACCCCCTCCACTGTGGAGGTGATGATGCTCGTCATGCCTCCAATAATACCTGAGGGAGGGAGGAGGGGTTATCAATTACTCAAACTGAGGACAGACAAATTGCAGAGACATTAAATTTAGGCAGAACAAAAAACACTTAAACAGAACCAGAGAATCAGAGGTAGTCTGAGATACCCTCCTCTGGTTTTTACCTTTTAGTGTATTATAGACTTAACTGGAGCCTGCATACTGTCTGTACTGTTTTTAATGCTGTTTACTGTTCTAAGTGCTCAATTACTCCAGATGTTACAGAATATTGTGTTGACAAACCTCAACCGCAGACCTCAGGGAGAATAACTTCCACTATGTTGAAGCTGATGACTTAATGAGGGTTTAAATACACAAACAAATGTACGTTTTGGAGGCACTGAGAGTTTCTTCAGACTGCCAGACTGCCTGAACCAGACACAAATGTATCTACGTCGTACCATGAGCCAGCCCATGAATCCCAGCGACCAGGTGCTCTCCGCTGGTGGCTCCGTGGTATCTGATGTACTCTCGCTCATTCTGGTGTCGGTTGTCCATGGTCTTCCCCAACCCGTCCGATAATGTCCCTGCAAACTGAAACACACAGAACATCTGGATGTTCATATTGCACGGTTTTCTACTCCTTACATGCTCTTCTAAAGGACTGTAAAACATCACATTTCAAACCTAGCGATGAAAAGAGCTGTTGAAGCTGCAACATAATCTAGAGTTATCGTCAATATTTTAGTGTCATAGTGTCATAGTTCAACAGCACCAGGGTTAGGTGTTTCACCTTGGCTGCAGAGTTGGACACTCCATGGGTCACGTTGCGTATGAGTCCACCCACGTTGCCGTATTTAAGGAGCTCTGACACACCCTCAGAGACATCGTTAAGAAGACCCATGGGGTTTCCCAGGAAGTCCACAGAACCTAGGATCTGGGCTGCCTGGCTGATCAGCTCCTACAGACAAGAAACACCTCAGAGTGATGATCTGACACAGAGAGGACAGTCTACTGACAACATACAGCACATTTATTTTAGAAACATTAACATGTGGCGGCTCGTAACTGGTGGAAATGACTCGACACTTTGATGCTATTTGCTTGTTATTCTACAGAGGAAAAATATGCCAAAGATGCACTTTTGAACAAAATTTGATGTCCTGCTCACCTCTCTGAAGTGCTTGAGGATGTCGTTGATGATGATCTCCTGGGTTTCGTAGGGGTGCACTCTAGTAAACGGGTACATGTTGATGACAGCGTCTTCAAAGCGAACAAGAGGAAATCCCAGCGTGCCTTTGAGAGCCTGCAACGCAAAATATAAAAATCATGATCAAAGTTGAAGTGAATCAAAGTTTAGTCAGTCTTCAAAAAGGCGTCCAGAAGGAGCTGAAAGAAGTTTAAATGTCTCTATTAAGTTTAGATCAAAAAACTGTACAGCTGGAAAATAAAGAGGATAACAAAGAAAATACTCCAATGTGAGGTCACCTTGAGATCAGGTGGCAGCTTGTGGGAGGTGAAGACGCTCAGTTTGACCTGAGGGAGGCTGATCTTCAGGTTTTCAAAGTAGTATCGTTTGGGCGGTCCTGCGTCCTCGTTGGGTCTCTCATGGATGTTTTCATCCAACCTTTCAAGCTCTGCAATCATAACAATAAAAAACAGTGTTTTATAAACTGTTCAAAAACACCACCAGCTAAGTCACAAATATAAACTCTGAGGGAGAACCCACCGGCTTCTGTCTGCCCGTATCCAAAGAAGCTGAGCAGCTTGAGCAGAAGTTTCTCCTCGATGATGACTGTGAAGCGTCGGGCTGTCACCATGAGGTGCTGTGAACACATCGTTAGTGCAGTGATGATAATAAAGTCTGGGTTCGGATTTGCAAGAGGGAGCAGGAATGGAGGGACTGAAAGGTCCTGATGAGTGATTGATTTCTCAGTTTTAAACATGCCCGTAAAGTGAAATTAGGTAAATAACCTAAAGAAAACTGAATACTGTATCCACTGCAATGTTTACAACAACGCAGACAGTACATGTTTGAACAGGAGGAAGATTAGAAGCAGCTGTCAGAAGTGCTTCTCTTCCTCCCCTGCTGAAAACGATTTTTAAGAACTTTGTGAGAACAGATGCAGATTTTGTGATTTGCTTGAGCTCCACATTCGAACAAACACACAGCTGATGACAGACAGACACAGCCTCCTCACAGGGAGTGTGCTGGCTGTGTGACAGCTGCGGAACAGCTGGATTTCCATAACCTCTCACTGGCTGTTGCTCTAAAACAGCTCTAAAAGAGTTGAAGTTATCACCCTGAAAAGGTGTGATTTTGGTGTCTCGGTGTGTGATAGCACTTAACATTATGAGGCACTGCTTATTAAAACATGCACACAGACAAGGCTCTAATGCCATACATCGACATCTTCTTCCATCTCTGTTTCAATCTCCAAGGAAGGATCAGAGGCAGAATGACTTCACCCCTTGTAATGCCTCTTTGCACACTGCAGATGAGGTGTAATGGGGGTGCAAATATCCCGCCTTGAAATGTCAGTACATAAGCGCCTGATGTTAACAGATTAAGCTGTTAAGACTGCTGACATGAGCAGCGCCACTCGCATCTGTCTCTCATGGCAAAAGAACCTCGAGAGGGAAAGGCTTATCTACCGTTTTTTTCTTTACACCACCTGCAGATCTCAGGCAAAAAAGTAGGTTATATGTGATTTAAGTGCAGAGTATTTAATACGTCTATTTTATTATGTGGTATAATCAAAATTTATGGTAGCTCTTACACCTTTAAACCATTTACCTGCAAAGAATAAATCCTGATGACTTTTATTAAGCCATGACTTTAAATTACTGATAGTTTTTATGACCTCATTTTGGGAAAATCTTACAGGGAGACCAGGCTGACAGTAAAGACACATGCAGCAAACATGCAGCCTGTCTGAGCACCTTGACAACACGAGTCAAATCTGTTGCACACTGCAGCCGTCAAGCATCCAATACACTCGTGGTCCTCTGCATTGTTTTGCAGGAAGGGAAAATATTTTCTGAAACACATTCGTAACACAGATCAGTTGTAACTGAGTGTGTGGCGCTCACCTTGAAGAGGTCTGTGAGCATGAGGCTGCTGGGGACCTTGACCGAGTTGACCTGCAGGGCGGGGCCGCTGTCGTTCACGCTGCTGTCACTGGAGCCTGGAGTCACACACAACATCACCGGCTGAGTGGTGCCCAGGAGCTGGTTATCCACCTGAAAAGAACAACAACATGGACAAGGACAAGTTTTTTAGATAAAAATTGTAAGCTGGATATACAGTGAAGACACAGTTCAACTGCAAAAACTCAAATCTTAGTGTTTTTGTCTGATTTCTGTTAAAAAAATGTCATTTTAGGCTAAATTCAAGCCCTATTCATCCACCATGCCCAGAAAAAAATGTCTATTTTGAAACTTTAGACCTAAATTGCTTGTTATGAGTAAAAAGTCTGAAAGATTTACTGGAGTTTTTTGGGGCACAATGTGGCAGAAATTTACCACAAGACAAAAACAAGCTTGCTGAGATCTGTTTTTGCAGTGGGATGAAAAAGCTGAGTACATTATTCCAGAATTGGAGTCTGTGTGTTTGGAGCTAAGTATCTATAGATCCCATAAAAGAATCCCTATGTGGGCAAAAGTAAGGAAACAAAAGATTTAAGCAAAAACATAACTACTCTATTCAGCTCTCAGTACCTTTTACAGATGTACAATTTACATGCACTCTAAACTCTTTCACTTTGGATGGACTGTGGCTGCCTCCTGTGTGGGGTTTCTGGGGCAGCTTTGGACTGTGCCTGACAGAGGCAGAGCAAATTTTGAGCCTGAATCCAAGGGAGGATGTTCATTCTGGAGAACTCATTTTGATCAAGGCAAAACCAGCAAATGACTCAGTATCCATCAGTCAGGTGAGACTTTGTTTGGGGACTTCAGAGCAACATCTCAGGTAGACATGCGGAGAAAATTACACTGAGGTAAGATTTAAGGATATTATTGGCAAGTGTTGAGCTGTATATGAAGCCCCTGCAGGGTGCATCTGGAAGTCTGAGCCAGCTTATGAGCTGTGACTGGAGACAGATGGAGCAACCTGTGAGTCTGAATCCATGGGAAGCTATTCTGGGGTGAATTAATACCCAGAATTCATTTTGATTAAATCTGTGACAGTAAGACTTTGTACTGTGTGACTTTTAGGCACAAATTTGTTTGTGTGCATGTAGCTGGTTTTGATTTGTCTGATGTATTTTCTTTTCATCATCTTGTTTTTTAATATATTTTAGATTTTCTTGCTTGTGTTTGTCTTTTTATGCTGTTTTTGTTATTCTTTTGTTCTGACTCTGCAAAGCACTTTATGTATGAATGATGCTGTATAAATAAACTTGCCTTGCCTTGCTCATCAGCATAAAAACAAATATACACGTGCCTCAGGTGTGCAAAAGCTTCAGAGTGTTGCATAGCGCTGTTTTTTTGTAGCAAGTTTCAGCAAATGTTTGCAATGCACAAGTGGAAAAAAACATACACACAGGCATGAATGGATAAGTAAACAAGCAAAGAGGAATGAGATTCTGAGGATTTGGAGCAAGTTCTTGTTTTCTGTCTTTGCACTGGAAACCAGCAGTCCTCTCCAGAGCTCAAAAACATTGTGCTTAATGGGATCCTAGTGGATATGCTGCTGGTCTTGGTGGGACTTTCCTGATGCTGCTTGCATAAGATAAATACTAGATACAACCAAAAACCTCAGATGTTTTTTTTTTTCCACACACCTTTGTTTTCTTTTTGCTTCTGTTTTTCTTTCTGCATATTTTCGCTCTGAGAGTTTCTGTTTCTGTTCTGGGACTACAGATGCAAATTATCATTTTTGCAACGCTGTGCATGTTTATGTGCTGAATTTTTCTTCTAATGATCATTAACATATCCCCTGCTTATCAAACAAACAAACTAAAAAAGTAAACAGACGAAAAAAATCATCGAACCCATGCAGAGCTGACAGGGAAAAATCCCTCAGGGTTCAACTGTTGGCCTCGTCTCTGCACCTCACTCTTATGAAAGCCACAATGACAACTAACACCTCATCATTTCACCTGTCTCAGCACACTACTCAACCTTTTATTTACCACCTCAAACATAATGAAGTGTCCCACCTCTGTTTAAATTATGTAAAAAATGATGAAGACCAAAAGATGACCTCCCCCCTAACGCTGAGCTCACCTGGATGTTCTGAATGCTGAGCTCTAACACCTCATTGGCTGCAGTGCGAGTGAAGTGGACGTCTATTCCAGACAGCGTGGTAAACACCAGCTCTTCAGGTGCCTTGTTGACCAGAGAAACACCCAAACCTTCCTCCAAGTTCACCAAAACCTGCGAGAGATCACAAAGAGAATCAATACACGTCAGTGAAACACCTTGGTATGTGCAACAAAGTGAATTCAAAGTCTCTCGTACCTCCAGCTCCTGCTCGGGCTCTGTCTTCTTCACCTCCTCCTTGCTCTTCTCCTGCTCAGAGCTGGGTGAGCTGCGGAGCATTCTCCTTTGGTTAAAGTCACTGATCTGCAAACAAACAAGCAAACAAACTCCTGTAAATAGAAATCATGCATTTCAACCTGACTGTATCAGATCTTATCAGAGCAATGGAGCTCAATTATATTCGGCAAGAAGATCTGTTATCGGATTTAGAGGCATAATTAGGTGCAAAAATATATATTAAGATAAAAAGTGCAATCGAACTTAATGCTAATGTGACCCTGAAGATCAACCAAGATCAAAACTCTCCTCCTTTAATCACCATTTATTCTATTAAAGGGAAAAAAGACACCTGAACAAGTATTCTCTAGATTAAACAAATAGCATAATCATGATGATAATTAGTGAGGTCGTTAAGGGATAATTGTTGTTGTTGTTGAAATTTCTGTTTGTTTTTGTTCACCTGAAGGACTCGTGTGGGGCCGTCTGGCAGAACCTGGACCGACAGCACCCCTGAACCTGGTCTCATCTTCTGGTTGATAAACTGCTGCTCAGGTCCAGGATCCATCAGCCCTGAGTCTGGACCCAGCACTACCTCCGCTCCGTCATACAGACCGGAAACACCACCCTTCACCTGAGAGACACGGAGCGTTAACATTAAGATACAGAAGGAGAAATAGTTTCAGGTTGGAAATTCAAGGACAGAGCTGCGATGATTACTGAGTCTGAGGGAAAATAAAGTGATGAGCGGAGAGAGATTTTTAACTGCTTTTGTCTGAGCAATAAAATCAGCTATTAAAAATCCTATTTTTTTGCAAATCTTAATTTGCCTTTTAGTGATATCACAATAAATATTGTTTCCTGGACTCACAGAGGTATAAACGTGGTGAGATACTGATATGGTTACGTCCCTAAATGTGATGAAACACTGACAGATCATATGGTAGTGTCAGCTACATCAAAACTAAAATCTAAGCAGATGAAATACTTTGGACAGGATGACACTTTATAGTTTTCTCACCTTAGAAAATTCTGCAGAGACAAAAGCTCCGACATGTGGACTCATTCAGTAAAAGCCAGTGACTTCAAATGTTTATCAGACAGAAAATATACAACATTATCAATTTAAAGCTCCTGTGAGGAACTTTCAGTTTGTGTTGGTTCTGGCGCCCCCCTGTGGACAACATGAGACCTCTTGTTTTAACTCCAAAAGCTGTTTTGGCAGACTGACACACTCCCAACCTGAGGTTTCAGCCATAAAAATAACCATAAAGGAGTATTTATTTTTTCTGTTGATGCTCTCGTTTGATTGGTCGGTCATAAAGAGACATCAGTATTATTTCAGTTTGTTTTCTAACCAGCTAAGAACAGGAGCTTTACAGACTTATCAGCATAACTATATGAACACACCTGTACGACCAGCCTGGGAAGGCCACATGTCAGCATGTCTGAACTGAAGTACCACGTCTGGGTGGTGCTGCGGCGTGAGTCTGGCCTCCTCAGCATCAACGGCTCATAACTGTAAGTAAAAAATAGTGAGACCCATCTCCTTGTGTTCAAAATTGACTTGAAATGACCTTTTGGTGTCTCACTCATTGGGCATGCTAAAGGAGCACACAGTACCGACCTGTTGTCAGTAACGGCTGCTAGCCCGGCAATGTCCAGAACCAGCGAGGAGTCCAGTGGGCGTGGCTGGGCCGGCTTGCTCTGTGGTGGTGAGGAGCCTTCGTGACACAGCATGCCACTGCCGGTCATCCTCCACAGCTGCGAACGTTTCCCCGGCTCCTGCACAGCAACAACAGTTGGTGTTACTTCACATTTGTCATTATAGCCCTCATCTTTGTGCTTTTTTATTGGCTACAGCTCATAAATGATTAATACATGGAGTTATTTAAAAATAAAAACCAAAGGGTGATGATTTTGCCAAGTACTGTTTCCAGGAGCCTGAGGCTCTGACCTTATGTGTCCTCATTCTGATCAAAGACTGCATAAAGTGAGGGGGAGCCTTTGGTTTCAAAGTACAGCACTATTCACACTGGTTTAGTATCCTGTGGGGACCCCTGGTAAGTTTTGGATGACCCCCTGTCATCTCTATTTGCTTTGGCACATTTGCACAAGATCTGCAAAGTCTGTATTTGACTTGAATTTACAGACATGTCTGATTGAAAACACAGAGCTGCTGCATGACATCGCCCTTTACTTGAGAGCAGCTTTACTCTCTTCAGTGTACAGCTGGCTTGAAATTAATGAAAAGAAGTAGACGACATCCACATCCAGTAAAGTTCCACTGAGATTGTGCATTAAAACTTTAGGACATACTGTATAAAAATAATAACCTTATGTCAAATAAGGTTTATAAGTTTCCATGTAATAAAAGGAAAAGATATTCATCGGAAAGTCAGTGTGGGTGACTTAGTTGCCTAGTGACAGTAAATAAAGTGCCTGCTCCTTTTAATAGAGCTTCAAAAGGCTATGTAGTTCAACTCGCATCTGCCAAGCAACATAACCTTAATGTACACACACTGTGAGGACTATAAAGGCCATTAATCTGTTTAAAGTATAGATATATTCTTCACACATCTAATATCTCTTCATTATCTGGATCTGTGTTTGCTCCTTCTGGAAAAATCTGTTTACAGTTGGCTTTGTGTTTACTGGTCAATTTGACCAATAACATTTCAGCCATAAAGAAAAAGTATTGAACAGAATCTTTAGATAGACAGTGATGCAGCTGGCCTAGGAGTCAAAGTGCCCCACCTGACGCAGAGGTCTCTGGTTCAATTCCTGACCATGACCCTTTGCTGCATGTCTTCCCCCACTCACTAATCCCCATATTTCCTGTCTCTGCAGCTGTCCTATCTAAAAAAGCCTTGAATAGCCATACTCATATCGCTGACCTACATCAACCTCCATTATACCACACGAATCTTACACCAACTAATTAAATTTAAACTTTTGAATGAGGTCTAGTTATTTATATTATCCAAGGATGCGTTATGGTTTTTCAGCGCAGGTTTGATGAACAACAGGGAAAAGAGGGACCTGTTCATGTCATATTTTTGTGTGTTTTTTAGACATATGGGATTATAGCGTTGTCTGAAAATTTCACTGTAGGTTTTATTATCATGATTATTGCTGTCATGGCCCACATAATAATATCCCATAAGTAACAGAAGATGTACATTTTCATTGTTGTTAAATATGATATACTTGGAGACTGTCCAAAACTCAATTTACAACATCCAGACACTAAAAAAGGAAGGAAAACCTGCATACACTTGATTCAGACTGGATTAAAACAAAGTGAAACTGTCCAGTAAGAGAAATTGTGACAGGTGACTACACCAGTATTTGAACTTTTAAAAACACGGTCCATTTGCATGAGATTGAAAACACAGATGCAGGCATTACAAACCGTTCAAGGTCCACAGGTAATACCAATCATGTGCAAATAGGGCCCAAGGAAATAAAACTATCTAATTTTTATGGATTTAAAAATAAACATGAAACGAAGAAAAGACATAAAGACGCTCAGAGCTACAAAAACACAAAATATACTCCACTGACAATCAACTAACAAATAATGAAATGACTCTAATGAGGCTGTTTTATCTCAAACTTAACAAGAAAAACATTATTTTTACATTGTTGCCGTCTTATGAACATATACTTTTAGATAATGTTGGTTCTCAAAAGTTGGTATCAGTACCTTCTTTTTGAGGATGACCCTTTGAGTCTTTGTGTCCACGTCCAGAACAAGTTCAGCAGAGCTCACGGGGCGCTTCTTCCCGACAGGTCTTCTGTCAACATTTCTGCACAAAAAAATGGCACAGCATACCCTCGTGAGTTTAGCTTTACTAAATAAGAAATGGTGCTGATATTCAGAAATGTAATATGAGTTAGTAGTTTCATACTGTGAGAAGGTGTACGTGGCTGCGATGTAGATGAAGTTCTCGTAATAGAGCTTGTTGTACTCTCTGAAGAAGTTCATGTCAGCGGTGACCTCTGAGGATCCAGCTCCCTTCACAGTCAGTGTGAGGTATGGGGGCAGCGTGGGCTCATCACAGGCGTAGTCCAGCACTGAGCCGGCCTTCACCTCCGTGTGCAGACGGATGTCAGCCACGCCATGCTGCCAGACCTGGATAGGAACCTGAGGGGACATGTTTAATTTATTCTCCTCAGTCTTTGTTTTGTGTGACAGAGCGCTGTCACCTCTAGAGAAAAACAACGTGTCCTTGCAAAAGCAGAATGACATTTAAAGGGAGGCTTTTTTTAAATATTATTTTACACCTGAACCTCCACATTAAGTCTCAGTAACTATGAGCATGCCAGACTGTTTCTCACCACAAATTAAGGTAATTAAATTCCTGACTTTGTTTGCAAATCTCTGAGAAGCTGTTTCTCCTTTAATTTAACCTATTTCACTTATTTAATCACCTATTTACTCAAACAGTGTGCATTCACTCCTAATTCTACCACCATGTTTAGATCTACCTCTGTTATAACAATTCACACTACACTGTACATCCTTACACAGTTTCATAATAACAGTGGCACTGAAGCTGTGGCAGCTGTGTTATGTGCACTGTTTTTCTCAGCACCTGGTCCACAGGGTACAGTGTTTGCTCAGCTGCAGAACTTTTATGTGGATGAATCACAGAGAGCTGACGTGATTTGAAACAAAATGGTAGTTAATAATGTCATAATGGAGTGCTGAGAGCTTATCCAGTTTTTGACATTTGAGTAATTCATCAGCGCCCCGCCACAGGCACACAGTTCATAAAGACTGAACTTCGAGGCAGTTTTATTTGATGTAATTATGCTCGCCTTATACAAATAGATCACACTAAAGAAGGGAGGTTGATGGTGGTTCACCTCAGAGATGTTGTCGATGCGGAAAGGAGGAGGCAGCTGGTCAGTGTCGGTGAAGGAGATCTGGTACGTGGCTCCTTTCAGGGTAATCTCAGTCCGCAGGAAGAAACAGTTTCCCAGTGTGTCCCTGTTACAAAATGAAGACAAGACCCACTTTAAACCTCTTAAAAACTTCATTTAATCACGACAGTCAGAGAGAAGTGATTTGAGAATATGAAAACAAAATGGGATCAGCTTTAAAATGGACGGTGTTACAGAAAATAAAGTGAGGGATTAAGTTGTAGGATTGAAACAGGATCTGGATGTATAAATTTAAAAGTAGAACATGTGTCTTCTTAAAAAAATCACCCAACCTCATTTGTAAAAGAAAACAACATTAAAGTTTCAAAATGCTGACAAATAAACAAAACCTGTCTTCAAACATTTGCTCCGTTAAATTCTTAAACCTAGATATCTGCACAAAAACCCTTCAGTGTAAAGTCTCCCCGGTTGGAATGGGGCATCTGGGGTCTGGTCACAATATCCAACAGATACTGCAGTAGTCCCTGGGTAACGTATTACAACATTATCCAAGATTACAAGCACTGATCCTTCAGTTTTAATCTTCTGTATTTTTTAACTGACTTCTCTATGTCACTCCCAACTGCTAGAATTCATGCATGTTAGTAAATCCACCTGTGCTATTTTCGATAACTGAAATAAAGTTTTTTTTTACAAAAAAGGAGACACACCCTTTGCTTCTCTTGTAGATGCAAGAATCCAAAGTATCAACATATGAGTAAGAAAGAACATACTGGAGAGGAAAGGTCAGTATAAGGCCATCTGGCTATCTTTTGAAACTGCTGTCTTGAAACTAGGGATGTCCCAATCCAATACTGATATCAGATATCGGTCCAATATCAGCAAAAAAATATTGGATTATATCGGCCTGCATCTAAAACCTCCGATATCGACACTCCGATACAAGCAGTCCATTCCAGACTCTGCTCTGGAATGGACATGCAGCATCTGCAAAGATGTTGCACCTGAGGTCAAAACTTGTCATGCACAAGTTTGTGCCAATATCAGATCAATATTGACATCGGCTAATACTAAAGGCTACAATATCGGTATTGTATCAGAAGTAAAAAGCTGTATCGGGACACCTTTAATTGAAGCTGTATTTCGTTACCTGCCTGTCTCCTGGGTTTTGGTGTTAAATCAACTAGTGTTTGCCATCAAGATGTACTACAAAGCAGCTCTGCACATGCATCAAACCTAAGTACAAAAAGAGCTCCCCCGAATGTTTCTGGGACAGTTACAGGAACTCTTTGCATTTCTGATAAGGGTCTAGATGCATTCTGTATTTAGGTTTTTATCAATGACACCTCTAACAAACAGGAAAAGACCAGCAAAGACCACCTCGTCCACAAGGCATTCCAGAAAATAATCTCAAATTGAAAGTTACTCAATAGAGTTTTAAATCACATCTATTGGTTGTGCAGAGCGTCTTTGTGTACATGTAGCTCACCTCATATTGACATGGAAGGATTTGGGTTTGTTGACCTCGAAACCCCCCGACCAGGTGCAGTTTTTAGTGTCCATCATGCGCACACACAGCAGCTGGTCATAGTCGTTGCGAGGCCAGTGGAAGACGACGCTGGAGCCCGGGAGGGTGGAGATGTAGCCCTCAGGGTTTGTCGTGCCCTGCAACAAAAAAGATGCATTTTTCTATGACTTTGTGATTTATGAGCAAAAGAGCTTCTTATAAACTATGAAAGACAGAAATGGATCTTTAGTAATTATTGGTTTTCATGCAACAAACACCTCTTTGCAAGGAGGAATGAGCATTAGAAGCAAGGAACGGTCATCTTGTCTTTCAGATATTGCAGGACTGTGGAGCTTTTTTGATGCACGGTAGATTCTGCTTTCTTTTATTTGGTTCAAACTTGAAATAACTTTCCCTTCGGCTTAATGACAAACTATACCTTATTTCCTGAGCAGTGAACCCTCAAAGACTTTAATCATGCACGATGTGCAGTGTTTGAGTTTGTGGACACATTATGACACTTGGAGAAACTAGGCCAACATTCCTGCCAACATCTACCACACTTATGACCCACAGAGGTTTATGTTTCCTGCTCCATCATCTGGTTGAAAAAGAAACCTTTCAGAGGGGGTGAAAACATCTTCAAGAACCTCAAACAAGTCTAGGAGCTGTTTTGATCAAGCTACAAAAAACCCTTTTGATTGAGCGCCGTTCACAGAGACACATCCGTGGAAATCCTTTCAAATTGTGTACGAACCATGTCCAAAATTTGATCCTTTGATCCCTTTTCAAACGTAAAATTTCATTTGGTTTCGTGCGCTCCAGACTTAATAAAATCAACATGGTTGAAAACAGAAATGGGCAAACAGTCTGAGCAAAGGGAAGTCACTGTGTAGAAAGAGAGGAGGATACAATAAAGCTCATTAAAATGGACATGAACAAGAGGTGTTATGAGAAGATGTGCCTCTTAAAAACCCCAGAATTCACACACACCTTATGACCAGTTTGTGTGTCAGTCCGTTTCTCACCTTTCCTCGTGCAAACTCCCTCTGAGCGAAGGCCAGTTTGTGGGTGGAGCGGTTGTCCAGGAGGTAGCGTGGGGCAAAGGTCACTATGTGAGTGTCTCTGTAGCGTCCTTTTCCTTTCCGCACGCTGATTCCTGCATCAATCAGGTAGGAAACATTGAGACAATTACTAGACAAAGTTTCTACGTCCAAAAAATCCAGGAGAATAAATGTTCAAATACATGTCCACTATAACAAATCTTTGCTTCATGCAGCCAAGTGTCAGACAGTCTCTGCGGGCGTCAGATGAAGGAGGAAAGTTATAGTGCAAAATGATTCATGAATAAGCAGAATTACACTCAAAGCACAGAGAAAGGGGGGTGTAATGAAAAAAGTATGGCTGAAGTTTTGCTCAAAGGCAAATATTTAACTGAGAGAACATGAATTTTTCTCCATTTAGCCGGGTTGAATGAATAGTTTCAATGATCAAAAAAGAGTTTCTGCCAACAAATTTCTGCCATTCTTCTCTTTTTCCTCTCCAATGCCGGTGCCTAATAAGTCCCTCTGTGTTTAAAAATGTACCCTCTGCTGTACAAGAACCAATAACGCTTGTTCATGCTGAGTCTTAATGTTCCAGCTCACCAATGTTGTAAATGAGACCGGGCCTGTTCCCGTGCATGATGACCTTCACAGCCCTGACTCCGCTCCCTCCATCCAGGGAGAAGCCCTGACACCAGCCGGGCACCCCGTCTGGATGGATCCCTTTCCCAATCCTCATGGTACACCTGGGATTCAGATGCAGAAGACATGGATGAAAATGTGGCATCTTCAGAGCCCTCATTTTTCATGGACACAATTTAACAACTTCTCATGATTCTTCTTACCATATTCACAATAGGGGTTGGAATCACCAGTGGCCCCACCATACGATATTATCACGATATTTGGGCCACGACACGATATTATTGCAATACTTGGGCCTTGATACCATATTATGCCAAGTTTAACATTTTGCAATCCAGTGAGTACTGCGATACAATATATTGCGATTTACACAAGTTTTTCAAATGTTAATTTAACATTTAACATAGCTAATTTAACATTTGTTATTCCTTTATGTTTGTCTTATTAATGCAATATTTTATTTTCATGTAGCACATCTTGCAAACCTTATGTGTCAGGTCCATCTTATTTGTGCCCTGCTTGCATTCCTAATGTCTTTCTCCAGGTGCTGCAATGTTTGTTGCACTAACTTTCTCCTGCTCTATGATGTCACCTCTGCCAACCTCACTGGACAAACAGTTGATTCTATTTTTCCATTATCATAGATTTGACTTCACATTAGCAATTAATTTGAAATAATCGATACTTGGTCAATGAGACGATACAGTATATCACCAGACAAAATATCGCGATACTATGCTGTATTGATTTTTCTCCCACTCCTAATCCACAATATGATTTTTTTTTCTACACTGGCTACCGATCAAAATCAGGGTTGTTTTTACCCCATTTATTTTTCTGGGACTCTTACTCCTTCACCACAACCACTTTTTAAAGAGACTTTTACAACAATTAAAATACTTTGGCATGCAGAATCATCCCCTGGGAACCCTAAATCCCTCCTGAGCAGACGTATGCACCAACAATTAGAGGTCTGCTCTCTGCCAAACACTCACATCGCTGGTTGTTCTTTGTCAGTGTAGCAGAACAGGAGAGGACTCAGGCTTCGGGCCAACTCGTGCTCCTCAAACTGGCCAGCTGCATCTGCTTTCCCATTGTCCTGACGGAAGATGAGCGGCAGACCTGAAAGAGAAACCTCATCTTTAGTGACTGAAAACAGAGTTTCTTTTTATGGGAAAGGCCGTGACAGATTTTTGACAGCAATGTTACCAGTCTTGTTGATTAGCCAGTAGGGAGCAGAAATCAGGATCTTTAGCGCCCCCTGTGCGCGCAGGATGATGCGGATGGTGAGGCAAAGCAGGTGTTTGTTGGTGTCGTACAGCCTCATGCGGACCACATAGTTCTGAGTTCCAGGGGGGATCAGCAGCTCTTTGCACACAGGGAAATTCTCTAGCAGGACTCCTGGAGGAGACCATCAACAAGAAAAAGTGGTAAGAAAGAGAAAAAAGGTGGGAAACTGAGTAACAGACGTGATGTTTAGTGAGTGCTGACCTAGCTCCATGTTCTGTGAGGTGTCTGCGGCGTGAAGCACCGCCTCCTTCCCCGGCTTCAGCGAACCCTTGATGGACGTCCCCTTGATGTAGAAGTTGAGGTCACAGGGCAGCAGGTTGGCGAGCACCATGGTTGGCAGCAGGTAGATGGTGTGGCCCGGCTGTCGGTAGATCTGCTTCGTACTCCCAGAAACCCTCTTGGCGGGCTGCTGGTCTGGATAATTCTCCTTCTTGATGACCACACAGAACCTGCAGAGTATCGCTGTGATTACTACAGCCTGTTTGGAAATAAGAACCACGACCAGGACGGCTGACGGGCTGTGTTTACCTGAAGTTACGCTTGAGGTTGTCATCAAAGTCTGCAGACTGACACTCCCTCTTGCTGCTGCTGAGCTCTCCGGGTCGCTCCACATTGGTCCAGTGGATGGGAACTTTACAGAAGAACAGACCCAGACCTTTGGGACGAGCCTGCAGACGCCAGGACGTCAAGTGGAGGGGGACCGCCAAGGCCTGACCTGGCAGGATGGGAGGCAGCACGACAGGTTCTGTGGACACAGGAACACATAGAGCTTCATTAACAGAAATGACCGAAACAGATTAATAAACGTTAATAGGATTAAAGACATTTTAAAACACAGATTAAATTAATAAATGAAGTAAATTTAGTGTATGTGTTATGATACAATCTATTTCATATCCTCCTCACAGAGGACTGAAGTAAATCCAGAGTATTAAAATAATTGGTTTCTTACTGTCGGGAGCAGAGGGACTGTCCAGTCTGACCTCCATGGGAACATCAAGCCGGTTCTTCACCATGAGGGCAGAGCGAACTGTGATGACTTTTCTGGCGCTCCCCTCCATTGTGATGGAGAAGACGACTCTGACGGGGGGCAGGGCTGAGAACTGGCAGGATGAAAAGATTCAGACAAGAAACTTTGAGTATCAAGTCACATAAAATCGTAGAATTGAAATCATGCTAATTACAGGTGTTTTGAAAATTTGGTTGAGATCTTTACAAAAACAAAAGTCTCTGTTTTTGAATTCTTTTCAGGCTGCTCACTGGCAGAGAGAAGCTCTCATGACTCACATAAACATGAGGGTGGATGATGTTGGTTCTGCTTATCGGACTGCCAACCTGTTGGAAGATTACGGATAAGAGGAAGAATAAAATCAATCTAAAAACCAAACACTTGGATGATTTTCATATACTGCAGTTTCTGACTCACAGTGTTGGAGGAGGTGTTTCTGTCTGCATTTGCATAGCGGAAGAAAACACCCACTTTGTCCACAGACACCGGTTTGACCTGCTCCCATCCACATACACGGACCAGCAGCTGGTGCAGCTTCAACTCATGAGTGTGTCTGCAGAGGAAGAGGAGCAAATGGACATTAAAAAAAACAGACATTCTTTGATTTTTCCAAACTTAGTCATCAGTGGAGTTTAAGAGGCAATTTTCACAAACAGAAAAACAACAACTGGACTTCAATATATATTCAATAATGCATGAAAACAACGCTGGACCACAGAGATGTTATTTGCCCTGCAGCACAGTTTGTGAAGTAGTGCTTTATGAATAAGAAAATGTTTTTTTGCTGGTTTGCGCAGATGAAGAGGCTCCAAAGACACACATCAGGCCCTCATTTTTACTAAATTATGAAGAGTTTTACTTCTCAGACAGGGAGGACATGGTATAAAGGTGTGTCTCCAATACAAGCCTGATTCATATAAAAGCCAGGTAAAAGTATTCAGACACCAAGTTTTCATCAATGATGCATAATACATGACAAGATTAATTTTTACAAACCATTTATCATTCTCAGTTTTGACAGCTTTTCCCGAAAAGTTATGATAAACAACTTGTGAACTCAAGAATTAATGCTGCCAGCAAGAGTTGTCAGTGCGAACCTACATCATTAAAATGATATTGATTTTTCTGTCACAACAAGTCACATTAAATAGCTGACATCTTTAAGTTACTGATTTTTATCGCTCATCCTTTTAAAAAGCAGAGAGCTAAAGACGGGTAATTAAATGCACATCAAGATGCAGGGATATAAGAAAAGTTGCACCCTAAAAAAACGGAAAATCAATGAGCAATCACAACTTTAGATTTAGATCTTGGTCACCTGAAAATGTTATGAGACCATCCAATGAAACAACCGTTCTGATCTCAGACAGCTGTTCAAAACAGCATCTATTGTATTTTATTAAACCAGTCAATATGACAGCCAAATCATTAAATAAACAGAGTGTGTAAAACCCACGCTTATGTATCAGAATAAGAGCTGACCTGTGTCTGAGTTTCTCATGTGCTTCAAACTCAAATGGGATCTCCTCTCCTGGCAGCACTTCTCTCCACTGGCTCACGTTGTGAGGGTCGTCAGTTCCTGAACTGTGGACTTCTGAGATTGAGTCTGCACTACTGCTGTGAGACAGCGCCACCCTGTGGATGACACGTGAACAGCTTTACTCAGAAATCAGGCGGTACAAGCTGAATTATTTCCAAACACTTTTTTGATGAGGAAGAGTAAAGTTAGGAGGAGCAAAACTGTAGAAACATAATCAAACATTCAATATACCTTTATTCCTTTTGTATATGAATCAGAAAAGCAATTGTTGAAACTTTTGCTTTTGCTGGTATGTATTGAATTGCTGGTATTGAATAAAAAAAAACTGGATGATTTTTGTCAGTCTTACTTTACTAACAGACTACACTGAGAAACCATTGAGACTATTTTGTGAAGAAGAATAGATTCAAAGCATACACAAAAGCTTGTCTATTCTTGTCAGATGTTGTCTAGATTATCAAGTTTTGAGCATTTGATAAGACATCAAGATACTTAAGTACTCAAACATGATACCAGATTTAATGCATCTTGTCCTGCATGCATGCACTGTCCCCCACTTTTTTGATAAATCAAATGTCCCATCCCTTTACTTGTGGTGGTCTTACGCTGCCATCTAGTTCTTTTGTTAAACGTCAGAACTGAATGGCTGCAGATTTGATGACTGCAATTTTCCTCCAACAGGAAGAAAAAAAACTGACATCGTAATTTTCCAGTCATTACACCCTCAGTTTGCTTCTTCTGGAAGCCTATTTACCTGTCTAACCTGCCACACATCACTTGTATGCATCTCTTCAAGTTCACTCCTACCTTGTGGGAGTCGTAGTCAGAGTTGCAAACCACAAGGTGCATCCTGTGTGGTTACGCAGAGCATACGGCACAAACGGCTGCCTTCTCTTGGACAGTTTTACGTCAGCTGGAAACAGAAAAGTAAAAACAAATCAGATGATTGATTAAACACGACTGAGTGCTTACTTCAAAATCAAGTCTTCAACTGTTAAAGTCATGCGCTTGCTTTCTCTTTGGTTTTTGAGACCAAAAAAGCAGCCAAGGCAACAGGGGCCTTGATCTTCTTTCCTTTAAAGGGGCACTCCGCCAATCACCCGGATCAATTATAAGATAAAAAAGAGAAACTCATCTTCATAGAAGTAGCTTAGCTTCAGCTATATCATGAACTTAGGCTGCAAAATTGGCTCTCGTTTAGCGTTTCCTGTCTCATCCATGACAGATAAATTTTGCAGAAACTTTGGAGTGCCCCTTTAAAAAAGCAGCTTGTTCAAAAACAATGAATAAAACCAAACTCTGCTACACATGAACATACAGCTCATCATGTAGAACCTGCTCGAGTGAAAGCACAGAAACATAAATGCACACAGCTTTTTCGTTAAGAAAACCACATGTTGAATGTGCAGATCAGAATTTTGCCCTTACTTACCATCAAACTGTAATATTTTTGTTTACATCATTTTGGAAATGTTAATAAATTCATGTTCACAGAGAACAGAAAACATAGAAATAAACATAGGCAGACAGAAGTTTATGGACAAATGAGTCAACACTTCAGCAAATTAACTCTTTGGCAGCTAAACGTTGGAGCAAATGCAAACAAGGCAAAGTCTGACCTCTGTGTCCAGCAGATGTTTGGTTTTTATGTTTCAGGCTAAATCTTCAGTTTGCATCTTTAATCCTAAAGTCTTACACCAAAACGGCTTTAAATCTACTGAACACAGAGAGACAGCGAAAAGTTTACACTTTCTGTAGAAAAAAAAAATCAAACACTTTTTACACAAGAATAAAAAAAAAGGAGGGGGGGGGGGATAAATCAAGCTAATTTTGACAATTGTTTCACAGTAAGTGCTCATGCAGTGAACAGCAAATAAAAGAGAGGACATGCAGGATAAAAAGAAAACTAAATCAGATGAAAGGAGAAGACATACAGGAGAGGCTGTAGTCAAACATCATCAGACTGATTTCAAAGCGGTCATCAGCACGACTAAAGCCAGCGACAGAACTGAATATACACTCAGTCATCATAAAGTCAAGAGGTGGAGTTAGCTAATCCACAGCCAGCACCAGACAGAGCTCCTGACCTAATGGTTCACTATCTCCACAGCAGCAGATTTAGATGTGTTATTAGGTGTGTTGATTGCATTAACAATTGTCTACTTGAGCCATGTGTTATTGCGTTATCACACTCAAATTTCTGCCTTGTGCCTTAAAAAAACTAAAAAGTCAAGTTTTCTCCAGAAGTATGAGTGTTGTCTAGACTTTGATATCAATTTTTGTTTTCTGCCTTGACATGTTTTGCTTTCTTTTCTTTTCTTTTCTTTTCTTGTCTGACACTTTTATGATGGTATCACAGTTTGTTTTTAATGAATGTGGAGCACATTGTGCTACTCTATAAAATGTGTTATATAGGACAGACTATACGCCAGATAACAGAGGAGCCTGATGAAGCTCAATATTTCATCTGTTTACTCTAATCTTTTCTTTAACAACTATTTGACTAAACAAAGTTAACCATAGGTTTAAAAATCAGGGAGTGACTCAGCTCCTTAGTTTCCTAACAAGGGTCTGGGGCTGCAGGCACGTAAAGCTTGTCTGCCCTGAGGCTGTCAAAACTAGAATGCAGCATGTAATGATCAAAATCTTGATCAAAGACTTGCTGAATAGCTCATTGTCTATAGATAGAACTGTGTAAAGATACTGTTTGTTTCCTTACCAGTGGTGGTCGCAATATTGGCAATGCTGACTCATCCTCCTTTTTAATCAAGATAGGCCTCCAGCCTCTTTGCAAATAGCCACAGATAATGTGTATGTGTTTTCAACACTTCTGTAGCCGCTTGGGGTAACTGCAGATTTCCTTTTTCAAGATGAAGGTTGCATCTTGGTTCTTCCCTGCTCTTTTTGTTCTAACCACTGACATGGTTGACCAGATGGTTGGGTCGTAGAGCTGTTTGCCAGGAGGCCCACTTCAGCTCCCTCTTTGTCTATTGCTAGGTTGGTCAGAAATTAGGTTGAATGGGGGTTTCTAATCCTTTGGGAATCATAACATCGTTTTAAATTGTTTTTTTAAGTCTATTTTCAACTAATGAAGTACAGACAAAACCAGTTGGACACTTGTTAGGAAGTTAGCAATTTTTTTTAACCCTACTAGATAAAACCCTGCTTTTTTTTGTCTTTGTCACGATGCTAATTGACCCATGTGGACTATGCCGTCTACAGATAACAAACAGTGCGCTGGTCACATGCTTTATGGAGAAATTTGGATTTTCAACCTTGAGATAAAGACTTTAATGTTCAGGTTTCAAATGAGATATGATGAGGCCGTGGTTTGTGTCCTCTGTGGAAATTTAAAAAGCAAAAAGGCAGTTTCTTGAACATGCTATAAATCATTGTTCTCTGATGATTTTGTTGGTTTTTGCAGGTCACAGGAGTTTTACTTTGTTTCATAACCAGCTAAAAACTCTTTACTAGGGATTTAAGTACAAGCCTTTTGTGATACTTTGATGGACATGGGATCAGGGGTTGGAGGAGTATGCACAAACTAAAATAGCTTAGTTCATTTGAGTCTACTGAAAGCGAACTGGTCTGCTGATGCTTCGGTTCAGACACATAATGTTGTAATCCTGCAGTCAGCCAATCATAAATGACTGAATTTTACTGGTCTGAGCTCTCTTAGTGATATTTATACTGAGAAATAAATTTGAGGCTTTTGACTTCAAAACTGCAGGATGGCCTTCCACTAGAGGGACAGGTTCATGATGACTGACTGACTGAGAGCTGTGATTCGGAGCATCTGCCTGGGCGGCTTAACTCTGAACTGTACCTCTGGAGTGAATCTGCTGCTCGAGGCAGGTCAAGCTGGCTGTGCTCCTAGTTCTAAGGTGAGCAAGAGGAGCACCTGACAGCAGAGAGAGACAGTTACTGCACAACAGAGACACATGCAGAGGGAACACACAAAAGGGTTAGATCATCCTCATTCTGTAACGCCGAGTCAACGACCCGCACTTCTCTGCAAATCAGTACTTTACAAACTGTGCAATCATGCTTCTCTTCAAGTCATTTCTCCTCTTTTACTCGAGTTAGAAGAACAGCAACCAACATGTCAACAGTCCATTCATTTCCTGTTCAACGGGGGAGCGGAGGAACGGGGCTGATGAGCTGCAGGTTATTTAAATAATCTCACTGATTGACTTGTGAGCAAATATCACAATAAACAAGTTACTATGCAAAGCTGGAGTGAAGCAGTTAAAGATTTGACAAATCTTCAGATTGGATCATCTCATCAACCAAGTTTCTCACAGGATGAACACACACAACCAAAATACACGACCAAAGTCCAAACAGACAGACTGCTTTAAAAAGAACATTATTGTTGAAGTCTTTTTCACATCATCTTTTTTAAATCTGTGCCAACAGACTCCTTTGGGATCAACACACTTTTAAAGAAATGTTGTCGCTATTTTCCACACAGAGTTATAACCTCAAACAGCTGCTCACTGGAATGAAACAAGGTAGTATTATTTTATTTGAGTGACTTTTTTTTAGTTGGAGAATAATCCTTTTTTGTGCTCTAATAAATATTTGGGGCAGCAGGACACAGTCTGTTCACTGTGATGAAGCAACACCCAGGACATCAGTCAGACTGATTTTTATTTATAAAGACGGTGAAGCTCTATGGCCCAGAGGTAGAAGAAATCTAAGGTAATGATGTTACACAATATTAGCTTTTAGATTAGAATCTGTCAATTATGAAAAAAGGCCAATAATTTAGTGTATAATATATTCAAACAGGTTCTAAAACCACAGGATGGTGGTTTTGCTCTGTGCAGAAAAGTTCAGCTGTTGATGAGGGAAAAAAAACTAAAATATTTTTAAAGACTCTACCTTATGCCAAAAACAATGGGGCTAAATCAGCAACATCTATTCAATATTTTTCTTCAATGTGGTTTTCAGACAGCTAACCTAGATATCCCTGACCCCCTACACAAAGTCATAGACAGATTAATAAATCGCTTTTAAACTGATGAATGCTGTGGCCTCGGAAATTGAAAGGCTGTGCTTGTCATTCTTATTGGTATAAGTAACGCCTCTCTATTAACCTTGAAAGAGTGTGAGACTGCAGTGCAGCAGGCAGCCACAGAAGTCAAAAAGGATCAAGAACAGAAGTAGAGAGATGCTGAAATACCCAAATTAACTCAAAATCAATTGTGCACCAGACTCCTAATTCAGGACACATTTAAATGGCTTTGAAATAGAGGTAGTGCTGCTGGAAGTGAACAAATACCAGACTAATCCATAGTGTTTTGAAGCCTCATTTGGTGTTAAATACAAAGAATGAAAAAAGGGGCTACCTGAATGATTTCAGATAAAGCTGTTAGAAGAAAAAGACTAATACGAGTTAAAGTAAATTAAAAAGTTTAATCCTAGTCTAAAAAAGGACAAAAATAAAGAGATGCCGTGTCTTACAACTATTCTAAATAAATAAGATTTGGGTCAGAACATGTAACGGGGAAGTCATCAGTATTTGTATGCAAAGAAAGGGTATTCAGGTTGTAAATAAGTGTTACTCTCTGAATCATTATTAAAAATGGATAGCTTGGTTTATGCTTAGAATTGTGCAAACACTATGACTGAAATGAGAAGCTGACTTTATTTCAATCATGTGTTTAGATTTGTTGTTTAATAAGTAACATAAGGCTTAAGGCTGAAGAAAGCAACAATATGCAACAATTTTGCCTAACTGTGCAAAAGTCACAGAGGGATTTCATGCCGACTCTAATGCCACATATACATCTTTTAAGACAGCAGCTGAGATTAATAAAGTCTGGAGAGAATCAAGCTTTATATGTCATCAAGATTATCAGTCATCTTTACAGCTTGAAACTGTTTATCCAGGAAAAGATATTAGACCATTGTCTTCATTCAGAACACTCTTTTTTAATTCTAAGTATTCTTGTTCAAATAAACATTTTTCACTGTCTGGTTTTGTGACTGTGTGCAGCTGGACTCACTCTGGATGATGTTTGGCGGGTCGACTGATGAGCCCAGCCAGGGCAGGGCGGGCGAAGACTGGGGTGACTGTCCTTCTTCGTTACAGTAGTCAGCCATCCAAGAGCTCTTAGTGGTATTATATTGCTCTGGAAGGACCAGATAGAGACACGTTCAACATTTGCTGCTTGTGGGAAAAGTCTGAAACGGTGACACAACCTGATAAAACACTCTGTTAACCCTGAACAATGCTGTTAATCCAGCTCATGCATGCTTATCTCAGGGAAAAGGAGGATGTGGCAGCATCAGCTCACCCAGAAGAACAGAGGTAATGTTGATGTCCAGTCTCTGCTTGGCTCGGATCCCCATCTTGAGACGAGGAGGGTGGAGACGGCCGGCTGCCTGCTGCTGCCAGGACAGAGAGCAGGGCCAGGGCTCGATGAAAGGCTCCCAGCCTGATCAACAAACACAAACACAGACACAGAAATCCGAAATAAGTCATCATTTATTTCTGTGATAACCAATGTGCATCTTTAACTCAAGTGTGACATTCTTGGAAAGCAGCATTTCCAGCTAATGATGTGCTAATGTTTGCTCAAATCAGTCTGTGGAAACTATCAGCAAATAGACTCTGCTCTTTGTTTTTTTACATCCCGCATAAAACCAGGATGTGGTTTATTTGTCTTTGCATAATGTGGTTCTTCTTCCATTAAAAAAACTCTGTAACAATGACTCAAGTTGGTTGGACATAATTCTTTTCTAATCTCAATTATTTTAGGATTTGCTGAGCCCAAAAAAACATGCAGCTGAATTCAACACATTTTCTCCACAAGAAAAGTGCAAAGTAATATCATTTTTAACTCTGGATAAATGTTTCCATCCATGAAGATAATCTCTAATTACCTGACAGCTCTCTATTGTAGTAGTCTCCAGACAGGGTGAAGCTGGCATTTCCCTCCTGAGTGGAACCGATGCGCTGCAGCACGTAAAGCCCTGAAACCACAAGATTACAATCAGGATACAAAACATACAAGATAGTTATGCTCCACTTTTCCTTTCTTATGTACATTACAGGGCAGTAGACAGACTGTATCATATCATTTGATTTATTGACTGATCTAAACATGAAGGACCTCAGCTTTTAAAGTTCTTTTTGTCATGTTCCCCTCTGAGGTAAAAAGAGTGAGTGTATCAAAAATGGATAAAAGGAGAGTAAAAAGAAGTAAACACATTTGGGAACTGCTGTGTTTGGTTACAAATCACTGTACCGGGACTAGGATTAAGGGTCATCTGTATGCACACATTTTATTGCTGAATACTGCGACTTTATTATCTTAAATTAGCATGCACACTCAATACATTGCTAAAGGCTACATCTGTAATAAAAGCAGTTGCATGCACCGGTCACTGTGCTTCACATCAGTGTGCAAATGTTTGTTCTGCCAGATCGGGGTTGTGATTGTCATTCATGCTAAAAGGAGGATGTATGTTTGCGATGTTTGAGCAGCCTCAAAGGTTCCAGGTAAATAAAAGTGGCTCTGAAGCTGCTTTATTCATATTTTACGACAGTTTCAGAAAGTTAATCCTCAGTCCTGTTCTCATGTTTAACAGCACAGTTGCATTCCCTGTGGACTTACTGGAGAAGGTGAGCTCAGCCAGCGGTATGTCACAGTCCAGACAGTCGTCGATGAAGCAGATGCAGACGCTCTCAGCTTTCAGCTCCACTCCAGACAGAGGAGCCGAGTGGCTGCTAGACCCAGAGTCCGCCCTGGATCTGGGATGACCCGCTATGTTTTCAGCGTTCTCCAGCAGCCACGTGGCAGCCTGGTCTAACTGGCCTGAGGGGTACAATACCAAGTTTTTATGTATGTTTATATTAAGTGATGGTTTCTAGCAGTGATGGGTCAGCAGCTAAGAAGAAAGTATTACATGCTGCACTTACCTTTGCAGTGGATCAGAGCTTTTTTGCAGTCCTCTTTCCTGAAACCCAAGTCCTGTAAACGGGTCAGTTGACCTTCTGCAAACACAAAACACAACCTCATCAGGTTTGCATTGTAGTTGTTGCTTTTTGTTTACATCAATAACAATTGAGGCAAAAATGTTTAAATATATTCTCATGTCGGGGTTTAAAAAGGTGAAACTTTAAATCACTGTACACGCTGGTCTGTTCATACCTATGAGGGCCTCGGTCTTTTGCCTGAAGCTGTCTTTGGGCGTAACAGTGGTCTCAGTCCCAGGTGCAGTGGTTGGGGGCACTGGAGTGGTGGCAGTGGGGATGGACTTTGCGATGGCCAAGAAGAGCTGAATATCATTGTAGGACAGACGGATGTCCAGGGCAGGAAACTGGATCTGTCAGAGAATCACATACATACAATTAAAATTGGATCCATCCTGTCAGCATGAATAAATCAGAGGTAAAATCTAAGGATGGCAGCCATACACTCTTACAAACTTACAGCCCTTGATGACTTGAATGAACATTTTAGCCCTTAGCTGGACAAGCTGCATATCAGATCATTTAGTAAACAAATAAAGAGTCGGCTCATTTATATCCTTTTACTTTGTCTTGCATATCTACTCATTTGACCATCCCTGAAGCAGTCACTGCAGACTGGAAAGCCAAAAGCCAAATAATTCCTCATGTTAATGCCACAACATTTAATTCTTATATGAGTGCTGACTCCTGACCTCCAGCAGTGGTGGGATGTCCTCCACGTTGAAGGCGTCCAGTAAACCTGAGCTGCTTTGGTATGTTGGGCTCCCACAAAGCTCCACCTGAATATTCACGGGATCGATGATGGACAGGGCTGTCTCTTGCTCACTGCCAAGCCGACACGAGAACACCTGAAGGGACAAGACACCTCTGAGATTAAACTTTGGCATTTACTATCTGTGGTTTGGTCAAAAATTAGTAGCACTCCTGCACAAACGCAGAATGTAAAAATTAAACAAAAGTTACTCTCTGAACTGGGCTACACTGTGCACTGTTTTAGCCATCTTAAATAACAGGAAGGAGAGTAATTGTCTTTGTTGTAATCTTAGCATTTAAGATGATGCAACTCTGGTCCTCTTTTTGTACTAAGAGTCATGAAAAAGCTGCAGTAGCAGGTTAGTTAGTTGGTCATTACTAAATCAAGTATCTTTGCCATGATGATGTTTTTTTTTAACTGACAGTGTTCGGTCTGTTGGAGATGTTACCTCTATCCCTGCCAGGCTGCCAGAGAAGGGTCTGTCCAGCAGACGGGGTTTGTAGGTGAGGACAGTGGTGCCTTTCAGGATGATGGCGTTAGTATCCAGACAAGAAGAGTCCTCCACGACCACGAACTCTGTGCCTGAGTCCAAACGGCAACATAACATTAAAAAGGCATAAATCATGAGGTATTGAATACAGATTTACGGTTGAAACTAAAGCCGTTCATCTATTTCTTAATGATTTAAACTATTGCTGAATTTGTCAGTTGTATCTTGACAGAGTTTCTTGGATTTCTGGCTGTGGAGTTTAGGGTGTATTCTTAAGATGTTGCAGCTATTTGAAGTTGCCAGGGGTGTTTCGAGGTTTTAACTGTGTATAAAGCAGTAACATCAATAACTTGGAGATAAAGTAGATTCAGAGAGGTGCTTTAGCATTAAGTCTGGAGTTTCCAGTCGCACTGTGGCTTTGCAAAATGGGCAAATCTGAGACAGATTTCAAAGACAAGGCAAAAATTACTTTCTTTGTTGTTATCTTTAATCTCTGCATCAGATTTTAAACATTAAATTTTGCTCATGAGTAGATGTATAGAAGTTAGCCAAAATCATGTGCAGACAAACCTCATTTCTTGTATTCCAACTGTTCACAGAAATTGTTATCTTCTCAGTGAAAAAACACTTTTTCCTGACCTGTGACATTGATCTTGACCTCCAGGTATCTGTCCTGGGTGACCGGCACTGTGGACCTCTTGGTGACCACCCCACTCTTCACTGTTTTTGGCATGACAGCTCCAATTGTTGTGGCACCTGGGATCCCGGAGGCTGAGTCTGTGCTGGTGTTACTTGGCCAACGCTGTCGAGTCCCAGCTCCCTCTGACGCCTTCTCTGCTGGTCCCTGCAGAAAGTCCCGCACCAGCTGGAGCCAGTCGAAGATGAGGAAGACCCTGAGGTTGTTGAGGACCACCGTGAAGCAGGAGGAGTCTCTTGTGGATCTGTGAGAAGGTGAGACACAAACAATGAGACATAATCCTTTTTGAAAGATCTTATGTTCCAAAATCACTCTCATGTGCGTGTAAATGCTCCAGTGATACCTGTAGTGCAGCTCCAGCTGCAGAGACGCCCGGTTTGTGCCTGTTTTGGAGGGCTGGAGGATGCAGTCAAAGGCATTGGGTCTGGCACCATCACTACCTGCAGATCTCTTATTAGGTCCAGTGTAGCGAGTGTCGTATGCCAGCAGGGAGTGAGACACCAAGTTGACCGACTTGGATCCATTAGAAAAACTCTCAAAGAGCAGCTTAGACTTCATGAAGTCAAACCTTTGTAAGAGAAACAATCACAATATGAATAAACCACTGTTGATAAATATCCACACACTGTTACTCAGTGGTTATTCTCACAGACCTGTATATTATAACAGGGTTTCTGCAGGTTTCAACAAGTCAAATTTAAGACTTTATAGATGTTTTTGAGACCATAATGAATTTAAGATCCATTTTACATCCATACTGGTAAAAAAGTTCAAAAAACATGAAGAAAAATTAGAAATTTGTAAACTAACTTCAAAATAAATCTGTTTTATTGACGTTGTTAGGCCTTAAATTCAAATTAATGTTTTAACGCTTTTAAAGACCCAGCAGAAACCCTGTATAAATAAAGTATTATAAATAAACCATTTACAGGTCAAAAATAAAGAAAAATTTGAAATAGTGTTTTTAATAGCAGTAAGAGGAAAGAAAAGCTGCACCGTGCTAATGATCGTTTGGGCTCAAAAGGTTTTGGTCGATCCAAGAGCTCCAGACTGACGTCCATCATGTCCACCAGGAATGATAAGTTTGTGTAGACATCACCGCTTAACACCGTCTGAGGAAAGACACATGATGGATTCACAAATTAGGACAAAAAGGCGACTACCTTCAGAGGTAAAATGGTGACAAATACTCTGGAATGAGCCGAAACCAATGACCTTCAGAGACAGAGAGCATAAAGTTTCACAGAAAAGGTTTATAATAAATATTTAAACCTTTTAAAGAAATCTGATGAATAGTGGTGCTGACTGGATCCCCTTACAAGTTGATCCTAATATATTCTTATTTCTGATCAGTTATTTTGGTTTGTCATTTGTTGATATTTCTGAGTCAAACATGCAGCTCAGCAAAAAAGCTCCAAAATCACAGAAAAAACTCAACACAGCTGCACTGAAACCCAACAGTGACCTTGTGTTTTGGTGACAATTTCTGAGCACATTTAAGTATTAAGGCTGCAAATGGTGACGGTTCTCGCATATGCTGTGGTGTCAACTCTGATAGTGACGCAAAGTAACACTTAAGTGAGGCTTGCATCAAAGTCATAGAATATCAAGTATCCAAAGACGGTCCAAGCGAGAAAGCCAAGCAAAATTTATGACAGAAAAAAGCTACAAATATACTTCTGGATATTTGTGGCAGCATGCTTTCTCACATAGGTGCTGGGGTCCTGCAGGTTGTAGGGTCTGAGGAAATCTTCAACTGGCTCTCCCAGGTTGTTCTCCAGCAGACCTCTGATCAGCTGGTAGTGCTCCAGGTCCAGAGAGCAGTGGACTGATGACAGGCTGCCGTGGATGGACATGTCTGGGACTGCATGGCTCAGCTCCCTGAAAACACCAACAAACACAGGCGTGAGTTTGGACATGGGGTACGAGCATGTAGTGAAACTGGAAAAAAGAGCTCAGTGTCACACATCTACATTATATAATGAAAACGGTGCACTTGAGATTATAAAACAAACATTTATTCAAGAAGCAGGGCTTACTTGTCTAAGTTGCGCTCTACTTTCAGCTTGAGGCGGCAGCAGTCTTTGAGCAGGTTGTCTCCAGTGCGACGGACCGAGTATGAAGGAAAGATGAGGTCTGATGGCTCTGGAGGTTTAACAACGCTATCCCAGAGCGGAGAGGGTAAACGCTCAGCAGCAAAGATGTCCATCTCCTGCAGGTCCAGGGCTATGCAGTCCAGCAGGCACACATGGTCCTCTAATGGGGAAAACACGAGTAACAGCAACAACAGTCACTTCTTATGTTTCTTTTCTGTTTACACTCTGCCTGTTTCTTCCAAATTGGACAGAGATGGTTACCCAAGTTGTAAGAACCGTCCTCCTCAGGGGCCTTCCCTGAGTCTGGGAACTGTGGCCTGCCCAGGGTGAACCCTGTAAAGGAGGAAGTGCTGGAAACGGATGCTCTTGGTTTGTCCTGGTCACTGTTTTTCCCTGCTGCACTCCGGACGCGGTCCTTTTAGACAGACAGAAAAGAGACATGAAGTCGGGCCAATGTTAGAAACAGGACTCAATAAATCGGCACATGAATCATTTCAAAAGGAGCTGAAGCACAAAATAAACAACATTCACCAAGAGAGCTTGGTTTGACAATCCCCATCATTCAGTTTGTAAGCTTCATTGGAATACTAAAATATGAGATCAGTCGCCACTAATTTTTAAGCTTTTTCATTTTTCACATAAGTGTTTGAATAGTTTCATGGACAACGAGAGACTGAAGGTACTTCTGTTAATCTTCCTACTTTTTAAAAAGTGAAAATCTCACTGAACCACTTCAAAGCAACAAATCAATAAAACTACTCAAGTGTCCCTGCAGCCGGGAAAACAATTTTCACTCAGAATTTTCCCATTGTTTGTGAAGAATACACTTAGACCTGCTTCTTAGAAATGAATTAAATGATTGATCAATGTTAAACATTTTGATACAGCAGATCAGAAAAATTGGAAAATACAATTTCAAATAAATTGAAGATACCTTTTCTACTATTAACAGCAAAGAAACTTCAGCAAACACTGACATTTCAAAACCAAAATGCTCCAAAACAATACACCAACTTCTCAGAAGAGCCCTCTGATCATGTTCAGCAGGGGAAACAAAGGGCTCTTAACAGACAGCACTGTAAATGCACAAAAAGTTTCTGTTTTCTAAAAAACTGCACATTAAGAAGTTGGTCGCATCTAATACAAAGTTTTTGGGATTGTTTAACAGTTACATTAAAAAAAAAACTAAGGAGCCTGAAGAGTCGGTGTATATCTTGAAACGAAACATGTAACATCTTATAATGGAGAGATTGATTCATCAAATTAGCAACTGCAAGAATCAAGAACTTCACAACGTATCACTGACAAAGATGCAATTAAAGCTCCTGTGAGTAGTTTTTTTTTATTTTTTTAGCTGGATCAGGTTGAAATTATTCTTGTTGCCTCCCTATAACCAGAAGCAAAGAAGACCACATTCAAGAGGAGGACGTACTTCTATATGTTTGTTTATGTTTTGGGTGTTGAGTGTCAGACCAATTTATCAATCTCATGTTGCAAGTACGATTTTTTCACCTTCCATCCCAAGTTTTTATTTTTTTTTAATAAAGTCTGTCCAGAACAAAATCAGCAATCAACACTTATTAAAAGTTCCTCCCAGGAGCTTTAAAATACTGTCAGCTCTTTGCGGTGTGGTACTGGTTCTACCATTTCTGATAGTATGAAGCTTGATCCAAGATGGAAACAAAGTGTAAAACCAAATATAGTATACCAACTCTTCTCCACAGCAAACAGCAAGTGCATGCCAGTGTACCTTATAGTGAGATGGATCCTTGTATGAACTTGCATGCAGTATAAAATTCTTCACACAAAAAAACACAAGATGCATATTAAAGACCAGATTACATTTTCCTTTTCTTATGATATACTTATTTCTGAGCTTAAACAAACTTAATCCTTTAATCCTTTAAACTGATCCTTTAAAACTGTTGAATTAATAATAATTCTTATGTAAGTTTGTTTAAGATGATTTACTTGACATTTTCTGGTTTGGTTCAACCAGGATTAAAAATAACATCCTAAATTTTCACATCTAGCTGAGAATGATATTACCCCAAATATTAGACCATTAAAAAAACATTGAATCAAAATACATTAAGGTTGGCACAAAAGCAAAGACACTCGAATTTCGACTGGTTCAGGGATGGAAGAGTGCTTGCTTTTTACAGTAATCCATCAGGCAGCGCAGTATTCACTGCAAGTTACTTGTTGAATTCAGACATGAAGGGTAGAAGAGGACAAAAAGAAAAGAAAACTTTTTTATTGAGAGTCAAGAAACAAGCTTCAGGAGTGAGTACTGATTTTCAGTGTTTGGTTATTTCCATTAATCACAGAGAGAAATAAAGTGCAGTTAGACAGAAGACGAGGAAAAGGAAGGGTGGTGAGAGAACACTGCATGCACAGATGGATGGACAGCGTGACTCACCAGAGAAGGGAAAAAGGCATGTGCCATGGTCAGTTTCTCTACCTTGTCTTGAAGGGAAAAAGTCCCATGAGCCCCAGCTGGCAGGAAGCAGTTCTGCACCTTCAGCTGACCGAGGTTTGCCACAATAACCCTCGGCGAACGTGAGCTCTCTGGGATAAGAATCACTGGAGCGCCAGCCTCAATATCCAGCAGAACCCTGGAAGCCCGCTGAGGATGATCTCGTACCTGCAGGGAGGGACAGAGGGGACAGAGAGGGTGAGGGGTTTTGAGTGGATACAGGGAGGAGGACTTTATTTTATAAGACTAATAATGAAGTAAATAATCCTTCATTCAGTAAGTTTGAAAGCCCAAGTGGATAGTACTCACAGCCTGGCCCTCCATCGCAGCCCTCTGTCTGCCCAGGACATCCTGCAGCTGGGTGAAATGTTGAATGAAGGCCACCACCTCAGCCTGGAAGCGCTGCGTGTGGACATACTGCACTGAGGCCATCTTCAAGGAGACCCTGATGTCACACTCCCGCTCCAGGTAAGGATCTGGCTCACCGTACCTGTGTGGGACACAAAGGTTATGAAACAAGATCGATATTTCTGAGTTCTTCTAATTCATAAAAGTCACAGACTCAAAAATTATTGATACATACTTGCGGATGTCAAAATTGAGAGCCTCTCCTCCTCGTGTGGTAAAGCGCTCTCTGTAGAGGTCACCATGTGGAGTAAGATCGCTCAAAGATAAACTTCCTAAACTGCCTTGTAAGGCCAAGTCTCCATCTGAAATATTATCAAGAAGAAGTGAAATCAAACATTAATTCCTGTTCATGAGGCAACATCTTCATGTAAAAGAAAATTCAGTGTTCAGTTTGTTTAATCTGATTAAGGTCAAGTTTCTCATACATACCTAACATTTCCAGATGAGCAGATAACTTGGATACACTTGCTCTGGCAAGCTCATTGAGCTTCTTGTTTAGTATGAGAGACAAAGCATGAACCTAAAAATGAAAACAAAAACAGGTTTCAGTCTCATGAACTTTGTGACCTTGCACTGTCACCTGCGAGGTTGGGAAGAAGTGTAGCTTCTTCTCCATTCAGAACTAACTCTATATCAGTGGTTCCCAATCCCAAATTTTGGCTTCCATTCCCCCACTTGGAGGATGAGGTGACCACTGAATGACACCGTACTACCAGCCACCCTTGGGAGGTGTGAGACACATTTTAGGAGCCACTGTTCTGAATAAACATGCCACTGTATTCCTTCCATTTAAAGAAAAAAACTACATCTTCTCCAGCCTCCTACCTTTAGGTCCACTTTAGTGTTGACTGCCTCTGTTGTCTCCTCCTCGTCCATGTCCGGCTCATACAGAGGATGTCCCGGTACAGGTTGGGGTGACATGGGGTTCACCCTCACTGCGTGATTATTGGCTGTGGAGCCGATACTGAAGAAGTCCAGAATAACCACCCAGGTTTGTAGTGTGATCAAAACGTCCAAACAGTTAAAGTCCACATCTATGCTCCGGCCTACACCGCCGTATCGTGTTTTAAACTCCGGGTGGTTCTGATCCACCAGCAGCACGTTGATATGAACTAATGAGTCATCAAAGTCCGGGGGAGGATGAGGGGAGGGCGTGTGGTGGGTAGGGGAGGGAGGGGGAGTAGTGGGACAATCTGGGTCTCTCTTGGACTTGCGGCTGCTGGCTGAAGGGGTGCTTGGATGTCGCTGGTATAGCTGGAAGACGTTCTGCGCCTCCTCCATGTGGGCTGGCAGAGAGCGGGGCATGTCTGGGCACAGAGCATTGGATGCTGATGGACAACTTTGGGAGAGGTATTCCTTTGGGCTAAAGGTGGAGGGCTTGAGAGCACCGCGAGACACCATCAAGTGTTTGTACTTGGACTCCGGGTTCTGCTCCAGGAGGTCTTCCATCAGCAACGACTTCAGAGCCAGCTGAACTGCCAGCAGGTGAGGGTGGTCTTTGGTGAAGTCTCCCTCCAGATCTTGGAAGCGCAGACTGACTAAGCCCTGAGAGCCCTGAGTCAGGTCTGCACTGAGCTGGACCTGCAGCTCAGATACGTGTAGGGTGACCTTCAGCTGAGTGAACGAAGGAGACTCTAGAGCGGGTTTGTGAGACTGAAGAGGTAAAGGTGAAGGAAGCGACATGTGGGAGAAGGTGACGTGAGGAGGGTCCCTTGCAAAAAGCCCTCCCTGAGGGTCTGGAAAGCGATGATGTCGGGTGGAAGAAGGAGTCGGAGGTGGGGGTGTTGGCGGCTGACTTGGTGTGACGCGGATCTCCTCAATCAGAGACAAGTTGTCCAGGGTCTGGAGGACTTGCTCATACACAGGTTTACACAGGAACACCTACGATTACAGAGTCAAAGAATGACACAATGAGTTATAAGTAAGTGATGCTAGACCAAACACAGAAACAGTTTTTACTTATCGAATAATTCCTGATTATCTGCAGTTATCCAATTTTGCTTTCACCACAAGCTCCTGACAACACTTTTTAATTTCAGTTTTCCTGTAGACAGATGTATCCTTGATTTCTTAAGTCTGTTTATTCTGCATGTTCATCTGACATCTTCCCAGATAGAGCGATGACCATCATTAAAAATAACCACACAAAATAAAAAATCTAACTTGGCACTAATAGCCTTGTTTGCCTTCTTGTCATATAAAAGGCATTTTTTTCACTTCAGTTTGTTTCATCACCAGCTAAAAACCCACTCAACAGAGATTTAATGTTAATCAAACCCAACAGTCCCTGAATACATCATAATATTACACTTCTAGTGACACCTTTGAAGATTTAAAATGAAGAAAAAATCATAACCAGTTGTTTTGTGAGTGATCTTTATGTAGTGAGCAACAGATCATCAAGTAAAAGCACAATTTAATTTTAGATGGTTTTGAGACATTTATCTTAAGGATTGTCAATAAGAATCTTTGAGAACAAGACCACAGTAAGAAGGCCTACAACACCGTTATTTTGTGAAAGCTAGTGAGTGATGTTGTTTTTTGTCTGTTCTGATATGTTACAGCTATATTTTACTACGACAAATGAACAGTAACTCATTATAACCTATGTACTAAATATGTTACGTTGATATCTTTATGGTATATTTTAGTTACTATTTTGCTTTACTCCAAGTGCCCAAAGTCCAGCTTTAGCTTGTCATAAGTAATAATGATATATTTTGAGAATTAAAGAAATGAAAGAAATCACAACTTCTTATGACACACTGACTGAGTTCTCTGTGATCTTTATAGCTGGATAAAGTTGTGAGAATTATTATTTGTTATACAACCAAATTTGCATTAAGACATGATACATTATGAACACCCTTCATACAACACTGTGGCAGAATCTATGATGATAATATATGCTATAACATTTACCTGAACAGGGTTGACAAATTTGCCCTCCACTCTCAGTAACCCTGAGCTCTTGAAGGGCTCCTCTGTGGTGAGGAAGGTGAACTGGGTGTCTTCTTCAACTGGAACCTTCTCAAGGGTGAACTGTATCGTTGTGTCTTTCAATATGTGGAAGGCTGATGAAGAAAGTCACCGGTGTCAGTAGCTTGTACTTGATAAAGAGAAATATTCAGGATATCTTAGAAAAAAAAAAAGAAAGACTCTCACCTTTGCCCCGACTAAGATACTCAAAGAAATCGTGGCGTGTGAACTGAGGCTCATCCTGGCTGATGCTGCTGTGACGGGACGGTGATATGTTTGTGACGATGTCCCCTCTAGGTGTCCTCTTCAAAACCAGATGACTCATATTGAGTGAATACAGTCGAATATCCTTCACCAGCACCTGTAGCTTCTCTCCTTCAGACTCCTGCCCAGTAACAAAGTTCTGGATCGCTATGCTCCCAAGATGACCGACTAATAGCTCAGGGTGTCCAGGTTTACGGGGGATGGACACAACAGGGGATTCAATGCTGACATTTAGCGTCAGCTTCACAAAGAAGGTATCCAGGGTTGGCTCTGGTTCTTCCATGGACAGATCCTCCTCATCCTCAAATGGATAATTCCAGGTCTGACTTTGAGTTCGAGATCTTCGTGAGGGAGTCTCAAAGAGCGACACCATCCCACTGTACTCAGCTGTCTTGGTGGCTAAAACCGTTGAGACTTTGGTGGCAGCGCTTTTCAGCATGGAGCGGAAATTGTCCTCTACCTCGTTGGCTGACAAACTGAGCTCCTTCAGGAACTTGGCTGAGTGGTTATAGTGCAAAGAGGCCATTTCCAGCTTCAGTGAACACTCGCCCTGGGATTTTTCCAGCAGGCGAAAGTTTAAAGCCTCACAGGGGGACACTACGGTGTCAGGGAGGAAGGTTATTCCACCCAGAGTTGAGGTGCTGTCTTCAACATTGCCGATACTGACCACAAACTGGCTCCGGCCTCCTTCCTGAGTCAAATCCACCAACTGCATGGACCCAAGTGAGCCATTGATGTCCAACCTGCTGCCCATGGACACATTGACCTTAGTCCCTGCGATGCTGGCAGTGGCAATCTTCAACCCTTTCTTCTCGGCCCCCAGGACAGTGCCAGTGGACACAGTTCGAAGCAGGAGCAGGTTGAGGCGGTGAATCTCCACTGTCAGCTCTTTGTTCTGGTCGTATGTAGCCTGATACGTCTCCTCCCCCTCTTCTTGGTTAGGCTGGGCTGATTGTTGTTGTGAAGATGTTGAGGTGCTTTCTTCTTTGGGGAAAGATTTCTGGAGAAACTTGAGCAGCTCCACCATGGTCTCAGGGTTCAGGATGATGTCCAGGTTGTTGACTTGCATGGTTGTCACCTGGAGGGAGCTGTCCAGGTTCATGGAGGGGCAGTCTGAGCTGACAAACTGGTACTCCAGCTTTATCAGGGCCTCCTGGTCTTTGAGAAAAGAGCTAAAGGGGGACAGTCTGTCCATACCAAAGGACGACTCAGGACAGTGACCTTGATGCTGGGGAGACCTGCCATCAGACGACACTGGGGATGAAGGCTGACTCTCTCTGAGACTGCCTGTGGGGATGTCAAAGCTCAGGTGTTTATGAGAAGCAACAAGCAGGTCAAAGTCTGAGCCATAAGTCTGCAAGGTGTCAACCAGAAGAAGACCGTGCACAGTCAGAGAGACTTCAGCGTCATATGGCCGCTTGACAAAATGAGCATTTGTGCCAAACACTTTTAGGACAGATATGTAGCGGCCATCACTTTCTACACCAAGCTGCATGTAGTTGATGTTGAATTCAGCCAGCAGCAGGCGTGATTCCACCAGAACTTCCCGCGTGTGCTGCTCCAAGGTCATCACGCTCTGAGTCAGGTTCTTCGCTGAACCCTGCAGCTTCCAGGAGCTGTCTTCCCTCTGGAAGATCTTATCATGGCGGAGAGTAAGAGGGTCAGGAGACCTCATACTTGAACCTCCCCCTTGACTCTTGTCGTCCTCACTTGCAGACGGGCTGCTTAGTCTTGCTAAACAACTTCGAAGGGCGGTCATCTTTTCAAGGTTGATATGCACCTTAAGGTCTGGCAGAGTCCCTGAAAGCACCGCTCCGGGTAGCTGAGGGTCCGACGTGTAGCGCAGTCTCTGCTCCAGTTGCAGCAGCACATTAAACTTCTCCACCACGTGAGTAGGTCCTACCTCACTCTCTTGAAGGTGTTTCCAGTTGTCCTTAAAGCGTCCAACCATTATCTGCAGGTCCTTAAAAGACAAAGAGTACTTTTCGTAAAGCTTTCTGCTGTAGGCCTGTATGCTTTCAGGAGATCTGAGGCTGGGGAGTTCAGGGTTCTTCAGCTGTTCTTTTTGAGGCAGGTCGAGCTCAGGTGGAGGAGACTCTGGCGGGGTGGCGAGAGGCGTCTGGAATTCATCATCACTCATGTCTTCCCTTTCAGGTTGAGAAGCTTTTGAGTTAACTTTGGCATCATCTTTGAAGAGAATAAATTACAGGAGGCACCAGTTAGAAACTTTACTCAAAATACTAACAATAACTGGATGTGTTATTTTTAAGAAAAAAGGTTGACAGTTTTACCTTGAGAATTTGTGAGCAGAATTCTGCCCAAATCAACAACCACAAGCATCGGGTCCCCGGACTGGAAGTCATCAGGGAAAATCACCTGAGGAGCACATATGTCCAGTTTCATCGTCCAACGCTTACTGTTTTCCTGCAAAGCAAAAACCATCAGTTCAAATATGGATATCACTCAACTGCTATTCATTTAATGTGACGATCAAATAAACTTTTCTTACAATAAACTCTCCCACGAGTAGCTGATCAATGGTTTGTCGGATCTCTGCCTTGGTCTGCATCTTCAGCTTGTTATACTGCCTCCTGGCAGCTTCTGCTACTCTCAGCTCCAGCTCTGACTGATAGCCAAATCCTGGATGTACAAAAAAAGGTATTCATTTACTTGTTTCTTTGACACAAATACACAAGATATTGTTTTTTAGTGTATACAAAGTAGATGCCAAGCATAAAGGTTTCTAGTCATGACTAATATTTTACCCCCCAGTCCTTGGTTAGGCTTTCATAAAGAGTTCTGAGTTTACAATAATTCAGCCATTAGGATCAGTGTGCATTAAAAAATTTGAACAAAGTTGAGATCAGCAAAAATAGAGATAGTGGGGAGATATTATACTATAAATACACGTATGTGCTGCTGTGAGAGGTAGATATGATCTTCTTTAACAGAGACAGTTCAAGTTTGTTGTTTTCACAGTTGTGCACAATCTCGTAATGTGTTTAAAACGCATTTATCTGCTTCCATTTGAAAGAACTAGAAGTAGATGAAATATTATGTAAGTACTATGTGGAATGAAAAACAAATGAGGAGAGTATATTGTGACTTGTGAGTCTGGATGATGGCATCATCCTAATCTGTATGTTCTCTCTCTCTCCTGTTGTTGTGGGGTGAGTGCCATCACTGTGTTTGGTTCAGTATTAATATGACTTTTCACATGGCAGTGAAACAATATAAGCTTTCAGTGCATGGTTTTCAGCAGCCAAAGCTCAAGACATTTGACATATACATGTATTGATGCAATCAGAGTGACAATTCAACCCTGAGAAGTGTAAACAGAAAAACTAGACTGTGAAGTTTCTGTAATCACCTGAGGTATGAACTCTGCCTTTGTAGAAGAACTCAGTCACTTTCTTGATTGCTTGTGGATTGTAGATGATGTTCAGGGGACTTGTGTTCACTTCCAGACGTCTTTCAAACTTGCACCTCACAGGGTTACGCTCATAAATCATCTCAAACACTGGTGGCGAGGAGCACTCTACGTTGAACCAATACAAAAAAACAAATAAATAAACAAACATTCTCTGATTAAAAGACTGATTTTAGGGGATACTGTAACTGCTTCTCACACCCACTCTGTCTGGAGATATTTACTAAATGTCCCCAGAGGCCGACTCATTCATCACATCACACAATATAGATGGACTTAACTTACTATTGACAACAACTGCCCCTAATAGAGAGCATTAATTTCAATCAAAGATCCTGTGTCTAAAAGTCGTCCCCTCATCATCAGCATTTTGTTTTGCTTATTCACTGCACATGTAGTGAGTTTTGAAACTGCAGCAGTTCACTCATACATCAGCAGACAGGAAGTTTCAAAGGCTGTAACAGCAACACAAGCTGGCAGGAAGTACAAATTAAGATTTAATGACAAAATATTATTCAATCAATTCCCATTAAATCAAAGCTCTTACCAGAAGTATTGCTGGACTGGCTTGATTGCTGGTTTATAGTTACTACAAGTTTGTCCTGCAAGGAAAGCATGAGAAGATGGAGATGATACACTGCAAATGATGTAAAGAGAGATCATTCACGCTTTAAACTTCCTGCGCCCAAAAGAACTCTTTGTTTACCGTTTTTGGAGACACCAGCACAGGGAAGATGGTGCCCTGAGTCGTCAGGTCTCTCAGGAACAAACCTCCGAGCTTGACAGACAGCAGGGAGGACTCTGAGCGTGGGAGGGACTCTAAAATCACCTTCACCCCTGTGGAGACGAGGTCACAGTGAGTTAAATCAAACTACAGTTCACAAGCTGGGAGAGGAGTCAACAAGAGTACACCCGCTTTTATTTCTGTTTCCACTGTTAAATCTCTTTAACTGCATTAGTCCTGGTTTTCAAAATTTACTGCATGACTGAGGTTATTTGGAAATAAATGGCACAAATGTTTAATCCCATAATAAATGCTTGATGTTCTTCTATATCTGGAAAAACTTATAACTAGGGGTTGAAAATGTCTTGCTCTGTTAACAGTTCAAGTCAGGATGTGACCTTTCACTCTTTAATGGGCAGGGTGCACTCCCACAACTAAAATCTTTAATTTGGTTTAAGTAAGGACAGCAGGAGGATGAGTACCAGCAACAGTGAATGTTTCCTTGTTAGTAATACTTTAATACTTAATTTCTGAAACACAAACACAACAGTAGAAACTGTGATATAAATAGCTCAGTAAATGGTATAAAGCTAAGAAACTCTACTCTCACTGTGAAACACTATATCCCCCGCCCATTTGCTCACCTGCTTTATCCAGACTTTATACAAACTTCACACAAACTTTTAGAACTGGACCAGCATGAAAACATTTGAACTGATTTAAACATTTGACAAGTGCATACCTCTTGGAAAATGAGGATGGATACACCCTGCTTCAGGTATAGATATCTGACTAAATTTCACAGCACTTCGACAGGTCCCAGGTTAATAAAACTTGCTTACAATCAGCTATATTATTCTAAAAAAGTCTGTACTCTTGACTAAAGCCAACAACAAATCATGTTTCAGTCAGCACACCTGAGAATTCAAGCTGGATGACCCCGCTCTCATGCAGCGTGCCTTCCCTCCTGTCCTGGTGGAATAAGGTGACTCCGCCTTTCTCCAGTAAGAACTCGAGCCGAGCGAACAGGTGATCCCGTCTGGTGAAGGTGTTCAGAGTGTGAGAGTCCTCCAGGGGATCGAACAAGTCCTCTGTCTCTGCTGGAGAAGCACGAAAACAATAAGAGTCAGCAGTCAGAATGTGCTAGGTGATCTGGGGTCTTCAATAAATTCACCTCAGATTTTTTTTTTAGTAGTACCTTATGCAACAGAATGAATAATTACAAAAAACTCTAAGTCACCTTGTTGGAAGCCGTACAACAGGTTAGATACAGATGCTTAACACAGAGGAGACTTTCATACCCAGAATATCCCAGGAGGATGGACTTGGCAGAAGCTCTTCAGGCCTGTCTGGGTCTTGAGACTCTCCATACCAGCCTCCCCAGCCCGGAAACCAGGACTGCAGGTACTGGATCATCCCTGAGCTTCCACTTTTGGGGATAGCTGCAGGTGGTGAAGTAGGCTGGACTTCAGTGCTTGGCTCTCGTACATTCTAAAGAAAACAGAGAGAAGTGAATCTTTCAAGAAGCAACATCAAGAAGATCCATGAGAAGCATTTGTCTTCTCGCACAGACACTACGGGGTTACCTCTGCAATCTCTTCCTGCTTTCGAAACCAGTCGTGGACAATTTCTCGGAGACTCTGCAGCTCCTCTAACGTCTGCTCCTCTTCCACACGCTCCAGCTCGCACTACGCAACAAGGAAAAATACAAACATCAGTTCAGTGATCTGCATCTCTGCATCTGATCCTGATCTGCATCTTCTCAAAAGCAAAGATGCAGCTGAGCGTCTGACTCCTTTTTTAGGTATATAAAGTCATATAAAGTAAATAAAGCTGGAAAAGAAAAACAAAATATTAACCTGTTAAACTGTAGCGACAGAAAATCAATCTCTACACATCTTTGTATATGCAGATGGTCCATTTCTTGCTATCTTTCACTCATTTTTGCCGATTCAATCTTTGCACACAATTCAGTCGACTGTCAATATGTATCACACATATGGAGGAACAAAGCAAAGCAATCTGTTTAATAAAATGAGGTGCCAATAAAACTCTCACAGCCTTGTTGATCAGCCTTCCTTTTAAGAAACATTCAACATGAAGACACAACTTTAAAATTAACAGGTAATTTGAAAATCCTAACAACCCCAAACTGCAGTGAAAACAGTGCTAAGAGGACAGATGAAGTGCTGTGCTGTCTTATCAAGATGTATGTTAATGATAAAGATATAACCATGAACTGTTGAGGAGCTGAAATCCTACATCAGGTAAAAACGGGACAACATTTCACTTTCCTAACTCCAGAAACTGGTCACCTGGGTTCACTAATGTTTGTAGAGTGTTGGGAAAGAAAAGCTGGTAAACATGACCTAGTCCTAATTTTTTTTTTGTATTTTGGCATTTTTTTGACATGTTGTATTTGCACGAGTTTCAATTAAATGCAGAGTTTAAATAACATTTAAACCATCAACCTTTGTTGCCTTAACATTTTACACAGCGTTTCTTGGAATTGGAGTTGTGGAATAAAAATCAACATCGGGGGCAAAGTGAGATCAATATTTGGCTGTTAAAGTTGTTTCATAAATCAGACAACACATTTGTGATAAATTATTAAGTCTGAGTGCAGGAGCGATGTATTTACATAAATGTTTTATTGAGTGCACTACCTCCTCCTGAGGACTCAGTGGGACTCCTTTGAGCCTCCTGAAGTACAGGCTGGTGTACGTCTGAGCGTCTCGTGCTCGCTTCAGGGCAAAGTCCCAGCTGCCTCGCCGCCGCTGCTCCCGGATTTCACTCAGGTTTGCCTCGATGGCAAACATCCACCACTGTCGGCAGCTGCGGCAAAACACAATGTGACACACTTTACAATCTGATTCAAGGATTAAAAGCTTTATTACACAAACTAACAGAAAGTTCAGAAATGCAATGTGACAAGGTCCTGAAGCTGAGGAGAACTTAGTCAATATGAAAAATCAGATTGTTTCTTGAACTCAGTTTCAGTCTTTTTGGCTCCTGTTTGGTTTCAGTCTTTGAAAAGTCAGCCTGCAGTTGTGCTCTGAGTCTTTTCTTGTATGGACTTACTTTCCAGAAATGGGGTCTTTTGGCCTCCACTTTCTGTAAAGCATCTCTCTCTCCCGTCGGTCCAGCTCTTTCAAGAACGCCATGATCTGCTGGTACTGGATCTAAGACACAACAAACACACACACTCACTGAAATGTCTGCATCATAGTATAATATCAGTATTTGTAAGAAATAAAACAGTTGCAGGTTAAAATTGCTGAAATAACATACACACATTGTAAACCCATGCTTCCCCTTTTCTCATCCTGCAGTAATCTAATCACAGAAAGTATATTTCATGTCCTTTTGTCAGTGCAATCTACAATTATACTCTTTACTGTGCTTTACTCTGTAACCAGAGAGCATGTTTGATGTATTACTGCGTATTTCTGAATGCTGTTACAAGCCGCAGCATCAACTGTTGTCAGTCACACTTGGTGCACTCTGTGTTAACTTTGGGTGAAGAAATGAGTCATAAAGTCAGTGAGTCAGAAAAAGACAAACTTCTTTTACACCCAGCTGCTGCACTCAGCCTCGGGTGTTCATACACACCTGTGACAGGCGTAAGGACATGGGCTCCAGCTGCACTTGGCCCTCAATCCGGGGCGTGTTTCTGGATCTCAGAGGCTCCTTGGAGGTGTTTCTTCTGAGCAGCACCGACGCACACACGGGTTCAAAGATGTACTGATGCTCTCGGCTCTGCATGCATCGGGTCATTGCCTCCTGTGAGAATAAAAAGCAAAACTTCTGAGACTAAATTTCAAAGCCAGAGGAGAGAAAGTCTCAACAGTGCACGTGCAGCTAATTTGATTCTGCATCATTACATGCCATTAATGTGGGGAGACTCTAACTTGAAGGCTTTGCATGTCTTTAAGTTCAAGTGCTGAACAAGGCAGATACTTTTTCATGATTCATAATTCATTTATTTTGTTATGGCGCACTCAGACCAAATAATTCCTCATAATGACTGTATTGAAGTCCAGCTGGTTAATGTGTTTCCTTTAAAAAGATAAAGAAAACAGGGTTCATTGAGGAAGGGTTTAGCAACCTACGGTGACTGTGAATCAATCCACGTGTAACAAACTGAGAAAATCTATAACAGATTTCTCTCAAAACAAATATTTATTCATTATAGGGAGCAAAGTCTTGTCATGTAAAGGTCTGAAGTTAAAATGTGCCAGATAAGAAGGTCCTGGTAAAAAAAGCTTTAGTACTCCTGTAATGACATCCCACCCTTAGAACAAACAAAAAAATCCCTGTCCCTCACTGTTGCATGTCAAGTTGTGTTGCTCTGGTCTTTATATGGTCCAATTTGCTTGGTCATAATTTGGGACAAACATTGTCAGGAACAAAAGCTTAATTGGAAACATAGAGTGAATCCAGTCCTAAGCTCTGATACTGCACGGAGAGCTGCCTCTTGACTGTTAAAGGTCACTGACCTGGATCTGATTCGCGGGCAGCTTTCCAAGCATTTCGCACTCGGTGTCCCAGTAAACACTAAAGTCCTCGATCTCCAGCTGCTTCTGTCTGAGGAGCCTCTGAACCTGTGAGAAAAAATATATATATATCTATAATCTTCTGAAATGGTTAGATTAAAGAGATTCATAAATACGACAATCAAATCTAAAAGAAAACTACTGATGCATCAGAATAAGAATAGAGACAAATAAGAAGAGCATGAATAATACGAATACTTGAACATTTAAAAGCCTCAATGAAAGGAATGAAGACTTATTTCATATTCTAAGCTTAAACTCACTTTGTGTGGCACTTACCGACTCTTTGGAGGGATTCTGAGCTGCAACATTGTTGATGCAAACCCCAAAGGAAAAAGGTTTGTCTGGATTGGAGAAGTCATCCTCAAATCTTAGATGCACATCTTGGATCTTTAGCTACACAAAGGTCAAAAAAATAATTTAGTTTCTGTCATAAATTTCACGTCAAACAACAAGGACCAACCTGCAGTAACTAACTGCATACTTAAGGAAAAGATCTACAGACTAATAAAGAGAGAATTTTAATAAATGGCAATAAATCCTCCTTGTAATGTTCTGGTTCTGTTATATCTTTCTAGAGAAGTGCTGACTGGATGATTTCATTAAATTGTTCTGAGTTCGGCTAGAACTGATATATAAACTTGGTTTACTTTTAATGATACAAACTCAGTGGATGATTCCAGAGACATTGAACAAAGAACAGGCTGCAGACTGTTTTCGCTCGTACATAGTTTATGTTCCAGTCCCAGGCTTACCTCAATATTTTCCACAATCCTGGTGACCACTGAGGCAGTGACAGAGTACCAGTAAGACTCTCCTCTCTGCTCACACTCACTCTGCAGGAGTTAAAACAGACTACCACATCAATGCCGCAAACACATGCAATAATAAGCTTTTCAGCAACAGCAACTACACAAGTGTCACATTGAAAGATTTTACTATTGAATTCACAGACTGGGCCAACTGTCTTTGGTGGATTTGAATCTTAAACCCACAACCTATACTATACAAAAAAGTACCAGTGAATCAGTCATTGGGATTTAAGCTCTGGTTTTAGGGTATGCTCCAATATGCAAATCTAAAATAAAACAAGAAAAAACATGTAAACCCTTCCTGCAACAAAGACTGATGCACCACTTTTTGTATAAAAGATTCCAATCGTAACATAAATCTGACTAAATTGAGATGAGCGGAAAAATTAAATATAGCAAATGTGCAACAGAATATTCTGTTCTGCTGCACTTGACAATAAAGCTGAAAACCCACAGGATCCTATTGGGCGTGTTCTGTCACAGTCATGTCCGGGCTCCGTCGGGCAGCCTATGTCAATGCCCACTGTAAGTGTGTTTGGAGCGTAGGAACAGCGTAGTGCAGCCCCGGTCAGCTGGACTTAGAAAACAACATGCTCACAACAGGTTGCTTTGCTTTTTCTGTGGATACAATTCTGTGACTGTTGAGCTTCTACTGTATGTGAACAAGCAACATGATATTAAAGTTTCGGTTTTTGCAGGTTTACTCGTGTTTAATAACGTAAACTATCTTCCATTTTGTTGTGTTGTTACCTTCAGAGAGGGTTAGCAGCTGAAAGTCCTGTTGTGGTCCACATGGATCAGGGGTAGGCCACGGGACTGTTCTGTGTTACTGATAAATCCATAACCAGGAAGTATTTCTCATCTGCATGAACTGGGTAATAGTGGAAACCCTCAGTAGGTGTTTTATTTTGGAATTTACTGGATGACATGCGCCTTACCCCAGCGCGACATCTAAGACAATCTCCTCTGTTAAGTTTGAAACGTGCTGGGCTCGTGCTCTGTCACAAATAGACCTGGCACGTATCTTTAGTGGAGCAGCGCATAGACACTTTTGGGACAGGGCTGAGATGCGCTGTGATGCATCCTGTGTGCTGCATTGATTAGAATGGGAACGTATTTGCTGTGTAGCATGAGACGCTGACGGAATGCTCCCAACAGGCATCCTGTGGTTTTCAGCCTTAAATCTTAAGCTAATCTACTATTCCTAGGAGGGTGTGATGTTCATTATAGCCCAGGAGCCTACATCAGAGCTTATTTTCTAAACTTTTAATCCACCTACTTTGAATTTATCTTCGAGAGCCTTCAGGAGGCGCTGTTTGCGCTCCCTCTCTTCCTCCTTCTCCTTCTCTCCATCGTACTCCTGCAGCTGGGCGGGGCCGATGATCAGGTTGAGCTGGGACATGGAGATGACCCATGGGTCACTGTGAGGCCGGTAGAAAGGGATCTGCAGAGTAATCTTTCCAATGAAGCCTGCGAAGACAACAGAGTGCACGGATTACACAAAAAAGAAAACTCGGGCCACTCCAGGTCAGACCGGATAATCTCATTCCGGATTATCCCAGTGTTGTATTGACATTTAGAGTGATCATTGAGCATTCACCTGTCATACTGTTTGTGTTCAAACCTGCTCCTTTTATTTGCTGCCAGAGACACTGCTGAATATGGTTGCCATAATAATAAAGGTCCTTTTGTAATAGGGGCATCATTTTCATACATTTACAGTCAACTCATTACAAGTAAAACTGCTTTGCCAGTTAAAACAGCTGCATGTTGTCAAACTATACTGACAGGATATTATCCAAATTCACCCACAGGTCTTTGAAAGCAACCCTTAAAATGAAAGCATATGATATGGGGCATCCAGCCCTCCCTGAGTCCTAATCTTCTAACTTAAGTTTCCAGTGCAGTTTTTGTGGTCAAAAAGCACAAATGAGGGCCCTTTGCTAAAACATACTTAGTGTAAGTAGGTCAGAAGAAAGTCATATGGTGATGGGGTTTCTGCTCTGTATGTTTAAGCTCGTTATAAAGTTGCTTCACAGCAAATTAGCCCCAATTAAAAAACAAAACACTACTAGCAGCTTGAAGGACAGACACAAAGGATAACGCATGCAATAATATAATAATTAATACACAATTTACCTAATTAAATAACAGCCATGATAAATTGACTTAAGTAATACAAAATAACAAATCAAGGTCCTTTTATTTCCTTTACAGACTTCAGCCTTTGACCTTCCCCTCTCATGTGTCCTTGAGGCCTCCCTCAGACTTTTTCACTCCAGCAGTGAGTGTGCAGGCATGCATGAAGAATGCTGCTCCTACATAATTACATTAGAGCACACGTCACCAGACGGGAAAATCCTGATTTGATTTGTGATGGACAGGAAGCTCTGACAGGCTCAAAGGAGTTCAGAGACCGTGACAAAGAGCACTCAAGCTCAAGACCTTTGGAGAAATAAGAGCTAATAAACGCTGAGAGGGTTAGTTTGTCCTTCTTCTGTCTGTCATCTGGAGGATTTGTGATTCAAATGTTTTAATCTTCATGGACTTTTTGAATGAAATATTCTAATTTCAAAGTACGAGTTTTGCTGGAATACCACTCAAGAAATAAAGAGTAATTAAAAGTCAATATATTGCACACATACTCCTTCAGTTATCTTCACACTGCTCACAGTTTAAAATAAGATTTAAAAAAAAAAAGTAATTTATGTGCAAAAAATACTACCTGTGCCACTAACTAGCTAGATGATTAAAATATTGACCTTTCCTGCATGCACATGCACTGACTGTCTATTAATGTCTGTAATCAGTGGGATGTTATCACACCACAGATAAAGTGGGATCCTAATGATGTAATCTAAAGCCCACAGGTCCAGCACAGTCAGAGAAAATATTTGTTCAAATCAAAAACAAGAGGAGTCCAGAAATGTACATTTTCTATGTGAAGACTTTAGGAGAAGTCAAACACTCTACTTAGTTTCAACTTATTTCTAAGTCAATTTTGATTCATCTTTGTGAGGTTACACTTGAATAAGTCTCACCTGTTTTGACTTCGAACGGCAGGTCGAACTCTCTGAGGGCATCTTTCCTTAAAGGCAGATTCTCCAGCTCAACCGCACCTGAGAAATGACAGGTAACACATGAACATGTCTTCATGACTTTGTAAAAGAACATTATTTGTCAATTTCATACGTTAAAATGAGTTTAAAATGTTTGTTATTGTCTGATCCATCGACCTGGATAAACCAGACCAAAGTAGACCCCCTTACATTTTCTCCAGTTTTCATCATCACATCATCACTTTTGCTTGTGTCTGAACCAAACCTGCTGAGGACACTGATGTTTTCAGGGTGTGTCCAACTTCAGTGAAGTTTGTCACTAGGTGTTGACATTCTACAGATTTTCAATTGTTTCCCTTTGAAAAGGCTTTTGAGGGGAATTGTTAAGGAATGCTGAGGGACTAGGTAGAGAGGGATTTTTAAGCCATGCCGACTCTAAAGCTTTCAGAGGCACACTGTCATTTGAAATGTGTAATAAAAACAAAGTTAACTTGAACCGTCTCGATGTCACATGTCAATTCTTAGTGGTAATTAGCACAGATGTCAAACTGGACAAAGTTTACAAAGCAGCACTCTTGTTTAACTGGTTAAGCTCTTGAAAAAGTAAACAGCATCTGTGGAGACTATTTCTGACATTGTGCAAGTTTTGAAATGCAATATTTAAAAAAGATTCTCCATCAACTTAAAATGCCTTTTCACATAGACATCACTCACTTTCATATCATACAGGTTACATTTTTCAAACTGGCCTTAGCTTCATGGCTTTTCATTGACTTAACATCTGCCAGCAATAAAGGAAGAACAATCTTCACTTTGATAGATTTATAAACCCGAGGATTGAGTGCGTGCAAGATCATTTTCATGCAGAGGATATGGACTTCTGCAGCATGCTTGGCAGACTCATCAGTAACAACTACATGTGAAATTACCTTTCAGAAGGGCGATGGAGAGCTGATCTGTGTTCAGGTTGCTAACATATTTTCCCAGGTATGTGTTCAGCACCCAGGCAACCAGGCCCTCCAACATCCTGCTAGCTCAGTGATGATCAGAGCTACTCCACAGAAATCAGGCCTCCGAAGAGCTGTGTTCAATGTCTGATAAACAAAAGACATACGTGTTAGTTCTCTTCAACAAAGATTTAAGCTACTATACATTCAGTACAAATTGGGGTTTGAGAAATGGATAGTAAGTCAATGAATTCCGCATATTTGAAAAAAGGCACACAGAATATTATTTCACATTACTCCTAATGCACATGCAACAAACTCTGGGCTTCAAAAAGATGGATAAATATCCTGGTAGAAGTCAGCAAGATAAAAAGGTTGAATTCATCACTTAAGAGGATGTAGTTTTTAGTATCAAAGCTAAACTATTACAGCCCCCTGAGTCACATTTTGATTTTAAGTGTGAGTTTTACAACAATGCTGGTTGGATTCAGTTAAAGAGCTAAAGACACTCTGTAGTTGATTTGTTTACTTTAGTTATGTTTGTGTTAAACTGTGCTCTTCTATTATCTTGGCAAATACAAGTACAGGATCAGAACTTGATATCAGCGGATACAAAATATGGATGAGGATCAGGATCGGCAGCCAAAGAAGCTGATAAAAACGTACAGTGCAGTGTATGACTTCACATGTCATCTAGAAATAAAGGCCAACAAGTCAATGCACTTTAATCCTCAAGACTAGTACATCCTGCTGGAAATGAAATTTCCCCACCATGGGATGAGTAAAGGTTTATTTATCTTATATTATCGTCTTGAGGACATCTTTTACAATTGAAGCATAATTTCTATTAGTTAGATTCTTGATTGATACATTTGACTGTCATTAATGAATAGCTTATAACAGTGGTTCTCAAGTCCAGTCCTCGAGGCCCAGTGTCCTGCATGTTTTGGATGTTTCCCTGCTCCAACACACCTGATTCAAATGATCAGCTCGTTATCAAGCTCTGTAATGGCTTAATAACGAGTTAATCATTTGAATCAGGTGTGTTGGAGCAGGAAAACATCCAAAACATGCAGTACAGTGGGCCTCGAGGACTGGACTTGAGAACCACTGGCTTATAACAAACACCTCGATTAGATTAAGTCACACCCTGAGCTCTTAGTTTGCTCTTGAGTGACATTTTGGCCATAATTTGACAGGACATCTAAAGAGACTCAGATATTTTCAAAAACACAATAGCTACACAGATGAGTTTTTAACCCTTACACTGTACACCTTTACGGTTAATTAATGCATTAACCTGTAGTACTAGAGCTCAGATCTTTCACCTTAGTAAATTAGCTGAAGCTGTTGGCAGGGCATCAGGTGAGACTGGGTGGTGAGTGAAAATAGACTTACCTGCGGGGGAGCCAAAGTGGCTCACTTTAAATTGATTTCATTGATATTAACAGGGGTCAGTGAAATAGTATGTAGATACAGATAATGGGCCAAATGCAGAATAGCGGCCACCCATGATAATGATTAGCCCACCCGTGCTTTGAGTTCTGCCTTAGAAAAACAACCTCCTTCCTGGGGCCCAGTCCCTCTTCTACTCTACTACAGACGCCCACGACAGCTTAGTCTGCATTACCAATCAGACTTTGGCAGAGTGACAGTGACTATCAGATACATACTGGAAGTTTACTGTCGGGAAAAAGGCTAAACCACTACTAAAACACAGCTAAACCACTACAACACCACAACTTAACTACAGCTATAAACTTGGGAGTTGGTGTTACTTTAACTCACAGTCCTGTTGCTGTACCTTTCCTTATAACTTAACTCACCGCCAAAGACGACTGTTGTAGCTCTTCATCGACTTATGGACCCATCTTTATCGTGTGTGGGTCTCAGCCACCCTGGATCCTCAGTCAGTAGGAGCTCAGGTCCCGTCAAAGCACCGAGGACAGGACCACAGGGAGGGTCTGCCTCACATACAGTGGACACAGAGGACTGTCAGTCTGTGTTTCCACATTAACTCCCAGACGTCAGCCAAGCTAAGATTAAGCGAAAAACCACCACGAACTTGTGGCAGAGCTTTCACCTGGACACCAAGCGGTCTTCAGGGGACGGACGGGACAAGGTTGTGATCCACTTCGGCTAGCCACTTAGCTAACACTAGCATGCGCAGTTTGAGTGCTCACAACGAAAAAATAGACAGCTGGCGGTAATTCAGAGACAGAGGTAAAACTATCCGCTCTCGTTTTCATAGAAAACACAATTAATCCTCCCAGAATCACAGGGTAGCTGTCGTATGTCAAGACTTCAGACTTGTGTCACTGCATCGTAAATAAACACACTTCCTACTAGCGCTGAACTTCCAACACACACTTCCTGTCACGTGACCAAAACAAACCATTCCCCTCGTGTTACGTTAACGTGACCGTGATAAACAGTAATTGAAAGGATTTACCGATAAACTGAAAAAGCTCACCCATATCACTAATAGACTAATGAAATTGGATATACAAAAATACATTTACCTTGTCATTTATAGGAAATCGTAATTGCAAAAACACAACGAACACAAACAAATTAACGAGAAAGTGAAATCATGAATCTCTGTGCAGTTGTTTTCTCTATTTTCTGTCTTAAACTCATAAAAATGCAAATGCAAAAAAACTTCTTTGTCGAGAAGAAAAATACAGTTTTCAGTTAATATTTTACTTCCTCAAGTTTTTTTTTTTTTTTAAATTTGTTTCATTTTTTATTCTTTCAGTCCTCGTGTTTTTGGTACTATCAGATATGCACTTGGCCTTATGATGGCAATGTATGGATTATGATATAATGTCAAAGGTGAAACCAGTCAAACATTAAACATGAATTCAGAACTTAATTCAACAATATGTTGTGTTTGTAAAACTTGTTTTATACATTTTATCCTAACTGTTATAGAGCTGATAGTACACCTTTAAAGGGTTTTGTTCAGACAACTGTTGTCACGAAATGATAACCTCTTTTCCAAGTTTACTCCAAAGAATGTATCTTACAAATGAAATTATGAGAATGTGAAAAAAAGCCTAGTTGTGGTTAATGAATTCATTGACTGAATAAATGAAGTGTTTCATCCAATGAGGAAAACTGTTTTAGACTTTACAGTAAAATTACACAATAACCCGACTTCCCCAAAAGACAACATACAGAACAAGACATATCACCATTGTTGACAAAATCCACAAGTAAGGAGCAAAATAATTACTAGTTATAACTGTACTTTAAAAAAGTTCAAGTTAGGAAACATACTTGTTTCGTATACAATGAGAGGTACAGAAAACAGGGTCATTTGCATCTTCACTACTTTATAATAAGATAAGGTAAGATAAGACTAAATTGACCTTTAGAGGGACAATTTGGTTGTTGCAGCAACTCTGCCACAGTCAGAAAGTAAAAATACTGTAACAGTGAGAATACATTAAATTCAAATATAAAATAAATATAGAAGAAAAGAATTTAAAAAGGTAAAAATAAGTGGTTTTATAATGGTTATTGTGATTATACAACTGTAACAGAAAAAAGTGAAAGCTATGGGATAAAGTGACATGTCAGGGTACTATAAATATAAATATATCTCTTGTTTTTTGGAGAAAAGGGTTTAAGAGAGAGCAAAGACACAACATAAGCACACAACAAATGAAACTTTCTCTTTCCTCCATAGGGGGGCACTATTTACTAGGACTTGCTTGAATTTGCATTTTATATTTATTTGTTTTTAAAAAATCCAGAAGTGGCTTATAAACACAGTTAATTAGAGTCAGTCAAATTTACAATATAATTCATAGTAGAATGTTTTCTCTATAATCTGAAGTTTCTAAGACGTCTGTATCTGAGTTCTTCCCTCATTAGTAGAGCAATGAAAAGTAATAGGACAGAGTGGTGATTAAAGATGACTGCATTTGTCAGAATATTTCTCAGCTGTGTGGTTTTCAGATTCAATGAGAGGAAAGTAAAGTAAAATTAGCCTCTTTTTTTACAGGAGTAGGAATAGCTCATGGAAATCATGGAAATAATCTAGTGTATCCTGAGTTGTAATGCTTTACATGTTGTATAGCTAAAAGGCTGCAGAGCTACTGCTAAGTTTATAACGTTCATTTTCTGTAACCATACCTCTCCATCATCACCAATAAAAATGGTAATATGACACAGATAAGGAGAAAATAGATCCAGTATAATAAGCCCACTGTTAAAAAGCCAATTAACTTCAAATACAAGTAGTCCATTAGTATGTCATGTAATAGCTAATCAGAGGTTAGAGAGTATGTGGTTCGGCGTCCTGGAACATTTAGTAATTTGTATGATGTTAATTGATGTGGACTCTGAGGAGGAGGAGTCTGCAGCCGCTGACTGAACACTGGACATCAGAGAGACTGCATTTAAGCTCCAGTTTTAAAGGTTCTGATGTGTTAGGTTCCGTTTGTGAATCTAATAAACCAAACCAAAAGCCCTTTTAATTCATTTTATAATGTACTATTTCTTCTTTCTATTGGACCAACTCTTTGCAGCTGTTGTCTGTGGCAATTTCCCTGATTTTTGGCCCATTGTCTTTCACTGCAGTGTTTTGAGCTTCAAACATGACCAAAGATTAGCGTGGGTGAATGTTTCAGTGTCTCTGCTCTGCTAAAAGCAATGAGAACAATAATCCTTCCTGTACACACTGTGTAATCTCTCTAAAATATCAGCTGGTAAACACAAAAACTCATACAGATAAAACTGCAGTCTCTACATTCCTTATCAACAATAAAAATCATACATTAACCAGTATTTTTTTTAATTTACCACTCCAGTAAGTTTTTTTTTTAACTCTTGATCTTTCATTTCCTTAAACACAAAGAAGTGGATTGGTTTCTCAACACAAATGAACACAAATGTCACTAACAACACACATGTTAGTTCATACAGGACTCACAAGCTGCTGTAACCAGGTGATGGGTTTGCTAATTGAACCCCAATCACAGCTATATTTTTATTTTGTCAATCCATGATTCAAATCAATGACAGGAGTGTTCCTGTCTGAATTCAATTACTTTATGTTTTGGCCTGATTACAAGGTAATGTTAACCCGGCACGTCAAATTAGACTGTTTCACATATCTATGGCATAAACATAAAGCTGTGTCATATATTACCATGTATGTGTCTGACTCACTTTAATTTGAAAGTCTAGTTTATTTATCACATGTGTTTTTGCAGCTGCTTTTTATTTTGTGCATTTTTGTTTTGTAGTATTTGTGCACTTACACATCATTTGCTGTTGATGCAGTTGATTTGGCATTTTGTCGCATGTCTTTTCAATAGCAGCATGTTTCCACAACTTTGTTCGTTTTAGACTTTTTCTTGTTTTCCTGGCCATTGCAGATCCCCTGCCCATGTTGGCTACCATATTAAACTGTATTAAACATGGACGTAGACCCTGTGACATCACCCTTTGTTTCCCAAAGAACAACTGTGAAGCAAAATGAGGGTGGTTGCCATATTGGAAATGCTAATTCAACGTTACTTTCAGACAACCTTCAAACAGACAAAAAGGTGGAATTATGCTAGGCCCATAATATCTTCAAAATGTTTGGGCTGAAAAAAATTCCCCTGTGTGCATTTATACAAGTTAAGAGAGTGATTATTCAGACCAAAACCAAGGTTGCACCAGGCTTCAGACATAAGGGATTTTGAAGTAAAAATGGGCTTTTGAAACAGCCTCCAGTGGACACTTAAAGAACTGCAGTTTTTTTTTTTTTTTTTTTTTTTTTTTTTTAAAGACAAAGCTCCATTTTTTTGAATTCACAAGGTTTTGGCCCGGTGCTGTGGAGTTCAGGAACATTGTCTGTCAGGAGGCTTGATTTGATAGGCACCTGACTTTGACTCAGACTTAAACATCTGCAGACTTCAACTCGAGGTTTTGTTCTTTAACTACATCCCTGTTGTAAATAACACGTTTCCAACATTTTCTCTTTGCTTTCTTTTTTTTCTCATTACACTATGTACTTTATTGTGGAACCAAAGGTGAAATTTCTACAGAAGTGAAGAATCAAAAGTATCACATGACCAATGATATACATAAAATAATCCACTTAACGTTCCTTGAATCTATTCTAACCTTGCCCACAATTGTTTCATGTTACAAAGAAAGTGCACAATACTAACAAGACAAACACACTCCAACCTCCCCCCTCCACCCACTCACACCCTGCAGTGGTCTCAGCAGATGTGGATCCTTCTCTATAATACTGCAGACACACAGATAGAGCTCAGAGCTCATTGGCTGGCTGTCATGTCGCCTCTCCTCTTAATCCAGGGCGGCCAGGCCCACAATGGAGAGGGGGCCATCTGTTCCACTCCACAGATCCACTATCAGTCTCCTACATCTGTGTGAGCCATCACCACCACATCATTACACACACGCCAGTATCTAAAGTGACTCTAATTTTAAATCACACACACTCTAGGAGATACACAGCTCTCTACAGTGATGCACAGTCCATGCAGGAAAACAGAGTACAGGCAATCTTTCTTACTGATTCAACTGATAGCTCTTTGCTAGAACGAACACATAAATATTGGACAGTAACTCAGCTGTTCTGTGTTAATTTCCTCTTTTTCACAGCTATTTTTACACAAAAATGGATTCCATATCAGCTGATGGATCACCTGATGCCTGACAGTAGAGGAATCAATCCAGTGTGTAGGGAGGCTCAGTATTGACATGAGAACTTCAGAGCTCCAAATGTCTGTCGTTAAGCCAACAGGAGTCACACCATGTTTCAATATCACCTTGTTTGCTGTCATAAACTTGCTGTACCGCTCTGCAGTGTCTGAAATGTAATGTGTCGATGGCAGGACTTACCCTGGATCCTAAAGATGACAAAAATCCTCATCTTGATGCTGATGCTTTTATGGCACAGATTATGTCAAAATGAGGTTAATCGGCAAATATATCAGCTTGAATAATCAGTCCATCTCCAATCTGATATTTGTTCTTAAGTCTTTAAACTATGTGTCCCCACACATTTACAGCAAGATGCCATATAGTGGTTGTGGTGTTATAATCTAGCTAGCTCTGCATGTGTGTAAGTTTCACACTGACGTCCCATTTTCACTTTCTCTTCAAGTACACAGAGACAAACCCTGAATGCCCATTAATGCTGATTTAACAGCTTCTGTTCTGTGTAGCTTGTGCCTGATGACAACACACAAGTTAATTTGGTGAGTTGATCACCAATTCATAAAAAAAGTCCATAAGATCAGGATAAGGACTTCCCAATTTTATTTATTGAAGCTACTCAAGAAAAAAATGAACTCAAAGCATTATAAGGAGCCCAAGTGAGATAGATATCAAAAACATCCTCATATTTCCTGCTATTGTAAAATGATGCCATTGTCAGACTGTCAGCAGGAAAAGGCGAGCTCATAAACAGTGTGCTGGATGTGCCTTAAGTCCTATCTAAAGTAATCTGTGTGATCAGGTTATCTCTTGAGTCATATCCGCTGCTCAGAATGAAAAAACACTGTAGAGGCGGGAGGTTAGTAAAAAAGCTGGGTAACAAATACATCAGAGATTCAAAGGAAACAAAACACACTGCACACCTTGTTATTAAAGTAATGTTATTGTCTTTTTAGTGGCACCACATAAGACACGCATAGGTTGGGATGTGCTCAGCTAACGGTTTACACCTTTCGTGAGGACAGCCTGATCCTGGGGCGAAAGTGTCTACAGCCGAGACGAACCAGAGGAGGTGGTAAGTAGGTCAGGTTTACTGCTGCTGGATTCAGACTGATGTTATCTGTAACTGTGGGAGTAGGAATACACCACAGTGTCCTGACTGTAAATTATTTAGAAGATTGTACCATGTCCTTCCTGTTTGCCCTCAGGTGAGGTGAGTTTATCACTGCACAACTTTGTAAAACAAGAAAGTTCAGGTTTCTGTATAAAGTCATATGAAAAATACAAAAACAGGAAAAAAAATCACTGCTTTACCACTAAAAATGTGCTTGCTCACATGTCAAAAAGACATCTTTATCCTCCAGCAGAGGCAAAGAATGAAGGCTCTTTACCCAGCTCCCTGTTACTGCACACCTTAAAAAGGCTGCAGTTTAACTGCGCAGCACATATGACACAACAGACTTATCACAGCACACATCTGTGTTAAAACAAGCACAGAGATATTTTGGTCTGGTTAATGAAAGTCTTTTTTTTCTTCAGGGGATTAACAAACTGCAGATTAATACTGTAAATACTTTGTAAATCCACAGTTCACAGAGTGTAATCCCTCTCTTGTCCTGCCAGACATTTAATGTAAAACATCTGCAACAAGTGCTGAATTTCATTAACAGCAACAACACAGAAAAGGAAAGAGGGTGAGTCCAGGGAAAGCTCAGAGATGTAATGAGCAAAAATGACTGCTGGGTGGGACATAATGTTAACATATGAAGCAAATGGCAGATACTAAAACACAAGTTTTCTCTAATGACACACCAACCTAGAACACATTTTCCCCTTCCTCCGCTCTGGACTTTGTTGATTCAGTGTGATTCTGAAAGTTTCTCATAAGTTTTCTTTGGTTGTGAAGGAAAGTCTTAGCTGTTTCCTCTTCCCAAAGACAACAGCTTCAGAAAACAGAGATTTCAGAACAGTACCAGTCATAACGTAGCTCTTTGAGCTCAACACTTGTTGCGTTGCAACACTTCACAATTTCACTGACTGTTACAATAGCTAATGTATGCAAACCAGGGCTGGTGCAATATACACGTATATCATGCTAAAAATAAGCATAGAGTAATACTCTAAGTCCAAAGTTGCAGTCCTGTATGCTGGTGGCAGAAAACAGAGGAGAGACAACAGCTGTCAGCACGCTTGCTGTAACAGCCCTCTAAGCATAGCAAAGTCACTTTTCTGCATTTCCATAAATTATCTTGAAAATATCATTATCAATATATTCTATAGCCACAGTAATTGTGGGGTGAGAATCTGATATTGTGACATCCCTAATGCTTCCATAGCTAAATGGGGAGCTAGGCAGGCGCTATTGCGTAGCTCAAGATGCTTTATGATCAGGTGTAACATTTGGATTGTTATGTGACTAAAAAGCTGTGTAAAAAGTAACACCTACAAGCTATGTCTAACTGTATGTCAGTGGAAAAGCAGATAAAATGAACAATTCTAACACCAGTATAAAATGAATATTTTTGTGTGGCATACTGAATTACTCTATGGGTACTCCAGAAAATGTACTTTCAAGAAAATGTCTTTTGGGTCTGATAATACTTTGATGGACCTTGGTCAGTACACTTCCATCCACCTCTTCTGCAGTAGGTGGTAATGTGCTCATTTCAGCGTGCTACTATTGGGAGGTCCCTGCAAATGTTTTTTTTAGCCCTGCACAAAAACAATCAACAAACATGTCAGGAACAGGGTGTATGTTGAATAATGAAAACATTACCAACTTTACAGCTTTACATCTTTCCTGAGTGTGATACAGCTGCCGTGATTTGACATCTGTTCATCCTCTGTAGAGGTTTCTTTTACTACACGGCTTCCTGCTTTGTGTGTATACTGCTTAACATCTTGGTCAAAGTCTGACGTACAAACTGTGGAGCAAAGGCAAAACACTGAGGCTATAGTGTGTTTGACTGGAAAATATATATGGAAGCAAATCAATCCCCCATCCCATTTTCTTGGCTGGATAACAAGAAATTCGGTGTGATTTGAGTTACACTAACATGTTTGCATGTAATTTTTCAAATCCAATTTCTGTCAGATTAAAGCATCATTTCAAAACTTCATTTGATATCATACTGAGAGTATGTGTGACATTTGGGGCAAACTTAACATGTTTTCAGACATTCGTGCAGTTTCTTAAAAGAGAACAAAATGAAAGGATGAGATTCACATTTCAAAGCAAAATAACTTTATTACATAATTTCTGTTATGCTCTGTCACCCACACCTCTTGTTCCACGCTGAAAAGTCCTGACAATCCTCGTTCATTCTCAGTGATCATAACACATAAAGCCCTTTCAAAGTAGAGATTACAAATCTAGTTGGCACCCAAGTAATTGCACACTGGGACACAAAGTTTGTCCGCAGAGAGGCAGAGAGTCTTTGCATGCCTGGCATTCATCGCCTCGAGTATGACCGACACTGATACTTACAGAGTACCACTGCTGTTGATTCACTGCTCATTCACAGAGGTTTGTTTTCCCAAAGCCTTTCAAGAGAAGAGACAATACAAGTTTGCTGAGAAAAAGATTGATATTGAGATGAGACTGGGCATTCAAAATTAGGTAAAATCAGGGCAGAAGTCCACAAACAAAGATGAAAATCTGCAAAATAGTCTTTTGGTGATCAGATCAACAAATATGCAAACAATATTCCATGTTATGGTGTGTTATCCGGTCATAAAGACAGAGAAACTGAGCTTTCTGATGTCACCACATTGGAACAAAATAATACAGATTTAATGAACATAAAAATACTCACACATGCAGATATATCCATTAAGAGTTACAGAATTAGACTGAATCTAATCACAATATTAACTGTGTAACATTAGTCGCTTGTTGATGAAACCTTGAACTTCTGTTTGGCAGTATGGAGCAAATTTACCAAATACACATTGAGACACTGATTGGAAGAAATGCAAAGCTACTGAGGCTATGGTCAGTGTTGGATCTTGGCTCAGAGTCAGCCCCCAGACTGGAAAATGCATATTTTAAAAGAAACTCAACAAAGCAAAATTCACTCAAATATAATCTTCAGATTTTTCCTTAAGTATTTGAAACACATGACAAAATCTCTGTGAAATTTTCTTGGACAATAGTTAGATATCCTGATTATGCACATGTATGTTGCTCTTCAATTAATTGTAGAGGATTTATTTCAAGAGGTGAGTCTACTCAATATTTTTTTTTATCTAGAAGGGAATATTTAAAAGCCCAACATGTCCATAAAATAGTATTTGTACATCTCATAATCTCTTCGTATGATCATAAAAAGTGCTGGAACACTGACTTGATTGGACTATAATCTATGATTTCCTCTGAAACAACATAAAGTGGCTCTTCATCGTCTTAAGGCACTACTGGATGATGGCAGTTACTTTGCTACAATTGATGCCACATCTCTGAAGCATTTCTCTAACTAGTAGAAGGAAAATGACGGTCGCCGACAGTGAACCGAAGGTGCGTTTGTAACATCAGGTCATGTTTAAGTAACTGTGAGGAGTTTTTAACAGGGAGTGAAACAGTGTCATTCTTAAGCTTGGCTCATACTTTTGGCACACTGTGGTGGCCTATGCCGACATGAGCATCACTGTCAATGTCTCTCAGCAGTACTCTGCCAAAATGCAAGTTGGTAGTGTGATTTCTGTGCTATTGTATCACCAGTTTATGCTACATTCTCTGCTTGTTTGTGCACCTGGAAACAGGGAGATTGAAAACAAATGGAACACACTGACTTTCTTAGAGTTGGAGCTGATAATGATGAGATGGAGTTCATTATACATGACATGAGCAGAGACATTAGAGAAGAAAGAATATATGGATAGTGGGAAATTCAATGGTACCCTGTGGGCAAATCACAGGGCTTCCTTGCGATCTGAGGAGTTGCATGCCAGACCTTACACAAAGACTTCTGCAGAGGTAGAAAGCAATGAAAACCATTCAGTGCATAAGTATGAATCAGGCTTCATGTTACTGGTATGTTCAGTCACCTTTTGTAAGCTGTTAGTCATTGCAATGTGCTCATGGGAAATGCAGAGGTCATCAGAATCAACACAACATGAAAACTCCTCACAGTGACTTTAAACAGTCGATATGATGCCAGAGTCTCTGTGTTCTATGTATATTTAGTGATATGCAAGTGACTTCTAATTATGTTTTATTTGACCGAGAACATGGATGAGAACTTCAAATCTGCACAATTTGGATTTATGTGGCTCCATTAGCAAAAAATGTATTTTATGGCTTAGTGCTTTGAGACACCTGCCTCTATTCTTTATTGGAAACTTGGCTCTTAATTTCCTGGTTTGGGCTAGCACCAAGCTCTTATTAAAGGTTCAGTGTGTAAGGGCTAAAATCTTCAGAGATCTTGGCATACACGAGGTGTTATAAAGTTTGTGTTCATTAGTGTATTTCCTCAGAATGAGCCCTTTATAACTTCAGGGGAGCAGGTCATACTTCATGATGGATGTCATTTTGTTTCACTACCTCAAATAGTTCAGAGGGGACAGACCAAACAGTGATTCCTGTAGCTGCCGTGGTCTCATCTAAATGCTCAGAGGGGGAGAACTATGAAAGAAAATGCTGTTTTTTTTTAAAGAAATCAACATCATAGGCAACTGCGCAAATAAGATGCAGTAATCAGGAACCAGGGTACAAGGAGATATGAATAACCAGGTTTCTCTGTGAGCATACAAACACCATATCTAGCGTTTGATCAAAACCAGAACAAAGCTCCTACATGGGATTCTTACACCCACAGAAATGCACTTATTGACTGGCTTTTGTTCAGCAACCTTGTTCCTCGCTGGAGCAGCCAACAGTTTGGTCCTCAGTTAACGATATTGGCCATCCAAGATGACAGGCCTTTGTCGTCCAACAGAAATGGCCCATGTGAATCTGAATTACATAGAGAGCCTTCCAGTATCCATGTTCTTGGTCTAAACTAGGTGCCCTTTCCCAGTCATATAGGCAGACCCAAGGACCAACCTACTATCATGACTGCTTTAAAAACCTACTCTTTTCCCAATGTAACCCCGATGAGTTCACAAGGGCCCCACTTGGACCTGTTGGCTGGGTGTTGTGAGTCAGCACAACAAGTATCAGTGTTGGACCTCACTAATGCTCTTATGTCTGAATCGGAGAAAATCCCTGCAGCCAGATTCCAAAATAATAATCTCCTTTGTCAGATATAGTATTATAATCTGTCAGCGTGTCCATGTGCCCTTAAACTCCCACAAAAGCTTTGACAAGAGGCAGGAACCAGATTCTCACGGGCCACAGAGGACTTGTAAGCATGTTGATTCAGTTAGACTGATAACTCCCTTCACGACTTGTATTGTGGCAGACATGTGAATCAGAACACATTGGGTTTGTGGTACCAGGACTGCCCTTATTTATGTTGGCCCCCCAATAGTTCCTTGACAAATGATAAGAGGGACTCTGCCAGTAACCTGTTAAAACAAAAAGACGTAAATTATACTGCTACTTCTGAGCACTTCAGCAGGTTTTATGGCTTGAATCTAGATTCTTGTACTATGTAAGGCGTGCTTGCCCCCTGCAGATTGTCTCTCTGAGTTGGCATTAACTGGTATTTGTTGCTTTTATAAGAAAGGCTCAGTGAGGAAAAAAAAAAAAGTCCAGATTATTTTTGCTACCATTAGCTGTACTGGAATGTTATTGCTCTCATTGCTCAGATTCATCATGAGTCTGCACAGCCAGGAAGAATCATTACTTTCAAGAGTAAGAACTTAAGATATCTATAAACATCAGTGAACCAGCAACATAGAGGACTCCCCGGTATCAAATGCAGTATACTGGTAGTAACTCTTAAGTTACCACATCTCACCCTAGCAGTGTGCAAAGTCTCCTGGCCCAGATCTGAATGTATGTACAGGTGCAAAAAGAAGTTATTTCAGTAAAAAGTTCATGTTAAACAAAAGCTATGAGCTGAAGAATGAATATATGGATATTCCAGAAAGCCCATTTGCAAGTCTTTTAAATCCTTAACCTTTTTTTTTAACAACCAATCGGCTGTTGGGCAAGGCACTTCGCCACCAGCGGTACAGTAAGCCCCTCTCAGTAGAGGTCTTGGTCGAAGCCAAACTTCTAAAATTTAACAGACCTGTAGTTTACAACTGTGAACACCAAGAGTCCATCTTGGGTTTCAGTATGGGAAAGATCGGACTACATGTTGGCCATTTATTGGCTTTACCTAGTGTGGTGTGTTATAATGGAAGACAACTAATGCTTCTTATGAAAAGCCTATACTTGTATCTCTCTCCTCTTATTCTCAATTTTGAAAACTTCCATGATAGTGTCCTTTGGCCTTCTTGTGTACAAAGCTTTCTTTTGCACACAGTTGGATTGGTCCAACACCATCTACCATGTCTTAGGGAGTGTGATTGTCTAATTTAACAAAATTATCACCTGATTTACTATCTAACCCTGTTTATGTCTGGTCCTTTCCATGTTGGATACATATACTCCCAGGTCTGTGAATACTTCTGAAGGTCATGGCCAATGATAAACTGTGGTTCTACCACCAACAAAGATTGTACTTATTGTTAATTACACGAATTTCCCACATACAGGATGTCAGTTTCTCCATTGCCTCTATCTAGTTTACATTTAAAATATCTGTGTTGATGATAGTAACTGAATACATTTTGCAAAAACGTCTGAATTGCTACAGCTCTTCAGTTTCTCACAAAAACAGTCTCACAGACCAGCGTCTCAATTATTAGCAGTGTACACAGTCATAGAAATGGCTACATTCAGTGAAACCAATACCAGTTCACAGTGATTCAAGCCTAACCAATGTCACCCAAACCAGTCCAGGACTTGTGAGACCTCTTCTTTCTTTCATGTACTGTCAAGTTCTCTTTCATCCAAAACAGGACCTCCATGCAAGAGTTCTGGTTCCAACCCTTGAGCTTTAGCACAATCCATTTTCCTTAATCCTTTCTCCATCAGTCATTCCCTTCTTCCTCATCTCCTTTGCTGCCTTTGCTGAGGCGCTGGAAGCAGTGGACTGTGGATGCGAGGAAGAAGCTGGCCATGATGGCTGCTACTGAGACAGAGATGCCGGAGAAGATGACGATGAGGTAGTCAGTGAGGGTGAGGGTGCCGCGGCACTCACGGAAGCTTTCCTCAGAGAGCAAACTGAGGGGAACTTGACGACCATCCAGAGGCAGGGAGCACTCTATCCCCTCCATACCTGAAAAGACAGAAAAACAGCAGGTGAGGCAGCTGATACCAAACTGTCTGCAGTCTGTTCTCATTTTTAAGACACTTTGACTGAAATGAACCGGTGTTTGAGGTGTTGATTGCCCCAATGGCCTTTTCAGTTTGTTTTTCTTAAGGAAGACATCTGTTGCACCCATCAGTCATCTTTTTTATCCCATATCATATCCTTCCTTTGTGTACTAGTTGACAGGTCAAGGCAAAATGCTACCAAAAGTCTTAAAACCTTAAAAAAATACTGTTGGGCCTGTCTGCAAAATTCATGATGGGATGACCATGCAAAATTCATTATAATTTAGCAAAGTCTCAAGTCAAGCAGGCAAGAGCGCCACAATGCCATGCTGGGCCTTAGTCCAATAGTGCCATTCCTTATCAGCTGACAGCCCAGCTGATAATAATTCTTCTGAAGCAATTCATTGACAGTTTGCTTAAGACTGGCAATGAAGTCAAAGAAACCACATGCAGCCCATATTAATATGTCCATTTCTATAGTAGTTGGACATGTTTACAGCCTGGTACAAAAGCAGTTTCGGTCTCCCATTTCGGTATCTCATTTCTTTATTTGTGGCACTTTAAGATGGTGACTTTTCCAGATTTTCCATTTTTATGAATGATATTCAAGTGCCGATTTGACTGACAGGTGGACATGCTGTTAGTGTTTGCCTAGTAGTTAAGTTATGGTGCAAAATGGTGAGGCATCAAATTTTGATCAAGCCTCCATAGCCACTCTGTTTGAGTTTTGTACATGTTTAGGAAAAATTCTTTCATCAAACAAACTCCAAATTTAGTTTCAGTTTGCTATGCCATTACATGAGCAGTCATTTAGATGTGTCAAAAAATATGAGGCTCTCTGGTTATTGTGTTTTAATGTTCACATTAGAAAGTAGACTTACAACACACACATCACACCCTGCCTAATCTAAACTCCTCAGATAGAGACTGATAATCCAGCCTGGTCCTAACCAAGTGTTGAAGCTGTAATTGCTCCTCCCAGCAGTTCTGTGACACAGACACATAGACACGGACACACAAACACACACACAAACATGTGTATTACTCTAAATTACACATTCCTAGAGTTAACTAGGGTAATTTCAAAGCAACAGTAAGCCTTTGATCACTCAGCAGGACAGACCCTGACAGCTGCAGACCAGCATGTGGACGTGCACGCCCCCATACTGTGTTGCAGTTCAGGGGACCACTCATGCCTGGGGGTGTTCATGTTCTCAACATGTACAGTAGAAAACATGAGAGAAACTTGCTGATTATTTTTATATTTGCTGCTTTGAAGATTTGTCTTGCTGATGAGAATCAGTTCACAGAATAATCCTCTTTTTGAGAAGGGATCCAAAAAGATTTTACCTGCAGACTGCATCCTCTTTGCAGAACTACATCTCATGTTTGCATCACAGTACAGTCAATTATTAATTTACAGCATGCTTATATTGTTTCTTCTACATTTTGATATGCAGCACAGTGATTGTGTAACGTAGGAGTGATACAAACAACAACATTTTTAGAACGCCTTTTAGATTTAAAAGATTTGGCAGCAGGTTTCTGTTTGTTGTATTACTTTGCACTGCTGCTTGGCTCTAGTTGACTTCTGAGATGTTCCTCCCACATTTTACCCTTTTTACATCAGCTTTAAAAACTGCATGGAGCTACGTTGTGTTAATGAAATAAAGCCTAATAAATAATGCCTTTTAGTTGCCCGAATCATCAAAAAAGACCATCAGCAAAATGATTTGGTATTTTAATGTTTTTCTCCTTGCAGAAACATACAGTATTCTTATTCCTGAGTAATCCTTCAGCATAAAAACCCAGAGAGTGTGGAAGAGAAAAAGCCTCTGCATTGTTTCTGTTGCCCACCTACTGAGAAACAGCTCCTACAAGGAGATTGGATGTGCTTCTGTGGTGACATAACTACAGGAGTGATTTGCAAGGGCATACATGCAAAAGTGCACCCACTCCTACTCCTCGAGCGTTTCTGCTCCCACCTACACTCTTGTGGTTTTGCTTCTGCGTTGCAGAGTCAAGAAGTCAAAGGTTAGAACCAGACACGCCAACTGCTCTGTTGTTGGTTGCAAAAGCCAACACAAGCGTCCACAATTTGTCCAAGCACTGAAGAACAAAAAGCAACAGTGATTGTTTTTTAAGTAAAAAAATGCTTCAGTTTGCACTCATTTATTTGTTTGGTGCAACCATTTCACCTCAGACTGCTTCAACAATGAGGGTTGACCACATAAAGTTACACAAAAAAGGCAAGAAAACAGGAACAATGGTAATTTTCATCTAACACTCCCAGCGATGCTGTTGTAACTAGTTCTTGATTTCATGTGTCATGCACTGGTTCTTCTGGAGCACTTGCCACATTTGTTTTGGGTGTTTTCCCACCTCTGCATCCGTCTGCATTTGTCTGTGTCCTCCCCACTTAGGCAACATTCAGACAGCCAATTAGCACAGCCTCTTATTGTCATAGCATCTCAGTCCACTCAGATCACTGCAGGGGCAATGGATTTAGAAACTGAGAGGCTGCAGATCCTCCACAGAGACTGAGGTTGTGATAGTTTTGTACCTGAATTCAAAACTTTGCTGAGAGACAGCTGAGACACTTAAAAATGACATTATGGGGTTCTCTAATGCCTGTAAGACACTAAAGAAATTGCTTTTTGTTTATTTTCAACTTCAAATACTTAAAGTTCAGCAACAAGATATGAGCCAGAAGATCGATGAAAAAGTTCCTTACAAGAGCTTTTTGTTTTAAGTAAAACAGCGAGTAGCAAAGGAAGCAAAATAGCTTATAGTTTTCAAGAAAAAAAGCCTTGCTTTGGCACTGTAATCGCTTCCTGACTAAAGCCTTACACACACACTAAAGATTCTTAAACTCTTGCCTGGTTTTGAAACTGTGAGAGGGTCCAGACATAAATGACGACAGATTAAATGAACAGTTTTGTTCTTATAAAAAGCAGAGACATAACTTATACAGCACAGCACACACTAACAAATTTTTTCCCCAATTACAAGAGTCCAGAATCTCTGTGCTGGAAATCTAACAACATCTTTTACAGTCAAAAAATGACTTCAGAGTAAACACATGGTGGAGGATGGGATGGTTGTCAAGCTTAATGTTCTTAGCTACTTAGCTATTTGGTACATCTTTGATGAGAGGAACCTTTTTTGAACTCCTCTCTCTTTGATTTGATCTGAACACTCCAGTAAACACTTGTGTTGCTGCCTCTAATTAACTGGATTGTCTTAATTTCTGACGTCTATTAAACACTACACTTTTAAGTCATGATTGTCTCCCCTCTACATTCAGCTTACTTCTTGATTGGCGATTGTTTTGTTCCTCTTCACCATCCACATGCTCAGTCGTCTTCATATTTCTCCAACACTACACTGATTGTATATTGCATGTTTAGTATCTACTCAAACAAATCAGATCATCTCCTGAGAAGTAAAATCACCCCTAACTCCACCCAGTAGCCAAAAAAAAGGGACAATTTTGGGGTAAGGATAAACCCAGATGCAACATAAATACCAGTCTAAATGCATCAAAGCTTTACTCAAACAGTGCTCCCATATCACATTGGAAACATCCTCTTAAATCACACAAGCCTTGATTAACATACTGGTCCCTGCTGTCAATGTGTACAGCTTTTTGCAGTGTTGGGCCAGGAATCAAAATCATGTTGCGGATAAGAACTGGTAATCACTTATCGGAGCCATCAATATCATTTGCTTAATGCCTAATGGTTCACTTTGTTTAACGTAACGCAGTGTGAGAGGCAGTCAGCATGAATGACAACCAAGGTAGTAGCCACATCGGACAGGAGACTGGAGCGGTCAAAAACACTGTTATACACACTGAATATTGGCGTGTTCACAATATCAGCTTTGAAATTGACAGTAAAATCCACTCCCTTCGTGAGACCGGCAGCTTTCCATCAATTAACTCTGTGTCCCTGCAACATCCAGTCAAATATTATTGATTTCTATCCCTACCATAGAAACACCCAGTGCAGGTTTCATTGTCCAGCTTTTATCACTTACAAACCGACAGAAATCCAGGTCTAGTCTGAACCACATTTATGCTGCAGGCCTAGATGTTCTATGAGTGTTTAACCCCAGGAGTGAACATGATCACTGAATCTGTTAGTGAATTTATTACCTTCTCTGCAGACAACATCCTTGCACATTGTTTGACCAAACCAAGAATTAAAAAACTGAGTGACGTATTCTCTGTCCTGATGTATGCTAGCACCTCGAAAACATCCTGTCTTCTGTGTTCAGACATGCACCAACATTTCATCCTGACTCTTCTGAAGCTCTGCTGTACCCAAGAGTCACTAGACATCATTGTCAAACATACGTGTGTGTGTGTGTGTGTGTGTGTGTGCGTGCGTGCGTGCGTGCGTGCGTGCGTGCGTGCGTGCGTGCGTGCGTGCGTGCGTGCGTGCGTGTGTGTGTGTGTGTGTGTGTGTGTGAGTCACTGTACGACCAGAAGGGGTTTTCCACATGAAAAGGGACTTGGTGACCTCATTGCTTGGTGATATTCCAGTCACGTGGAGCTATAACAGGCAGACAGACTCACACATGCTCACACAGACATGCAAGAGATGACATACAGGCACACACCCCCTCATACACACACACATAGCAACACACACTGATGAGACAACACCAACAAAATTGAAACTACAATCACTAAAAACATGCATAATGCGTGAACAAAGAGACATGCAGGGACACACCTACAAGGGCACACATGCTTATTCATATGGACACCACGTACACACTGACATACAACATGCCAGCAAACTCATGTGCAGGTGCAGGAATGGACATGTAATGAAATGTGCAGATGTGTGAATTCAGGTGCAGATAAATGCATGCAAATTAAGCACACTGATAAGAACACACAGAAGAACAAAACCAGTCCAGATAGAGGCTGTGCAGACCATGTTTTGAGGGTCTCCATTGCCCTCATCATCATCATCATCATCATCATCATCATCATTAACATAATCATAAATCACTGTGCATTTTGCCAAATGTATCATGATGAGAAAAACTGGATGCAAAACATTTTAATTTTCAAACATAATTGGACTAACAGTAACAAATTTGTCTGAGGTGTCTTGTATGAAATGTTTCCTCTCTCCCCATGACACTTAGGACCACTAGCACCTATGAGGAACTGAACAGAAGCCAGCACACCTGCCCTCCAGACTATCAACACCACCCTGTAAAGAACAGTCAGAGTAACAAGAATATGTGAAACTTTTGGCACAACATTGAACTTGAAAGTTGAACTGTTACTCCAAGTTTATCATCAGCACATGATTACCAGTGTGTTGAAAGATTGATTTTTTGCTGAGGTACGTCAAGTGTCTCAAGGTTTGCTAAAGATAGAACAAAAATGATTGATGCATGCTACAAAACACTGCCCATAATTTGTTCAGAAGGCCAGGAAAAAGAATAATAATAAAGTATATTTACCTTGATCACATTGCACCATCAGTTATTTTAAACCAGTCATGCAGTGTCTGATTCGCATGGGACTTGTTTTTGTCTTGGCCTCAAGTTGTCTTGGACTGAACTGCGTTTTGGATCCTCAAGTCTGGATTCTAACTCATTTATGTGTTAGGTGTTAAAGAGTGGAACACCACAGATTTAAGTACTTGCTACCACCCTGATGGTAGTTTCTAAAGATTATAATTTACAGAATTCTTTTAAAGAAGATAAACATTTTGATGAATAGTTATGACTAAAAATGTTTACTTTTTATTGAACAAAGCTAGACTGAAACTACAAAGGGGAACAAAAAACATGACTCATGATAAAAACAAGCACACAAATCATTTCTGCATGGACGTAACAGCTGTGAATCAGTGAGTGATAGAGACATTTCTGAGTTTGTTTAAGCTCACCTAAATCTTACAGCCACTTATTGTCAACATATTGTGTGCATAGGTGTGTGTGTCTTAATGCATGAGAGAGAGTTCCGTTTTTGGCTACGGTAGTGTCAGTGTTGTGGTGTCACAGCATCAGATGTGCTCCAGTTCTGAATGGGCCATGCAGCTCCTTCAGCTGTGACCTGGCAGGTGTAAACAGAGGATTGTGTTTACAGGATGTAGGCTGTGTTGTACTTTTCTCTTGTTATTTAACCTCAAGTGACACCAGAGCCCAGCTGAGAACATATCTTTACCACTGTAATGCTTTCACCGTACAGGAGAGAGTCGGTGTGATTGAAGAGTAAAAAAGAGCTAAGACAGGTGACTATGATGGGAATCAGTCAAGTAATCCTGATCAGGACCTGATGGACTCTTTTTTTAGCTAGGACAGCACTCATAACATTACTTTTTAGAGTGCTTCTCATCAGCACTTAATGTTAGTGTTGGGGATAACAAAGTACTCCGCCAGAGTACTCCAATTACTTTTACGCTTTAAAGGGCAACAAGATGCTTTGCTTCTGAAATTAAAGTGATCTATTAGTTACTTTTTCATTGAAATTACCTAGAAAGGGTCATATTTTTCTTTTGCCATTGCAAAAACGAAAAGCCTTGAAGCATTTGCACCATTTCTGTTTCTGTTTACGGCTGCATACTATCTGAAGGCAAACCTCCATCTGTGTCAGTATGCATGCATAACTGGCAAATTCAACTGGTGCTTGAGTAAGATGATGGTCAATGAACAGCATTTACTTTGTGGAGATAATCCCATGAGTTTGAGTTTTTGAGCAAAAGAAAGCAAAACATCAAGATGAAAAAGAGTTGCATCCTGCTAAGAACTTCAGCAGCGAAAGCTTCTATTTCAGCTTAGAGAGGAGGGGAAAAAAAGACAACACAAAGATGCTGCTTCTTGCACAGGAATTGCAAGAACTACCTATGCTTGCACCAGCTCAGCGGGAGACTGTTTTGCACTCATGGCATCTTTATTTAGATATATGTTGTAAAAGAAAATCCCAATGTGTTTCATCATTTTTGGACTTTAACAGTTCTGAAGCTCTTATCTAGTTATTGGGTTTACTTGTTGCATGCATGATTTGAGTCTATTAAGAGCCTTTTTTGGCAATGTTTTCATCAAACCAGCTTTCTCTAACACTACACGCCTCTGCCCTGTTCACTGTCAAAGTGTCATATTATAAAAGCTGTAAAGATTATGTGCTGGGTTATCTAAGGGCTGCAAAGTCATCAAAAATATTGAAAGAAAACATGTCCCAGCATTAGCAGCTGCAGGTCTACCTGTGCAAAGCTTGATGTCAACAATGTAGACCTTTCCATGTTTCAGTCTGGAGAAAATAAAGCACTCCTATAGGTGTTTCTGCATTTATCAGGGGAAATCTTTGACATGTGATGCAGGATTTGAATCTTGTGTGCAACCTCATGTATATGATGTTTCAGATAGCCTGAAAAACATTCTCACTCTTGTAAATCTGCTTCACCCTGCTGAGAAAATGGCATCAATGTTTATACAAACACCTTCATTTTCACAGTAGCTTTGTGTCGTCCATAATGAGATTTTGGTGATTCCCAAAAATGCCACCTCAAGCAAACAACAGGAGATGTAAGTGTCTCCCTATTCACCATTTTGGACCAACAAATAGTGCACCGGAGACGGTGTTTTTCTACCTCAGCACACAAAGATGGAGACGAGCTTGCAGTCACATGTTGTGTTGTTTTTACGAATGTATTCCCTTTGTTCTAATTTCGGCAGCTGGGTGAAGTGTTGAGATTAAATGACTCTTTGGAAATGATTTGATTTCCCTTGCTCTAGCGTGGGAGAAAGACTGCGTGTTAGTTCTCTAAGCAGCTTATATCTTACCCTTTGGGAGCTTGTGACGGTTCTCTGTCAGCCATACAAACAGTTTGGCAAACTGGCAGTTGCAGAGCCAGGGGTTCCCCTCCAGACGCAGCACCCGGAGGGAGGGCAGGGACTCCAGGACACTGACATCCAGCTCTGTGAGACCGTTCCTCTCCAGCTCCAGCTCCCTCAGAGAGGTCAGCCCTGTGAAAGCGTCCCTGTCCACCATGGTTAGGTAGGGGTTGTTACCCAGTCGCAGTTTTATCAGACTCCTGGACTCCCCAAACGTTCCAGAGGGGATTTCTGTCAGGTTGTTGCTCCCGAGGTCCAGGAAGACCAATCTGGAAGAGGTGGTCAGGGTCCCTGGCTCCAGCTGAGAGAGGGTGTTATTCCTCAGGTCCAGGTAGACCAGATCACTGTAGAGGACCAGAAAGTCTGAGGGGATCCAGGGAATCCAGTTGTTGGAGAGCAGGAGGCGGCGGACATCCAGAGGGATGGAGTCTGGGACTCTGGTTAGACCTTGACCGGTGCAGTCCACGGTGTGGTGATCCGGACACAAACAGCTGGATGGACAGTTGTTGGCTCGAGTTAGCAAGGCAGAGGAGATCAAGGCGAGGAGAGGCTGCAGCCAGTTAATGCATGGTAACATTGTCGAGGGGGCGACAGGAGACAAGGGGTGAGGGGGTCCTGAGAGGGATGATGAGGAGACAGACGAAAAAGACGGGTTCAGATCTGAGGAAGGGAAGGGGAAGGAAAGGTCAGACGATGGAGGTTCAGCGTGGATCTGTCATCCTCTCGTGCTCCCTGCACCTCAGAGCGAGAACATCCCAAAAAGCCATCGTGCAGCGAGGGAGCGTTGTTGTATTCCAGGAGATCATGTAACAAGCAGTCTGGATCAAATAGCAGCCTGCTGGCTTTGAGAGGAGAGAGGGGAGGAGTGAGAGAGAGACAGACAGAGAGAGAGAGAGAGAGAGCGCGTGCGAGAGGAAAGGGAGTAGGGGGGATGTGAGAGGGGAGAGGATTAACACAGAGGTAAATAGAGACTAACGAACCAGAGGCGGAGGAGGCGGGGTTTGTGGGGTAAGCCAATGGACATGTGTTAGTGTGTATTTGTGTATATGTGTGTGTGTGTGTGTGTGTGTGTGTAGAGCAGGGGGAGCCCTCCACGCCTCATTAGTCAGCTCCTGAGGTAAACCACGAGCTCCCGTCATCGCTCAGATCAGTCGTGCAGAACAGTGGTGAGAAACCCCGTCACTGCAGTTTGATGCAACAGCCCCTCCATCACACGGAGACACCAAAGATGAGGATGCCATCGACATCTCTGACTCACATGTGATGACGTGAAAAAGGCACGGCAGCGTCACGCGTAGTCCTCAGGAATCACTGTTGTTTACCCCACTCCTCCAAAACTCCCCTCCTTTGTTTCCCACCTCATCACGCACTGGAAAAGAAGAGGAAGGATTTACTTTAGCATGACAACATAACAATTCTAACGACACTGTAGTTCTGCGCAGGATCTCAAATCACTGCATATTTGAAGTAAAACATCTCCTGAGAATAGGTATTGAAGAATGGGTTTTAAGAATGGTAACAGATTCTTTTAATACAAACTAATTTAATCAGGATGCATGACTTTGTGTTTCATGATGATGATCACACAAATCAAAAGCTTGAAAGGAGAAAAGCTTGAAAATAAAGTGGTCGGGACGTTAGCCTCACCGGTTCGTTGACTGCAGTTTTGAAATCAAGAGTTTGGTAGTTTTGGCCATGATCATGTTGACTTCTTGAAGCCAGAGAATGAGATGGTGAAGCTGGAGTGAGGGGTCAGAAAATACAGAGTTATTAAAGCTATACAGGTTATGCCTTTGGTTTATTGATAGGCTGGCAAATGATCTACAGTAGCTCAACAATGTGTTTTCCACAGAGTTACTGTAGATTATATATAAGTACTTCTTGATAAATGATAAATATTGGAAATAAATTCTTTCCTTTTGTAATCTGATCTGAAAGGTAAACTTTAATATTTTCTTTATTCATTCAAAGTAAATATAGAACACCCCAAGCCTGTTTTGTGTTTTTAGTTTAATGATTTTGGCTTATAGCTCATGAATTCACAATATCTTTATTATTTAGATATTTCCTAAGATCAATGAAAGAAGGATTTAAAATAACTTCATATTTAGTTGAGGCGCTTTCCCTGGGATCACTTTTACTTTTTAATGATATTCTTGTTAGTTAGGATGTTCTCATGCCGATACAGATACCTGCTAATCAACGTAGCCCACTCAGACTTTCTGCCTGAGGTTTTGTGGGCAGATTAAAGTCCAGGTTTGATGTGAAGCAGGTATACTGCAGTGGTGCAGTAATTTTTGTACACTTTAAGCTCTTTTTAATTTCTCACACTAACTCTGGTGAGTTTTTATCAAACTTTCTGTACCATCTTTTTCCTCTTCAATTTTAGTGATTAACTCAAGATACTTCCAGTTCCCATTACCTATTCTGTACGAAATAAAAATGAATTAAACACTCCTAGTTTTTGTTATAATTGAGCATTACAGCAATTATTTACATAATGCACAGTGAACGAGCAGTTACAAAAATTTTAATCTTAATTACTCTAATTTAACGGCAGCCGTTTTACCATGGCAACAGATTCTCACGACGCAGCAGGAGCACACCTCAATTTATAGACATCAAATTTCTTACATTGTTTCCACTCATGGTCACTTTAATGAGTTGTCTGCTGGTGTATCTGAAGCTTGCTTACTTGTTATTTACATATGATCATTTATCTTTACTGTCCGAGTACAACGAAATAGGCCTCCTGCATATTATTAGAGGCTATTAGCATTTTAACATTTTCGTTGAAGGTAATTGAGACAACCAGAATGGATGCTATGCAAGAATACAGCCTACCTGTAAGTTTTTGTCCTCATTTAGCTCTCCTTAGGCTACTCGAACCTTTTAGTCAAAAGACCTTTAAAATAAACGAGGCAAAAAATCATAACTTTGAACACTTTTGCTCACACTCATGTTTTACCTCATAATGATTGGTACCTAATGAGAGATATAGGCTACTAACCAGCTGACCAGGTGTCATTACGCACTTCTGCCTGATTCTTTCTAGTCTTGTTCTTGCTATGCAGAGTTAACAACCATTGTCAAGGGGTTTAGGCCAATCAGAACAAAGAAAGCAGATGGGGAAAAAAATCTTACAAAGTGTTTTGGTTTTTCTTTCCTGATTTAGTTTAAATGATGATGAGGGTAATGCCAACGCCAGCTGTGATGCCATGAAAAAATGAAGATGAAACAAACAGGTAGGAGAATGGCAGGGACTAATTTTAATACGAAATATGTAAATCATGATATCAGTCCATTTTTTTCAGCTGAGCTGAATCTTTAACATGCAGCATCAGTACATGTCATGCATTAACATCTGTTAGCTTACAGACATACTGTAGAGGTCTAAGCTCAAACATTTTATAAGTGTAAAATAGTAATTGAAAAATCCTCTAATGCTTAAATCCTGTATGTGAATTCTTCTGCGCTGGTTTTCAGGGAACAGCATTCAAATTACAGCTACTTACTGTAAATACTCAGAAAATACCCAGTGAATACTCGCTTAGTGCTGAGCCTGTTTTTTTTTGTTTGTTTGTTTGTTAGTTTTTTTAAACTCTTTTTCATCTGTCCTCAAAACCACAGCATGGACTGAACTTACAAAAAACTTCTGTTGTTCTAGAAACCAGCCTGATGAATTGGCCCCAGTATCAGGTATCTGTAAAGTGCACAAGTCCTGGTTCAAAGGATTGATGGCTGAAGGTGCAGCTGATAGTTCACTGAGAGGTGAAGAGGTAAAGTAATATATCCCACATACACAACCAGCACTTCACCACCTTTCTTCCCTTTATATTGCTGCATTTTGTAATATCTTGTCAGCATCACTCATCTTTATGGATGTGAACCTAAAGCTTGGACTGACTTGGATTCATTAAAATGAAACATGTAAATGCTTAAACTTTTTCTTTTCACTTCCCAGAAATTTGCTTGAACATCCATGTGAACCTCGCCGGAATAGAATCAATGCAGGACTAATCCTAAACCCCCAAAATCTTCTGTTTGCCAGCAATGTCGGATCAGCAAAAAATGAAATATTACATAAATATCCCTAGAGTCTCACTGAGTCTGCTCTCCTCACTATCATGTAGAAAAAAAACTAGGTCACGCCGAGTGGTACATCACAAAGAGGGAGAACAGCACAGCAAGCACAGAATTTGGATGAGACAAGGGAGGTAGAAAAGCAAAGGGTCAGCAGACTCTGGGACATTAGCTGAGTGCATGCTGGGTTTGCAAAATCTGCATCTGTAATTATTAGGATGAGAAGTCTGGGTGAAAAAAAGGAGGCAATAGAGGAAATATACTCAGCAAAAACAACAGCTGACTTTAAACTGTGTTAAAACAAATCCAAACTCCAAATCAGACACGGTTTAGGTTACCATGACTACAAGCATTGGTTGTTGATACATGTGTGTGTGCATTTTTGGCACCTTCACAGTTAAAATAACACAAAATAGTCAAAGTTAATAAATTACTGCTGGATTCAGACCCAGCTAGATGTCATTTTCCTGCCAAATGCTTGTGTTGAGTTTGCAGCAAATGTACTTCCACTTATCTTTGCCCCAGAGACGGTTTGGCCCATCTGTCCATTCTTATCTAGAGTCCATGCAGGTAGCAACAGGCTGAGCCTATCGACCCGAACGTCCCTCTCACTAAGCGCATTTTCCTGCTCCATCCCTGCAGGCTGTTTGGGTTCGAAGACATAACAGCTCTACTTATGATTCATTTATGGTTTATTTGTTACGGACTAATCAAATATACACAGATATACTGTGAGCAGCCATCTGATGCAAGTGTAATGGTGAGAGAGGTGGTTTGCACATCTTCTAAAATAAAGGGCTTAGGGTAAACTGTGATAGTGAAGACAAAATCATGAGCAGAAGATGAAGGTGAGCTTCTGTGTAAATTGGATATTATTATTATTGCTGCTAGTAATGCAGAAAAAAACATGATTCCTATCATTGACAGATATTACTGATTGCATGGAAAGAGTGGCAACTTTTATTTGTTAAATCTATGAAGCAACATGTTGCTCCGCTTTATCTCCTGTTAATAATAACAATAATGCATCAGATTTCATATAGCGCTTTATCAGAGACCCTCAAAGCGCTTTACATTGGATACATCATTCAGTGTGGTAAAATTAGTATTTGGTTTATTGTTAATAAGTCATTGAAACACACTCCATTTATCATATTACAAACAGAAAAAAGCTGTAATACTATTTTTTTGTAATATGCAGCCCTGGAAGTACCTACACTACTGTTTAAGTCTAAATGTGTATCTGTAAAACAATTCCACCTGTTTTCAAATAGAAATGTGTCGGTAACATGAGGTCATTTAATGGTTTTGTGATCTCAAAAGGACATGGTAACTTGAGGTGTCCCCACTGTCCCTGAACCACCTCACACCTGCTGGGACCAGACTCAGACCGAGGCCAGCAACAGAGTGACTCACATACCTGGCGTGAGGTCGTGTTGGCTAATTATAGGTGAGGATTTTTGTAAAGACTGGAGGGTCAGACCCCAACAGTTGAAGAGGTGTGAGAAAGAGAAGATGTCGCTTCTCTTCCAGTAATAATCGCTTTAGTGCCCTTACACATTTCAGGGTTCTTTCTGGTCACAAGGACAGAGAACTTTGGGTTATTGAAACTTTTTTTTACTACTATTAAATACACTCTATCCAAAACTTGTACTTGTAGATTCACTATACCAAAATGAGAGATATTTGAAGGTGCAGTGTGTAGAAATGAGACTACTGTGTGATATTTAGTGGTCAGGTTCTGAACTGAAATGCTCCCTTGTTCACCCATCTCATCTATAGAGTGACAGGGACAACAGGCTCCTGTTATGCATAAGTATGATCTTTCAATTTTCAATGAATCTCTTCTTCTTTGTCTTCCAGGAGGTGCATTTTGTACAAGTACTCACTAAATACAAAAACATATTTCTTTCTGGTTTGTTGGTTCTGTGTTGCTGTAACCACAGTACACTGTATTTGCCCCGTAGTCCTGCCAGGTACAGGGTTCAGAGTTAAAGAAACACTCTACTGCCCTCCTGTGGTCAAAGCTTGAATCAAATTTTATAAAAACAAAAGTGGGTGTTCAGAGCCCACTGAAAAGTCTGTGACTTCCCATCAGATATCCCTTTTTCTTGTAGCAGATGTAGTAAAACATGATTACGTTTTCATCAGTGGTTATTGTGAGTGTGTGTTACACAGTCTGATTGATGTCTTTTCACATAATCCAAGAACAAAACGCTGCGTTTACTGCATGTTCAGTTTTTTTTTTATTGAAGACAGTTGCTACAAAACTGAGTTTGTTGTGTTTTCTTTTGCTTTCTTTTCTTTTCATTTTCTCGTTTTGTACAAAATAAAACAATAACAGTAGTACAAATAATTAAAATTGATACATCATTCACAAGTATACCATCAAATATACATTTATACAGAAAAACTGAACAATAGAAAAAAACAAAAACCCAGTGAGATCACAGTGGTCGGGTTGAGGAAAGAGGTGTGTTTGGCTGTGAGGGGGACCCCTGAAGGATCGAAGGCTGACCCCTGAGTCCCTTTGTGTGCTTTGGACCAAGAAAAGGGTTCAGAAAATATCTTTACAATATCAGCTGTTCACACAGAGCAGGAAGGTTTTCAGGGTCACCACAGAGAAAGGTTGTGCAGTAAAGGGAACAGGAGCATGAAGCTGAGATATCTGATTCTGGGAGTAAGTTTTCACTTTTATTTTGCAGAGAATTAAAACTACAGAAGTCCTAAAAGGAAGGTGGAAAAATCTGGTGATCAGTTTACCCAATTTAATCTCAAACATCTTTTCACAAGTATAACATTTTTTGTAATTAAAGCAACAAATTTTTCCTTAAAAAAAAAAAGAAAAGAAAACCCAGCGCCAGGCTTCTTTCCTGATTTCTTTAGCACCTCTTTAGTAAAAGCTGGTGGAAAAAATCAGCTTTGACATGGAAAGAAAGAAGTTAGTTCTTGTAACTCTTGTCCTCACCACAGGAGGCTGCTGTACTCTTAAAGGCATTCATGTCTTTTATGTTCTCATTTCTCTGTGCAGTAAAACACATTTATGTCAAAATGAAATACTGGGAAAGGTGGAGAGAACTCACTGACATACAGTATCAAGAGTGTGTGACTGAGGAGCATGTCAGCCTCTAGTGGCCGAAACGGGAATTTCAAAAACACTCCCAGGAGATGAATAATATCGTCTGGAGAGCACAGTGTGCAGCATGGTGATCCCTGCATTCAAAATAAACCCTACAGCCAGAATCAGGAACATTTCAGCTCGCTGTGAGACCTGAAGCAGATGTAGCACAGTGCGCACACACACACTGAGACAATTACAAACTACATTTAGTGGTCATCTTAAACTGTACATAAAGGGGTCGTATTCAAGTAAGATCAATCCTGGTCTCTGGGTTTCTGAACCACCCTGCATACAGGGGAGCATAAATGTGGACTGACAGAAGTTCAGCTCAAATCTCACATGGTGACTGTTTCAAAAAGTGAGATTTATTCTGCACAAAAGAGCTTAAATATTCAATTTGTTGTCTTACAGGTTCTGGATGGAACAGAGGAGAAGGGAGGGGGTGTGAATTTGGTGAGGGGGAGCTTTTAAATTTGTTTTTGTTATAAAGAAGTTTAAATTTAGGGGTTAAAATATTGAGCATAAAGTCAAAAGAGAAAAATCTGGTACTAATACTGAAGTTTAAAATCGTCATTGTTTCAACTTAAATGTTAAAGTCTTTATTTTTTTAAACAGAGTTTTGGCATATAAAGTGATTTACTACTAACTTTTGTGGGACGGTAGTTGCAACTGTTTTACAAAGCAATTTAAAGAGACTAGATTCACCATAATAAATTTTACACAGTTTCAAAAGCAGCGTTTAACAGTGACACTGTTCCCTATGTGTCCCAACACTGTAATGTGCACACCATGCATATGTACAGAACCGTTCAGTGTCTTTGTGCAGCTGTAAAACGTTTAGGACCATTTTCACAACAATGCCACACACAGTATGACATATTAGTGCAGACCGGTATAAAAAATCTGAATATTTATGAAACATCAAATGATGTCAATGGAATAATTTGAGCCACAAAATGAGAAATGTGGAAGCACCTTTTGAACCATGTTCATCATGTGGCAGCACAAATATGACAGAGCGGCCACAGTGTGCAGAACTTGCAGTGTCCAATACTTTTCATACAGTCCAACACATACAGATTTTTAAAACACAAACATGTATTCAAAAACACCAAACAAGGTGTTTGGAAGTTCAATGTATTTCTGCAAACCCAAAACACTGACTTCATGGTGCTGCTATGTGCAACAATCAGACTTTGTGCAGTTGATTAAATAAATGCAATTAACCTCGCCTAAAATTCACCCAGTGTTTTGTTTTTCAGGGTATGTAGGAATAATGAGAGCAGGCAAATCATGACAAGAAACCAAACACCAAAGAATGGAAGAGGAGGTGTTTTTTTTCCTAATACTACGCAGATATTTAGACTAAAGTGACCGGGACCCTCGCAGATGAGACACAGGGATTGGGTAATCCATGGATATGTTCACACTGCAGGTCAATTCCGATTTTTTAACCATATGTGACACATATATGATTTTCATGTAAGTGTGAACAGTGCGATTGTGATTTTTTCAGATCCAACCCATGTGGATATAAATCGGATATATATCCGATGTGACTGCAGTGTGGACACTTAGGTCGCGTTCATCAGACCTATATGTCATCAATATGCGACAAAGGTCACCATTGTTCGACAACACAAACAGGCGCGGAAAGCAATTTGTGCTTTGTGCGCATTTGGGTCACTTCACAGACGCATTCTGTTCACATTAGATGCCGCATTCGTTGTTGTAATGTGAACAACCGCACAAAAAGATCGGATTTAACAAAAAATCCGAATTGTGCATCATAACCTGCAGTCTGAACGTAGCCCATGTGGCAACTTCCAAAATGCATGAAACTGCAGTTCTGTTGGTGTCCACTTAAGGCAGACTCCAAAAGCCAAGGAAACCCCATGAGCGGCCACATTAAAATGTCAAATTAAACATGTTTACATCCTGGTCCAAAAACGATTTGTGCCTTTGTTTCAACAACTGTGACTTCTTTTTAGTTCATTATATTTGTTTACATTGAGGTTATCTTTGTTCGGTTTTAGAGTGGTTGCAGCTTTGTTGGTATCAGCAATTTCAATTTAGCTCATGTGCATCACAGAGTCGGCGTACACGTTTTTAACAGTCTGTGGGGTAAACTTGTGTTTGTGCTGGTGGATTAAAAGGAAGAGGTTCAACATGTTTAATATCCAAATATGGATTATGAGAAACAAAGACATCGCAAAAACCAAGGTGATATTTCACCTTTCTTTACCATGATATATAACTATTTTAAATTATTTTAACTGTATTAAATTTTTTTTAAACTGTTATCAAAATTCACATAAATCGACAATGTTTCTGTGAAGACTTAGAGTTCCCTTTAAAATCCCAACTCAGTGCTTTCTGACAGCACATGAAATATTCAGTGTCACCATAGCTGGATTATTCTGAACCATAAAGGGTTAATGCACACACAATGAGTTTACAGCTTCAACAGATAATTTGTTTTCATGGCTCCTGCCTGCAAGATTTGAGAGCTGAAAAGGTGCAAAAGCGTAAAATGAACCATGCACTTTTAGCTAGCCTAATCCAATCAAACTCTTTGCACAGCTGCAGATATCAGAATGAATTTAAGACTTGCTTGAAATGGTTTGGAAAGCAAACACAAACATATAATACAGCTAATCTCTAAAATAGATTTGATGCCTTTTTACTCAGCAAAGTGACTTTTATGCATCAATTTCTATGTGCATGATCAATGTTGTGAGCCCTGACTTAGTCCTTAGACTCTGTCTCTGTTGAGAAATCTATTAATTTGTCTGCATTTGTGATGCATGGCCCCCCTTAGCATTGCATCACACTTTTACCAGGGGACACAATCGGGACATCCTCTAGAAACTGCCTCTCTTGACACAGACCTTTGCTCTTAAATAGGAAAATATCTGAATGGCATGTGGAGGGAGTGCAGTTTTACAAGGAAAATAGAGATTCTGAGTCCTAGAGACAGGCTTTAAGGGTTATGGTGGTCCCAATCAAGCTGGGTTATTCAAAGTTTTTCATAAATGCTTTGTTCATCAATGTTATAAATGCAGTGACGGTTTTTAATCAGCATGCTGACACTTAACAAGTACATAGGAAGAGTCCTGTGAGCATTAAGGGTGAGATCTGAGACCGTGTAGAAAGACAGACAACATGTTAGCTCTCCAGAAACGATCCAAAACAGCCAGCACACCCCCTGCTGACTGACTGCAGTATAGATCAGAAAGCCCACTTCCTCCAGAAGTTTACTTTTAGCCATCTGCTTTACAAAGAGGTACCCATTTAACAGGGTATAAAAGGGAAAACCTAACACACACTGAAGGTCTTTGCACACTTTTTGTGTGTACTTTTTTAAGAATTGTAATTTCATCAAAAATGTCTTGCACGGAAACCTTGCACACTGGGTCTAATGCAGTTATTTTTCCATTTAATGCCAAAATTTGAAATCAAGGTTCAGAGTAAGAGCACAAATATGCAATAATTTTGTACAAAAAACAGTTGTGCAAAAAGATCTTCACACAGGACTCATTGAACTTTTTATAGCCTTGGGTTTTCTGTTCAGGATGATCCAAGAATCTGCTGTGGACTAGACCCACCTGAGGGAGGTTTGATGTTTTATTTTTAAGTTAAATTTATGTCAAAGTTAACAAAAGCAGCAGAGAGACACCCTCTTTTACTGTCCACTCTGGCTGTGAGGGTATTTTGGCTTCACCCTCTAACACTAAAAGAAGGGAGAGACATGCCGTCCATCTTTATAAACAGTCAAAAGGTGAGGTATAAATCCTTTTCTTTGTGAATGTTTAACACTTTTGTACAACCTGTGCTAAGTTTTATAAATCAGAGGGGGGGGGGGGGGGGGGGTTGAGGGGACACTGAGGGCACTAGTCGAGGATTTCTTAAAATTCTGTATCAAACAAACCAACACAGATAATTTACAACTAAAACAAAGATTGCACGTTATCATCGGAGTGTTTAACAGACTGTATGAAACAGTGTTTTCTTGGTTTAAATGCCAAAATGAAGCAGAGTATACTGATATGTACAACATGATGACTGTGTTTAAACTGGTGTCTCTGCATGTAAAACATTTGTGTAGTAGCAGCACTGAGAAAGCTTTGACTGTAGTGTATTGTGTCCTAACCAAAACCCTGACCCACACTTTAACACTTTGACTCTACACAGCTTCACAGTTAAAAGGACAGTGAGATCACAGTGAAAGACAGACAGTATATGGTCCAATCAACATTTACATATGGTCCATGTCAGGTGGCTGGGGTGTGTTCAAGGTTCAAAATGTCATTTTGTTGGCAAGAAGGTGTGTAAAAAATACCTTTCAGATGACCAGCCCACACAGGGTTCATTAAGGAGGCCATTTTGGAAGTCTGCAGGTGGACAGGAGCAACGTGGTTCTTCGATTCCTCTTGGATGTCTGTTCACCATCAAAACAGCGTCTGCAGCTTCTGACAGCACAGGCTTTAAAGAAACTGGTGACCTTTTAAAAGGGCCCTTTTAAAGGGCAAATCTCTACATGTCATTCCAGTCTGCTGGTCAATAACCACAGTGTGCAAAACCTGATGAAAACAGCGTCCGAGGAATGGTTATGAAATGTTAACTGGAGTCAAACTGAGCTCAGCTGGAAAACCAATGTGCCAAACCTGACCTGTAAACACAATACTTTGTTTTATCTCAGAGGAGAACAAGATCTTTCAGTCTTTCTGGACTGAAAGTCAGGGGCCTCTGACAAGCCGGCTCTTACTGATACAGTCTTTACCTGCAAACTTCAGGTAGCAACCTAAAGGACAGAGCTGAACTCCTGGTTTACATGCTGCTAATTCCTGTTGGCATCTCTTTGTATTATGTTATGTCTTGTCATTACTAATTATATGGTGTCATAACATGCCTAGTTATATGATACCAATCAATGAATTTACAGTGAGCGCAACACTTGACTTGAGCCAACTTTCATTATCATGTCATGACATGTCAGGTTGTATCAGCTTGCATTGCATCATTTAGTATCCAATGGTTTCTTATCGTATTGTGAATTAGCATGTAATATGTTGTGCCATCACGCGTCTTCTCATGGTAACGAATAGTATCTTTTTGTATTGTGTGGTATCACATCTGTCATGATACCACACGATGTATCTGACATGTCATGACATATTGGTCTACTTTTAATGTGGTCTGTTTTACATAGGAGTGTTTTGGTGAGTATATTGTAGGCCCTGTAAAATCTGAAGCAGAACCAAAAGTCTGTCATGTCTAACAATGTTTGTAATAACATGAGCACACTCAAAGTAGTTTGAGCAGCTCAGTGAACTCTGGTCAAGGTGCTTTATTAAAAAATTATGTGGGATCTTTTTTCTTGCATTAATAAAATGAATCTGATCTTTTCTCAGTTAACCAAAACAACCTGGGCTCCAGCACTGTGCCCTGTTGCCCCAAGACAAATTTTTAAAAGATAACCACCAGTCCGTTGTTTTAGCAGCAAAAGCCAGCCATCAGAAAGCACCTACAAGCAGTACTAGAAGATAAATTCTCTATTGAAAGCAATGGTTTCTTCCAGCTTTGAGCTAATAATATAGCTTGCCTAAATAATTTTGTCTCCCTTTTTCATTTTCAAACATTGTCATTTATAACAGCATGCCTCATACAGAATTTAAAGTGTAAGGCCAATTTGAAAACTTCAATTTCACTGAGGCTTAGTGATTGTAAAGCAAAGTATTGGTTTTAGGCTGAAAAAGGCATGGATGGAGTAGTTTGAAGGCCAAGCTCATGACTGTTACCTGGACAAACAGCAGCTAAAAGAGATCGACCAAACACCTGTGCTGTGCTGCAGACTGTTGGAACCTTCTGGGAAGAGTTAACAGGGAGGGATGGAGTCCTGAGGTCTCACTTAAGTTTGAGTCTGTGTGGAGGTCTTTAGCCCTCTTCAGAGGCTCCAGGAGGATGCAGGGATAATGGCCCCTTTATTTTCCCTTCTGTAAACAGAGCAGGTGTGTGCTCCTTGGATCACACCTCCACAGAAGTGATCTGGTTCATCTGGGCCCTCATAGACTGGATGCTGTTGAGGATCTTCTTCTGGTGGCCGGCAAGCGTCACTCCCACTCTGAGGATGTCCCTGAGGAGAAAACCCATCAGTCAGTTCAAGATAAGTCTGCAACAAAACCAAAAATTGATTGAAGACCCCCCTGGATGTATGCTTGAATCCCTAAATAAAAAAAATCTGCTTCAAGTTTTAAAATCAAAGCTGACAAAACTGTCAAAACTCATCATCTGTTTTTAGAAAGAAGATGAGATCTATATTTATATAGTGGTCTCTTGTGTTGTGATGTTGTCAAAAAGACACTAGCTATGCACTACTTTCATTTGTTGTTCTGCAGTTTAAAAACCAATAAAGCAGGTTTATGATGATCATCTTTTTCTCTGTGATCTGTCTCCTTTACAGCTCGAAAATTAAAATCAGTCCAACATACTCCATGGTCATTTGAGACACCACGTCAAAGCTGGTGAAGCCTTCGTTGGTAAAGTTCTCCTTGTACTGTCCCATCTTGATGGCCTCCAGCCATTCGTCTACCGTAGTGAATGAGGAGAAGTCTGGAGTACTTCGGTCCAGCAGAGGTAAGTGGACACTGGTAGACAGAAAGAAAACAAAAGAAGAAAGAAAATCAGCCTGTGTGAGATATGATTTCAGGAGGGTTTGAAGGACTTAACGTCCATTGTCATACCTTGACGACAGCGGTGTCATGGCCTTGAGGGTGTTGGGATTGCGTATCATCTTGTCCAGGGTGCTGACGATCTGGCTGAATTTGGGCCGATTGTTGCGGTCCTTCTGCCAGCAGTCCAACATCAGCTGATGCAGCGCGCTGGGACAATCCATGGGGGGAGGCAACCTGTAGTCCTGCTCGATAGCATTTATAACCTACAAGAGTTCAAATTAGACTGATTTTGAGTCCCAGACTTTACCAGAACACTAATTCAGGAAAGAAACCAAAGCCAGGACTCCTTTTGTAAAGAATTATCAATTATTCCCCCGGGGAAGTCATACTTGGTGGTAAAGCTCTGTTCTGGGAGCTGCTCGCCCTCCTACTGCTTACATGAGATGCCAAGGCAGGGATACATCTAAATTATAATCCAATACATGAAGCGTCTGTTTCAATTGGTTTTCATAGATACTATAATTTCAAAAAGTTTAACTATCAAACAGTGACATTGATTAAATTTGACAGAATTAGCCTCAAGAGCAAAAAATTAACAGGTGCAAGCTCATAAACTGTATGCTCCACAATTTTTGATGTGTACTAGTATTTTAACCCCCAGCTTGCAGGGTTTGACTCACATCTTGGTTGCTCATGTCCCAGTATGGCCGCTCTCCATATGACATCACCTCCCACATGACTATACCATAGCTCCAGCAGTCACTGGAAGAGGTGAACTTCCTGTACTGGATGGCTTCTGGTGCCGTCCATCTGATGGGAATCTTTCCTCCCTGGAAAAAATAAAAGTGTTGGTCAACAACCTGAAAGTTCCCTCTTCATCTCCTACAAATGTTTGTATAGACTGACTTTGCCTCTCTCAGCAACCGTTTGAAAACCTCCTGAAAATTCATTCCTGAACACAAACTTTTTGCAGCTTTTAGCAGAACTCTTAACATTGTGTGAGACACAATGGGTCCCTGTGGTCTCTGATCATGACTCACCAGAGCGCTGGTGTATGTGGGGTCTGAAGTATCCTCCTCCAGGAAGCGTGACAGACCAAAGTCAGACACCTTACACACCAGGTTGCTGTTGACCAGGATGTTCCTAGCTGCCAGGTCTCGGTGGACGTAGTTCATGTCACACAAGTACTTTATCCCTGCTGCAATGCCACGCAGCATCCCCACTAGCTGGATCACCGTGAACTGCCCGTCATTTTGCTTTCAGATAAAAAGAAAAAGATTAAACACATTCAAGATTGTTTTGTGAAAAAATCATGATAGCAGAAGACTGTGCTGCATAACAGGACAAAAACTAACAACAAACTGAACGTTTCTGTTGGTTTGTTTCAGATTCTTCCGGAGCTTTGACAAATTGTCACAGCTGTTGAATATTGAAAGCTATGAATTCACAGCCACACTTTATCCACTTATTGTAATGATCTTTGTTTCACTTTGATTCTCCAAATGTGTTTCCTTTTTTCCTCTCAAACGGTTCCTCTCTGGAGAAATTTGTAGTTTGAATATTTTTTTTCAGTGACTTTGGATAATGACTCCCTCTGAATGTTATTGCAAACATGCCACAAATACATAATGCATTATATTTGTTATGTGTCACTGAGAGAAAACATTGCAAATCCCTTTTCATTGCATCTATTTAGCCTCATTTTCAGCACCATGGACAGAGAAAATAGGTCCATTCTGAGTAAATCTTGGAGGTTTCCAAAAAGAGGTTAGAATGAACTACAATTGGCAATCATAGGTCATAACTCCATTACTTTACTGTTTTATTTTCATTGAAAGTATTTTTCTTGTCAGTGTTTTCCACTGAAAACAGTGTGTAGTGGCAGAAGAAGTATTACATGCTGTGATTTGTTGGTTTGCCTCTCTTACCCTGAGAAAAGAGTCCAGGGACCCGTTCTCCATGAACTCGGTGATGATCATCACAGGGTTGCTCTTCGTCACCACCCCCTCCAGGTGGATAATGTTGGGGTGGTCAAACTGGCCCATGATGGATGCTTCACTCAGGAAGTCCCGCCTCTGGCGCTCAGTGTAGCCTGTCTTTAGCGTCTTTATGGCCACCAGGATTTCCCTCTTCCCGGGCTGCCGCAGGTTTCCACTGCAGACCTCCCCAAACTCTCCTGAGAGGCAGAGGTGACATTTTTTAAAAGTTTGCTCTTTCAGCACTCTTAACTGTATTGTTTGAGATCCAGAGTGTGTTTTAGACAGTAGACTGTATTGGCAAAAGCAATGAAACAGCACTTTTCCTGTTTCAGTAAGGTTATTACTCCAGAGATAGGTTAGGGCTTTATAAAGGTTGAGGAGGTATGCATGTCAGGAATACTTAAAGTGTCTGACTGTATAAACAAACAAATAAAGATCAATCAGTTAAACTAAAAGTCCAACTTGCTCCAAGAGTGTTTGTGCGTGATTCAGTACATCTCCAGAATCTGTGCATTAAACAGACGTTGCATTAATCTCTTCAGAAAAATTCAATTTAAAAACATAAACCATAAACAGATCATGTTATGGGTGAGAAGATTTATGGGAATGCATGAAAAATTCACACTAAGTGCAACTTTTGCATGCATCCCCATCCTCTTATCACACGATTCATGTCAGGAGAACTGGTCTTGAGTCTTTGCATTGATTTGGTGCAAATGTGGTGCATGAAATATTTGTTTTCCTCTAAAGGAACAGCATAAAAACATATCAAGGACCTTACTTTTTTAAGCCCCTAGTGCTTTACAAAGACACCATTCTAGTTTTATTGTCACATATATCTTAACTATAACTGCAAATTTTTTTTTCTCTTTAGACAGAAGGTTACAGAAATAAATTTAAGCTCATGTTGCAGCACAATTTAAGTAAAAGTCCCCAAGTTTTCCTCTACCTGCACCTATGACTTGCTCAATCTTGACACATGAGATGTCGATCTCCTTGGCGAACTCCCTGACAGCTTCATTGGGGTCTTCGTATGTAAAGGGGTCAATGTAGATCTTCATCCCTGGGGACACTTCAACAGAGAGACAGAAGAGACAGCAACAGCTATACCCACAAAAACTGAAACAGAAAATAACCACAAAAACAGACGAAAATAAAACCATAAAGTAAAAGTATTCCTGAGTTTTCACACACCGTCTCATGTGTAAACAATACTTACTGTGACCGCTGGTGTAATGCTGCTGCAGTTTGTCTGTGTACTCTGACTCTGTTCTGTCTGAGCTCCTCCTGCTGCTGAAAGACACACACAGAAACAGAGACTCAGTCTGCTGATTAACACCATGGAAAACCACAAAGTCAACATTGATTTTGGACTGTCTCATATGAACACAGAGATCTTTTTTCTGTTTCCGATCAAGACTTCTTTCTCTGGATTTGTTTGGTGTTTGGTTTTTGTTAAGTCTTGTGCTCCTCTTGTCTGTTTGCAGCTTGTCTCATCTCCTCATGCTTTTTTTCCAGTCTGCTGGACCCGTGTGAATTTGTAAAGTGATTTAGATCTTGTTTCAGTGTTTCATCCTTTCCCTTTGTTTTGATATTTCTGACAGAACTTTGGTTTTAAACTGCTGTTCTGTGTCTTGAATCTGATCCAGAGTCCTCAGTCCTGCTGGCAGCAGTCTGAAGGCAGTGGAGTGTTAGTAATGTTAAACAACACAATCCAATTTCAGTTATATTGGGGATTTTTGCTAAAGTACGCTGAGAGGATTCCATCGCTGTGCTGCTGCAGTAGGCACAGTCCATGTTCCTCATGTGGGATAAATGATAGATGATACATTATCTCCTTTCAGCAAAAATAAGATTTGAACTTTCATTCTCAAAGTCTAGTCTAAAATTTGATGGTTCAGTGTTTAACTTTGTTTCTTGTTTGAACACACAAAAAGTGCTCAGCTCAAAAAAACTCTATCAGTGATTACTCTTGATGAATAAAGATGTCAGGACTCTTGCTGAGAGTGTAACTTTTTTAAAAATTTATTTTCCCTCCTTTATTTTCTCTTTTCTTTCACCCTCTCTGCCTTGAGCTTCTATCTTATTATATTTTGTATTAAATACTTAGTGTTGTTGTTCTCCAAACGCTGCTTTTTTCAGTAGTGAATAGCATTATTGAATTTCCCTTCAGGGATCAACAAAGTTCTTCTTCTTACTGTTTTATCTTTCATTCTGTAAAACTCTGAATGGTTCTCTTTTAATAAACCTGCCTTGCCTTTAAATGACAAAAATAAACAGCTCATCCATCAGTTTCTGAAGGTGTGTTTTTAAGCTGGTCACTGTGGTAGAAATACTGACTCCACCTAAACTGAGCTCTTTGCACCAGGCTGGAAACATGTTAAATTCTGCTATAAAAACTGACATTTTTACATGGGTGTTTATGGGGCTTCTTGAGTTTTTGGAGAACTGCAGTTTTTTGCACTTTAACTCTAGCTCCATTTTTCACCACCCAAGGCTGCAGTTTGGTTTCAGCTAAAGTTGATCAATGACATCCATATGCTCATAAACCTCTTTTAAGCCTTGAAAATTAATTAAAATAATTAAATCAAACTGAAGGAGAGCTGCACTGTCAAGACAAGAAGAAGGTGATTTAGGGAACCTTCTTGACTTGTCCAAGATAAATAAGTGTTATGCTACAGGAATGGAAGCTAAGAGTAAACCTCAGGACTTAAAGTGTTAGAAAGTTAGCAGAACAGTTTGTCTGGATGGGCAAATGGGTTTGTTACAGCGTGTATGTTGTATAACATACACACTACTGTTACTTTCTGTTTCATGAGAACTGTAAATAACTGTGACAGCTGCAGCAAAGACACCATCAGCAGAGATACTGTTCAGTATTTTCTTGGACCAACAGCTGTTTATTGTTTACTAACTGACCTGCGGCAGACAATGATGAAGACTGTGATGGCAATGATGAAGACGACTCCTGCAGCAGCTGACCCTATGATGAGAGGGAGCTTCTCCTGGATACTGGAGTTATACTCCTCTGCAGGTGACAGGAGAAAAAGAAACTCAAGATTATGTCGAAATTCAGACCAGATTTATTGGGAGACACTCAAGGTGTGCTGATTAAGCTGATGAGCATGGTATAGTAAGGCATGTCAAAACTGTTCCACAAAGGGCCGTGTGGCTGCAGGTTTTTCTTCCAACCAAGCAGCCGCTCACCAGACTTCTGCAGACAGCTGATTGGTCAGACTGCTGCTCTTGATTGGTTGAAAGAAAAACCTGCAGCCACACAGCCCTTTGTGGAATAGTTTGGACATGCCTGGTATAGGTCCTACCTTCAGTCATGGTTTGGAAGTACATTTTCCCACTGAAACGTCCAAATCCAGCCACAGTCCGAGCTCGAACCTGAAAGACGTAGATGGTTCCAGGCCTCAAGCCTCTAATAACGGCGGTGTTGGTCTGACTCCTCGAGACAGATGAGTTCCACTCTGCCTGGTTCTGAAACACACAGACAGAAATTTAGATGTGTATCAAAATATTGTCTGAGGGGAAACAGATTCATTCATCATTTACATCAGCACCTACACACCTTCTCATAGTACTGCAGCTCATAGTCCAAGATGACCCCGTTTGGCTGGTCAGGCTGAGACCAGGATAGAGTGATGCTGCTGGGGGTCCTACTGACCTGGTGGATGATGGACACTGCTGATGGAGCTAAAACAAAAATAAAAGGAGGAAGGTTAAGGGCTGTTTGACCTCTTTGAGGAAACTCATTGATAATTTTTAAAATTAGTTCTAGTTTTTTTAGACTATGTCCTCCGATTGTGGATATTATTAGGTCTAAATGACTGATCTGAGGAAGCCCTGGGGGTCTACTGCACAAACACTTAATTGAATATGATTTTCACTTTGTGAAATTATCTACATTGCATGAAATATTTGTGTTTTTTTTTAAACTGGTTTTGCATTTATGAAATATGCACGTTCTGTTAAATGTATTTTAAGTTTATGAAATGTTTGTACATTTGACCTTCAGAGCCACTGTACTAACAGGAGTTAGCACTTTTAAAGTTGCATTAAAATCTCTATAATAATAGTGTTGTTTTGGCCCTCAGATTGACCCAGACTGTTAACGGAAAAAATCTCAGAAGAAATAGTCAGAGCAAATCAACACAAACAGACACTCCATCAGCCAAAACCGCCAAACTCCTTTGACTCCTTGGGTCTTTCTGAATCACTTTGTAGACATTAGAGCTCATTTTAAAGCACTTAAGCAACTCTAAACTGTTTAATATCTGTGACACATTTACAGCATAAACTTCACGACAGAAGGAGAGGGTTTAGTTTCAGGTTTCATCTCACCAGCCTGGTTGGTTGTGATGTTGACAGACGTGTACTGCGGTGAGTACGGGCTCTGGTCAGACACTCCATTCACAGCTTGGATTTCAAAGGTGTACTGAGTATGAGCAAGAAGGTCGCTGATGTAGACCCGGCTGTCCGTCAGTCCCAGCTGGCGTGGGACAAACTGGACATTGTCTCCACAGCGGGTGCAGCCCCCTCGCCCACTGCCGCAGCTCTTACAAATGATGTTGAATACAACATCCTCTCGGCCTCCACCCTCCTGAGGAGGATTCCACTCCAGCTTCAGAGAGGTCTCGTTTACGATGGAGATGACGTTTTGTGGAGCTGACGGGACAGCTGGAAGAGAGAGATGTTTTTTTTGTAATTGTAATGTTTGTTTGAGGAATGCATGAATCAAAAGACTGTTAGAACCAGAGATGACCAGACCTTAGAGACTGGAGAAAAACAGGTAAAATGACGAACAAACAGTCACTTTTAGATGCAAACAGAATCAATGATATTTATCCACTGAGATATTCTACTGCCTGAAGTTCTGCTTGTGCAGAAAGACGCGATGAGATGTTTTTAACTCGCATAACCAGATGACAGAAAGGACAGAAAGACCTTGAGGACATGACTGCAGAGATGGATGTCTGCTGTCACAGTGACCTGGATCTGGATAATTGTCTAAAAATAGTTTGATTGACAGTTTTTACCCCTATCCTGTCTGTTTTTTTCTTCCTCAGAGTTCAGAGTTTTGAAACTATACTGACACCATATCTGTGCTCTTCAAAAGCCGACTGTCTGTCTCTGAATACTCGTACGTATATTTTATGGATGTTCTTACATGCTTTGTGTTTGATAGACCTCATTTATCAAACATTCTTGAGAAGAAATTTATCTTAAATCCCATTTCCTCAGATTCTGACACTCATTTAAGTATTTTTCATGCTCAAGCTGGTTAAAATGATTGTAAAGTGTGTTTTTTTTACCTTTATATTATTCAAATACATTCATGCAAACAGGATCTAAGTGAAGCCAACTTTTATCCCAAACATGCGGCGTTTGTTCATCAGCTGCGAAATGTTAACTCATGACTGTAAAATATAATTTTTTAATATATCAGAGCCAGCTTTATTTTATGTTAATCAGAGTCTTTGCAGAGACTGAATCCAATCACTCCAAATCAACCAAATCTGTGTTGATTTATGTCCTACTGTTAGTGATATACTGTCAACTCTTTGGTGAGGGGAGGCTGTTTGTTATGCAATGTTTGTTATGGTCCGTCAACCAATCAAAGGCTGTATTTACAATCAGCTAAAACAGAGGTAGGGCTTCCCTGTCTCAGCAGAGCAGGGAAGGTAAACTTAACATATAATGGACCAGCTCTTTGTTATGCTGCTAGAGGTTTGAACTGCTGGCATATTGAGCACCTTTCCCTTCTGCTCTTCTTTCTGTCTGTGTCATTAACTTTGAATCATCATGTCCCAGTAGAGTCACTAATACACAGTCTTTTCTGAGAGTCCCTGAGCTCCATCCGTTCCTCTGGATCACTGCAGCAGACCCCTTGCTGTGGTGGATCTGCCTGCTTTCCAGCTGCTTCAATTACATGCACCAATCTGACCATCTCTCTGTCTCCTCATCTCCCTCTATCTCCTCTCTAAACCCAGCTCAGTCTCAGCGGATGACTTTCTAACATGAGTCTGGTTCTGCTCGAGGTTTCTGCGAGGTTTTCCTTTCCGCTGTAACTTACTAAATGCGGCAGAGCTACACTTATGTGGACTGATAAAATCAATCGCTGTCTCTTAAAGTCATACGATGTTTCTGACAGTGTGTGTACATACTTGTGCAGGGCATCTGAGGAGGGTCGGAGTCGGTGCGATAGTATCCGTTGCGGCAGACACAGTTAGTGGCTCCCTCATTGGTTGTTCTGCTGTTAATGGGGCACTGCAGACATGTGTGGTCTCCCTGTGCAGCCTTGAAGAAGCCTGATGCACAAGCTGTGAGGAAGAAATTCAAAAATGGAGGAGGTGTGGGGGGCACAGAGGGAAGAGAAAGAGAAAGGACAGAAAAACAGAGAATGTTCAAGCAATGAGCTTTAACAGACATTAGGAAATTAAAAAAAGCTTTCTTCTTTTTTGTCTGCCATCAGTGCCAGTATTAGTCAGAGCCTGGAAAACTGTGTCCAAGCTTTTTCTTCTCACATTTTCCCCACTGAGCCTGTTTATTCATGACGTCTGCATTTCACAAAGGTCATCTCATCGAAGTGACATGCACTGGGACTCCTTCAGATCCTGTCAGATCTGTTGTCCACAGGCTTGTGAAACATGTCAGAACATGTGGAGCGGAGGAGACGGTCAGAGATTTTACATGACAAGAGAGGGAGGAATGATGGAAAAAATAAGTGGAGAGCTTTAGTTTTTAATAAGCATCTTTTTTTCTCTCTGTATGAGTCTCTGATGGCAAAGACTGACTTCAAATATAGGAACATTTTATTCCCCAAAGGAAGAGTTTGTTACACGAGGACTGAAATTCATTACATTTCTATTCTTATCTAATGTGAACATCATGGATGGTTGCTATCATTATAATGACTAGAATCAGGGTAAAATGATTTCCATTCACACTGAAAAACCTCTAATTTTACAAATGTATATTGTCAAATTTTTAGTTAAAATCTCTCTTCACTTAATGTAAATCAGATTAACATTACAAATCCCAATATAAGATTTTAAAGTGTTGCAGAGCAGGGCTAAGGCAGTGCACCACATGCAGAGAAATTTCTCAAACAGGCATACCAGTATCTCTGCATACCAGCAACATCAGAGTTGGCAAACCCATTACGACCAAACTGTGTGTCTTACAGACGCCTGACCACGTTGACAGGCTCATTCTTCTCAAGAAGAACAAGCATGCAGAAAAATGGAAACTGTGAGTCCTTTTCTGTTCAGCTATTTCTTTTCCTTTCTTTAATCTTTATTTATTTATTTATTTTTGTGGTAATTCCACATTATTTAGTCATTTCAGCCTTGGTGTATTTTTATCAGCCTGCTCCATGTAGTGATGTCCAACACGTTTCACAATTTGAGGACCTCTGAATGTTCTTAAGTTTTGCAAATCAGCAAGTTTTATCCTTTATGCTGCTGCAAAAAGTACAATTTAGAAAAAATGCATTGGTTGTATTAATTTAAAGGGGGAACTTCTCTTTAAAAAAAAAAACAAAAAAAAAAACAAGGAATCAATAAATCAGTGTTGATATTTTTATATCATATACCGACCTTCAGCAATACTTTAAGGTTGCATCCCTATTTTAACCCAACAGAAAGAGAACCATTCATCAACACAAGGTTTAAAAAAATCCATGTCATGTATCTTTAATTATTATTCATTACAATCAATTCAGTCTTTTTTTACGCCGGGTAACATCTTGTAATGCCTTGTCCTATCAGTGTAGCTATTTCAAAAAAATAAAAATCTTCTGAGTCAAAATCTAATACTTAGCAAGTTTTTTTTTTTTTCAGTGCAGAATAATAGATCTCTTTTTGTATTACAGATTTTTCATAATTCAATATCATTCATCTTTAATACGTCTAAGTCTTCGCTGTCAGCTGTAAGGAAACTGTTAACAGCTGACTGACTTCACAGCTGACTTATTTTTTTCTTTTTAATTAACAAAACCCCACAGAGTTTGAATTTATCTTCATAACATATTTTATTTACTTTCAGTTTCACTTAGAGAAACTAATTCATGCTTTGTGAGTTGATCTTAGTTTTTATCTTTAGAAAATGTTCAGTCTTGGTTAATTTTTAGTAGACTTATAGCTAGTTTTATTTTTTTTGCAATACGGGACACTTGTTGGGGCGTTGTGTTGGGTTTTCTGGATGAGGCCTGCCTCTAAATGATAAATGGTTTTGGTATTTACATTTACAACACAATAAAGACTTTGTTTAAGTATAATTTCATGTTTAATATAATTCATTTTTTGCGCTTTTGCAGCACATTTCTTTAAATGAAGGTTGTTCAGGTTGCTGCAGATCATCTGCCCTTTTCGGCCGCTATAGTATCCAGTTTTACAGCCATTACCTTATATTAATGATGTATGAATGTCAATGAGCTCTTTAACTGCTGCATAAAGAAACCGTCAGTCATGGTTAATTCACATTAGGGGTACACAGTTAATCATATATCTATCCATCACATGACATGACACATACCCTGTAAACACATCATTGTCATCATGTAAACATTTGACCTGTCAGATTAACCCCTCCATACATGGGTCATCTGAATACCATTTGGCCGATTGCACAATGCCGCCAGCTTCGCTCAGAGAAGATGATGATGAAAATGAAGACGTACTTTGTTTATCTCTGAGGGGAATTCATGTTTTCACCCACACAGGAGCTGTAAATACTCAAACAGGAGCCTACAGACATGGGGAGGATACACATGACCAGATGCAACCGTCAAGTATGGGGTTTGATCCAAAGCTCAAGAGTACTTCAGCAATGCCAGGGGGTGAACTGGTTCTTCTCCAGGAAACAGTTCCTGTGACCACTGACTGAGCTGCTAAACTGAAGCCGATTTATGAACAAAGAGGTTATCTGAGGGTGATTTAGAGAAAAGCAAGGCCGTGGTTTTAAAGATTTTTTTTTTTTTAAAGCATTAATAAAATTAGGGAAAAATTAAATATCAATCTGCTCAAATCATACAGACTAAAATATATTCCTCTGGGTACAATATTAACGACATGGTCTTCTGGATATTAGTGTAGTCAACTGAAATCATTTAACAGAATTAATTTACAAAGTAAACTCTGAGTTTAAATGCATGTCTGAGGGTGAAAATTCTATTTCTTTTGCAGTCCTGCAAGAACACCCAAAGATACCATATAAAGTCCTGCACATTAAAAATAATTCTTTTTTTTTTCTTGAGCATCCTCAAACTTCAGTATCATTTTTGTTCTCTAACAGATTTTTAAGTCTGCACTTTTATTTAGAAAAGGAGTCCTCAGACAAAGAAATTTATTATGTATGTATTCAGCCTTTATCTTTCCAGGTCAATGAACTTGGTTTTATATGAATAACATTTTTCTAACCCCCTGCTGTTATAATTTAAGTCTCACATCTCTTTTGTTTGAATTAACATTATCCTAAAGTCTGAAAGGGACCGTCCTCCAGCCCTAAGCTGATCTCTTTCAGCCTCTTTAACTCTGTGGAGGCCTTTCATTGCGTGCAGAGCTTTAATATTTTCAGACTGGACGACTGAGCCATCAGTGATAATGCTTGACATATTGTCACATTGAGTGACCAGATGGGCCTAAAATCCAGATAATGGGTTGAGTCATTTTGCAGCACTGATTGTTTGTAGTCCTGCTATTTAAGCCAAAATTACTGCAGGACCCACCTCAGACTAAAATGTCTATGTCTTAAAATTATGAGTGTTAAGTTTAGATAACTTTATTTCAGTGCCAGGATCCTGATCATATCATTTTAAAGGTTTGGTTGTAGCTGTTGGTATCTTATAGACAAATGTTTTTCCTCCTTGTTTTGAGTTACACTGATGCTGCGCTCCCACCAAGGGTCCGGTTCCGTACAGTGAACCAATATATGCCTTCCACTGTTAAAGGTTGGGAAAACTCTCCTTTTTGGGGAATTTTGATGCACATTTTTTCAACCATCTTTGCCAAATACTGATGACCATGTGGCAGAGAGAGGACAGACACAGCAGGGGGACAAAATTGGACCTTTCCATCTGCATAGGCACCATCGCATGAAACAATAATGTGATAAATCTGAATAATTAATGTGTTATCTTCAAACATCTTGCAGAATCAGCGTCAAGGTTTTTTTTTCTCTCTGACCTTTTCTGCTCCACCTCTTTGTTTTCTTACACCTTTACTTCCTGCAGCCATGAATGATACTGGCTTTTTGCCATATGCTGATATTTTAAAACTCTGGCCGGTATTGATACTGATAGATACCCACTTAGAAACAGACATTCAGAAATCCATCTGCTGCCTGTTTCCAACATTTAAATACTCAACTATGCAACCAACATGCATAAGCTGTCAAGTTGATGCTTCACCTTCTTGGCCGATAATTTTATCTGCAGAAATTTTCACATCTGCGGATACAATAATTGACTTTAATTCCTTGGGAGAACATGAACTGCAGGGTTAAACATGTGTCTGCATACATAAATTAGAGCCACATTCTCCAAAATGCTGAACTAGTCCTTTAAGATTTTGGCTCCAGGTAGGTCATGGTTGAATTCACATTCGATTTTCCGCCCTTTGCCCAGAGCCATCAGTAAAACTAACTACACGGTACATCTTGGGAGGAGACATCTGTTAGTTATGACGATACTGATTTAATTGGGAGAGAGCGTACGAGGACTGTCAGGACACATCAGTGTTTAGCCCACCTCTAAAAAACAACCAAGATGACAGTACACGGGTGTTCATGTGTGTGCCTAGAGGGGTGACTTCAGTACAGTTACCATTAAAGTGACAATCCTGAGGGGCTTGTAACCAATAAGTACTGACTGATGACAGGATGGGTCACATACAGCTTAAATTTTTTAGAGTACCACACTTCCTCTCAGTGATCTCAACCAGAGGAGTACGGAGAACATGAACACCCACCCTCTCAAAATTTGCACTCCATTAACAGTGCAAGATGAGTTACGTGAGCATTATCTTGTCTGCCATATATCAGTATTTGACAGTTAAACAGGTCCCTTTTGATATTAAAGTACTGTACGATATGATACGATATGAAGGTGAAGTCTTAATACCGGGAGGTACCGTTCTCTTCTTCTCCATCCTCTTTCTGTTTGTATCATCAACTTTGAATGATCATGTCCCATTAGAGTCACTAACACACATTAGTCTTTTCTGGGAGTCCCTCAGCTCCATCATCTCGTAGGTTCCTCTGGATCGCTGCTGCAGATGTTCTACTGCCATGAACCTGCCTGCTGTCCAGCTGCTTCAACTACAAGCATCAGTCTCCCCTCCGTTTATCTCTCTCTTTCTGCGTCTCCCTCTATTTCCTCTCTAAACTCAATGCAGTAGCAGAAGATGGCTGTCTAACATAAGTCTGGTTCTGCTCAAGGTTTCTGCCTGCAAGAGAGTGTTCAGTTTAGTGCATACATGACTCTGCTGTTGGTTCAAACTAATAAACAGGCAGTTTATAAAATTTATCTTATAAAAAGTGATAAAGTTGTCAATTTAAAACAGCCAGTTTTTCTACTGCATATACCCCGATGACAGGAAATTCAAATACATCTAAACACTGAGATGAGCATGGTGCTTAAATAATGTAGAGTGCATGACTAAAAAGTGGCCATACAAACAGACATCATCAACTTTGACCCATAAGTCCATGAGCACACATTTACAAGGAAGGGACCATAAATACATCTCATTGGACACATCCAACTTAGCTGCAAAGCCTAATCCAACGATGCAATGCACGGATAATTCGGCTGTGGAGGTCTGAGAGAGTATAGATGGAAAATCCTTTGACCTTTATCTACAGAGCATCAAGCTATGTTTTGTCCTGTGTTGTGTTAAAGAGGATCACATCACATGTAAAGTCCTCTCTCAGCCAAGACACAGTATAGGATCCGATCAGGATTAATGATATGGATCAGATTGGGGACTTTAATACCAGGAAAACCATGCACATCTGGCAGGAACTCACGATACGGTCTGGAGGTCCTCAAAACAAGTGAATCTGAATCATGTCGATGCCTGTAAAATGCATAACGGATGGACAGTTGTAGAGTCTGCTGGAGCATTATCTCAAGTGTTCCAAAATATTTCAGTACAAATATTGATCATTTTAATTTTATTCACATTCAGGCTCCAAAAACAAAAGGAGCCTACATTTTGTTTGTTTTTTCACAGAGCCATGTCTCTGCAATCATCTCAGCATGTGTGTGCCACATTCCCAGTCACTTACATCATGGATCCAATGACAGAGTGGCTCAGACTCATTCACAAGTCTTTAAAGCTTTTTCACAGCTCTTTGCATCTCAAACAGTGAGATGATGCAGCCTTTAACCTGTTAATCTGCTCGGGTTGGGGCAGACAGATGGGTCAAATAAGGCTGGGTCTCAGCCCAGGAGAAAAAAGCTGACCCTTGTGTGAAATAAAAAGACCTTGCAGGGTATGAGTGATTCTGAAAGCACCGATAACATCCTGTTAGTATGTAAAGCAGAGTTTACGCCGGAAAAATAAGTTCAATCCACAGAAGAAAAAAGCGAAGAAACCTGGAGAACAGGACAGATCCCAGGTTACCTGGTGGTTCAGAAAACTGTGAGTTTATGCCCACAAACAGAGAAAACTCCTGTTTGTCAAGAGTTAGACCTGGTACGAACAGCACCTTTGGATCTTTGGGAATCCAAATACAGCAGCTGTTCACACAAGACTGCAGCCTGCAACCATCACCAACCAGAGTCCACTGGATATGTGTACCTGATCAAAATACACAGCGTTAGCTGTTGAAGGGGAAGACTGAGCTAAAACAACAACCTTTAAAGTCATCACCATGTCTGCCAGGTGATCTTAGACACTGGGTTCTTGACATCACATAAAATTGAGATGCAAAAATGTCTCAATCCAAAATATATCACTGCCTTGAACAATATAGACCTGATTAGCTGATCCCGCTACATGGAGGAGCACTTGAGTCAGATTCTTTCAGAAAACAGCTAAATTATGTAATACAGTCGGCCCTGTCCCCAGAAAATTGTAACATATCTTATGTCCTTTTTCTACCAGCAGTTTCTCAGTAGAAAGGCCAAACTGACCAGAAAAAAACTTAAACAGCCTCACTTCAAAAATACTGAAACATCCTTTTAATATGGGCAAACAGACAAATCTACCCAGAGAAGGGAATCATGTTCAAGGAGATGATGTGACAAAGCTTTACTAATAATCTGGAAGACCAGTGATTCCCAAACTGGACAGCCGGACCTCCACCAGCTCTTTGTACCATCTTTTGACAATTAAATCGGGTTGAAAGCACCAACTAAATTTCCCTTTTATTTCAGTGAAACTGCAGAGCAAATTACTGAAAGGCAGCTATTTGTTGTACCGCTTTGTTCTTAAGAAGTAGAGTAACAGGATACTGCGTGGACATCTCTTTAAACTTGGATCAAACCTGCTTAACACTGTTGATCATTGGGGTGCCAGGTCTGGCCCTGAATCTGGCCTAAAATCCTCAGTGTTAAGGAACCAGACCTTCTGCTTCTAGCACAAACAGGTAAGAAGCTTATCCACTCTGGCACAGATATGCTGATGTGGGCATTCAAGAGAAGTAAACAAAGTAAAAACTACAGAGCAGCTGTAGGGGGCATCTTACCTCTGCAGACGGTACCGTTGTCCACTGCCTCGTACCCAGCTTTGCACATACAGCGCCCGATCGGAACCATCCACTCTCCGTCTCCGTTACAGTAAAGTTTAATGGGAACATCCACTTCCTCCCCATTAGGGACACAAACTCCTCTTGCCGCCACCAGAGAGGTGCTCTCTGCTCCAGAGAGAGTCTCAGGAAAGACTGCTCCATTCTGGATCACTCGAGGACATTTCCTGTAGAAGACTCGGACCGCTATGAGTGACATGCAGGCGCCATAATCCTGGAAAGCCAGGTAGAAGCCGTTCCGAGAAACAGGTCCAAAACTACGGACCTCACTGTTGATCTTCATGATCCGCCCACCGAGATCCACCTGAGAGAAACTCTCATCAGCGGCTATAGTGTCCACCTTCACCCAGGGGTTCTCCATCCAAGACGGGGACGTTTTTGTAGCTGTGTCCGAGTCAGACTCGTAGTAATAGAGGTTGAAGGTCTCTTTGCAGGAGCCGGGGACATTGGGTATAGAGCTGCAGTCACGTACTGAGAACTTCATCTGAACATGAATACGCTGGGCTCCACGGCGGCGGATGTATTTGGTGCGGACCCAGTTGTTCTGGCTGCTGTCAAAGACATTGCACACCTGGTATGTTCGGATGGTGTTCATGTTTTCATCATAGCCGCTGACTTCCTCCCACTAGAGAGCAGACAGAGAAGAAAACCAATGATTCAGCCATTCATAAGAAACCTGCTCTAGAGTATCATTTCTTTTAAGGACAACACCTCGGATGATAAAATAAAGTTTGTCTTTGTCTCTTAAAAGGTCTCATGGTACACCACATCTGATTCGCAAAACTGAAATTTCATTCTGCTGATCTGTCTGTGTCTGTATTCATTCATATTTTTGTTACTGGACATATGTTGTGTCTGAGCTGTAACAAAGCCTCCTGCTGCTACCTCTGGTTATGGGCAATGTCATACTACTGGAATGCTGTAATGCTCTACTACCCGGATGAAAACAAACACAGATGACACAAGTGGTCTGTCAGTTTTTTCATCAAGAAAACACACTTTGAGAAGAAAATACACTTTGCTCAGCCAGAGCAAGTGTAACCAGCCCAGAAACAAGGGCCTTAACCTGCAAGGAAGACTGACGGCTGGTGGTGCTGGCTCTGCTAATGTTAACTACACTTTGCTGAGTCATTGATGAGGACCTGGATGCAGACACAGTGGCCTTCTGCAAACCTGTGCCCAGTTGGACCTTTATTACCGCATGCTCTGTTGGAAATTGGACCCCCGCTTGGATCTCAGCTGTTGATAGGAATTAAGTAGCCTCACCAGCAAAGGTTGCTCTGTGTTACGTCCTCTTTTACCCGTGTCCACTTTTTGGGGGCTGTCCAGCCTTGTCTGGGGGAGTTTATAAAATCCTTCAAATGTCAAGGGTTTTGTATGAAAGTTTTGAGTTTGTGTAGTGTGGACTGAGTTAGAAGCATGTAAAAAACACTTGAGCCAACCTGAAGAGCCCTTAAAATTTACTAAATGCAACTCCACCCCTTGTAGTAGTGTCTTGTAGTATGGTCACCCCACTCTTTGCTATGTCTGTTTTCACACGAGACACATACACTGTTGTATAGATGTTTAAAGGTGAGAAAATCTACATCTCACCAAAGCTTTACAACTGTTCTTTAAAACATGCAAATCACAAAGAAACTAAAGAGACTGAGCGCGGAGCTCTGGGTTGTCTCACAAACACACTCAGCTCATGTGATTTCTGGCTATTTACAGCGGAAGTCTCTTAAGTTCATTACTGCTTAAAGTAAATGAACAAACAGAACAGACATAAATAAATGCATGAGTAACAAAAGGCTGAAACCTGCACCACATCCGTCTTAACAGAGTCCTTAAAAGGTTCTGCATCGCTATAACAAACTGTCCTCTGTCACGCAGATACAACGTTTGATGCGTTGATATGGGTAAACTGTGGAGACTGTCAGCTGGAGCCGACTGTCTCTGAGTGAAGTGATGCTCACAGAAAGACATCTCATCCTGTATATCGTGCATCTGTAACATTGATTATTTATGTTTGTGCTCTATAATGTGCAGCACATATAGATCATGCACACATACATGTCTGGCTGCAGCCTCATGTCATGTTTCAGATGTCACTGAGTGGGTAGCCGTCCCACCAAAGGAGCACTTCCCTTTTTTTAAATTAAGTGCTTCAGATTCAAACACATCCAACTTTAGGAAAGACGTGAATAATAGAAACCTTCATAGTTTGCTAATATTTGAGTCTTGGTGTGTTCCACTCACCCCCTGTGACGGGTAGATGGTCCAGCCCAGCTCTGCTGTTGCTGTTGTTGAATCCATAAGAACTTCTGCAGGAGACACAAAAGAAATGGTTTTCTTTAGATGAAATTACACAATCTGTGCAGAAAAGAAATCACATTTTGCATTCACTTACAAGTTAAAATATTCTTCCTTTCCGTTCAAATTTACAGAAGCAATCAAATCAAATCTGACTCAACCTCAAGTGGCACTTGGCCGTAAATAGAGACAACCCCCACTGGTGTCAGAAAAAAATATTAAATCAAATATTTATCCTCAGGGAAACACAGCACAAACACTCTATCACACAGAAAAGGCTGCAAACCTAATCAAGTAAATATAAATGTGCTCATCTGTGAAAGAGAGGCAACAGTGTCAGAATCAGCTCAGCAAGTGAATGAGTAAGTGTTTGATACGATTTTGGAAAACCTCAGTTTTCACTTAACTTAAACTGTGTTTATGAGAGGACAAGAGGTCAAATCACAGAGAAGAAACTACTTTTTTAAAATATCTGTGTAAGGGAAACCCTAATTAAACAAGATTATTGCATCAGTCTCTACAAAGTCATAAACAGAGTTTTTCTCCTCTTATTTTTCCCCTTGTGCTCAGATCAGTGCCAGACTCAGCGCCTCATATCAACCCTTCACTTCAAGGGTTCTTAAAGAGCGCCACCATCGCCAAAGTTCAGCCCCCCTCCAGTCTGCCACAACCAGCCCGCTAGTCAGCCCTTTACCAGCTGCCAGCTCTCCTGTAGCTCTCATTAAACTCACCATCAAACAACAAAATACTGTCGCTAAAGAGAGGTACTTCTGTTTATTCTGTTTTTTCATGTACCGTGTCCAAAGAGACCCTCTGACTACTCTTTTCAAGGTTCTCTTTACTGTGTTGAAACCGTGCAGTGTTTTGTGGGCGGATAAACCTCGAGTTGCTGCATCTATCCCTCAAACTCTTCTCCCTGGACTGTATTTTATTACCAGTTCCTGCCCCTGCCGACGTGGTCCTTTGAATATTTTAAATGGAGCTAATTTTATTCTGAGACTCTCTGACAGCTCCTCCGCCTGCCTGGAGGCTCCTTGCTCTCTCTGATACAACACTCAAAAGCCTCCAAGTGAGGTTATAATCTCCATGCCGTCCCCCCACCACAATGTCAGGTGAAACCCTGCTGCGAGGACCGTGTATCCCACACATGCTCAATTATTCACGCCAGCCTAAGAGTCTGCTGCTGCTGAGTAAAGCCTCCTCACAGGAGAGCCAAATGGAAGTTCCTCCTCGCTTTTCTGCCTGTTTTTCAGCACTCTAAAAAATAAGGATTTAAGAGATAATTGTCTCTCTGCAGTTTAGTTTCATTGTCTGCCTTAATGATTCACTTCTTTGCAAACACCACTGCACACACAATCACATGCAATTTGCCTGATTCAATGAGTTTGCGCATAAAAGCAGCAGTTAGCTTGCAAACAGAGCAGAAGGAATTTATTAGAAACATCCAAACCTGCTGTTTTCCCCTCTGCTGGAAAAGCGCTGCAGCATTTTTTATAAACCAGGCAGCAATCATTGCTGACATTAAATGTGTGTCGCTGCAGAATATTAATAAGGGTGATGAAATCTCCAAAATAAGTCAACAATGCAGCTTTTATTCAATCACCCTGTCAATCAACAGCAACATAAATCAGCAGCTTTGTCAGTCTTCAGCCAAGAAACAACTTTCTCTCATTTTAGTCACAGGATTTATCAGCAAATCATTTGTTAAAATCTCAATTTTTCACACACAGTTACTCAGCACAAAACTGCAGACTGATTAAAATAAACAGTCTATAAAGTGTAATCCTCAATTTGTCAAGTTTATACAGTCAAAACGACAATCAATGCAAATTCTTTGTGCACAACAACTGCTTCCTTCATCATCTTTCAGCTGATTTAGGGCTGGGGGATATAGCCTCAAATCAATATCATAATATATTGAGCAGACTGCACCTGCCGCTACAACTTTTGAACCGTCCTTCATCTCCTCACCTTTCTTTCCCTCTTTGTTATGGACTGGATAGAGTGAAGTCATGTCTCCAAGGTAGGATAGTGTCTTAAAGGGATATGAGCCCATAGCCTACCTACAACCATCCAAAGAAAACTTGTATTCATTTTTTTTTTTGACACCAAATATATTATGAGCAAAATGACGTCAGTTATTGTCGTAAATTTCTGTATCAGTAAATTTTTGGTTTATCGCCCAGCCCTAAGCTGATGCATATTGTGTAACCATTCATTACACACAAAAAAGCACATGTTGCAAGTTTGTATGCCTACAAATGTTGCAGTGCAAGATGGCGGCCTCCATGAAAAGGGATCAGCTCCAATGTTGAAATGAAACGCTACTTTAAGTTAACAATCTAAATGTGTCAACTAACAAATTCACATTTCCTGCAGCAGACCTCCTTTTCTGTTAATCTGTCTTCAATGCCTGAAAACCTAATACTGTTTTAGAGATTAAAACTTTTTTTTATATGTGAATGCAGTCATATCCATTATTTCTAATGTCTAATATCTGACATGTTAAATCCTGTGAGCGCTGAACTTTCTTCCTCCTCCGCCCCTCTTTCTGGAGTTCAAACTGGGGCAGACTCTGAGCACTCTTTGGCCTGTTTTTTTTTTTCTCCTTTTCTGTCACATTTGGTGTGTATAATTGAGTGCAACACCATGAATGCCCCAAGGAGGGGCTGTCTGAGAGAGTCCTTAAATTATCCTCATTTAACCTTGTCCAGAGTCCAGAGACACATGTTAAAGATACAGAAGAGCTGCAAGATGGAAACATCAGGAGTCTATGACAGCAGACTGTCCTCATTCGGCGGAACAACACCAGATTAAAATACAGCGTATATGAGCTAGTTCATTTTAGTCCGTAATAACCATTTCTCTATTCTTTAAGTCATAACTTTCCAGACATTCAGTGGAGGTGCATTTGCTGAGAGGAACATTCAGCTGATATTTGGAGTCTCTAAACTTCTCGTGCATCTTTTGGGCTCAGTGTGACCTGCTGAAACTGACCAGAACACTTAAATAAAGCAAAAGAGGAGTCTTCTTGTACTGACTGATCACAAAAACTTTTACTTATCAACTGGTTGTTTAGTTGTGCAGAAAACCATGACAACCAAATGTGGACACAGCCTGTTTCACACAACACAAACAGGGTTAAAAGTGAACTCCAGCAGGTTTGAAGAGAGTCTGCAAGTATCTTTCAAACCAGTGAGGGTAAACCAGATCATGAGAAAGGCAGATGGATTGTTGCAGCATCAGTGGCAGTGCAGGCTTGGATATAGCCTGCATGATGCAGCGGGATCTGTAGCTTAAGGCGAAGCTTTCAATTTACCAGCCGACCCTCACCTTTTGTTTCAAGCTCCAACGCCTTCAGATGCCCCAAGAGGAGCTTGAAAGTGTTGCTGAGGAGAGGGATGTCTGGGTCAACCTGCTCAGCCTGCTGCCACCATGAGCTGGCCTCACATAAGTGGGAGAAAACAGAGAGAAAGCTGGCAGGCTGGATAGATAGATAGATGCATGGATGGATATATTTAGAAATCCTGAAATAAGTAGTTTAGCCTGTAGCAAAACTCTGTTTACGTGTGGATGGGAGGTCAAGCACAAAGAAAAGAATATGTTCATAAATATCTACATATAGAGAAGGAGATGGTCCATTTTTATTGACACTGATACCTTTATCTTGATGATTCGGGTCTGCTGTCAGAAAAGTCTGCAGTTAAGATTCCAGATATTGCTTTTGAATCTTTTCTGTCATTATTAATTCTTCCAAAAACTTGATTTTATTCAGGTTTTTCACCAAAAAACATTTTTCTTTTTTTCTGGGTGTGACATTTAAACACATTGTGATGAGTTACTGTTTATTTACTCTTGTTTCATCTTCCTTTTGCTGACCAATCTTGAATGCCTCAAACTGTTGCTTTTATCGCTGGATTATGATTTTTTACTGACAGGACTTGCTCTAAAGTCTAGCTCTGCTGTTTTAGGTGAAGAGGAGGATGGCAGCCCTGCCGCAACAGCCGTCAGAGTTAACGCTGTTGATTCAAGCCACTGACAGTCAAAGGTTCTGCATTTTGGCTGATTCGATGCTCAGTGTTGATGTGCTTGTCCCTGGAGGTTGTCTTCCCCCCCTTTAAAAAAATATTTTGCAAAATAAATTATCTTTCACTTCATCTCTTTCTTTAGGTTTAGTTAAAAAAATGTAGCCACATTGATCTCTGATGGCTGCCAACTCAAATTTTTCATAAAATTTACTACACAGTCTATTAATGTGACTGTCACATTACTTCCTGGGACCTACTGGATTTCACAGCAGATTTGATGCCTATCCACAAACACATGAATAGGTCCACAGCCAGCATCTGAGGCAGGAGCTTTCTAACCTCAGCCTGTTAATCACCAAACCAGAACAAAAAACAAGTCTGTGGGTTGTTAACCTTGGTGTGCGAGTAACCAGCAGTGTAAGATAATAACTAGCCTTTTTTTACCACCAGTTAGGTGGGTTATAAGGTTAAACTCTAAAACTCTAAATATCCTGAAGTGAAAAGTCTGCTTAACATCAGCATGTCAGCCCGCAGGTTACCAACCACAAGAGTGGGCTTAGTCAACAATAGACAGCCTCAGCTGACCTCTAGCTCTTAATTTTAACCCTCAGTCTGCACCATACTCCTGCAGCCTCTGAACCAAGCTGGCTGACTGGATCTAGTCTGTTTTACAGCCTGCTGCACAACTATCACCGTACATGACATGTTTTTTTTCTATTTAGAGGAATTAAATTAGACAGTATTGATACACCAAACAGAACTGCAACATGTGAATTTTGGAGCATTTATTACAAATGCAAGCCTTTACAAAGATTATAGTCGTTTGATATATTACTATTACTATCCAGTCTATGTTGGTTTTGAGAGTCAGCCTGAAATGCTAGCATCCACTGTTGCATCTAAATGGCCCATTTTTCCGGCTGCTCGCTTCCTGTTAGTATCAGCAGCGATTAATGAGGAGCTGGGAGGGAACGGCGAGCCAGGTGTCAGAGCCACCGCTAAACAGGAATAAAGAGGCCATGAGCACTGACCCGAAACCAATTCCCACAGACTCAGCCAAGAAGGAACAAGGAGGGACAGAAAAGAGCGCAGATCTGAATGTGTCTCTGTGCTGCGGCGGCCATACAGAAGTCTCATCTTCCTCATTAAAGAGGATTCTTACAGTGAAACAGCTCTAATTAACCCACTGTACACTGACTAATCAGCCGCAAACAGCAGACAGAAACAGTTAAAGACTCAATGGTGAACATATTGAAGTGTTAGGCAGTGGAGGGACAGATCTTTCCCTTGGGTGGTGGAGAAACTGACACAATGAGGACTTGAATATCCAACTAACCTTGAAAAAAAAAAACACGTTTAGCCTTCATATCTAATCTTCACACCATGGTTGATTGGATTTCTCACAGGCTGATCTGCAGAATAAGTCCTGGTATACTGCGCATTTAACATATACACGCAGTACATGTGTGAAAAACAAACATCATTGACCACACAACCCAAACAGCATCACCACCTTCAACAGACCGAGACGCCATTTCTGCAAACTCCAGGTATTGATAATATTGATGCCACCGACTCCATTACTCCAACCCCATTGTGGAAATAGAGCCAATCCATCAACAGGGCTATCAAATGGGAACCTCTCTTCACAGCTGTTCACCAAGTTAGACAAGGAAGGTGGTATCCCAGAACCACCTCCCTTCTCACTGATCATCATAGTCAGGCTGCTCTATGTACAATATTTCTCATATTAATAAGGTAAAGGTAACAACTTATTTTTGTAAACTCAAAGGCCGGCATTGACACTCCCCTGCCTCATACAGCTCTCATCTTTACTTTATCATCAGTGTGCAACAAAGTTTGGATGAGTGAAGAAGTTGCAGATTTAATTATAGACTACTGTATCCACAGTACATTGTGCAACAGCAGCCTAAAACTATCACACAACCACAAGTGGAGAGAGGAGAGCAAGAAGAGGAGCAAGGGGAGGCAGGTGAGTGTGCATAAGTGTGTGTCTGCAAAGTCAAGGGACAGAGCAGGACGATAGAGAGGCTGTAATGATCACAAGTAAATGAGTATTAAGGAGCTAATATTTGCCAAGCTATACAGCACTCCATATAATAATTAAATAAAATGCAAATTCCCAACAGCTTGAAAAGTCTGAATGAAATGATGGATCTGCAGCTTGTTATTGATGCAAAATGTAGAAGAGTTCAGATGCGTTAGTTTTATGATAACACAATTTTTGCCAGCAGCCCTTCAACTTTGGGGCGTTGAGTGAGAGTGGGCTGGTAGACCTTCCAACAGTAAGTCTGCACTGATGTTGGCTTACTGATCAGATGTTTATCACTGGTCAATGGAGACATCCGTAAGTGTAGGATCTGTGTTGCAGTCTGCACAAAGAGACACTATTTTTAAGATAAAAGTAAAATCACACAGATGTAAACATCATTTTCACTTTGCATTTATGTTTGTTTGGTGGGGGGGGTTTGCAGGTGTTACAACTGACAGCTTTGTATGTGGGAGGTATTGTCTAATACAACATAGTGTATAGCATGATGGAGGGATTACAGCTCAGCATCACTGTAAATATTGGATTATTCAGAATTGTAACTGCATATTTTTATGTCATTTAAGAAAAAGGCACCATGTATGGATACTTTTCTCAGGCTACAAGGAATATACAAATGTTGCAGGGTGCCCTTTATTTTTATCACAACTAATAATTGATGTGCAATATGTAGAACATGTGCAGTGAGTGGAAAATGCAATATTTAAGTTGTGCATGTAGTTTGTCTTGCAGGAGTTTTACCATTGCCGCCAAGGAGAGAGCAATGTAAGCAGAAATGCAGTCTGGGAAAGATTCTCTATGGGGAAATCAAAATCTTACTGAATATGTTAAACAATAACCACATATACCATGAGGTCTTACAGTTCTACTATTCTTTTTTTTTTTTTGTACCGGGAACAATGAGTTCTGCATTTTTCTTCAAACTGTTGATGTCATTTATGTCAGTATATATATCAAAACTAAAGTGCATCAATATTTTCTTGCACCCCTCATTCAAAACTGCAAAAACAACTTAGTAATTCATGCTCACACAGGTTAGACAGAGGGCGAGGAGCTAATATATTTGCGAATAACGAAGAGCAGCGCTGCAGTTGTGTAGCTAAAATGCAGGCGGGCTTGCACTGGCTGGAACTACTGCCGCTGCTGATGGGAGCTGGAGCACAGAAATGGGGACAGAGTGGGCTGGCGAGGGCGGGGGTGCATTAGTATATGTTGCCCTCCTTTCGTGACTAGACATTTGTCATGTCAGCTCCTCAGCTCCTACAGTTTAAGAAGAACTTATAGGGGACACAATATGTTGCAGGAAGTCGCTCAACATGAGGAGCTACTTAATATTAATACTAATGACATCCTGCTGAAAATAAAGCTGGAGCTCTGTGCTCTCAATGACTCTTACTTGGCTTAATAATGTCTATGAATTATTTTTATTGAGGGATTGGATGAATATTTCAGTATGTTGGATGTGTTCTCATCACTCTGTCTTTCTCTGTCAATAATGGCTCCCTCCCCTTCCCACCGGCTCCATCTGTCCCTACGTTCCTGCGGTATATATATAGAGAGAGCTCTTGTTCTGCTTTTCTCTGCAGGATTCAATGAAAAGTAGGGCAAAGAGGAGGAGAGAGTGGGCCAAGTCCAGCACACATAATCCTTGCAGGCTGCGCCACACTCTGTATGCCGCGCTGGATTAAACCCACTGGGATACATCAGCGAAATTTACTTGGTTTTATGTTAAACTAAACTGCCCGACATGCCGCTTTTAAAACCAGATTTTATACTTCATTACCTTTTTATAACCAGACACTGACACCACCTCCTTCTCTGGCCTCTTATTCTCATGTTCCAACAAAAGCCGAACAGTTTTCTGCCAATCAGTCGAGGAATTTGAGTAGTTCTTGGATTTGTACCACTTGTGCAGAGATTAGCTCATGTTTTTGTGCTGTATCTTTATAATCTAGCTCCCTCTTGTTTACAGAGCATTGTAATCATATTAGAAGAAGTATTACAACTGTGATTAATGGCTTTTTATGCGACAAAGGCAATGCTGCTAATGTGCATCTCACCTTCATCCTATGTGCAAGAAATGTTGAAAACAGAGGGCTCATTGATTTTTCCTGCAAACTGCACACAAATCTCAACAAAAAATAAACCAAAAATAAAAGCTCAAGAGCCATACCGGCTCTGTATCAGGTATGTTCAAGTGTGAAATGATACTATGAAAACTAATTATCTCACTTTTTCACCTGGCAGCCGTTAGCCCAGTATGGCTCGTGCACACTTGTGATCACTACAGCCTCTCTTTTGTCATTTTCATTTCCATCCCTTAGCTCCTCAGACACACCAAGACACAAACACCTGCCTCCTCCTGCTCTCCTCTCTCCTCCTCCTGCTCCTCTACCTGCCCTCCTGTCTCTACCTGTGGCTGCCTGATAGTTAATACCTGTTGCACAACATGTTGAAGATCCAGCAGTTCACTATTATTCTTAGCAGCAGCCTCAACTTCTTTGTGCACCCAAACTAAGAGTGAGCTTTATTTAACTCATAGTAACAGGGTCAACACGGCAGGCAGCATGCTAATCGTTCAGTCTGGGTGATCATATTTAAATGATCATGGGGAGCCAACATTGAAATTGAAATTTAGTCAATCGCCCATGGATGATTGTATCCTGGGTCACTGTGTCAGATCTGATCTAGGATGAGTAAAACGTCATCTAGCGATTGCAGAGATCAATATATGGGACATGGACCGTCCAACTGGGGAAAAATCAATAAGGTTAGAAATACAGGATGACCCAGCTGATATTAACTGATGTTACTACGTACAACAAATCAATAATTTGGCAAATTATTTTGTAATTGGTTATTGTCAATATTGCAGATCTGTACCCTTTGGACTTGCTTCTTGAAACCGTCTAAATGGACCCCTTTTAATCCAGTTTTAATGGTGTTAAAATGTCTGCTTTGTCTGTACACAATCTTTAAACTCAAGACGTACAAACAGATCTGGACAATTTCAGTTTTGTGCATGTGATGGTTCTGTTTATAGTTTTAAACTTTATTTCACGGACTAGCCCTTTAACTAGAGCAGGGATGAGACGCAGCTGATACTCAAAGATAAACACACTCTGCTGATGAAACTGAACTCCTGCCTCCAGCATCCAGGCGAGGTTACCTGTGACAGCAGCCCTGAATGTGCAGGTTTACAGGCTGGTGATGTAAACCTGCACATTCTCAAAGAGATATAAGAGTATTTTTTTTAGCAAATAAAGTTTATAAAACATGGCTCCAACTCTTTTGCAACATCGTGCTCTTTCTCTTGACCACAATGTACTTTTTAAATGTCAGGAATATTAGAAGCTTCAGACAGAGCAGATCCTCGGGTGTTTCTAAAAAGGTCAGGGACGCAGCTGCCAACAGCTGTGTCACAATATATTCCAGAAATCCTGGGGCTTTGCCCGTCATATTTTTTGGTCCTCTGAAGCATTCGCATTTCCAGCTATATCAACTTGTGCCTTTCGGAGGAAAGGATTATTCGACTCGCAGCTTTCTAGGATGTCTGAGTGTGATCTCTGACACACTGCCGAGGGAACTCATTCCAAATATCTGTGTCAATCCCCTGGAGTAGTTTCCATGACTCACACTCCAAAAAAACCTCAAATTTGTGGAAATGGCCCCTTTTTTGCAGCCCCCAGTTTATCTTCTGTCTGAAACAAGCTGCAGCAGCTCCAAACTGACCTCTGCTTTCTGGAAACCTGCAGTACTGATTCATGGTCCTGCTGGTGTGGAGGATGGGCATCTCATGACCAGGACAGTCAGAACTACAGGCCCAGAGATATTTGTTATGATCAAATAGTTCTTAGTCAGAGAAAACCTCAGCAAACCTTCTTTTAGTTCAGCCTATACCTTTAATTTGCAAGAAATTGTTTGTTTGATTGGACATGAGGAAACATGTTTAAAGTTTGCATCCGGGGTGAGAACAAGACAAATCTACTAATCAAAATCATAAAATATCAAAACATGATGGATATTGTAGATCTGCTAAAAAGAAAAACAATCTGATTGTTAAATAATAACAATGTGACATGACCTGCTTGCTGTTTCCTGTGCTGTGCATCAAATTAATGACATATAACTGCCAAAGAAAACAACAAGATATGGATATAAGATTTTTTGGACACAGTATTGGTACTTTGGTGGTTCAGCTCAACATTCAGAAACATTTTATTTGGAGTTGTGCAAAAACCAGTATGGACTTAAATCAGATTATGGTGTGCATGTAAATGCTGTCAAATTTGCATGGAGCTATATAAAGAGATCACTGCTACCTCCTATGTTTCCATGTATTTTCTTGTTTATTTCTCCTTAACTGACCGGCATTATGTAATGTGCAGAATAGTTTTGTGTCTGCTATTCCTTCAAAGAAGCAGCAACTTCAACTGCAGACACTTTTCCTGCAGGGGGATGGAGTGTACTCACTGAAAGTCACCTTGCAGTTGGAAGTTTGCCTCCATTCACTGTCTATCACAATTTGCTGCCCAAGGCACAGCGGGATATATACGCACATTAACTGAGCGCGTGTTTTTGACAGCTTTTCTCCCTCATTATGTCACGTTTGTCCTCTCTGATGAAACAGTGACTTACTGTTGAGTGGAAAGCTCTTGTTGGAAGCTGTTGGGGTTCAAAAAACTCCTCATTATAGGCAACAAATGACCAATGAGGCGAGCCAGTTCAGGCCAATTGATAGCAAACAAAAGGCCCATATGTGGAGAGTACAGGAGGACATTCTCATCAGGACACACAGGCCAGACGTTCAAAGTGAGAATAATTTTACCCCAAGGACGAAACAATCAGATCGAGTGTTTACATGGGCAGTGATCCGATTAACCAGAGCCGAAACAGATATGTCTTTCTCAATGGGCCAGATCAGACCGGTGTCATCTGAAAGAGGTGTCAGATGAAGCATTTTTATCCTGATCGAGCTGTTCGTCCATTGATGACTGCACCAAACACCAGAGGCAAACTGGAATAAACCATTTGAGTAGACTCAGAGCGTAAAAACTGGTTTTGAAAAAAAAAACAGGTGTAAGAGGCATTGTTTTTTTTAATAGAAGAATAATGTATTTCTGTATGACGTGCTTCAAGAGGCAACAGCAAAACAACCTTTTTTACAAAGTTTAAAACGTTTCTTTATTTCAACTATCAAAACTCACTCAGACTATTTAAAGGAGAGAAGTAAACTACTGCATGTTCACAGCCCAGTATTAATGTTTTGGTTTCCATAGCTTATTCCTTTTGTCCTTACAACTGCACAGGAAGATATTTTTTCTTAACTCTCTCATTTTGACTGTATCAAGACTAATATTATATCCAATTTGGCAGAATCAGAGGTGTGATAGACTTTACGCATCATAGCCAGCAACTAAGATTTATTCGGTCTGCATTAACTCCACCCAAAGAAGCGAGAGGGATGGCCTGACAAATCTGGCTTGGTATTGCATGAACCCCACTGCCTGTCATTTCTGTTTTAAGTATTTCAACATTAGTCATCAGAGTCCCCTGAGTCATCTACATCAAATTATTCATAAATTCAATCACAGCATGACTGACTATTTAATGCAACCCCCAGAAGTTTTTGATAGTGATTCATCCAGCAGAAATATTTCAGTAGGCCTTTGTACAAATGTAAAAAGGCCTGGTCTTCCTTCTCCTGAGGTTTAGAGTTTGTTGATAAGTAAACAAATATTATTTTCCTCTGACAGTTTCAGCAGATGGCAGTGAGCTCAGAGTATAAGGTATGGCAGTGAGAGTAATGAGAGCTCGCTGTGCTCTTCTCTCCTCTCCTGCACATTTGAACAGATACTGTAGCGTCTGCGCCTTAGGCTGCCTGCTGGCCTGGATGCAATCAGCTGCTCCACAGATTGAAGCTGCATACAGTAGATTTACAGAGAAGCACGATAGAAAAGTTAACAAGCAGAAGAGAAAGGAGGCAAGCCACAAATTCATGGGATCACCAAGTTCTGTGCTCTGCCACACCCAAAATAAAACTTTTCTGATGAATGATGGAGCTAAATATGTTCAGAGTCACTTTCTGGTGACTAGTCTTGAGTTCGGATGGGTTTTTTTATGCATATCTTACAAGAAACTCACCAAAACTAATGAAGATCAATGTAATCCACATCCTACCTCAAGTATTAGGTATAATGAGCTTCCCTCATGCAGACCCTCAGAGGAACAAAAGATCAGCCAGATGTTTATTCTGTGATATTGAACTGTTGAACATTCACTATGTGTTCATTCACTATGTGCTACTGGTCAGTGTAATCATGTTTTCAGCTATCAATACTCATTTCCATATTTGGATCACTGTGCAGTGAGGAGGTCATCAATTCTTGACCAATAGTGAATGATCACAACAATCGAACAATTAATCAATCCCCCGGTTTGCCCTCAGCTTTTGCTGCAGGAGGAAACAAACAATTTGCACGCAAATAACAGATTCACAAAAACAAAACATGTAAATAATGACTGCAGAGAAAAATTAGTCTTACTCATGATAATGTGCATGAGTCACTTTTAATACTGATTTTTATGCCTAACGTGTCTGACTCACATCTTGGATGAAATGGCACTCATTAATTCACTTATGACTTCTACAAAAGCCGTAAATTAAAAGTTCTCTGAATTTCCCTCTGGAATTTTAGAGCTGCTTTTCCCCAGTGCAACACAAGACTGCAAAAACTTGTTATTGCTCTTTTTGCAGGATATTGTTCAAAATTGTTAGAAATACATCACCTGCAAGATGATTGAGCATGTTGTTATGGGCAAAATTATCATTTGTTTTCTCTCTGACGTTACCCTTGACTCCCTGTGGCACCTGTGGCTGGAGTATAAAAAGCTCACCTGAAGCTCCTCCCACAGCCAGGACATGCAGCACAGCCTGACACCTTTTTCCTTTGTTTGACAAGATCCTTTGTTGTAGGCCTGGGCGATTTGGCAAATAAAGAGATCATTATATATTTTGTCATATCATCTGATCTGGATTATTATCACGATTTCTTTTTAAAACTGATCGTTTTTAAGCATCTGTACTAAAAACTAAAGACACTAGAGATCAGTTCAACATTTTATTAACATACAAAGTAAATAACAAAGCAAATTGAAAAAGATAAACTTTTTAACTCAACAGTACAACAAATATAGATAAATACTAAGTAATACAAAGAATTAATTTACAGTCCTGAGTGTTTTTGCAGGTATGCAAGACCCAAAATAAACAAATTGCCCCCTCAGAGATAATGAAGATGCCTTAAAATCTTAACATTATATGATTTAGATGTATATGATACGATTGATTGCTTTGGTCTGGTGGCTGCGTCGCTAGTTGTAGCTTAACTGCTAATGCTACTCATGCCGTCGGCAGTGGCAGGCTGTGCAGACTCCGCTGACATTTTCATGCTTTCCGCATAATCACTGCACTTCTTTGTCTTTAGACTCTGGCTCTGATAAATGTACTCTGCTGAAACACCTCTGGATGTCTTCTCATCCCCTGCTCCTACAATCTGGGTTAATGTTTTGTTTTTAAAAAGGATTTAGATTTGTGTCACCTAATACAAGCAAATGGTTGCAAGGCTACAAATCTGAGCAGAAATAGTCCGTAGTTATTAAAGCACATCAACAAAACCCTTCGACATTTGGAGTACAAAAAACTAAGTGAACATAGAAGAACTGCAGGTGTTTTCTGCACCTGTACATTATCTAGATGAGCAGTGCAAGAGTATTAAAGAGCTGGCAGTAGGAAACAGTAAGATGCTGAATTTGCATGTAAAGGATAAGATATAATGATATAATGGCAGAGTGATATTTGTTTTTGAGGGGTAATATGATACCAATTGTTAGTAGTTCAGGGGGCTGATATCAAGGATGGATATAAATCAGCTATAAAAGTGAGAAACTTTCTGTCAACATTTAGAATTTGGAATATTTTTAACTCCAACACGAAGCTTTGTTGAAATGCCTTTGGCAAATTTTTAATCAAAACTGAGACTTGAAACAGCAGTGAAAACAGATTCAGAGGAAAAGACGGAACAAGACTACTTCCTGGTCATGAGTAATAAGGCTGGTGAGGAAATGCTAAAAACAGAAACTGCAGTGCCTCAAGTGTCTACTTGGGGCTGTCTGCAGAAGCACTAGAAACAACACACACTCATTCAAATAAGCCCATTTTGAGAGCAAACTTATTTAGAGTATACAGTATGGGGAGTGAATTTATCTGTTATGAGTTTGTTTTAAGGATATTTAATGTTGCTAAACTAGCGAATTAGAGACACAGCTAACATGACTTACAGGTGGGTACAATGTAGCTGTTTGCAGACTAAAGGCCCTCTGATAGGTTGACAAGAATTTCGCCAGAGCCAGTATTTCCAAAATGGCAACAGCCACAGATAAGCTTTCAAATCCAACAAATAGGTGACGTCAATACTACGTCCATCACCTATAACATTTTTAATTTATCAATCCACACAGAAGGCTGTTACAGATAATCAGCAAAGTGCCCAATATTGGCCAATCCTTTTTTTACTCTTAAGCACACAGTTTGGGATTAAAAAAGTGATTTCTGACATCAACCACAGGATGTCTCAAACAGGATTCAAACAAAGCCATGCATGCAATAATTGTTATCTATTTCTGTCTTCATTCCTTGGTTGGCTCGATAAAGACACAGAGTCAGAGTTCTGACATAGCCTAAAAAAACTCTGACAGTTCAGACCTTGCAGGATAAAAAGAGCTCAGCTCTGTGTGACTCTCTTTAAATGATAAAACCCTCTTTTGCTTTTCTTTTTGTTTCCTCTTTCCTGAGTTAAATTAATGATGTCTGTCAGCTCTCAGTGATGAAAATTAAAGCAGCAGGAGTGTTCAGACTTTAAAAAGGTGAAGTCGACACTCTGCTCGGCTCATTCTGTCAGCCGCAGGTAACTCCTGCGTCTTTCTCCTGTCATGGCGTCAGACTGCTGCTAACTCAGTCGGTGCAGAGTCTGATTGAGCAGATGTCACATGGACTAAATCACTCTGATCTCCTGAGGAAAGACAACATGCTTCAGTGGATTAATGCTTTACTAAAACTTCTGCTCCGCTGCTTTCACAGTCTAAGTGTCTTGTTGGGGAAAATGCACTCAAGTACTCGAGCCTTTTACCTCTGAGGGAATGTAATGTCTGCCAGAAGGACGTGGTGTGACTCAAGTCGGCTAGTTTGTAATTCTTCCATGTGGATTCATAAGCTCCTTTTACAAATAATGCAGCAGCAGGAAATCCGACTCTGAAATACCAAAGTGAAAATAAAGGAGGGTTTATCCTCTGAGAGCAGAAATGAGCTCTGCAGAATTAAAAAGAAAGACGTAATCAAGAGATAATGACACCTCTTTGTTATTAATTCAAATTCACCAAATACAACATGAAACATCAGCATTGTGTCTGCTTTTTAAAACGTCCAAATGAATAAACTCAAGATAAAAGAGCCACATTATGAGAACCCTTGTGGTGACATCTCATGTGAGGAAGTTTTACAGACGGAGGAGCAATTCCCTCAAAGTCTGAAGGTTTTAATTAGAAAAACTGAAGTAAAAAGACAGAGCAGGCAAGCAAATATTTTGGCAGATGAAAATCGCTGTCAAATTTTGCATTTAATGCTTCAATAGGTTGCAATTTGCCATTAAAAACAGATAAAAGGGAGAGGGCAAGGCAGATAAGTCTTGCAATAATTTTTTTTATGTGCACAATGGTGTTTCACAAATTGTATTTCTGACAACACTGTGATATATAGATATAGGGCTGGGCGATATGGCCTCAGATCAATATCATGATATATTGAGCAGTTCACCTCAATAACAATAAATGGACAATAACTAGTCCACAAGCTGTTGACCCTCTCCCACATTAACTTTGTCTACTTCAGCCGCTACAACTTTTGAACCATCCTCCAGCTCCTCACTGGGTGAAGCCACTCCAAGAACAGCACCCTCTGTTGATGGGCTGCAGTATAGATCATAAATCTCGCCTCCGCCAGCAAAGCTATGGAGCTGTGGACAAACTTTAGAAATTTATTACACAGAATATAAGTTTTTCTCCCCTCTGCTTGTGATGTTGACATGTCGTTACTGTAAGACTGGCTGTTTCAGCCGAGCGTCATCACAGCGACTCTCAGCGACTCTCCCGCCGAATGCATACAATGCTACTGCGCAAGTGGTGGAGTGCGTACAACGCTACAGCACAATGTTGGTTTCAGGAAGTGGAGAAAAAAACACAGAATTATCAAATCTGTATACTGGCAAAGGGCGGAACCAAGTTGTCCATAGTATATACAGTCTATGACCTACACACATCCAAAACCAACTTTTATTTATTTCCTTGACACAAAATATACCTATATGGGCAAAATGACATTTTTGGTATTGTCGTAAATTTCGGTATCGATAAATTTTCAGTTTATCACCCAGTCCTACTGTGATATTGAAATTTATGCACCACACAAATAAGTCCATAGTGTACCTGCACAATATTACCAAGAATATCTATGGCCACAGTAATCGTTTTCTTGGCATGATGACTGCTGCTGATCGAACTCAGGTTTTGTAGTTTACTCCTCAGTGGTGCACACCAACTACATGTCTCTGTTTTGTTACTCTGATCGGTCTGTCACAAATGTGATACACAGGTTTGCAAAATCACAGAAGGAAAAGCTCCAGAGAAATGCTGCACAAAAACCAAGCTGTCCACATGACGTCTACGCACCAACTCTTCCTCAGTCGCTTTCTTAGTTATAAAAATATTATCTATAACAGATAAGATGTTGACACAAAGGTTGGGTACTTGGACACATTAGTCCAGAATTAGAGTATAATTCTGTTGACTGGGGACCTTTCATGGACTGGCTGCTCTCTCGCAGTCTGCCTCTCTGCCAAGCTAACACTCTTTCTGTTCCAAAGCTCGAATTCTCAGTTTGGTGAAGCGACCAGAGGCCAATGGAGATCTGGGTCAGGAGCTGTTTTAGTGCTCCATGTTTTGTCACTCTGCTCCCAGAGGCTAAAGAGCACTGTGCCGATTCCAGAGCTGAATATTGATTGGCTTAGATAACCAGCGAATGCAGAGAAATGTCAGCGAAGGGCACCAAGGCCAGGCTGGCTTCTTACCAGGAACAGTCAGAGGAGTTGCCTCCTAAGGACGATGACAAACACTGGGCTTAAAGGCTGAACTCAAATTTTGAAAAAATTCAGTTTTTTTTTATAATGTCCATCCTTTCAAAATGGTACAAAACACTTTTATCCATATTTGACCGTCTCATTTCTGACTCAAAACATTGTCTCCTGCTTCACGGCTCTTTGTTGGTGTCAGCTGACTAACAGATTGTCATGTGTCATCACTCTTCACAGCTCATATTGACTTCTCTAAAGGCCCTTTTCACACATTTATTAAGCTTAATGTTACAAAAAGCCGCTCCTGATAATGAAACTTAATAAGAACTTTCCCTTCAAACCCTTCCCTTTAAGAACTAAACTGGATCCCAGTCAAGATAAAAGTTTTTGTCACAGAATATCTTTGACTTACAGAGAGCTCCTGAGGTGAAAACAAACAAATGTAAATGATTTTATGCAAAATAACCACTTCTTCCTTTTTCTTCTTTGTCTTTCTGGTGCATTTTATGCTGTTGGCAATGAAATACCTGAACATGTTTGTAAATAGTTTGTTCTGTGCAACTGGAAAAGTACATGCTCTGATAAATGCTGGAAAAATAGACCTCTCTGATCGACTGCAAAGTGAGAGCACACTGCACACGAGTTTATGAAAGGTGATGGTAATCATCTACAGGTAAAAAATAAATATGTATAAATTGTTAGTAAAAGTACTTGGGTGGTTGTAAATATACCTGAGTGGCCCATCAAGTACATATATTCTGGAGGCTCTTCCCTTTAAAGTTTGGCCTATAATTCATTTAGCAGTAAGGTCAATGAACAGCGTTTGTTATTACACCATAGTCAGAGACTATAATGTGTAACGCACAGGGTATAGTTTATTAAAAAAGTAGGTTGTATCCCCGCCTAAACAGATATTTTAAAAACTGTTTTTTCCCTCCATTTTCAGAAGCATCTTGTTCACACCAAGTGAAACAGATGAAATGCTCACTTGGCTGAATGTGCAAAAATGTGCATTAGTCTGCCACGTCAATTGTCAGAGACGAAAACTGGGGGCATGTATGCTGTGTCTTTTTGAGTGACTGCCAACTGTTAAAAGTTTTGTTTAGACTTTGTAAAAACTGGTGAAATAAAGCTATTTAGTTTGCCTCCTCTCTGCAGTATAATGATGAAGCAGAGCAAAGGTTCCCCTTTACATGTGCAGTTCTATCTGACAATACTGAGCAGACAGGAAATGGCAGTCTGCAGCAATGGTGCACAATGCACATAAATTTTTATGCACGAGTTGAGATTTTGATGCCAGCATAGATAAATGAATACATATATGTCAATGTTTCCCACAGGACAGGAATGTATGTGTGGTGGTGAGGGATTTGGGAAGCAGGAGGCTGGGGGTAATTTGCTGTGTGTTTGCAGACAACTCACAACACCCATGTGTGCTGCATATACTAATACATACAGAGTCCGAGGTAGTGCCATACAAAAAACGAAGCTAATTTTTAAGGTGGGGCGGCTTTTATTTTGCTGTGGCAGTGTGCCACAATCAATTACATGTAGGGGAAACCCTGCATGTTAACAGGGCCTAAAGAGCTGAATCCTCACTGCATCTGATCCTCAGCCTAAAGCGCATGCTTCAAACCCAAATTTCTCATCCTATCCCCCAGCAAATCCTGACATTTGACAAGCCGGGGCAAGCAAGCGTTTGACATTTTTCGACAAAAATGACTGTGTAAAGTAATAACTTGGAAAAAGGAGCAGCACCGCCCTCACAACAGGCTCCACAATAAAACCGTCATGAATTATTCAGGCTCTGATATCACTCCTGGAGGAGTTTCCCTCAGCTCCATGTTCTGTATCTCATCACACGACTCCCCGTAGAGAGGGAAATAATCATCAGTCAGCCGCAGCTCTGTTTCCGTGCCGGGTGTCTCATGAACAGACGACACAGTGTGCACTGCAGCAACAACACCGACTGGTAAAAGACAATTATGCAGAGCACACCTCCAGCTGAGAGACAGCGAGGAGGCGTGAGAAGGAGAGCTCCCGTAACATCTGTGCTCCTCTGCTACAAACCAGCCCAGTCAGGTTAAAAATAGACTTAGTGTGTGGATGAATGGAGGGGAAAGCCCGGCAGAAAAAGACGACTGGATGCTGAGTGGAGGATCTGACATGGATGAATGTGTCGGCTCTAAGGGGAGGAGAGAGGAAAAAAGTTTAATACTTGGTGCTTTTTGGAGGGGGTGGTACTGCAGGGAGGATTCAGAGGAGTGAGCCGAGGGGAGAGTTTGATTTCTTGGCTTCAGAACCCACAACAAAAAACTGTGAGAGGGTCACATAAGGCTGATTTCACATGTCAGCAAGTCAACTCGAAATTTATATGAGCAGGTATTCATGGGCCCCTTACTGTAAGTCTGCACTGACATTACAAAGCTCCACCATCAACACACCTCTGGATTGGTTTCCCAGTGTGGGCTTTTACGCTGCATCGGGGATCGTGATGGCTACACTGCCTGCTCCCCCTGCAATATACTGACACTCAGAGGTGGATCTACTGGGTCCCACTATTGTAGAGGCTTCAGGCAGATGTGAGAGACGTACATGATGACTGCAGAACAGCTCCATTTTTATTAGGCATGCATGCTAACAGATCATAGCCTTCACTCCGCTCAGATGCACGAGTGTCAGGCATGTCCATCAACTGCACCAACAAAATCATCTGGGAGGTTCCAGCAGGTGAGTCTAGGATAAAATGCATCAAAATATAATGAGCAAAAATAAAACAAGTGGGCTTTAACTTCATCATTTGATTTATCAAATAAGATCTGTTTACAGAGGGGATATTTCTCCCAGTGTATTCTCTCTTTTCGTCTTCCTCTTTTAATATCTCTAAACACTTGAATGTACATAAAGAACCTTTTTAATGTAAATAAGAGAGTTTAAACCCACACAACCATCCCTGTATGGAAACAAGTGATTAATACGAGTATTTATTTACATGAATTAATTATAATTCACAGTCAATTATGCACCACTTCTGCCTTTTCTGTAGAGAACTAATCTTTATGGCATTTAAAAAGCTTAAGCATTTTAAAAAATACATTTTATCACTTTAGGTTGAGTAAAAGTTAAAGGAAAGCAGTAACAAGAAAACCATCACAATGCTAGTTTTATTTAATATCACTCAGTCCTGGGGGGACTGCTCTGTTTGTGTCTGTCAGACAGGGATCTTTGTGTCCCTGTATTTCTTGACCTTGCTGAGTTTATTGCTTTCACTCTTTGGTTAAATCTAATATAGTTCTAAGTGTGCCTGTGTATAAATGACAAGGATATGGCCTTTTTTTCCACTGTGTTTTTTTTGGTTATTGTTCAGGCCGTCTGATGGCGAGGAGTGAAAGTGTCAGGACATTTGTTTCAGGTTTAATCTGCTGCAGAGATTTGATCCTGTTCACACACGACAGCATTAGAGGTCAGACGCTGATGGTGAGTGATCCGTCTCACGGGCGTTGGATCAAAACCAGGATAAAACTGTTTCTACGCTGACATTTCTTTGTATGAGATGAAAAGTGATGGAAAGACAAACTGACGCTGTTGCCTCAAAAACCTCTACACTTCTTCCCAAAAGCATGAGCACACCCAGCATTTTTTTGTCCAGAGGCAGATTTGTGTTTTCAGGAAAAAAGGGGCAGAGATCAGCAAAGAGGATGGGGGGATGTTATGATAAATACTTTCAGGCATATGAGCACATTTAACAGCACCAACACTGTCAGCATCTCTGACAAATGACACTCATGAGCAGTGAAGGATAGAGAAAACTTCCCTGCCCTCCAGCGAGTCATCATCAGCAGCCGAGCAGACCGTCCTCCGGAGGCAGAAACACAATTAGGCTTCGAGTCTGAGAGAGGAGCTGTGAACGGCCTCAGATCACCGTCCAGACTGACTGAGGGAGGTGCGAGCACCAACAGTTGTTTAGGGATTTAATTTTAAACAAAGCTTTGTTCATTTTCTTTAATTACCTTTTTTTAAAGTGAAGATCAGCTGTATATGGATGCAGCATAAAAGGCAGAGATGCCTCATGTCTTTGCAGATTTCCAATTATTCCACTCTGATTCGTGTGCATGTTCACTGATCTAAAACAGGGTTAATGTGTGTCACTTTCAGAGCGACAGATAAGCTGCACATCAAAAAATCACGCCCTGATGGCTTTTTCTCACGCTGCTCGAGATCGTTTATGTGCAGTCTGAATTTAGTCTGTTTGGTGCTGTGAAATATAAAGAGGCTGTAATGTTAGCGTTGGTGCAGGATGAGCATTTGCAATTCAAAGACTTGTGAATTTGGAGCTAAAAATGAGTATATAATGTATTAGTATTAATTTAGTGGATGTATGAAAGGCGTCAGGGGGTAAAATTATAGGTCATAACTAAAAAGCATCTCACATTTATTTACAAAACACACTTTTCATCATTGTGCAACACTGAATGTTTCATTTGCATCTCGTATCATGCAGGCCTGTTTAACACCAAACTGCAACCTCTGGCCATTAGGAATGAAGAAACTGCAGTTCACCGAGTGTCCACTTGAGGCTAACTGCAGAAGCACTAAAAAACCACATACACACTTATTTTAAAGAAAAGAAGGCCCATAATAAAATGCTTACAGCTGGGTTCAAAAAGCAGTTTTGGTCTTAAAAGCTTTTTTCTCACATAGCATACAAGGTTACGAGATTGGCGAATCAGACGTACAGCTGACTTACTGTCTCCACACACCAAGCGCGAGTAAAATCATCTGCGCAAATGAATTACATGTTAAGTCAATGCAAAGATGCGATTAGATGTTCCTACTACCCTGGCGATGCTGATGACGCACATTGGGTGGGAGCTGAAAATGTCTCAACATGAGCGGATATTTGCATCGCAATGACTAATCAGCACGAAGGTCGCCAGGTGACGTATGAAAACAGACGGTTGTTCAATGGTATCTAAACTGGAGGACAAACGGACCCTGTCGGTGCCCCGATTCATATACCTTTTCTTTCAATTACCGAAACCAGAATAAAAAAGCTCATCTGGAGGCGATTGGGTGAGGAGTTCAGATTACCTGGTAAATTGTGAAAAACCTTTGTCTATCACTTGATCCCGCTGGTTTAACTGGCAGGGATTACCGTTGAAATTACCGTTGACACGCGAATGAAGCGAGTAGATGATTTTACTCGCGCTTGGTGTAAGCGCCCCATTACAGGCTCGTAAAATGTAGCTGTATGTGAGGAGGCGTAAGGTCTCTTATTGGAATTACTAAACGTTAGGTTGAGTCAGCATTTCCACTATAGCATCTCCTGTAAATAGGCTTCAAAAGATAAAGCTTCAGAAACAAGTGAATCCAAAGAAACTACATCCCTGTATTTCATAGCCTGTGCTTAACATGCACACCGTGACAATTAAGTCATGGCTACTCTGATGATATCACCATTACACATTAGGGTGATGTCATAGTAGGCTGCATCGACAGGTGTACAGAGTTTTATGTCAGGACCACTGTCGCCCATTAATTACATTAGTTATATCTGGCTCTACGGCCCTTTCATCAGAACTCTCTGCTCTCCCATGTTTTTACATAAAATGCCAAAACCTGCAGCGAGGAGAGCACACCTCCCCTCAGCTTCATGTGCTTACATGAAAAGCCAAAACAGGGAGAGCATCGGCAAAGACCCCAAACAAAGAGTCAGTGACGACACATCTGAGACCGCTGAGATCAGACAAAGCAAGAAGAAGAGCAGGGATGGAGGGGGGCTGCAAACTGGTTGCAGAGGAAAAAGAGTGAGCATGCTGAAGCAGTTTGAATTAACACCCATTTTAGATATTTGCCAATTGGATGTGAGGACGGTGATCAGCTGAGCTGTGACCTGATATGGGCTGGCATGAGGATCAGCTGATGTACAGTAGGCTAAGCTTGACTTTCAGTGTCCTGCCTGAACTGACGAGACATGCTCGATTTAAAAAAAATAATAACAATTCCTTTCAGTTTGAATAAGAGAAACCCTGTCCACACCAAATTCACAAGATGATTCAGAAACACTTGAAAACACTCACACAAGCATGCCAAATAATGTGTAAACAGAAGAACGTCGTGTATGTGTGTTTGTGGAGGATTTCCATGACTGACAATTGGAAACAGCTTTCTTTACACTCTGTATGGAGTGGCAAAAAATATTATGGCTGATGTTATTCATCACTGCACCACAGATTTTACTTGCCATCATAAGTCATGGGAAACCGCAGGTATATCAGCATTTCCAGAACTTGATTAACAAGGATTAAGCAGCATTTTAAAAAGTCCCCACCGTGGAAGATGTAAGAAATGTCAGACCCCAGCCCCAGAGACGTGTCAAACATAAGCATCTCAGATCTCGGACCATCAGAAATGAAAATATCTTTAATAGTAAAACAGGCGGATTGCCCCTTTAAAATCTGACTTCCCTAGAAAAAGGTTTTTGGTAACGCATTGTGCTTAAATACAGCTTCAGAGATTTAAAAATAATCCTCCTAATATTCAATCTAATCCAGAGAGTGACCCACAAGCACAGAGGCGCCTCTCCTGCGAGGCTCAGTGGAACAATATCCTCCATCATCATCATCATCATCATCATCATCATCATCATCATCGATAATAATAACGCTCTGTGTGCCCGCTGTGCCGTGTCACAAACGGTCTCTGATCTGTGAAATGTGATGTCTCCTCATGCAGCAGTCAGAAATTTTGGGTGAATAAACCAAAGCTGGTGTGAGTGCAGAGACTGAGTGGCCTGAGGCTCCTGGTCGTCTGTGACTCTGCCTCCAAATTATGGATGTAGCAGCTAATTTAAAATGCTAAGACACATTTAAATCTAAAATCACAGCTGCATGTTTACTCAGTCTACGAGACAGTGTCTTGGAGGGGAGCCTGGTATGTCTTAAAATCCTGTTTTAGCTTCTCTAATACAGCTAAGAGCAACTATTATTTTCTGTTAATTTGGCAGCACAAAAGCAGAATGCCTCATGCCCAAAAAATGTGATGGATTCAAGTCTTTAAAACTGTGAACACAAGATCAAAAACACTTTTTACTCATTATTTGATAGGTATTTGTTTATTTGTTTTTATCCCCTATGGAGCACCTTAAGCATTGGGTGAGCTGATGTGAAAATATCAGGAAATATCCATGAAAATAATAAAAATATACATTTAAAACAACCTATTGTCCAATGTTTTAATAAGCCTAATTATCATGTGACTTACTCACGAGACCCTTATTGTGACCAGAATGCCTCATGCCCAAAAAATGTGATGGATTCAAGTCTTTAAAACTGTGAACACAAGATCAAAAACACTTTTTACTCATTATTTGATAGGTATTTGTTTGTTTGTTTTTATCCCCTATGGAGCACCTTAAGCATTGGGTGAGCTGATGTGAAAATATCAGGAAATATCCATGAAAATAATAAAAATATACATTTAAAACAACTTATTGTCCAATGTTTTAATAAGCCTAATTATCATGTGACTTACTCACGAGACCCTTATTGTAACGAGGATCATCAAGCCCTTAAGTTTTGCTTAAAATTGGAGACATGAAATGAATTGTGAGAAATAATCAGTTTTTTATTTTTCACAAGAACTAATTACAAATAGATTTAAAGTTAGTATTTTAAGGGCAGCTGTGATCAAGATAGATTTCAAGGTTTGATAAAGCTCAGCAATGGTCTCAGTCAGTGGATTTTTGTCTGACAGTTACACATGTTAATTTTATATGAATTAGTTAACCACTTAACACTTATTTCACCTCCTTTGGCTCCCCATGAAATTATCAAGGCTTTCACATTTTCACTTTCATGCCTATCATCCTGTTCACTTTAAAGCATGTAGGAGTTTTTGTGTATTTCTCATGGACTAATTCCTCACCTACTGGTGTGTTTTAATTTTTATGAAAAGAAAGCTGCCAACAGCCTGTTGAACAGCACAAACAGTGAATTTCAACTTAAGTTTCTGCCTCTGATGACGGAAACAGCCAATCAAAGCTCAGGGTTATGGTCTGACACCTTAAGCAGCTGATCTTTTTTAAAGTGGGGCCTATACCACCCCTGATCACCCCTCTGGAAACACCCCTGGACATGTTCAAACTCAATTTCAATGTAACTGCAGCTTTGATTCCGTGAAATCATTCACTGATTGTATTTTCTCAGTAAACTCCCTGCAAAATTCATCCAGATATGTTCCTTTCTTTAGATTAGGCACAGAAATGAGAATAAAGACTGTTGGGTTTGTGCTGCTGCTCCAGCATCAGTCTGCACTGACTGACTCAGAGCAGGTCAGTGAAGTTGAAAGTCAGCACTTAAAAAACCTAGAAGATTATAGTTGTTTTTTATATCATGCATATATCATAAAACAACTTTGAAAAGCAGCTGAGCTGCAGCATAGGTGGATAACTTCTTAGGAATAATGTTAAATACTTGTGATGCTCTATGTGTCTGCTATCTTCACTGCACAGTCCTGCAGGTTTATCAGTTCACAGTCAGCTCAAACTTACACACAGATCTACACTAACACACTTTATGAGCTCCACCATAATATTTGCATAACCTATAAAGTGCTCGCCTGTGTATTAGTACATGCACACATGTTGCCGAGAGACATAGTATGCACTGATCACCAGCAGCCCAAAGTGTGCATAAACGCCGCGCAGGTCCAATAAAAATGATGAAAAGTACCGACATTAGCTCATCATTTCCCAGTAGGCTCTCATGATTAAAAAATACAAGATTAAAGGTGGAATATCAGATTAGTCCCTGTCTAGCCTGCTAACATGTCTGCAGCCTCAGCATTTCACAGCACAGTGAGCTTCAGCAGAGCTACATGGAAACACTTCTTCACTGTTTCCTCTCTGTGCTGTAAACCTGTACTCTCTTTCTATGTTAGTGAGTGTTTCTGCATTAATGATGGAGCTGTGCCGTCTGCACTTATCCATCCATTCACACCGAGACTAGACCAGAGTTCAGCGCCGGCTTACCTTCCACAGCCCACACCGATGGCACCATCCACAGCAAATAAAATATTTCCATAATCAGAGTTATTCCAGGCTGTAGACTGTAAAAAGCCATCGCGCTCTTCACGCAGCCGTCCAGCAGCAGGCCATTGACTGTGCATTCATTCAGAGCTGCAGAGCATCATCCTCCTCATCCTCCTCCTCATCAGCAGCAGCAGCAGCGCGGAGGGGATAAAGGCAAAGAGCTGCCGCTCAGGCCAGTTTGGGCGAAACCAAGAGGAAGGGGGCGGAAAAACACCGGGAAACCAAACTATAATACACCGGCATCCCGCTGCAACCAGACTGGATCCTAATGCGAGGGTTTATCTGAGGAAAAAAAGACAAATGAATCAGGAAACCAACAAATTTCAGGTTTTTTACTCAATCTAAGTATTTCTTTCGTATCTAACTTTTTTCTCCAACGATGAAACAATTATAAGCATATGACAAGATTTAGTTTACAGCATGAATGCAGTTTCTAATGATTTTTAAATGATGATTAAATGATGAAGTCTAAGTCCAAAAACAACAAAAAAAGAAATGTCAGAATGTCAGCTCACATTTATGCAAGGTGTAGTTTTCACTTTCTATGAGCCTGTTTACAGAGGTTAGTAAAATCAGATCAAATAAAAAACAGAGATGAGCCTTGACAAAGAGTAATCACAGATGTTTTAGTCATTATATAATAAAACTTAAAGTCAATGTAAAAAGTAAGCCAGAACTTTTGGATAAAAGTCCAAAATGTGATATAAAAAGCTTCAGAAGTAACCCTTAAGATTGTTATTAATATTTTTTTTTACATCTGATCCATAATTGTGACTTACAGTTTGACTGACAACTTTGTTACGTTGGCTTATAATTTCATTATTTTATATCTTTTTTTTTTATTTATTTCACATTTTCATGTTTTTTAAATCTATTTTTGACTCATTAGTAACTCAACTCAGCACCAAGGAGGGAACAGTACTTACAGAAAATGGCTGTTTTCACAGTTGTAGAGAAGCTGCAACATCAAGCTCCTTCAGTGAGTAAAATAAAAAAATAAAGAAAAAAGGAAAAACTAGGGCCCCGTTGGGGCACTGGCGGGCCCGAGCCGCGTTGCGCCGCCCCCAGTGCGACCGCCTCCCCCTCCCGATCGCGTCACACTCAAGGTCCAAAGATGGTGTGCGCACTTGTCTGTGGTCATTTCCCATTATAATGAATGGGAGGCGCAGTTTCTACCAAAACACTCGCTGCAGACAAACTACATGTCCTATTTGAAAAAAGTCTGGACCATGAGTGAGGGCACAAACACAGCTAGGATATATCCAAACGGCAAGTTGCTCCTCGTTACGGTGTTGCCGGGAGAGCGATGCGATTGAGCCATTGAGTGATGGGCAGGAAAAACTTGACTGTTTCTCCTGCCATGGGGGATGGGGGATGGGAGGGGGGAAAGGGATGTGGATTCTTTTAAGAATGTGGATATTTGGGTCATCTTTGGCGCCCCCTAGAACGTAAACCGTGGGGTGCAGCGTCATGATTTTTAAAACTTTGAATGGCCATGGGGTGTAGATTGGCCTGAGCAAATTTGGTGTCAGTGGGACGAAAGCCTTAGGAGGAGTTAGCCACATTCCAATGTGTGCTAATCGGCAAAAAATGCAAAATAGCCCTTTAACCGTACATTTTACAGATACGCGCGCATTGACTTTTTCGTAGATCTAATTGAGATACATGTGTGTGTCAAATTTTGTGTCAATATGACAAAGCATACAGGTATGACAGTCAACAATGTGTATTTTCACCTTATGGGACAAGAAAAAATGGACTTTTTTCTCCTGCCATGGGGGGGCGCTCTTTTAGGGAGTAAAAATTCCTTCACAAATGTGTTGATGGCTGGACATTGCATCATCCTAGAAAACTTGGAGGCCAGAGAGGACAAAAATAAAAAGTTATAAGACTTTTAAATATGTGGATTTTAGGGTTATCTTTGGCGCCCCCTAGAACCTAAACCGTGGGGTGCAGCGTCATGATTTGAATAACTTTTAATGGCCATGGGGTGTAGATTGGCCTGAGCAAATGTGGTGCCGGTTGAACGAAAGCCTTCGGAGGAGTTAGCGAAATTCCAATGTGTGCGGATCGGCAAAAAATGCGCAATAACCCTTTAACCGTACATTTGACAGATACGCCCGCACTGACTTTTTTGTAGATCTTATTGAGATACATGTGTGTGTCAATTTTTGTGTAATTTTGACAAAGCGTACAGGCGTGACAGTCAATAGTGTGAATTTTCACCTTATGGAACAAGAAAAAATGGACTTTTTTCTCCTGCCATGGGGGGGCGCTCTTTTGGGGAGTAAAAATTCCTTCACAAATGTGTTGATGGCTGGACATTGCATCATCCTAGAAAACTTGGAGGCCAGTGAGGGCAAAAATAAAAAGTTATAAGACTTTGAAATATGTGGATTTTAGGGTTATCTTTGGCGCCCCCTAGAACATAAACCGTGGGGTGCAGCGTCATGATTTGAATAACTTTTAATGGCCATGGGGTGTAGATTGGCCTGAGCAAATGTGGTGCCGGTGGAACGAAAGCCTTCGGAGGAGTTAGCGAAATTCCAATGTGTGCGGATCGGCAAAAAATGCGAAATAACCCTTTAACCGTACATTTGACAGATACGCCCGCACTGACTTTTTTGTAGATCTTATTGAGATACATGTGTGTGTCAATTTTTGTGTCATTTTGACAAAGCGTACAGGCGTCAGGTGAATTTTACACCTTAGGGGGCGCTATGGAGCCATTTTGCATTGTATTGTTTGGGCGACTTCAGAATATCAAATTTTTCACCAGGCCCGGTCGTCCTGCCAAATTTCATGAGTTTTCGCCAGTGGGAAGTGGGCCATTTTCCAGTTCAAAGGGGAGGAAAAATAATAACTAGGGCCCCGGTGGGGCACTGTCGGGCCCGAGCCGCGTCGCGCCCTCCAGCGCGACCGCCTCCACCTCCCGATCACGTCACACTCTAGGTCCAAAGATGGAGTGCGCACTTGTCTGTGGTCATTTCCCATTATAATGAATGGGAGGCGCAGTTTCTACCAAAACACTCGCTGCAGACAAACTACATGTCCTATTTGAAAAAAGTCTGGACCATGAGTGAGGGCACAAACACAGCTAGGATATATCCAAATGGCAAGTTGCTCCTCCTTTCGCTTTTGCCGAGAGAGCGATGCGATTGAGCCATTGAGCGATGGGCAGGAAAAACTTGACTTTTTCTCCTGCCATGGGGGGAGGGGGGGGGATGTGGATTCTTTTAAGAATGTGGATATTTGGGTCATCTTTGGCGCCCCCTAGAACGTAAACCGTGGGGTGCAGCGTCATGATTTTTACAACTTTGAATGGCCATGGGGTGTAGATTGGCCTGAGCAAATTTGGTGTCAGTGGGACGAAAGCCTTCGGAGGAGTTAGCCACATTCCGATGTGTGCGAATCGGCAAAAAATGCAAAATAGCCCTTTAACCGTGCATTTTACAGATATTTGCGCATGACTTTTTCATAGATCTTATTGAGATACACGTGATTGTCAAATTTTGTGTCATTTTGACAAAGCGTACAGGCGTGACACTCAACAATGTGTATTTTCACCTTATGGGACAAGAAAAAATGGACTTTTTTCTCCTGCCATGGGGGGGGCGCTCTTTTGGGGAGTAAAAATTCCTTCACAAATGTGTTGATGGCTGGACATTGCATCATCCTAGAAAACTTGGAGGCCAGTGAGGACAAAAATAAAAAGTTATAAGACTTTTAAGAATGTGGATTTTTGGGTTATCTTTGGCGCCCCCTAGAACCTAAACCGTGGGGTGCAGCGTCATGATTTGTACAACTTTGAATGGCCATGGGGTGTAGATTGGCCTGAGCAAATTTGGTGCCGGTGGAACGAAAGCCTTCGGAGGAGTTAGCGAAATTCCAATGTGTGCGGATCGGCAAAAAATGCGAAATAGCCCTTTAACCGTACATTATACAGATACGCGCTCTTTGACTTTTTCGTAGATCTTATTGAGATACACGTGTGTGTCAAATTTTGTGTCAATATGACAAAGCGTTCAGGCATGACACTCAACAATGTGTATTTTCACCTTAGGGGACAAGAAAAAATGGACTTTTTTCTCCTGCCATGGGGGGGCGCTCTTTTGGGGAGTAAAAATTTCTTCACAAATGTGTTGATGGCTGGACATTGCATCATCCTAGAAAACTTGGAGGCCAGTGAGGACAAAAATAAAAAGTTATAAGACTTTTAAGACTGTGGATTTTTGGGTTATCTTTGGCGCCCCCTAGAATGTAAACCGTGGGGTGCAGCGTCATGATTTGTACAACTTTGAATGGCCATGGGGTGTAGATTGTCCTGAGCAAATTTGTTGCCGGTGGAACGAAAGCCTTCGGAGGAGTTAGCGAAATTCCAATGTGTGCGGATCGGCAAAAAATGCGAAATAGCCCTTTAACCGTACATTTGACAGATACGCCCGCACTGACTTTTTTTTAGATCTTATTGAGATACACATGTGTGTCAAATTTTGTGTCATTTTGACAAAGCGTACAGGCGTCAGGTGAGTTTTCACCATAGGGGGCGCTATGGAGCCATTTTTCATTTTTTTGTTTGGGCGACTTCAGAATATCGAATTTTTCACCAGGCCCGGTCGTCCTGCCAAATTTCCTGAGTTTTCGCCAGTGGGAAGTGGGCCATTTTCCAGTTTAAAGCGGAGGAAAAATAACGAAAGAAGAATCCATCAGGAACAAGAGGGCTCTCGCAGCTGCTTAGCAGCTACGCTCGGGCCCTAATAACAAACTAGGGCCCCGGTGGGGCACTGTCGGGCCCGAGCCGCGTCGCGCCGCCCCCAGTGCGACCGCCTCCCCGTCCCGATCGAGTCACACTCAAGAACCAAAGATGGTGTGCGCACTTGTCTGTGGTCATTTCCCATTATAATGAATGGGAGGCGCAGTTTCTACCAAAACACTCGCTGCAGACAAACTTCATGTCCTATTTGAAAAAAGTCTGGACCATGAGTGAGGGCACAAACACAGCTATGATATATCGAAATGCCAGGTTGCTCCTCCTTACGGTGTTGCCTGGAGAGCGATGCGATTGAGCCATTGAGCGATGGGCAGGAAAAACTTGACTTTTTCTCCTGCCATAGGGGGGGATGTGGATTCTTTTAAGAATGTGGATTTTTGGGTCATCTTTGGCGCCCCCTAGAACGTAAACCGTGGGGTGCAGCGTCATGATTTTTACAACTTTGAATGGCCATGGGGTGTAGATTGGCCTGAGCAAATTTGGTGTCAGTGGGACGAAAGCCTTAGGAGGAGTTAGCCACATTCCAATGTGTGCGAATCGGCAAAAAATGCAAAATAGCCCTTTAACCGTACATTTGACAGATACGCGCGAATTGACTTTTTTGTAGATCTTATTGAGATACATATGTGTGTCAATTTTTGTGTCAATATGATAAAGCGTACAGGCGTGACAGTCAATAGTGTGAATTTCCACCTTAGGGGACAAGAAAAAATGGACTTTTTTCTCCTGCCATGGGGGGCGCTCTTTTGGGGAGTAAAAATTCCTTCACAAATGTGTTGATGGCTGGACATTGCATCATCCTAGAAAACTTGGAGGCCAGTGAGGACAAAAATAAAAAGTTATAAGACTTTTAAATATGTGGATTTTAGGGTTATCTTTGGCGCCCCCTAGAACCTAAACCGTGGGATGCAGCGTCATGATTTGAATAACTTTTAATGGCCATGGGGTGTAGATTGGCCTGAGCAAATGTGGTGCCGGTGGAACGAAAGCCTTCGGAGGAGTTAGCGAAATTCCAATGTGTGCGGATCGGCAAAAAATGCGGAATAACCCTTTAACCGTACATTTGACAGATACGCGCGCATTGACTTTTTCGTAGATCTTATTGAGATACATGTGTGTGTCAATTTTTGTGTCATTTTGCCAAAGCGTACAGGTGTTACACTCAACAATGTGTATTTTCACCTTAGGGGACAAGAAAAAATTGACTTTTTTCTCCTGCCATGGGGGGGCGCTCTTTTGGGGAGTAAAAATTCCTTCACAAATGTGTTGATGGCTGGACATTGCATCATCCTAGAAAACTTGGAGGCCAGTGAGGGCAAAAATAAAAAGTTATAAGACTTTTAAATATGTGGATCTTAGGGTTATCTTTGGCGCCCCCTAGAACCTAAACCTTGGGGTGCAGCGTCATGATTTGAATAACTTTTAATGGCCATGGGGTGTAGATTGGCCTGAGCAAATGTGGTGCCGGTGGAACGAAAGCCTTCGGAGGAGTTAGCGAAATTCCAATGTGTGCGGATCGGCAAAAAATGCGAAATAACCCTTTAACCGTACATTTTACAGATACGTGGCCATTGACTTTTTCGAAGATCTTATGTAAATACACGTGTATGTAAAATTTTGTGTCAATACGACAAAACATACAGGCGTAGCACTCAACAATGTGTATTTTCACCTTAGTGGACAAGAAAAAATGGACTTTTTTCTCCTGCCATGGGGGGGCGCTCTTTTGGCGAGTAAAAATTCCTTCACAAATGTGTTGATGGCTGGACATTGCATCATCCTAGAAAACTTGGAGGCCAGTGGGGACAAAAATAAAAAGTTATAAGACTTTTAAATATGTGGATTTTACGGTTATCTTTGGCGCCCCCTAGAACCTAAACCGTGGGGTGCAGCGTCATGATTTGAATAACTTTTAATGGCCATGGGGTGTAGATTGGCCTGAGCAAATGTGGTGCCGGTGGAACGAAAGCCTTCGGAGGAGTTAGCGAAATTCCAATGTGTGCGGATCGGCAAAAAATGCGAAATAACCCTTTAACCGTACATTTGACAGATACGCCCGCACTGACTTTTTTGTAGATCTTATTGAGATACATGTGTGTGTCAATTTTTGTGTCATTTTGACAAAGCGTACAGGCGTGACAGTCAATAGTGTGAATTTTCACCTTAGGGGGCGCTATGGAGCCATTTTGCATTTTCTTGTTTGGGCGACTTCGGAATATCAAATTTTTCACCAGGCCCGGTCGTCCTGCCAAATTTCATGAGTTTTCGCCAGTGGGAAGTGGGCCATTTTCCAGTTCAAAGGGGAGGAAAAATAATACTAGGACCCCGTTGGGGCACTGGCGGGCCCGAGCTGTGTCGCGTCCCCCCCCCAACGCGCTGCCTCCCCGTCCCATTTGTGTCCTCTGGCCATCGACCTCTCTGGTAACGCCCATCTCTGCAAAGACCCTTTTCCTTCATCGGCGTTTGCTGTTCTTCCTGCCAGTGCGTGTTGCTTTCACTTACACTTGCCACAGCCAGCCTCGTGAGTGCCTAGCCTATTGGATATCACTGTCACCTACACAGGACAGTCATTACCTTTCTATTAATACTTTGTTTTTTAATTTCACATTAATTTCCATATTGTATAAACAACTGGAAAAAACTTGAGCCCCTGCCCCTGTATAATCATGTGCACGTCTTTGTTCTAGCTCTAAGGTGAATCTTCACTGCTCATGTTCTCCTCAGAAGCAGTCACCTCACTCCCCTCAGGTTACTGTACACATGCACCAACTGCCTGCTTCAGGTTTGGATGGAGCTTCATGGTTGTCTTTTGGAGAAATGAGCAGTAAAGTTGTGTTTGAAATTTGATTTTTTTCAGGGGCAAAAGGACCCTCTGCATTCTTGTCAAATATGTAAATAGCATGTTTTTGCAGGTGCTAAAAACCAGACTCTGAGTGTGTGTGTGTGTGTGTGTGTGTGTGTGTGTCTGTGTGTGTGTGTGTGTGTGTGTGTGTGTGTGTGTGCGTTCAAGTCACATGACATATTTAACCGGATGTAGCTGCAAGACGGAGCCTCGTTGACTCTCCGTTTCAATTTATCTCAAAAGTGAGGACCTCAACCTATATACCAGTTTTTAAATTGTGTTGATAGGCCAAATAAAACCAGAGTTATGATAAATTATGTCCGCGATACTTTTTTTCTGCTTATTTTGATCACGTTCGGCGCTCGATCGCGCTGTATGAGACAGGAAAACATAGCATGCAGACATTAGCGACAGGTCTTACAGGCGGAAAAGGCTTGCCAAAGGAAAAAAAAAACACACCACAACATCTCTCCTATTGGTGGAAAACTTCACCACAACAACCAATCCAAAATTATATGGTGACTGATTGACAAGGGGCGGGAACTTACGTTCTTCCTGCAATATGAGAAGGGAGGGAGGGACTCTCAGCAGGGATGCAGTCTGGGACACGTAGTTGCAAACCTAGCGACTTTGTTGTTAGATTCAATGACTTTTCAGACCCCCTAACAACTTTTTTTTAGAAAGAAAGGGACTTTTATCGACTTCTTCTGGAGTTTAGAGACTCTGACATGAAGCAGGCTTTCCTTACTGAGGAGTTAGCAACGCTGCTAAGGGTGCAGAGCCACACATGCGCTCAGAGCTCTGCATGGGAGACTGAAGCTGACAGAGCTGCAGCAGTTAGCAGGTTTCACCCTCAGAGACCACCAGGGGTTCATGTTGAGGCATTTTCAGTTTTTTTTTTTTTTTTTTGCCATAGACACTGTCAGCACAATCTGCAGTTACACTAACAAAAATGCTGCAAAAAACAAAGAATTATGGAAAAATTACACATGGACTAACATAGAGGAGGATCTACACAAGTTTTTTACATCATGTTTTACATCATGCATCATTTACATCATGTTTTTTTGTAGTGGCATAAATAAAAAGTGACATTTGTGAGACTATACAGTGTTTTGTAAATAATTTTACAAAGAACACCTGGGCCATGGCCTGCATTTTGATGTCAATAGAGGTAAATTACTATGTTCTTTGTTAAAAATTTGCATATGTTTTGAAGTTTACAATTTTTATTTGAAGTTTAAGTTTTAAAAACAGTTCATCACACATATTTGTGGTTTTCACAGTAAAAACGTTACTTTTTTCCACTCGGATTTTATGTTTTGTGTGTGAATTTGGGTCCAATGTGTAAATATAGTATGTCAAAATGATAAAATAACTGTAAATTGACACAGGTGAGGTTGTGCTGAAAAAAATGATACCAGGCAAGGCAAGGTAAAAATTTTGTAAGAGGAAATATAAAGGTAAAATCTAAAGTAGTCAAAAACGGCCAATAGTGACTCACAGACTCCACAGACAAGTCCCTTTGGCGCCACTCAGTGGGCAAAACTACTTTGTCTACTGTAATGTATATTTGGGTCATCTTTGGCGCCCCCTAAAACGTAAACCGTGGGGTGCAGCGTCATGATTTTTACAACTTCGAATGGCCATGGAGTGTAGATTGGCCTGAGCAAATTTGGTGTCAGTGGGACGAAAGCCTTAGGAGGAGTTAGCGAAATTCCAATGTGTGCGAATCGGCAAAAAATGCAAAATAGCCCTTTTACCGTACATTATACAGATACGCGCTCTTTGACTTTTTCGTAGATCTAATTGAGATACACATGATTGTCAATTTTTGTGTCATTTTGCCAAAGCGTACAGGCGTGACAGTCAACAATGTGTATTTTCACCTTAGGGGACAAGAAAAAATGGACTTTTTTCTCCTGCCATGGGGGGGCGCTCTTTTGGGGAGTAAAAATTCCTTCACAAATGTGTTGATGGCTGGACATTGCATCATCCTAGAAAACTTGGAGGCCAGTGAGGACAAAAATAAAAAGTTATAAGACTTTTAAAAATGTGGATTTTTGGGTTATCTTTGGCGCCCCCTAGAACGTAAACCGTGGGGTGCAGCGTCATGATTTGAATAACTTTTAATGGCCATGGGGGGTAGATTGGCCTGAGCAAATGTGGTGCTGGTGGAACGAAAGCCTTCGGAGGAGTTAGCGAAATTCCAATGTGTGCGGATCGGCAAAAAATGCGGAATAACCCTTTAACCGTACATTTGACAGATACGCGCGCATGGACTTTTTTGTAGATCTTATTGAGATACATGTGTGTGTCAATTTTTGTGTCATTTTGACAAAGCGTACAGGCGTGACACTCAACAATGTGTATTTTCACCTTAGGGGACAAGAAAAAATGGACTTTTTTCTCCTGCCATGGGGGGGCGCTCTTTTGGCGAGTAAAAATTCCTTCACAAATGTGTTGATGGCTGGACATTGCATCATCCTAGAAAACTTGGAGGCCAGTGAGGGCAAAAATAAAAAGTTATAAGACTTTTAAATATGTGGATTTTAGGGTTATCTTTGGCGCCCCCTAGAACCTAAACCGTGGGGTGCAGCGTCATGATTTGAATAACTTTTAATGGCCATGGGGTGTAGATTGGCCTGAGCAAATGTGGTGCCGGTGGAACGAAAGCCTTCGGAGGAGTTAGCGAAATTCCAATGTGTGTGGATCGGCAAAAAATGCGAAATAGCCCTTTAACCGTACATTTGACAGATACGCCCGCACTGACTTTTTTGTAGATCTTATTGAGATACATGTGTGTGTCAATTTTTGTGTCATTTTGACAAAGCGTACAGGCGTGACAGTCAATAGTGTGAATTTTCACCTTAGGGGGCGCTATGGAGCCATTTTGCATTTTCTTGTTTGGGCGACTTCGGAATATCAAATTTTTCACCAGGCCCGGTCGTCCTGCCAAATTTCATGAGTTTTCGCCAGTGGGAAGTGGGCCATTTTCCAGTTCAAAGGGGAGGAAAAAGAAAAAAGAAACAAAGAAAAACCACTTGGGGAATAATAGGGCTCTCGCAGCTGCTTAGCAGCTACGCTCGGGCCCTAAATAATAATAACAAAAGAAGGAAACTACAGGAACAAGAGGGCTCTCGCAGCTGCTTAGCAGCTACGCTCGGGCCCTAACTAGGGCCCCGTTGGGGCACTGGCGGGCCCGAGCCGTGTCGCGCCGCCCCCAACATGACCGCCTCTCCCTACCGATCGCGTCACACTCAAGGTCCAAAGATGGTGTGCGCACTTGTCTGTGGTCATTTACAATTATAATGAATGGGAGGCGCAGTTTCTACCAAAACGCTCGCCGCAGACAAACTACATGTCCTATTTGAAAAGGACTGGACCATGAGTGAGGGCACAAACACAGCTAGGATATATCCAAATGGCAAGTTGCTCCTCCTTTCGGTTTTGCCGAGAGAGCGATGTGTTTGAGTCATTGAGCGATGGGCAGGAAAAACTTGACTTTTTCTCCTGCCATGGGGGGGCGCTCTTTTAGGGAGTAAAAATTCCTTCACAAATGTGTTGATGGCTAGACATTGCATCATCCTAGAAAACTTGGAGGCCAGTGAGGACAAAAATAAAAAGTTATAAGACTTTTAAGAATGTGGATTTTTGGGTTATCTTTGGCGCCCCCTAGAACATAAACCGTGGGGTGCAGCGTCATGATTTTTACAACTTTGAATGGCCATGGGGTGTAGATTGGCCTGAGTAAATTTGGTGTCAGTGGAACGAAAGCTTTAGGAGGAGTTAGCCACATTCCAATGTGTGCGAATCGACCAAAAATGCGAAATAGCCCTTTAACCGTACATTTTACAGATACGCGCCCATTGACTATTTCGTAGATCTTATTGAGAAACACGTGATTGTCAAAGTTTGTTTCAATATGACAAAGCGTACAGGCGTGACACTCAATAATGTGAATTTTCACCTTAGGGGGGAAGAAAAACTGGACTTTTTTCTCCTGCCATGGGGGGGCGCTCTTTTGGGGAGTAAAAATTCCTTCACAAATGTGTTGATGGCTAGACATTGCATCATCCTAGAAAACTTGGAGGCCAGTGAGGACAAAAATAAAAAGTTATACGACTTTTAAGAATGTGGATTTCTGGGTTATCTTTGGCGCCCCCTAGAACGTAAACCGTGGGATGCAGCATCATGATTTGTACAACTTTTAATGGCCATGGGGTGTAGATTGGCCTGAGCAAATTTGGTGCCGGTGGAACGAAAGCCTTCGGAGGAGTTAGCGAAATTCCAATGTGTGCGGATCGGCAAAAAATGCGAAATAGCCCTTTAACCGTACATTTGAGAGATACGCCCGCACTGACTTTTTTGTAGATCTTATTGAGATACACGTGTGTGTCAAATTTTGTGTCATTTTGACAAAGCGTACAGGCGTGACACTCAATCATGTGAATTTTTCACCTTAGGGGGCGCTATGGAGCCATTTTGCATTTGATTTTTTGGGCGACTTCAGAATATCGAATTTTTCACCAGGCCCGGTCGTCCTGCCAAATTTCATGACTTTTCACCAGTGGGAAGTGGGCCATTTTCCAGTTCAAAGGGGCAGAAAAATAACTAGGGCCCCGGTGGGGCACTGTCGGGCCCGAGCCGCGTCGCGCCGCCCCCAGCGCGACCGCCTCCCCTTCCCGATCGCGTCACACTCAAGGTCCAAAGATGGTGTGCGCACTTGTCTGTGGTCATTTCCCATTATAATGAATGGGAGGCGCAGTTTCTACCAAAACGCTCGCTGCAGACAAACTACATGTCCTATTTGAAAAAAGTCTGGACCATGAGTGAGGGCACAAACACAGCTAGTATATATCCAAATGGCAAGTTGCTCCTCCTTTCGGTTTTGCAGAGAGAGCGATGCGTTTGAGCCATTGAGCGATGGGCAGGAAAAACTTGACTTTTTCTCCTGCCATGGGGGGGCGCTCTTTTGGGGAGAAAAAATTCCTTCACAAATGTGTTGATGGCTGGACATTGCATCATCCTAGAAAACTTGGAGGCCAGTGAGGACAAAAATAAAAAGTTATAAGACTTTTAAAAATGTGGATATTTGGGTCCTCTTTGGCGCCCCCTAGAACGTAAACTGTGGGGTGCAGCGTCATGATTTGTACAACTTTGAATGGCCATGGGGTGTAGATTGACCTGAGCAAATTTGAAGCCGATGGGACAAAAGATTTAGGAGGAGTTAGCGAAATTCCAATGTGTGCGGATCGGCAAAAAATGCGAAATAACCCTTTAACCGTACATTTGACAGATACGCCCGCACTGACTTTTTTGTAGATCTTATTGAGATACATGTGTGTGTCAAATTTTGTGTCATTTTGACAAAGCGTAAAGGCGTGACAGTCAACAATGTGTATTTTCGCCTTAGGAGACAAGAAAAAATGGACTTTTTTCTCCTGCCATGGGGGGGCGCTCTTTTGGCGAGTAAAAATTCCTTCACAAATGTGTTGATGGCTGGACATTGCATCATCCTAGAGAACTTGGAGGCCAGTGAGGACAAAAATAAAAAGTTATAAGACTTTTAAGACTGTGGATTTTTGGGTTATCTTTGGCGCCCCCTAGAACGTAAACCGTGGGGTGCAGCGTCATGATTTGTACAACTTTTAATGGCCATGGGGTGTAGATTGGCCTCAGCAAATGTGGTGCCTTTGGAACGAAAGCCTTCGGAGGAGTTAGCGAAATTCCAATGTGTGCGGATCGGCAAAAAATGCGAAATAGCCCTTTCACCGTACATTTGACAGATACGCCCGCACTGACTTTTTTGTAGATCTTATTGAGATACATGTGTGTGTCAATTTTTGTGTCAATATGACAAAGCGTAAAGGCGTGACAGTCAATAGTGTGAATTTTCGCCTTAGGAGACAAGAAAAAATGGACTTTTTTCTCCTGCCATGGGGGGGCGCTCTTTTGGGGAGTAAAAATTCCTTCAAAAATGTGTTGATGGCTGGACATTGCATCATCCTAGAAAACTTGGAGGCCAGTGAGGACAAAAATAAAAAGTTATACGACTTTTAAGAATGTGGATTTCTGGGTTATCTTTGGCGCCCCCTAGAACGTAAACCGTGGGATGCAGCGTCACGATTTGTACAACTTTTAATGGCCATGGGGTGTAGATTGGCCTGAGCAAATTTGGTGCCGGTGGAACGAAAGCCTTCGGAGGAGTTAGCGAAATTCCAATGTGTGCGGATCGGCAAAAAATGCGAAATAGCCCTTTAACCGTACATTTGACAGATACGCCCGCACTGACTTTTTTGTAGATCTTATTGAGATACACGTGTGTGTCAAATTTTGTGTCATTTTGACAAAGCGTACAGGCGTGACACTCAATCATGTGAATTTTTCACCTTAGGGGGCGCTATGGAGCCATTTTGCATTTGATTGTTTGGGCGACTTCAGAATATCGAATTTTTCACCAGGCCCGGTCGTCCTGCCAAATTTCATGACTTTTCACCAGTGGGAAGTGGGCCATTTTCCAGTTCAAAGGGGCAGAAAAATAATAAGAAGAAGAAGAAGAAAGAAGAATCCATCAGGAATAATAGGGCTCTCGCAGCTGCTTAGCAGCTACGCTCGGGCCCTAACTAGGGCCCCGGTGGGGCACTGTCGGGCCCGAGCCGCGTCGCGCCGCCCCCAGCGCGACCGCCTCCCCCTCCCGATCGCGTCACACTCAAGGTCCAAAGATGGTGTGCGCACTTGTCTGTGGTCATTTCCCATTATAACGAATGGGAGGCGCAGTTTCTACCAAAACGCTCGCTGCAGACAAACTACATGTCCTATTTGAAAAAAGTCTGGACCATGAGTGAGGGCACAAACACAGCTAGTATATATCCAAATGGCAAGTTGCTCCTCCTTTCGGTTTTGCAGAGAGAGCGATGCGTTTGAGCCATTGAGCGATGGGCAGGAAAAACTTGACTTTTTCTCCTGCCATGGGGGGCGCTCTTTTGGGGAGAAAAAATTCCTTCACAAATGTGTTGATGGCTGGACATTGCATCATCCTAGAAAACTTGGAGGCCAGTGAGGACAAAAATAAAAAGTTATAAGACTTTTAAAAATGTGGATATTTGGGTCCTCTTTGGCGCCCCCTAGAACGTAAACTGTGGGGTGCAGCGTCATGAGTTGTACAACTTTGAATGGCCATGGGGTGTAGATTGACCTGAGCAAATGTGGTGCCTTTGGAACGAAAGCCTTCGGAGGAGTTAGCGAAATTCCAATGTGTGCGGATCGGCAAAAAATGCGAAATAGCCCTTTCACCGTACATTTGACAGATACGCCCGCACTGACTTTTTTGTAGATCTTATTGAGATACATGTGTGTGTCAATTTTTGTGTCAATATGACAAAGCGTAAAGGCGTGACAGTCAATAGTGTGAATTTTCGCCTTAGGAGACAAGAAAAAATGGACTTTTTTCTCCTGCCATGGGGGGGCGCTCTTTTGGGGAGTAAAAATTCCTTCACAAATGTGTTGATGGCTGGACATTGCATCATCCTAGAAAACTTGGAGGCCAGTGAGGACAAAAATAAAAAGTTATACGACTTTTAAGAATGTGGATTTCTGGGTTATCTTTGGCGCCCCCTAGAACGTAAACCGTGGGATGCAGCGTCATGATTTGTACAACTTTTAATGGCCATGGGGTGTAGATTGGCCTGAGCAAATTTGGTGCCGGTGGAACGAAAGCCTTAGGAGGAGTTAGCGAAATTCCAATGTGTGCGGATCGGCAAAAAATGCGAAATAGCCCTTTAACCGTACATTTGACAGATACGCCCGCACTGACTTTTTTGTAGATCTTATTGAGATACACGTGTGTGTCAAATTTTGTGTCATTTTGACAAAGCGTACAGGCGTGACACTCAATCATGTGAATTTTTCACCTTAGGGGGCGCTATGGAGCCATTTTGCATTTGATTTTTTGGGCGACTTCAGAATATCGAATTTTTCACCAGGCCCGGTCGTCCTGCCAAATTTCATGACTTTTCACCAGTGGGAAGTGGGCCATTTTCCAGTTCAAAGGGGCAGAAAAATAATAAGAAGAAGAAGAAGAAAGAAGAATCCATCAGGAATAATAGGGCTCTCGCAGCTGCTTAGCAGCTACGCTCGGGCCCTAAATAGCCCTTTAACCGTACATTTGACAGATACGTGCGCGCAGACTTTTTTGTAGATCTTATTGAGATACACGTGTGTGTCAAATTTTATGTCAATATGACAAAGCGTATAGGCGTGACACTCAACAATATGTATTTTCACCTTAGGGGACAAGAAAAAATGGACTTTTTTCTCCTGCCATGGGGGGGCGCTCTTTTGGCGAGTAAAAATTCCTTCACAAATGTGTTGATGGCTGGTCATTGCATCATCCTAGAAAACTTGGAGGCCAGTGAGGGCAAAAATAAAAAGTTATTAGACTTTTAAGAATGTGGATTTTTGGGTTATCTTTGGCGCCCCCTAGAACGTAAACCGTGGGGTGCAGCGTCATGATTTGTACAACTTTTAATGGCCATGGGGTGTAGATTGGCCTGAGCAAATGTGGTGTCGGTGGAACGAAAGCCTTCGGAGGAGTTAGCGAAATTCCACTGTGTGCGGATCGGCAAAAAATGCGAAATAGCCCTTTAACCGTACATTTGACAGATACGCCCGCGCTGACTTTTTTGTAGATCTTATTGAGATACACGTGTGTGTCAAATTTTGTGTCATTTTGACAAAGCGTACAGGTGTGACACTCAATCATGTGAATTTTTCACCTTAGGGGGCGCTATGGAGCCATTTTGCATTTGATTGTTTGGGCGACTTCAGAATATCGAATTTTTCACCAGGCCCGGTCGTCCTGCCAAATTTCATGAGTTTTCACCAGTGGGAAGTGGGCCATTTTCCAGTTCAAAGGGGCAGAAAAATAATAATAAGAAGAAGAAAGAAGAATCCATCAGGAATAATAGGGCTCTCGCAGCTGCTTAGCAGCTACGCTCGGGCCCTAATAAGAAGAAGAAGAAGACTAGGGCCCCGTTGGGGCACTGGCGGGCCCGAGCCGTGTCGCGCTGCCCCCCCCAACGCGCTGCCTCCCCGTCCCATTCGCGTCCTCTGGCCATCGCCCTCTCTGGTAACGCCCATCACTGCAAAGACTCTTTCCTTCATCGGCGTTTGCTGTTCTTCCTGCCAGTGCGTGTTGCTTTCACTTACACTTGCCACAGCCAGCCTCGTGAGTGCCTAGCCTATTGGATATCACTGTCATCTACACAGGACAGTCATAACCTTTCTATTAATACTTGTTTTTTAATTTCACATTAATTTCAATATTGTATAAATGACTGGAAAAAACTTGAGCCCCTGCCCCTGTATAATCATGTGCACGTCCCTGTTCTAGCTCCAAGGTGAATCTTCACTGCTCATGTTCTCCTCAGAAGTAGTCACCTCACTTTCCTCAGGTGACTGTACACATGCACCAACTGCCTGCTTCAGGTTTGGATGGAGCTTCATGGTTGTCTTTTGGAGAAATGAGCAGTCAAGTTGTGTTTGAAATTAGATTTTTTTCAGGGGCAAAAAGGGGCCTCTGCATTCTAGTCAAATATGTAAATAGCATGTTTTTGCAGGTGCTAAAAAAAAGACTCTGAGTGTGTGTGTGTATATCCTGCAGTACTCTGAGAAGAATAATAAGCATATTTCTGAGGTGAATTTTGAAGATTCATCTGAGAGTTAGGAGGGCTGATCATTCCCTTACCCTTTAGATGTCTGTCTATGTCTGTTTTTGTGTGATAATGAAAGAATCCCAACTCAAAAAGGCTCTGTTGATGTTTTTTTTTTGTTGTTGTTCATTCATATTCAAACCACTATTTTATATCACTGCTAATACGCCAAGACCTTTTTATGGAATTTAGCTTTATTATTTCTATACATTTTGCAAGGAAAGAAACCAAGGCCTTCACTAAAATTTCCATAAACTTTAGGAAAGGACCTCTGGTTGTTTAACGGGGTCATTACTGCAAAAACATATTCTTCCTAAATTTTGAAGGTCAAAGCTTAGATCCATTAGGTTTAAATAGAAAAAGCATTAAAATATGTTAGGATTATAGCATATGACAAATATGTGCCTTTCAGTGGCCACAACTACTTTGTCTGCTGGCTCTGCAGTCGATTGACGCTCCCCAGCGTTCAAGTCACATTACATATTTAACCGGATGTAGCAGCAAGACGGAGCCTCGTTGACTCTCCGTTTCAACTTATCTCAAAAGTGAGGACCTCAAACTATACGCCAGTTTGCAAATTGTGTTGATAGGCCAAATAAAACCAGAGTTATGATAAATTATGTCCGCGATACTTTTTTTCTGCTTATTTTGATCACGTTCGGCGCTCGATCGCGCTGTATGAGACAGGAAAACATAGCATGCAGACATTAGCGACAGGTCTTGCAGGCGGAAAAGGCTTGCCAAAGAAAAAGAAAAACACACCACAACATCTCTCCTATTGGTGGAAAACTTCACCACAACAACCAATCCAAAATTATATGGTGACTGATTGACAAGGGGCGGGCGCTTACGTTCTTCCTGCAACATGAGAAGGGAGGGAGGAACTCTCAGCAGGGATGCAGTCTGGGACACGTAGTTGCAAACCTAGCGACTTTGTTGTTAGATTCAATGACTTTTCAGACCCCCTAACGACTTTTTTTTAGAAAGAAAGGGACTTTTATCGACTTCTTCTGGAGTTTAGAGACTCTGACATGAAGCAGGCTTTCCTTACTGAGGAGTTAGCAACGCTGCTAAGGGTGCAGAGCCACACATGCGCTCCGAGCTCTGCATGGGAGACTAAAGCTGACAGAGCTGCAGCAGTTAGCAGGTTTCACCCTCAGAGACCACCAGGGGTTCATGTTGAGGCATTTTCAGTTTTTTTTTTTTTTTTGCCATAGACACTGTCAGCACAATCTGCAGTTACACTAACAAAAATGCTGCAAAAAACAAAGAATTATGGAAAAATTACACATGGACTAACATAGAGGAGGATCTACACAAGTTTTTTACATCATGTTTTACATCATGCATCATTTACATCATGTTTTTTTGTAGTGGCATAAATAAAAAGTGACATTTGTGAGACTATACAGTGTTTTGTAAATAATTTTACAAAGAACGCCTGGGCCATTGCCTGCATTTTGATGTAAATAGAGGTAAATTACTATGTTCTTTGTTAAAAATTTGCATATGTTTTGAAGTTTACAATTTTTATTTGAAGTTTAAGTTTTAAAAACAGTTCATCACACATATTTGTGGTTTAATTTCACATTAATTTCCATATTGTATAAATGACTGGAAAAAACTTGAGCCCCTGCCCCTGTATAATCATGTGCACGTCCCTGTTCTAGCTCCAAGGTGAATCTTCACTGCTTATGTTCTCCTCAGAAATAGTCACCTCACTCTCCTCAGGTTACTGTACACATGCACCAACTATCTGCTTCAGGTTTGAAATGGAGCTTCATGGTTGTCTTTTGGAGAAATGAACAGTCAAGTTGTGTTTGAAATTTGATTTTTTTCAGGGGCAAAAGGAAGCCTCTGCATTCTTGTCAAATATGTAAACAGCATGTTTTTGCAGGTGCTTAAAAACAGACTCTGAGTGTGTGTGTGTGTGTGTGTGTGTGTGTGTGTGTGTGTGTGTGTGTGTGTGTGTGTGTGTGTATGTTGGCGTGTGTGTATATGTGTGTGTATCCTGCAGTACTCTGTACTCCTGCAGTGGCCAAAAAGACTTTTAAGAATGTGGATTTTTGGGTCATCTTTGGCGCCCCCTAGAACTGCAGTACTCTGTACTCCTGCAGTGGCCAAAATGACTTTTAAGAATGTGGATTTTTGGGTCATCTTTGGCGCCCCCTAGAACGTAAACCGTGGGGTGCAGCGTCATGATTTTTACAACTTTGAATGGGCATGGGGTGTAGATTGCCCTGAGCAAATTTGGTATCGGTGGGACGAAAGCCTTAGGAGGAGATAGCCACATTCCAATGTGTGCGAATCGGCAAAAAATGCAAAATAGCCCTTTAACCGTACATTATACAGATACGCGCTCTTTGACTTTTTCGTAGATCTAATTGAGATACACATGATTGTCAATTTTTTTGTCAATATGACAAAGCGTAAAGGCGTGACACTCAACAACGTGTATTTTCACCTTTCGGGATAAGAAAAAATGGACTTTTTTCTCCTGCCATGGGGGGGCGCTCTTTTGGGGAGTAAAAATTTCTTCACAAATGTGTTGATGGCTGGACATTGCATCATCCTAAAAAACTTGGAGGCCAGTATGGAAAAAAATAAAAAGTTATAACACTTTTAAGAATGTGGATTTTTGGGTTATATTTGGTGCCCCCTAGAACCCAAACCGTGGGGTGCAGCAAGATGATTTGTACAACTTTTAATGGCCATGGGGTGTAGATTGGCCTGAGCAAATTTGGTGCCGGTGGAAAGATAGCCTTCGGAGGAGTTAGTGAAATTCCAATGTGTGCGGATCAGCAAAAAATGCAAAATAGCCCTTTAACCGTACATTTGACAGATACATGCCCTTTGACTTTTTCGTAGATCTTATTGAGATACACGTGATTGTCAAATTTTGTGTCAATATGACAAAGCATACAGGCGTGACACTCGACAATGTGTATTTTGACCTTTGGAGACAAGAAAAAATGGACCTTTTTCTCCTGCCATTGGGGGGCGCTCTTTTGGGGAGTAAAAATTCCTTCACAAATGTGTTGATGGCTGGACATTGCATCATCCTAGAAAACTTGGAGGCCAGTGAGGACAAAAGTAAAACGTTATAACACTTTTAAGAATGTGGATTTTTGGGTTATCTTTGGCGCCCCCTAGAACATAAACCGTGGGGTGCAGCGTCATGATTTGTACAACTTTTAATGGCCATGGGGTGTAGATTGGCCTGCGCAAATGTGGTGCCGGTCGAACGAAAGCCTTCGGAGGAGTTAGCGAAATTCCAATGTGTGCAGATCTGCAAAAAATGAAAAATAACCCATTAACCGTACATTTGACAGATACGCCCACACTGACTTTTTTGTAGATCTTATTGAGATACACGTGTGTGTCAATTTTTGTGTCAATATGACAAAGCGTACAGCCGTCATGTGAATTTTCACCTTAGGGGGCGCTATGGAGCCATTTTGCATTTTATTGTTTGGGCGACTTCAGAATATCGAATTTTTCACCAGGCCCGGTCGTCCTGCCAAATTTCCTGAGTTTTCGCCAGTGGGAAGTGGGCCATTTTCCAGTTTAAAGCGGAGGAAAAATAATAACGAAAGAAGGAAACATGCAGGAACAAGAGGGCTCTCGCAGCTGCTTAGCAGCTACGCTCGTGCCCTAAAGAACTAGGACCCCGTTGGGGCACTGGCGGGCCCGAGCCGTGTCGTGTCTCCCCCCCCCAACGTGCTGCCTCCCCGTCCCATTTGTGTCCTCTGGCCATCGCCCTCTCTGTTAACGGCCATCACTGCAAAGACCCTTTTCCTTCATCGGCGTTTGCTGTTCTTCCTGCCAGTGCGTGTTGCTTTCACTTACACTTGCCACAGCCAGCCTCGTGAGTGCCTAGCCTATTGGATATCACTGTCACCTACACAGGACAGTCATTACCTTTCTATTAATACTTTGTGTTTTAATTTCACATTAATTTCCATATTGTATAAACGACTGGAAAAAACTTGAGCCCCTGCCCCTGTATAATCATGTGCATGTCTCTGTTCTAGCTCCAAGGTGAATCTTCACTGCTCATGTTCTCCTCAGAAGCACTCACCTCACTCCCCTCAGGTTACTGTACACATGCACCAACTGCCTGCTTCAGGTTTGGATGGAGCTTCATGGTTGTCTTTTGGAGAAATGACCAGTCAAGTTGTGTTTGAAATTTGATTTTTTTCAGGGGCAAAAGGAGCCTCTGCATTCTTGTCAAATATGTAAATAGCATGTTTTTGCAGGTGCTAAAAACCAGACTCTGAGTGTGTGTGTGTGTGTGTGTGTGTGTGTGTGTGTGTGTGTGTGTGTGTGTGTGTGTGTGTGTCTATGTGTGCGTTCAAGTCACATGACATATTTAACCGGATGTAGCTGCAAGACGGAGCCTCGTTGACTCTCCGTTTCAACTTATCTCAAAAGTGAGGACCTCAACCTATATACCAGTTTTTAAATTGTGTTGATAGGCCAAATAAAACCAGAGTTATGATAAATTATGTCCGCGATACTTTTTTTCTGCTTATTTTGATCACGTTCGGCGCTCGATCGCGCTGTATGAGACAGGAAAACATAGCATGCAGACATTAGCGACAGGTCTTACAGGCGGAAAAGGCTTGCCAAAAGAAAAAAAAAACACACCACAACATCTCTCCTATTGGTGGAAAACTTCACCACAACAACCAATCCAAAATTATATGGTGACTGATTGACAAGGGGCGGGCGCTTACGTTCTTCCTGCAACATGAGAAGGGAGGGAGGGACTCTCAGCAGGGATGCAGTCTGGGACACGTAGTTGCAAACCTAGCGACTTTGTTGTTAGATTCAATGACTTTTCAGACACCCTAACGACTTTTTTTTAGAAAGAAAGGGACTTTTATCGACTTCTTCTGGAGTTTAGAGACTCTGACATGAAGCAGGCTTTCCTTACTGAGGAGTTAGCAACGCTGCTAAGGGTGCAGAGCCACACATGCGCTCAGAGCTCTGCATGGGAGACTGAAGCTGACAGAGCTGCAGCAGTTAGCAGGTTTCACCCTCAGAGACCACCAGGGGTTCATGTTGAGGCATTTTAATTTTTTTTTTTTTTGTGCCATAGACACTGTCAGCACAATCTGCAGTTACACTAACAAAAATGCTGCAAAAAACAAAGAATTATGGAAAAATTACACATGGACTGACATAGAGGAGGATCTACACAAGTTTTTTACATCATGTTTTACATCATGCATCATTTACATCATGTTTTTTTGTAGTGGCATAAATAAAAAGTGACATTTGTGAGACTATACAGTGTTTTGTAAATAATTTTACAAAGAACGCCTGGGCCATTGCCTGCATTTTGATGTAAATAGAGGTAAATTACTATGTTCTTTGTTAAAAATTTGCATATGTTTTGAAGTTTACAATTTTTATTTGAAGTTTAAGTTTTAAAAACAGTTCATCACACATATTTGTGGTTTAATTTCACATTAATTTCCATATTGTATAAATGACTGGAAAAAACTTGAGCCCCTGCCCCTGTATAATCATGTGCACGTCCCTGTTCTAGCTCCAAGGTGAATCTTCACTGCTCATGTTCTCCTCAGAAATAGTCACCTCACTCCCCTCAGGTTACTGTACACATGCACCAACTATCTGCTTCAGGTTTGAAATGGAGCTTCATGGTTGTCTTTTGGAGAAATGAACAGTCAAGTTGTGTTTGAAATTTGATTTTTTTCAGGGGCAAAAGGAAGCCTCTGCATTCTTGTCAAATATGTAAACAGCATGTTTTTGCAGGTGCTAAAAAACAGACTCTGAGTGTGTGTGTGTGTCTGTGTGTGTGTGTGTGTGTGTGTGTGTGTGTGTGTGTGTGTATGTTGGCGTGTGTGTATATGTGTGTGTATCCTGCAGTACTCTGTACTCCTGCAGTGGCCAAAAAGACTTTTAAGAATGTGGATTTTTGGGTCATCTTTGGCGCCCCCTAGAACTGCAGTACTCTGTACTCCTGCAGTGGCCAAAATGACTTTTAAGAATGTGGATTTTTGGGTCATCTTTGGCGCCCCCTAGAACGTAAACCGTGGGGTGCAGCGTCATGATTTTTACAACTTTGAATGGGCATGGGGTGTAGATTGCCCTGAGCAAATTTGGTATCGGTGGGACGAAAGCCTTAGGAGGAGATAGCCACATTCCAATGTGTGCGAATCGGCAAAAAATGCAAAATAGCCCTTTAACCGTACATTAAACAGATACGCGCTCTTTGACTTTTTCGTAGATCTAATTGAGATACACATGATTGTCAATTTTTGTGTCAATATGACAAAGCGTTCAGGCGTGACACTCAACAATGTGTATTTTTATGTAAGGGGACAAGAAAAAATTGACTTTTTTCTCCTACCATGGGGAGGCGCTCTTTTGGGGAGTAAAAATTCCTTCACAAATGTGTTGATGGCTGGACATTGCATCATCCTAGAAAACTTGGAGGCCAGTGAGGACAAAAATAAAAAGTTATAAAACATTTAAGAATGTGGATTTTTGGGTTATCTTTGGCGCCCCCTAGAACCTAAACCATGGGGTGCAGCATCATGATTTGAATAACTTTTAATGGCCATGGGGTGTAGATTGGCCTGAGCAAATGTGGTGCCGGTAGACAGAAAGCCTTCGGAGGAGTTAGCGAAATTCCAATGTGTGCGTATCGGCAAAAAATGCGGAATAACCCTTTAACTGTACATTTGACAGATACGCGCGCATGGACTTTTTTGTAGATCTTATTGAGTTACATGTGTGTGTCAATTTTTGTGTCATTTTGACAAAGCGTATAGGCGTGACACTCAACAATGTGTATTTTCACCTTAGGGGACAAGAAAAAATGGACTTTTTTCTCCTGCCATGGGGGGGCGCTCTTTTGGGGAGTAAAAATTCCTTCACAAATGTGTTGATGGCTGGACATTGCATCATCCTAGAAAACTTGGAGGCCAGTGAGGGCAAAAATAAAAAGTTATAAGACTTTTAAATATGTGGATCTTAGGGTTATCTTTGGCGCCCCCTAGAACCTAAACAGTGGGGTGCAGCGTCATGATTTGAATAACTTTTAATGGCCATGGGGTGTAGATTGGCCTGAGCAAATGTGGTGCCGGTGGAACGAAAGCCTTCGGAGGAGTTAGCGAAATTCCAATGTGTGCGGATCGGCAAAAAATGCGAAATAACCCTTTAACCGTACATTTGACAGATACGCCCGCACTGACTTTTTTGTAGATCTTATTGAGATACATGTGTGTGTCAATTTTTGTGTCATTTTGACAAAGCGTACAGGCGTGACAGTCAATAGTGTGAATTTTCACCTTAGGGGGCGCTATGGAGCCATTTTGCATTTTCTTGTTTGGGCGACTTCGGAATATCAAATTTTTCACCAGGCCCGGTCGTCCTGCCAAATTTCATGAGTTTTCGCCAGTGGGAAGTGGGCCATTTTCCAGTTCAAAGGGGAGGAAAAAGAAGAAACTAGGACCCCGGTGGGGCACTGTCGGGCCCGAGCCGCGTTGCGCCGCCCCCAGCGCGACCACCTCCCCCTCCCGATCGCGTCACACATAAGGTCCAAAGATGGTGTGCGCACTTGTCTGTGGTCATTTCCCATTATAATGAATGGGAGGCGCAGTTTCTACCAAAACACTCGCTGCAGACAAACTACAAGTCCTATTTGAAAAAAGTCTGGACCATGAGTGAGGGCACAAACACAGCTAGGATATATCCAAACGGCAAGTTGCTCCTCGTTACGGTGTTGCCGGGAGAGTGATGCGATTGAGCCATTGAGTGATGGGCAGGAAAAACTTGACTGTTTCTCCTGCCATGGGGGATGGGGGATGGGGGGGGATGTGGATTCTTTTAAGAATGTGGATATTTGGGTCATCTTTGGCGCCTCCTAGAACGTAAACCGTGGGGTGCAGCGTCATGATTTTTACAACTTTGAATGGCCATGGGGTGTAGATTGGCATGAGCAAATTTGGTGTCAGTGGGACGAAAGCCTTAGGAGGAGTTAGCCACATTCCAATGTGTGCGAATCGGTAAAAAATGCAAAATAGCCCTTTAACCGTACATTTTACAGATACGCGCGCATTGACTTTTTCGTAGATCTTATTGAGATACATGTGATTGTCAAATTTTGTGTCAATATGACAAAGCGTACAGGTATGACAGTCAACAATGTGTTTTTTCACCTTATGGGACAAGAAAAAATGGACTTTTTTCTCCTGCCATGGGGGGCGCTCTTTTGGGGAGTAAAAATTCCTTCACAAATGTGTTGATGGCTGGACATTGCATCATCCTAGAAAACTTGGAGGCCAGTGAGGACAAAAATAAAAAGTTATAAGACTTTTAAATATGTGGATTTTAGGGTTATCTTTGGCGCCCCCTAGAACCTAAACCGTGGGGTGCAGCGTCATGATTTGAATAACTTTTAATGGCCATGGGGTGTAGATTGGCCTGAGCAAATGTGGTGCCGGTGGAATGCCAGCCTTCGGAGGAGTTAGCGAAATTCCAATGTGTGCGTATCGGCAAAAAATGCAAAATAGCCCTTTAACCGTACATTTGACAGATACGCGAGTAAGACTTTTTTGTAGATCTTATTGAGATACATGTGTGTGTCAATTTTTGTGTCATTTTGCCAAAGCGTACAGGCGTGACACTCAACAATGTGTATTTTCACCTTAGGGGACAAGAAAAAATGGACTTTTTTCTCCTGCCATGGGGGGGCGCTCTTTTGGGGAGTAAAAATTCCTTCACAAATGTGTTGATGGCTGGACATTGCATCATCCTAGAAAACTTGGAGGCCAGTGAGGACAAAAATAAAAAGTTATAAGACTTTTAAATATGTGGATCTTAGGGTTATCTTTGGCGCCCCCTAGAACCTAAACCGTGGGGTGCAGCGTCATGATTTGAATAACTTTTAATGGCCATGGGGTGTAGATTGGCCTGAGCAAATGTGGTGCCGGTGGAACGAAAGCCTTCGGAGGAGTTAGCGAAATTCCAATGTGTGCGGATCGGCAAAAAATGCGAAATAACCCTTTAACCGTACATTTGACAGATACGCCCGCACTGACTTTTTTGTAGATCTTATTGAGATACATATGTGTGTCAATTTTTGTGTCATTTTGACAAAGCGTACACGCGTGACAGTCAATAGTGTGAATTTTCACCTTAGGGGGCGCTATGGAGCCATTTTGCATTTTCTTGTTTGGGCGACTTCGGAATATCAAATTTTTCACCAGGCCCGGTCGTCCTGCCAAATTTCATGAGTTTTCGCCAGTGGGAAGTGGGCCATTTTCCAGTTCAAAGGGGAGGAAAAATAATAACTAGGGCCCCGTTGGGGCACTGGCGGGCCCGAGCCGTGTCACGCCGCCCCCAGCGCGACCGCCTCCCCCACCCGATCGCGTCACACTCAAGGTCCAAAGATGGTGTGCGCACTTGTTTGTGGTCATTTACCATTATAATGAACGGGAGGCGCAGTTTCTACCAAAACGCTCGCTGCAGAAAAACTCCATGTCCTATTTGAAAAAAGTCTGGACCATGAGTGAGGGCACAAACACAGCTAAGATATATCCAAATGGCAAGTTGCTCCTCCTTTTGCTTTTGCCGAGAGAGCAGTGCGTTTGAGCCATTGAATGATGAACAGGAAAAACTTGACTTTATTCTCCTGCCATGGGGGGGCGCTCTTTTAAAGAGAAAAAACTCCTTCACAAATGTGTTGATGGCTGGACATTGCATCATCCTAGAAAACATGGAGGCCAGTGAGGACAAAAATAAAAAGTTATAAGACTTTTAAATATGTGGATTTTAGCGTTATATTTGGCGCCCCCTAGAACCTAAACCGTGGGGTGCAGCGTCATGATTTGAATAGCTTTTAATGGCCATGGGGTGTAGATTGGCCTGAGCAAATGTGGTGCCGGTGGAACGAAAGCCTTCGGAGGAATTAGCGAAATTCCAATGTGTGCGAATCTGCAAAAAATGCGAAATAACCCTTTAACCGTACATTTTACAGATACGTGGCCATTGACTTTTTCGAAGATCTTATTGAAATACACGTGTATGTAAAATTTTGTGTCAATACGACAAAACATACAGGCGTAGCACTCAACAATGTGTATTTTCACCTTAGTGGACAAGAAAAAATGGACTTTTTTCTCCTGCCATGGGGGGCGCTCTTTTGGCGAGTAAAAATTCCTTCACAAATGTGTTGATGGCTGGACATTGCATCATCCTAGAAAACTTGGAGGCCAGTGGGGACAAAAATAAAAAGTTATAAGACTTTTAAATATGTGGATTTTACGGTTATCTTTGGCTCCCCCTAGAACCTAAACCGTGGGGTGCAGCGTCATGATTTGAATAACTTTTAATGGCCATGGGGTGTAGATTGGCCTGAGCAAATGTGGTGCCGGTGGAACGAAAGCCTTCGGAGGAGTTAGCGAAATTCCAATGTGTGCGGATCGGCAAAAAATGCGGAATAACCCTTTAACCGTACATTTGACAGATACGCGCGCATTGACTTTTTCGTAGATCTTATTGAGATACATGTGTGTGTCAATTTTTGTGTCATTTTGCCAAAGCGTACAGGTGTTACACTCAACAATGTGTATTTTCACCTTAGGGGACAAGAAAAAATGGACTTTTTTCTCCTGCCATGGGGGGGCGCTCTTTTGGGGAGTAAAAATTCCTTCACAAATGTGTTGATGGCTGGACATTGCATCATCCTAGAAAACTTGGAGGCCAGTGAGGGCAAAAATAAAAAGTTATAAGACTTTTAAATATGTGGATCTTAGGGTTGTCTTTGGCGCCCCCTAGAATCTAAACCGTGGGGTGCAGCGTCATGATTTGAATAACTTTTAATGGCCATGGGGTGTAGATTGGCCTGAGCAAATGTGGTGCCGGTGGAACGAAAGCCTTCGGAGGAGTTAGCGAAATTCCAATGTGTGCGGATCGGCAAAAAATGCGAAATAACCCTTTAACCGTACATTTGACAGATACGCCCGCACTGACTTTTTTGTAGATCTTATTGAGATACATGTGTGTGTCAATTTTTGTGTCATTTTGACAAAGCGTACAGGCGTGACAGTGAATAGTGTGAATTTTCACCTTAGGGGGCGCTATGGAGCCATTTTGCATTTTCTTGTTTGGGCGACTTCGGAATATCAAATTTTTCACCAGGCCCGGTCGTCCTGCCAAATTTCATGAGTTTTCGCCAGTGGGAAGTGGGCCATTTTCCAGTTCAAAGGGGAGGAAAAATAATAATAACAAACTAGGGCCCCGGTGGGGCACTGTCGGGCCCGAGCCGCGTTGCGCCGCCCCCAGCGCGACCGCCTCCCCCTCCCGATCGCGTCACACTCAAGGTCCAAAGATGGTATGCGCACTTGTCTGTGGTCATTTCCCATTAAAATGAATGGGAGGCGCAGTTTCTACCAAAACACTTGCTGCAGACAAACTACATGTCCTATTTGAAAAAAGTCTGGACCATGAGTGAGGGCACAAACACAGCTAGGATATATCCAAACGGCAAGTTGTTCCTCGTTACGGTATTGTTGACAAATATGACAGTCAACAATGTGTATTTTCACCTTAGGGGACAAGAAAAAATGGACTTTTTTCTCCTGCCATGGGGGGGCGCTCTTTTGGGGAGTAAAAATTCCTTCACAAATGTGTTGATGGCTGGACATTGCATCATCCTAGAAAACTTGGAGGCCAGTGAGGACAAAAATAAAAAGTTATAAGACTTTATAAATATGTGGATTTTAGGGTTATCTTTGGCGCCCCCTAGAACCTAAACCGTGGGGTGCAGCGTCATGATTTGAATAACTTTTAATGGCCATGGGGTGTAGATTGGCCTGAGCAAATGTGGTGCTAGTGGAACGAAAGCCTTAGGAGGAGTTAGCGAAATTCCAATGTGTGCGGATCGGCAAAAAATGCGGAATAACCCTTTAACCGTACATTTGACAGATACGCGCGCATTGACTTTTTTGTAGATCTTATTGAGATACATGTGTGTGTCAATTTTTGTGTAATTTTGACAAAGCGTACAGGCGTGACAGTCAATAGTGTGAATTTTCACCTTATGGGACAAGAAAAAATGGACTTTTTTCTCCTGCCATGGGGGGGCGCTCTTTTGGGGAGTAAAAATTCCTTCACAAATGTGTTGATGGCTGGACATTGCATCATCCTAGAAAACTTGGAGGCCAGTGAGGGCAAAAATAAAAAGTTATAAGACTTTGAAATATGTGGATTTTAGGGTTATCTTTGGCGCCCCCTAGAACCTAAACCGTGGGGTGCAGCGTCATGATTTGAATAACTTTTAATGGCCATGGGGTGTAGATTGGCCTGAGCAAATGTGGTGCCGGTGGAACGAAAGCCTTCGGAGGAGTTAGCGAAATTCCAATGTGTGCGGATCGGCAAAAAATGCGCAATAACCCTTTAACCGTACATTTGACAGATACGCCCGCACTGACTTTTTTGTAGATCTTATTGAGATACATGTGTGTGTCAATTTTTGTGTCATTTTGACAAAGCGTACAGGCGTCAGGTGAATTTTTCACCCTAGGGGGCGCTATGGAGCCATTTTGCATTGTATTGTTTGGGCGACTTCAGAATATCAAATTTTTCACCAGGCCCGGTCGTCCTGCCAAATTTCATGAGTTTTCGCCTGTGGGAAGTGGGCCATTTTCCAGTTCAAAGGGGAGGAAAAAGAAAAAAGAAACAAAGAAAAACCACTTGGGGAATAATAGGGCTCTCGCAGCTGCTTAGCAGCTACGCTCGGGCCCTAATAATAACAAAAGAAGGAAACATGCAGGAACAAGAGGGCTCTCGCAGCTGCTTAGCAGCTACGCTCGGGCCCTAAGAAAGAAAGAAAGAAAGAACTAGGACCCCGTTGGGGCACTGGCGGGCCCGAGCCGTGTCGCGTCCCCCCCCCCCCCCCCCCAACGTGCTGCCTCCCCGTCCCATTTGTGTCCTCTGGCCATTGCCCTCTCTGGTAACGCCCATCACTGCAAAGACCCTTTTCCTTCATCGGCGTTTGCTGTTCTTCCTGCCAGTGCGTGTTGCTTTCACTTACACTTGCCACAGCCAGCCTCGTGAGTGCCTAGCCTATTGGATATCACTGTCACCTACACAGGACAGTCATTACCTTTCTATTAATACTTTGTGTTTTAATTTCACATTAATTTCCATATTGTATAAACGACTGGAAAAAACTTGAGCCCCTGCCCCTGTATAATCATGTGCATGTCTCTGTTCTAGCTCCAAGGTGAATCTTCACTGCTCATGTTCTCCTCAGAAGCACTCACCTCACTCCCCTCAGGTTACTGTACACATGCACCAACTGCCTGCTTCAGGTTTGGATGGAGCTTCATGGTTGTCTTTTGGAGAAATGACCAGTCAAGTTGTGTTTGAAATTTGATTTTTTTCAGGGGCAAAAGGAGCCTCTGCATTCTTGTCAAATATGTAAATAGCATGTTTTTGCAGGTGCTAAAAACCAGACTCTGAGTGTGTGTGTGTGTGTGTGTGTGTGTCTGTGTGTGCGTGTGTGTGTGTCTGTGTGTGCGTTCAAGTCACATGACATATTTAATCGGATGTAGCTGCAAGACGGAGCCTCGTTGACTCTCCGTTTCAACTTATCTCAAAAGTGAGGACCTCAACCTATATACCAGTTTTTAAATTGTGTTGATAGGCCAAATAAAACCAGAGTTATGATAAATTATGTCCGCGATACTTTTTTTCTGCTTATTTTGATCACGTTCGGCGCTCGATCGCGCTGTATGAGACAGGAAAACATAGCATGCAGACATTAGCGACAGGTCTTACAGGCGGAAAAGGCTTGCCAAAAGAAAAAAAAAACACACCACAACATCTCTCCTATTGGTGGAAAACTTCACCACAACAACCAATCCAAAATTATATGGTGACTGATTGACAAGGGGCGGGCGCTTACGTTCTTCCTGCAACATGAGAAGGGAGGGAGGGACTCTCAGCAGGGATGCAGTCTGGGACACGTAGTTGCAAACCTAGCGACTTTGTTGTTAGATTCAATGACTTTTCAGACCCCCTAACGACTTTTTTTTAGAAAGAAAGGGACTTTTATCGACTTCTTCTGGAGTTTAGAGACTCTGACATGAAGCAGGCTTTCCTTACTGAGGAGTTAGCAACGCTGCTAAGGGTGCAGAGCCACACATGCGCTCAGAGCTCTGCATGGGAGACTGAAGCTGACAGAGCTGCAGCAGTTAGCAGGTTTCACCCTCAGAGACCACCAGGGGTTCATGTTGAGGCATTTTAAAAATTTTTTTTTGTGCCATAGACACTGTCAGCACAATCTGCAGTTACACTAACAAAAATGCTGCAAAAAACAAAGAATTATGGAAAAATTACACATGGACTGACATAGAGGAGGATCTACACAAGTTTTTTACATCATGTTTTACATCATGCATCATTTACATCATGTTTTTTTGTAGTGGCATAAATAAAAAGTGACATTTGTGAGACTATACAGTGTTTTGTAAATAATATTACAAAGAACGCCTGGGCCATTGCCTGCATTTTGATGAAAATAGAGGTAAATCACTATGTTCTTTGTTAAAAATTTGCATATGTTTTGAAGTTTACAATTTTTATTTGAAGTTTAAGTTTTAAAAACAGTTCATCACACATATTTGTGGTTTTCACAGTAAAAATGTTACTTTTTTCCACTCGGATTTTATGTTTTGTGTGTGAATTTGGGTCCATTGTGTAAATTCAGTATGTCAACATGATAAAATAACTGTAAATTCGTACAGGTGAGGTTGTGCTGAAAAAAATGATACCAGGCAAGGCACGTGATTGTCAAATTTTGTGTCAATATGACAAAGCGTATAGGCGTGAATCTCAACAATATGTATTTTCACCTTAGGGGACAAGAAAAAATGGACTTTTTTCTCCTGCCATGGGGGGGCGCTCTTTTGGGGAGTAAAAATTCCTTCACAAATGTGTTGATGGCTGGACATTGCATCATCCTAGAAAACTTGGAGGCCAGTGAGGACAAAAATAAAAAGTTATAAGACTTTTAAATATGTGGATGTTAGGGTTATCTTTGGCGCCCCCTAGAACCTAAACCGTGGGGTGCAGCATCATGATTTGAATAACTTTTAATGGCCATGGGGTGTAGATTGTCCTGAGCAAATGTGGTGCCGGTGGAACGAAAGCCTTAGGAGGAGTTAGCCACATTCCAATGTGTGCGGATCGGCAAAAAATGCGGAATAACCCTTTAACCGTACATTTGACAGATACGCGCGAATTGACTTTTTCGTAGATCTTATTGAGTTACATGTGTGTGTCAATTTTTGTGTCATTTTGACAAAGCGTATAGGCGTGACACTCAACAATGTGTATTTTCACCTTAGGGGACAAGAAAAAATGGACTTTTTTCTCCTGCCATGGGGGGGCGCTCTTTTGGGGAGTAAAAATTCCTTCACAAATGTGTTGATGGCTGGACATTGCATCATCCTAGAAAACTTGGAGGCCAGTGAGGACAAAAATAAAAAGTTATAAGACTTTTAAATATGTGGATTTTAGTGTTATATTTGGCGCCCCCTAGAACCTAAACCTTGGGGTGCAGCGTCATGATTTTGATAACTTTTAATGGCCACGGGGTGTAGATTGGCCTGAGCAAATGTGGTGCCGGTGGAACGAAAGCCTTCGGAGGAGTTAGCGAAATTCCAATGTGTGCGGATCGGCAAAAAATGCGAAATAACCCTTTAACCGTACATTTGACAGATACGGCCGCACTGACTTTTTTGTAGATCTTATTGAGATACATATGTGTGTCAATTTTTGTGTCAATATGACAAAGCGTACAGGCGTGACAGTCAATAGTGTGAATTTCCACCTTAGGGGGCGCTATGGAGCCATTTTGCATTTTATTGTTTGGGCGACTTCAGAATATCGAATTTTTCACCAGGCCCGGTCGTCCTGCCAAATTTCATGAGTTTTCGCCAGTGGGAAGTGGGCCATTTTCCAGTTCAAAGGGGAGGAAAAAGAAGAAAGAAAGAAAGAACTAGGACCCCGTTGGGGCACTGGCGGGCCCGAGCCGTGTCGCGTCCCCCCCCCAACGTGCTGCCTCCCCGTCCCATTTGTGTCCTCTGGCCATCGCCCTCTCTGGTAACGCCCATCACTGCGAAGACCCTTTTCCTTCATCGGCGTTTGCTGTTCTTCCTGCCAGTGCGTGTTGCTTTCACTTACACTTGCCACAGCCAGCCTCGTGAGTGCCTAGCCTATTGGATATCACTGTCACCTACACAGGACAGTCATTACCTTTCTATTAATACTTTGTGTTTTAATTTCACATTAATTTCCATATTGTATAAACGACTGGAAAAAACTTGAGCCCCTGCCCCTGTATAATCATGTGCATGTCTCTGTTCTAGCTCCAAGGTGAATCTTCACTGCTCATGTTCTCCTCAGAAGCACTCACCTCACTCCCCTCAGGTTACTGTACACATGCACCAACTGCCTGCTTCAGGTTTGGATGGAGCTTCATGGTTGTCTTTTGGAGAAATGAGCAGTCAAGTTGTGTTTGAAATTTGATTTTTTTCAGGGGCAAAAGGAGCCTCTGCATTCTTGTCAAATATGTAAATAGCATGTTTTTGCAGGTGCTAAAAACCAGACTCTGAGTGTGTGTGTGTGTGTGTGTGTGCGTGTGTGTGTGTCTGTGTGTGCGTTCAAGTCACATGACATATTTAACCGGATGTAGCTGCAAGACGGAGCCTCGTTGACTCTCCGTTTCAACTTATCTCAAAAGTGAGGACCTCAACCTATATACCAGTTTTTAAATTGTGTTGATAGGCCAAATAAAACCAGAGTTATGATAAATTATGTCCGCGATACTTTTTTTCTGCTTATTTTGATCACGTTCGGCGCTCGATCGCGCTGTATGAGACAGGAAAACATAGCATGCAGACATTAGCGACAGGTCTTACAGGCGGAAAAGGCTTGCCAAAAGAAAAAAAAAACACACCACAACATCTCTCCTATTGGTGGAAAACTTCACCACAACAACCAATCCAAAATTATATGGTGACTGATTGACAAGGGGCGGGCGCTTACGTTTTTCCTGCAACATGAGAAGCGAGGGAGGGACTCTCAGCAGGGATGCAGTCTGGGACACGTAGTTGCAAACCTAGCGACTTTGTTGTTAGATTCAATGACTTTTCAGACCCCCTAACGACTTTTTTTTAGAAAGAAAGGGACTTTTATCGACTTCTTCTGGAGTTTAGAGACTCTGACATGAAGCAGGCTTTCCTTACTGAGGAGTTAGCAACGCTGCTTAGGGTGCAGAGCCACACATGCGCTCAGAGCTCTGCATGGGAGACTGAAGCTGACAGAGCTGCAGCAGTTAGCAGGTTTCACCCTCAGAGACCACCAGGGGTTCATGTTGAGGCATTTTAATTTTTTTTTTTTTTGTGCCATAGACACTGTCAGCACAATCTGCAGTTACACTAACAAAAATGCTGCAAAAAACAAAGAATTATGGAAAAATTACACATGTACTGACATAGAGGAGGATCTACACAAGTTTTTTACATCATGTTTTACATCATGCATCATTTACATCATGTTTTTTTGTAGTGGCATAAATAAAAAGTGACATTTGTGAGACTATACAGTGTTTTGTAAATAATTTTACAAAGAACGCCTGGGCCATTGCCTGCATTTTGATGTAAATAGAGGTAAATTACTATGTTCTTTGTTAAAAATTTGCATATGTTTTGAAGTTTACAATTTTTATTTGAAGTTTAAGTTTTAAAAACAGTTCATCACACATATTTGTGGTTTAATTTCACATTAATTTCCATATTGTATAAATGACTGGAAAAAACTTGAGCCCCTGCCCCTGTATAATCATGTGCACGTCCCTGTTCTAGCTCCAAGGTGAATCTTCACTGCTCATGTTCTCCTCAGAAATAGTCACCTCACTCCCCTCAGGTTACTGAACACATGCACCAACTATCTGCTTCAGGTTTGGATGGAGCTTCATGGTTGTCTTTTGGAGAAATGAACAGTCAAGTTGTGTTTGAAATCTGATTTTTTTCAGGGGCAAAAGGAAGCCTCTGCATTCTTGTCAAATATGTAAACAGCATGTTTTTGCAGGTGCTAAAAAACAGACTCTGAGTGTGTGTGTGTGTGTGTGTGTGTGTGTGTGTGTGTGTGTGTGTGTGTGTGTGTGTGTATATGTGTGTGTATCCTGCAGTACTCTGTACTCCTGCAGTGGCCAAAAAGACTTTTAAGAATGTGGATTTTTGGGTCATCTTTGGCGCCCCCTAGAACTGCAGTACTCTGTACTCCTGCAGTGGCCAAAATGACTTTTAAGAATGTGGATTTTTGGGTCATCTTTGGCGTCCCCTAGAACGTAAACCGTGGGGTGCAGCGTCATGATTTTTACAACTTTGAATGGGCATGGGGTGTAGATTGCCCTGAGCAAATTTGGTATCGGTGGGACGAAAGCCTTATGAGGAGATAGCCACATTCCAATGTGTGCGAATCGGCAAAAAATGCGAAATAGCCCTTTAACCGTACATTATACAGATACGCGCTTTTTGACTTTTTCGTAGATCTAATTGAGATACACATGATTGTCAATTTTTGTGTCAATATGACAAAGCGTTCAGGCGTGACACTCAACAATGTGTATTTTCATGTAAGGGGACAAGAAAAAATTGACTTTTTTCTCCTGCCATGGGGGGGCGCTCTTTTGGGGAGTAAAAATTCCTTCACAAATGTGTTGATGGCTGGACATTGCATCATCCTAGAAAACTTGGAGGGCAGTGAGGACAAAAATAAAAAGTTATAAGACTTTTAAGAATGTGGATTTTGGGTTATCTTTGGCGCCCCCTAGAACGTAAACCGTGGGGTGCAGCGTCATGATTTGAATAACTTTTAATGGCCATGGGGTGTAGATTGTCCTGAGCAAATGTGGTGCCGGTGGAACGAAAGCCTTAGGAGGAGTTAGCCACATTCCAATGTGTGCGGATCGGCAAAAAATGCGGAATAACCCTTTAACCGTACATTGAACAGATACGCTCGCATTGACTTTTTCGTAGATCTTATTGAGTTACATGTGTGTGTCAATTTTTGTGTCATTTTGACAAAGCGTATAGGCGTGACACTCAACAATGTGTATTTTCACCTTAGGGGACAAGAAAAAATTGACTTTTTTCTCCTGCCATGGGGGGGGCGCTCTTTTGGGGAGTAAAAATTCCTTCACAAATGTGTTGATGGCTGGACATTGCATCATCCTAGAAAACTTGGAGGCCAGTGAGGATAAAAATAAAAAGTTATAAGACTTTTAAATATGTGGATTTTAGTGTTATCTTTGGCGCCCCCTAGAACCTAAACCTTGGGGTGCAGCGTCATGATTTTGATAACTTTTAATGGCCACGGGGTGTAGATTGGCCTGAGCAAATGTGGTGCAGGTGGAACGAAAGCCTTCGGAGGAGTTAGCGAAATTCCAATGTGTGCGGATCGGCAAAAAATGCGAAATAACCCTTTAACCGTAATTTTGACAGATACGGCCGCACTGACTTTTTTGTAGATCTTATTGAGATACATATGTGTGTCAATTTTTGTGTCAATATGACAAAGCGTACAGTCGTGACAGTGAATAGTGTGAATTTTCACCTTAGGGGGCGCTATGGAGCCATTTTGCATTTTATTGTTTTGGCGACTTCAGAATATCAAATTTTTCACCAGGCCCGGTTGTCCTGCCAAATTTCATGAGTTTTCGCCAGTGGGAAGTGGGCCATTTTCCAGTTCAAAGGGGAGGAAAAAGAAAAAAGAAAGAAAGAAACAACTAGGGCCCCGGTGGGGCACTGTCGGGCCCGAGCCGCGTCGCGCCGCCCCCAGTGCGACCGCCTCCCCGTCCCGATCGAGTCACACTCAAGAACCAAAGATGGTGTGCGCACTTGTCTGTGGTCATTTCCCATTATAATGAATGGGAGGCGCAGTTTCTACCAAAACACTCGCTGCAGACAAACTTCATGTCCTATTTGAAAAAAGTCTGGACCATGAGTGAGGGCACAAACACAGCTATGATATATCGAAATGCCAGGTTGCTCCTCCTTACGGTGTTGCCTGGAGAGCGATGCGATTGAGCCATTGAGCGATGGGCAGGAAAAACTTGACTTTTTCTCCTGCCATAGGGGGGGATGTGGATTCTTTTAAGAATGTGGATTTTTGGGTCATCTTTGGCGCCCCCTAGAACGTAAACCGTGGGGTGCAGCGTCATGATTTTTACAACTTTGAATGGCCATGGGGTGTAGATTGGCCTGAGCAAATTTGGTGTCAGTGGGACGAAAGCCTTAGGAGGAGTTAGCCACATTCCAATGTGTGCGAATCGGCAAAAAATGCAAAATAGCCCTTTAACCGTACATTTGACAGATACGCGCGAATTGACTTTTTTGTAGATCTTATTGAGATACATATGTGTGTCAATTTTTGTGTCAATATGATAAAGCGTACAGGCGTGACAGTCAATAGTGTGAATTTCCACCTTAGGGGACAAGAAAAAATGGACTTTTTTCTCCTGCCATGGGGGGGCGCTCTTTTGGGGAGTAAAAATTCCTTCACAAATGTGTTGATGGCTGGACATTGCATCATCCTAGAAAACTTGGAGGCCAGTGAGGACAAAAATAAAAAGTTATAAGACTTTTAAATATGTGGATTTTAGGGTTATCTTTGGCGCCCCCTAGAACCTAAACCGTGGGATGCAGCGTCATGATTTGAATAACTTTTAATGGCCATGGGGTGTAGATTGGCCTGAGCAAATGTGGTGCCGGTGGAACGAAAGCCTTCGGAGGAGTTAGCGAAATTCCAATGTGTGCGGATCGGCAAAAAATGCGGAATAACCCTTTAACCGTACATTTGACAGATACGCGCGCATTGACTTTTTCGTAGATCTTATTGAGATACATGTGTGTGTCAATTTTTGTGTCATTTTGCCAAAGCGTACAGGTGTTACACTCAACAATGTGTATTTTCACCTTAGGGGACAAGAAAAAATTGACTTTTTTCTCCTGCCATGGGGGGGCGCTCTTTTGGGGAGTAAAAATTCCTTCACAAATGTGTTGATGGCTGGACATTGCATCATCCTAGAAAACTTGGAGGCCAGTGAGGGCAAAAATAAAAAGTTATAAGACTTTTAAATATGTGGATCTTAGGGTTATCTTTGGCGCCCCCTAGAACCTAAACCTTGGGGTGCAGCGTCATGATTTGAATAACTTTTAATGGCCATGGGGTGTAGATTGGCCTGAGCAAATGTGGTGCCGGTGGAACGAAAGCCTTCGGAGGAGTTAGCGAAATTCCAATGTGTGCGGATCGGCAAAAAATGCGAAATAACCCTTTAACCGTACATTTTACAGATACGTGGCCATTGACTTTTTCGAAGATCTTATGTAAATACACGTGTATGTAAAATTTTGTGTCAATACGACAAAACATACAGGCGTAGCACTCAACAATGTGTATTTTCACCTTAGTGGACAAGAAAAAATGGACTTTTTTCTCCTGCCATGGGGGGGCGCTCTTTTGGCGAGTAAAAATTCCTTCACAAATGTGTTGATGGCTGGACATTGCATCATCCTAGAAAACTTGGAGGCCAGTGGGGACAAAAATAAAAAGTTATAAGACTTTTAAATATGTGGATTTTACGGTTATCTTTGGCGCCCCCTAGAACCTAAACCGTGGGGTGCAGCGTCATGATTTGAATAACTTTTAATGGCCATGGGGTGTAGATTGGCCTGAGCAAATGTGGTGCCGGTGGAACGAAAGCCTTCGGAGGAGTTAGCGAAATTCCAATGTGTGCGGATCGGCAAAAAATGCGAAATAACCCTTTAACCGTACATTTGACAGATACGCCCGCACTGACTTTTTGTAGATCTTATTGAGATACATGTGTGTGTCAATTTTTGTGTCATTTTGACAAAGCGTACAGGCGTGACAGTCAATAGTGTGAATTTTCACCTTAGGGGGCGCTATGGAGCCATTTTGCATTTTCTTGTTTGGGCGACTTCGGAATATCAAATTTTTCACCAGGCCCGGTCGTCCTGCCAAATTTCATGAGTTTTCGCCAGTGGGAAGTGGGCCATTTTCCAGTTCAAAGGGGAGGAAAAATAATAATAATAATAACAAAAGAAGGAAACTACAGGAACAAGAGGGCTCTCGCAGCTGCTTAGCAGCTACGCTCGGGCCCTAAAGAAAGAAAGAAACAAAGAAAAACCACTTGGGGAATAATAGGGCCTACGCCCGGCTGCTCTGCAGCTGGCTCGGGCCCTAAAGAAAGAAACAAAGAAAAACCTCTTGGGGAATAATAGGGCCTACGCCCGGCTGCTCTGCAGCTGGCTCGGGCCCTAAAGAAGAATCCATCAGGAATAATAGGGCTCTCGCAGCTGCTTAGCAGCTACGCTCGGGCCCTAAAAAAACATCTGGATACCCTACCAGTGAAGAATGTAAATAAGGTGCCCTGCTGTTACTTTTCAAGAGGATGACGTGCAAACTAAATATCTATTGGTTATCCGATCGATAAAATGTGAAGAGAGAGCACCCCTGAATACTATTACAGTGAATAAAACAAAAACAAAAAAAACGCCCTCTGGTTGCTCTTCAAGTGGATGAAATGGAAACGAAAGATCTCTGGGTATCCTTTAGTGAAACTTTTTTGAAAAAGTTTTCAGGAAGCGTTTTAAGTTTGTAAAATATTAAATAAAGTGATGTCTGGATGCTCTTTCTGTGGTTAACATATGAACAATAAGTCATCTGGATGCCCTTACAGTGGATATATGTGAAAAAGACTCTGTTTGGATACTTTAAAGTGCATAAAAATAAGAGACAAAACCCTCTGGATGCTCTTTCAGTGTATTAAGAGGTTACATAGTGAACTTTGGATTCTATATTTTTACCACCTTCAGTTATGGAAGCTAGAACTAGACCCAAGTTACAACCACACAAGAGAATAACAAAGAGAGGGGGAAAAGAGGGAGGCTTTTACTTTGAAAACCACAAAGTTTGATCACTCTTGAACTTCTTCAGTAGTTTGAGTTTGAGGATTTTGTCTCATATACATCAAACATCTTTGGGTTGAAATGAAATATTAAGTATGAGCAGAACATCAGAGCTGAACCTCCTCATTAAAGCTCCTCTGACTGAATGGGAACAAATCCCTGCAACCAGATTCAACATCTGGTGGGAAGCCTGCAACCAGAGAAGAGAGGAGGTTATTTCAGCAGAAAGTTAATGACAGCTATGTGGAAAACATGTCAGTTAGTATGCTTGTGAGCTGTGTTTGGATGTGCACGCTCACAGATATGACACTTTATACTTGTTTATCTTGGTAAGAGTGGAGAAGAGTTTTGTACCCTGGCTGCTCTGCTGTCATGTCCACAGTAATCCTGCAGCTGACGTCTCTGGACTATTTCGTAACACAAGACTGAGAGAAAAGAAAGTGTGTGTGTGTGTGTGTGTGAGAGAGAGAGAGAGAGAGAGAGAGAGAGAGAGAGAGAGAGCTGGGTGAGGAAATAGAGCAGAAGAATATGGGCCTGACAAAAAGGAATCCAGCCTGCCTCCAGATGAGTGAGGGCTGCACAACAACAGATTAGAGGAGCCCAGGGCCTGTTCCCATGGAAACCTTTGCCCAGGGAGACGGCGATGAGAATGCAGCAGATTGTAGGTCAGACGCGCCATCAGCGATCCAATCAGATGTAATCTGTGTTGACTTGTGGGTCAGAGATTGAGCAGTAAAGCTGGTGCCTCTCTGTGGCTGCTCGCTCTGTCGGGGGGTTCCAGTCCCAGCTCACAGGGCAGGCCTGGGTGGGTCTAATCCCTGGAAGACTGCTGAAAGGGCTGGGTTTAAGTGCTGGATGAATATCGAAGTACAAGCCTTGAAAATGTGTTTTCACTTGCATTTTTTTTTTTTATTTATGAGTTTGGTCATTTCATTTGTGTGTGATTTTGATGTCTATGATTTTTTTTTTTTTTTTCTTAACGTGACAGCCATTAATGAGTCAATTCAAATGTGACCTGCTCTGCAGACTGTTGACCTTTACCCCATGGGACTTTTTCTCAAGACTGTCTTAAACTCATACAGGACAAAATGAACAACAACATATTGTTTTAATATAGTGACATGTCAATGGTTTACTATCACCTTCTCAGATAATCACATTCGTGAATGATGGCTCAAAAACTACATGTTGAACATATTCGAAACTAAGACTCCTGATGAAGGGTTGTTACCTCATGACTGTCATGGCAAAAAAATATCACAATA